AAAGTTGAACGGGAATAACCCGAAGATCCCTGCTATTAAAGCTCGAATTCGGCTAGTCGTATCTAAGGTAGTGGATAGTCTGCACCTATATACGGTTAACATAGGATAAGGGACGTAACCGCTGCCTACTTGCCTTATATCGTTGCTAAAGCATTACCTAGCCAATTTTTTCCTTTCGGAGGTTATTAGCACACTAACAGGCTTATGCGACTATAGTATTTGTAAAGATACTCTATAAATCAGGATATAGGCCAGTCAATCAGGTAGGAGAAAGGAACCAAGTCAATTGCTTCGACAGGTCACATCTATAACCGGAACTACGAGGGAAGAAACATTGGTCGAATTGATATCAGTAAGTGAAATTTCAACGATCAAACATCACAGAATCGGCTAGCCATCTTCGTCTTCCAACTGAACTTATTACCGATAGCAAATCATCTAACCTAGCCCATTCTTATTACCCTGCTGACTTGGTCCTCTACCTCGATAGTTCCGGAAAAAATCAAAGGGTTAGATGCATGCAGAGCATACCCTGAATGAAGTATTTTCGACGTATTAGCCACCAAGACGGTCGGGAAAGTCAGTATCGGCGCTCTTGGTCTTGACTCGCTCGATTCTGCCGGAATGGAGATACCTTCATCAATTTCAAAGGCAGGGGAGTCCACAGAGGTCTTATCATTAAGAAATGCCACTATCCGTTGAGGGCTTCTGTGTGTCAGACTCCAGATATCCACAGCATCTTGCAACACACTCCGTAACTCGTCTTCAAAAGAACGCATGTCACATATGAGCGGTCGTGTTTTGCGGGCGATAACGTCTATTATGCTCACGATTCCGGTTTCCTTGAGCTCCTGTTGTTCTTTGGTGTATACAATTGCTGAAACTGATCTTAGAACAGCTTCCCGTAAAGGCTCCTGCTTTGCTATTGCGTCCCAATCTGGAGCGGGGGAAATCGACTTGAACCAACTTGTGTAACTTGGAATAGTTCGGAAGATATTGGCTGAAATTTGGTCCGCGATTAGAGCTTCCAGAGTTGCTATTCGGAGGTACTTTGAAGCTGTACTGTCTGAAATAGGAATTGGTCTCTCGCAACTAAAGAATGTTGAGCTAACAAGTTGCCGGAAAACTTTATCCTGGGTTGAGTCAACATAATGCATTTTTAATAGCCAAGAACGCTCACATACCTGGCTTTCCACTGAGGTCAGATTTTCGGAGATTTCTCCGAGGCAGGATTCTGCAAAAGCATGTACTCTCGTAGCAAGTCTATCGAGTCGAGCGGAGCTTTGAAAGGGTAAGCGATAGTATCTTTGATGAGATGCTCCTCACTTACAAGAGATCACTATCAACTTCAATAAAACCGAGGGCTCGCCATAGTTCTTGATATTTCTCTGTTATTGCCGACAGACTATCATTTTGCGCTCGCAATTCATCCTCCAATGCCCGATAGTTCTGAGCCGATTTCTCAAGTTCTCCGCAACAAATTCCTAATTGTTTTTTGGTATCTTGAACGAGAATATTCATTTTATGGAGACTAGAGTCGTGCTTTTCTTGAAGAGCAAGATGCCGCTGCTCGAATTTCATGATCATCTCATCGATGACATGATTGAGACTCTTAATTTTCTCTTCAGACCACTTCAGCTTAGTTTTTATTTCAGTATCTTCTTCTAGAACGTCTTCCACTTGACTTATCATTTTTGCGTAGGGTCCCATTTCAATGACCGCCGCACGAAGCTTCCTCCATGACTCCAGAAACGTGGTGATTTGCGGTTGGCATAAATCTGGCATTTTTGCTTCCAATATTAGGGAAATAAAAAAACGTTAGCCAGGAGGGTCAGTCTATTTGCAGCATGAGGGAATCTTGAGATTACTTATATCTGGTCTCATATCATGAACTAAGGATTACATAGACTTGCAACGAGAATCTCATCAAACCGGTCACTCGACTCACTCGCCATGAAACCTGACGCGCTGGCAGTTCGTGAAAACAGGAAGTACAGTGCAGCTGCACCCGCCACAGATGTCCCATTTCAGAGGCGTACACTTGAATTACGTCTTGAGCGCGTATGCCATGCATGGCGCAGAGAATTACATGCGTTCGGAGGGCTACTCTTGTCCAATGAAACCCAGCCGCTATTTGATGTCTAGCAGGGGCAAGATGTTCAAATTATGGTTCACCTAGCAGACCAAGCCCTTTCTGAAATATATCCTTGCCAGCGTGCATGAGTCTCATGCCAGCCATTGTTAACAAAAGGGACAAAAAGATCTATCATAAGGCTCAATTAAGATCTGGTTGATGGAATTAATTCAAAGATAGTGATCAATCACTGCATCTTCAAAACATGCATTGCGTGGTCTTGATGTGTCTCAAGAGTCGCAGCAGTGACGGAACATGAAGGATTTGAAAACCAACAGTCTCTGCCTTCGATATGCGCACGGACCATAAATTCGACTTGCCAGCCATACCTGAACATGGCTGCATGGCTTGGCCGCTATGTGCATATAAAATTGGCAAAGCGCTAGGCTCGAAGCTAGACACCTGGTGGGAATGCTAGGCGCTGGTCTTTACGCGGGTAGGGCGGATGCTCGAAACATTCTGATTTGATAATAAAGTGAGGCAACCATCACGCGTGATTCCAAGCATAATTTGGTTCAGGGCTATAATGCGGGGTGGCCGTGGCATGAATTGATTGGTTTTTTGAGTGGTTCATACATGGGGGCCAAATATGGGTGCTGTTGAGCCTCAACCCCGCATTGCAAGATATTTGAGCTGTCATTCTAAACTGGAGGATGGAGTCAGAACTAAGGCTTCACGCTCTGTGATAATGGAAGCTATCGGGACGGTAGCCTCGGTATTTGCGATTTACAATCAACTAGAACAATGCGGAAAACGTCTACACCAATTAAAACACAACTTCCGAGTCGCCAAGCAAGAGGTTAATCTTCTCGCAGATGAGGTGTCCGCTTGCCAGGGCCCTTTTTGGAATTTTTAGGCATATCAGTCATCCGCTAGAAAGCCGCGTGATGCAGTTGGCTCGCACACAGAGCTTAGAGAAGATTCTCAAATCTCAAGCAACTTTCGCCTTTGACCAGATTAACGAGATTGTGTTGAAGCTTGAGCCATTGAAGAAAGATACCAATGCTAGTGGTTTTGACAAATTTATTGCAAAGCTCCGATGGCATTTGACAAAAGACGAAGTCCAGGCTCCGCTTATTATGCTGAGTAGTGTGAAAATAAGTTTGACAGCCTTAACATGTCTATTGGTTCTTGATTGCTCTGTAGCAGACCTGAGGAGGCCGTCCCTCCCAGAGAGCGACAAGGAACTGATTATTTTACAAATGTAAGCATATATATCCGCCTTGATACTTCATGTTCAAACACCTAATAATGTGTATCGACTTTAAGAAAACACTTGAGAAGAATGATCAACCGCCAGGAGCGATGTCTGCGCCGGTTAGAAAAGAAGTTAAACAGATATATGAATGCCAACTCCGAACCGACATGGGTAATAAACACAAACTCTATGGCTGTCATTATACAAGAAATAAAAAAGACACCTATTGCCGAAGCAGAGTCCTTGATCAGGGAGAATATTTCCAATCTTTCTGTCCGCGTTACTCTACCGGAAGAAACTTCCCTATCGTCGAGAATAGGTATTCCACAGCCGCTACCGAGACCAAGGAGTGTTTCTGGTTCTTTGGACAGATCCCTATATCTGTCTGAAACTGAAATAGCGCGACAAGCGGGGCCAGTGGTTCTCAAGAAAAAGGAGCGAGAGACACGGGCTGTGTTCCATGACTATGGCGACGGAAACAGGGAGACTTATGAAGTGGACTCTTCCGCTTCTTATCGCTCTACTAAGCAGAGTGACGCCTCGGCTTTGTCTATTTATGGTTATGTACCTGTTCCCCCTTTCAATTTGTCTGATTTGAAATTACGAAAGCGAAGAAAACATGGCGATTAAAAAGATATCTTGCCAGATATTACGAGTCCTCTAGGCATCATTTGCGAGATGCTAGCTGTAAAACCCCTATCTTGTGCCAATTGTCGCTCAAATCCCCTAATTTTAACTTGTTCCATGATCTCTTCTTTGACATTTCACTGCCTACGCACTCTTTTGTGAAGACGCATAAGCACTTCGTTCTGCTAGACATATAACACAAGGACAAGCTGGAACGAGAACTCGTCTACTCGATAATGGTCCCTACCAGACACTATGAAGCTAAACCAATTCCTCTCGGATGCTCATACTAACAGATTGTCAAGCAGGCATTTACAGAAAGGTCGTCCAGATTATGATAATACACGACTGACCCTTGGGGCTACACACACACACACAATTCATTAACGCCCGGCGGCTGAACCGAAAGGGTAACTATCACTGATCTAAATGTACATGCCGTAGCTAATGCTGTGTCTCCTTGGAGCCCATACAAGATTATTTTCAGTGTGTGTCATCTCAGCTGTCAATATCTTAGCGGGTCCTTGTGGGTTAGTGTTTATTAGTAGACTGGCTTGAAGGCGCTTCTCTAAGTGTTCAACATCCTATCCTCAGCAGTTGAAGTGCGTCTACTCTCTCTAGCACAAGGTAGTGGGAGAGATGTGGAGGAAGGAAAGTTACAAGTGGGGCTGTATGCCAAGGTATTTAGTGTGGTGTCGCCATAGCTGCCTGATTACCTGATTAGGCTTAGTGGATACAAGATCTCGACGGTGGATCCCCAAGGTCTTGGCCTGAGCTGAACACTGCACTAAATTAGCCTTGTTCCAAATGTCGTAAATAATATACATACATCTGGGGCAAATTTTCTGGCGTGATACGGTATAGACTAAGATTTTATATCTCATCTTCCGAGGATTAATTTACTTGTACGGTAGATTTTGTTACGAAATGAATAGTTAATGATTTTCTAACTCGTTTGAATTTCTTTTTTTCAACTGACTGCTGTGACTTTCAAGATTATCCCTTAGATCCTGAATTTATTCAAACCATCTCTCAGGGAAGATGGGTGCCAACACTAAGTCCAACTCGATCCTGGGGTCTGTGGCGGTTGTTTTAGGTCTGGCTGTTGACGCTGCCGCAATTCAGCTGTTCAATTCAACTCCGTCTGGTATTCCTTCAACTTGTGGCGATGCCTTGGTGAGAGATATCACCTGTGATGAGCTCTACTCAGTCTCCACAATCGCCAATCAACAATACATTGGAAACAAAACACTTGAATCAATCTGTATCCCAGACTGCAAAAAGTCATTCAATGACTATCGCACAAGTGTGGAAACTGCCTGTGGAACCACAGTATATGACTTTTCGGGTGTCAACCAAACAGTCCAAAGCTTCTTGGATCCTCTGACTTGGGCTTATAATGTTTCCTGCCTGACAAGCGGTGACGAATACTGCTACACGGACATCACCAACCGCAATACTAGTATTGAGCATTGCTCGGAATGCTTCCTCAAGTATGAGGCTGTTATGCTAGGCTCTGTGTACGGTAGGCAGCGCGTTGATCCAGGGTCGTTTTCCTCCTTTCTTTCGTCCTGCAGCGTACCAGCTTCAAGCTACCCTTACTCAACGCCAACAAGTACCAGCACCTCAGCGGCCTCATCCACTACCAGCTCACCCATTCCAACTTGCACTGGGACCGCTTACACCGTCCAACATGGACAGAGCAGGTTAACACACTATGGTCGGGTAGGCCTCGAGTATCTACTTGTGAATATAAAAGATGTCAAACTGTGTAAAACCGTGTCAAACTTGTTCGGTTTAGCTAAAAAATGTAAAGAGATTCTACAAGTCAGGGTAGAAAGCCTGTCAATCAGGTAAGAGAAAAGGTAAAAGTCTCATTGTTCAAAGACTGTTTCTTGGGGGCTCGAAACCCCTCCCTCATAGCTCAATTTCTGTACAATCTTCGTCCCAAACAGGATGGAGGTATAAACACACGAGGAGGGAGCGCAAGAAAGTGTAACCTTCATACAGGGTCCGTCCCTGCAGTGTCTCGCCTTCCGCAGTTTCAATGCCCCCGAGGGTATCCTGTGGTAGTTTGCATTCTCGTAAACCAGAAAGAAGAAAATCTGACTACAACATTATAGTACGCAGTAGATTTCACAGAGACTTGGAAAAGCAATAGTATGATCCAGTATTTGTTGGTATTCAAAATTTAGAGAAAATTCACTGTCCATTCATTAGCTTGCATCCTATTTTTAATTGAGATATTCAATAGTGCTTTTCTTAATATGTTCCAGATTGCATTTATTACCGTCTTCTACATTTGTTTTGTTCAATTACATTAGCCTTTCCCTTTTTGATTACTATATATAATCATTTTGTAAAATGTAGGTACTCTGAAAATGCTTCTTGCTTTTCTCGTTGCCACGCTATCATCCTGGTAGTTCACTTCGGGTAAAGTGATCCGATGGAAGCTCAGGCATATTGGCCGACTCGTATTTTCCGTCCGCTTCAAATATCTTGCGAGTATCACTGCTTCCATACAGCTTCGTCGAATCAACACTTGGCAGATTTGGTGCTTCAGAAGGATGAGGTTTCCCCTTTTTCCTGATCCGATAGAGGAGCAACAAGCCCACTAGCCCAATAATCGCGGCAGCAGCGCAACCTATCCCAATTCCCACTTTCGCGCCAGGACTGAGGCCATCATCATTATTCTCGTTGCTAGTTGAGACATGGGTGGTAGCTGCAGTTGCAGCAGCCCCAGGGCCTGATGCCAGAGTTGTTTCTGGAACCAAGGGGCTAGTTACTATGGTGGAGTGAATGAACTCTCGCGCCAGTGAACTAGTTCCTGTGCCGGTGGATTCTGTTATCCATAGCATTGTGGTACTGCGATATGAAGTCGAGAGTAGGACGGGACTGGTGGAGCTCGACGTATCGCTGGCATTTCTGGATTGTTCAGATGTGGTTATTTGAAAACCTCTAGTTTCCCAAGAATTATTTGCGTATATAAACCGAAGAATATAGCCCTCGGCTACCGGAAAATTGGTCAATATCGTCCATCTACCCAGAGTAATATTGAGATCGTCCTGAATGTATGTCGGAGATTCAATCATGTGGGAGACAGCAACGAATTGAATTGTAAGAGGAAGCAATGTCGAGTCGGAAGAGTTGTAAGACCATGTCGTGACAAGGCCATTATACACGTTCACCAGGTCGCCCTCCTTGGGATAAGTGATCTGGAATGCTGGTGAAAAGCTTTAGTTAGGACTATATATATTTAGCTGGGCAACGTGGGCATACCATTGCTTTGAAAGGCATTCAAGAAAAGCGCAAATAGTAATGTCGACATGAACATTAGGATACGTTTTTCACGTCGACGGCCAGGTAGCAGTCCTCTGGTTTCAAAATATCGGCAGAGGAAAGGCTTTGGGTACGATTTTTTTTCTTTCCACTAGGCCATAGACACAGAATAGGGGCAGCTGCTATGACCTTCTTCGGGCGAAACTAGGTACATACTTGCATACCTGACTACGCATGCTGGCCGCACACAAAGGCAAGTGTCTGAAGCGCTAGTACAAGAAAGGCGCGCAGTCCGATGGATGGCCAATTGCATTCTACCATTTTGCCCATGTTCGAAGGATCACACAAGATGACATTAGCCTCGACATGGGTCGGGCCGTTCAAGTACTGTACTGTACTTTTGTAAGGGCCCGAAGAGGCCCGTGCGATAGCGTGCGGGCCCGAGCGTGATGCTCACTCTCCTGCTCACCCTGACTTTAGCACACTCACCCTGAGTGAGCCGGCTGGCACGAATCAAAAGCGGCGTCACGCTCCTGCTCACCCGGGTGAACATCCACCCGAATATCGATTGGGCCGAAGCCACACGCCGGCTACTTAGTAGTATGGTGGGTGACCACATGTGAATACTGTTGCGCGCATCTAGGAGTCCACTCGAGATTATTATGTCGATACTATCGAGCTTCCCGACATCAGATGCTGGTATGATTCCCCTGGACGATCCTAGGACTCTGAATGATTATCTCTGCGAAGGTTTTGATAATCCGCTACTTCATCGAGCCTCGGTATATGGTAATTCCCTTTCTGGTCGCAAAATGAGTGAGCTTGGATAAGTTCTGGACATCTCTACGTGAGCAGCCCGAGGATATCATTGACCTGTATGACTACTCTATGACAGAACCTTCTTTGAGAACACGAACAATAACCGTCCGGGAATTTCTATTATATTGGGAACTTCCTGCACACGAACGCTATGCAATCAATCTACTAGATATCGAGAATAGAAGTGGGGAATTCTGCCTAACCGAGATAATCGAGCACGATCTTTACTAAACGTTATCTCGCGTTTCACCCGGTAATGTTAGAAAATGTACGGAGTAAGAATATACTCTACAAGTTAGGGTAGAGGTCTGTTATTTATGTAGGAGAAATGAACTAAGTTAAATTATGCAAGACAGTCAAAGACTGTTTCTTAAGGAGCGTGAAGTTGTTACGCGGAGCCCAAAAGTCACTATAAGTCAGAATGTCCTAGGGCTATACTTGCCTAGTTCCACTGCGAATCCTAAGAGTATCTCGCAACCGTACCGTTGCTATGTAAACCTTACTACGGGTTTAGGTCCTATTAAGTGTCTTATAGGATAGTACTAGAGTACGCGCTAGGTAAATTAGTCACTAAGTATTACTAAGTTAACCTAACTAAGTTACTAAGTAAGCTCCTCTATTTATAGATTAGGCTATCTTAAACGTAAACTATAAAGAAGTACTAAAGGTAGTGTCGAACTAAAACAGTGGTAATAGAAGAAGGTACAGTCACATGATAACTCTAATAGGCCAAAATCCACTATAGGCGGCATCTTTAGCTTTCTTAGAATCATATGTAATATTCAGGGTCCGATAATTCATTCAATGCTTTACGAGAGACGCTAACACATAGCCCCTTACCTAAGAGTTCAAATGTAATCAGCATCCCGACCGATATATGCTGACACATACTTATCTCTTTCACCTTGCTACTGTAGGTAGTTGATACGAGGTTCTATCAGCTGCATATATACTTAACGTGAACTCGTTTCAAGACAAGCCTTTAACTCACAGGTTTAAAGCAATGTTCTTAATAAGCTCAGCCCGGATCCGCTGTGGACTCCATGACCCATCAATGGGAACCAGTGCCTTAGATACGGTTTTCCCGATCCTCCCTCGTAATTTTTTTATCCTTGACTGGTTGTTCACTTGGACCTGTAAGTTCTCGTGTCGAGGATCAACAGAGGTCACACACTGCCGGTCAAGTCGAAAATTTCGGCTCATGACCAAAGTCTTGTGCCCGCCTTTCTCGGGTAGAGCGATCAATTTTTCATCTCTGATTTCCTTGATGAATAAGATTAGCGACTTGCTAGCTTTACTTCCAGGCATTTTGATTTTGATTCTCTGGTATTAAAAGCTTAGCCTTGAGATAAAATTTGGGAGATGCAGCATAGCTTATTTATATCCGACGAAAATCGTAAAGCGCAATGAAGTCCCACGGTGGATTGGATGAAGACAATGAAAGACAATGGCATTCATAAATTCTTTGTTTATATGCTAAGGTTGCACGGAGACCCATCAATCATCAGCTTACCTGAAAGAATTCCTTGTTCGCATAGCCAATGGAAATATAATCCTATTTCTCTCCTTCATTTCTTCAAATGATCCGAGCAACAAGCTTATCAGATCAGCATCAATGCCCTGGTCTTATCTGTCTCTCAATGAATTGTTCGTAGGCATAGTGGAACCTCCTTCGGGGCTGCCTCCGCGAGGTTCATGCGGCTCAGACTCAATCAAAATCGATTTACACGACCTTCCACTGTTTGAATCAGAGTCGGGTTCTTGTCTGAATCAATACCTGGTAGTCATGAAATAAAAGGTCTTTGTCGCAACCTTTGCGAATGGGGCCATAGGCAAAGGATGAAGGTTAATGGTGGAGTCATGCACTGAGCGAGATGGCTTGCAAAAGTGATAAAACTGCATTAATACTACATTATAAATTCATTGCATAAAAGAATTGCAACCGTTGATGCTGTGGCACTATCTTCACAAGACATCCTGACATCACAACTTAAGAGGAGTAGCCTCTAGCCAGGTTCTTTGTCGTTTTCCAATAATCTTAGAGCCAAGTGTACTAGCATCATCGGTCTCATCCACCTCAAATTGCTCCAAGCTTGGACCTGTCGAACGAAAAGGATATCCAGTGTCCTTGAGGGCGGCCTCGACAAAGCTTTTATAGTCCCTCTCATAAGTTCCAATAACGCGCTCCCGTATAACAGGATACTGCCATTGTATCCAGCGCTCTTCCAGTGTGATGGAGCAGGATGGCGCTTTCAGCAAGCCAAGAATAATCTTCAGATCTGGTAAGAAAAGGTCGTCGAGATATAGAATAATTTTCAAAGACTTGCGGCTCCTGAAGCGATGCGTAAGGATGTCGATGAGACCTTGAAGATCAGCGTGCCTCCCTTGAAAAGGGACAGACATATGAGCCCAGCTAGCTAATTTGCCTAAAGCAAACACTGGGGCATAGATGCACAGGAACAGTCCTATGGGAAGCAGCACCTTTGGATGCTCCCTTAAGGTAGAGAGCATATCACCTTCTATCGTGATCAAGGGCCCCCTGATATAAGCGGCCTCAGGAAGAAAACTCACTGTGACCTCACGTGCTAGATCACATAGTATCGGATTCTCCGTCAAAATATTCAGGCTTCTAGATATTGATGCGGCCTCTTTTGTGAATCCGCCGTACCTAGGTATCGCAACCTGGAGATATACAGAGGCATTTTCGAATATTATTTCCATTGATTCACGTCGCACCTGTCGATTGACGAAAACAAGATTGAACCGTGTGAGATGGTGGTATCTCATTCCCGTCGCACTGATTGTGACATCGTGCGGCTCTACCTCGAATCCCGTTCTGAAAGTACCGTGCTGCGGCGGTGGCGTAACCCGATTTCTAGCTACTGATAATTTAAGTATATGTCTTCGAAGCTCGAAGGGTAGGTCCAAGAAGCGGAATGGACCCGATTCGACATTAAGACCATCTAAACAAATTTATTAACTGGAACGATTTGCAGGAATTTTCATGTGACTGACTGTGTGAGACTGTATGGCTCATTTTTCATCATATCCAAGTTTGACTCGGGTACTTTGTTATTCTTATCGGGATAGCCTATTTCAATGCCTAATGTCGTGTTTAATGTCACGTCAAATGCCTATTTCGCGTCAGTCTGGGCCGGAAACAGTCCAGGCAAGTCGCCTACAGTACGCAGGGACGGCCATCTAGGGCAAAGAACTTACGAAATCCAAACAAGTGATATCAACTTACCAGGTTTAAGTTACACCGGTATTAAAGCAGCATAGCCTGAAATATGGGATAGACAAGTATGGATGAAGACTGAGGAGGTAGAGTAGAAAAATGGGGAAGGACGCGGCTTTGGAACAAGCCAGATAGCAGGGATCGTGTACCTGACATGTCTAGTCACGTGGGAATCGATTTCGCCCGAAAGTAAGGTTGAAAGGCATGATTAGTCCCAATGTGGTAAGTGACTTGGGCTAGAGACCCCCTACTTTTGCCGGTCAGGTTTCCACTAATGAAAGACCGAGAATGCCGGGCGGTAAGGCTACTTGAGGTGGCAGCAGGAGGGGGTGTCTGGACTTTTGAGTAGTCACAGTCACGTATTGCCCTCGCAATCCAAGACAACAGGTTTCCTCCCATCCCCACTGGCGCATCACCGCATCTCGGAGGTGAAATCTGTCCCCGCGGCATCATTCAAGCTCTCATTGAGAATGCCTCTGCTGCAATTACCGCCAGAATTACATCTCCAAATAGCGAGATTTTTGGAAACAACAAGAGATATCAACTCTTGGTCTCAAGCAAACAAACAACTTTATGCTCTCCTCAATCGATACCTCTACATGCTGGATGCTCATGTCTCATCTTCCGCTCTGCTTTGGGGTGCTCAACGTGGAACCGTGGATACAGTTCGAATGTGTTTACAAATGGGAGCCAACGTTGAAGTGATGGACCGAGGTCGGACTCCATTATCCTTGGCTGCAGAGCATGGGCACGAGGCAGTGGTGAAGCTATTACTTGAGACGGAAGGGGTGGATGCCGATTCGGGGAGAGGTGATGATCGTACACCTCTATCTTACGCCGCGGAGCATGACTACGTGGAAGTGGTCAAGCTATTACTTGAGACAGGCCGGGTAGTCGTGGACTCAAAGGACGCCGACCTATGGACGCCGCTGTTCTGGGCTGCAAACTCTGGAAGTGAGAGGGTGGTAAAGTTATTACTTGAGACAGGCCAAGCAAATGTGGATTGGAGAGACTACAGCCGCGATACACCCTTGTCCTGGGCTGCAGTTAAGGGGCATAAAACAGTACTGAAGCTACTGCTTGAAATTGGACAAGCGAGCTCAGATTCTGAGGGTTCATTTGGCTGGATGGGCCTACGCTCAGCAACACGGGAGGGATACAAGGCAGTCAAGAAGCTGTTGCAGACTAGGCAAGGGAACATGAATTTGAGTGACACCGAAGAATGGACATTATCGTCTCTAGTCGCCCTTGATGGATGTGAAGAGATTAGGAACATACTTCTTGAGACAGATCGTATCGCCACGGATTCGAGGGATACACCTATTTCTTGGGCAGCAAGATATGGCCGTGGGGCGATGGTGAGATTGTTACTAGAGACAGGTCAGATTAGCGTGGACCCGAAGGACTCTACGCGCTATACGCCATTATCACTGGCTACGAAGTACGGGTATGAAGAGGTAGTGAATATTTTACTTGGGACTAGGCTGCGAAACTTATATGCGAATAGACCTCGAAGCATAGCGATTCCAGCGAATTCGAGTCAATCTTTTGGGTCGGTGCCTCACGGCTAGCGCGTCGCGATCTGTTTTGTTTTTAGAATACAAATCAATAGCAACCTCTCGAAGTGTCCAATTCTCTATCACTCTATCAATTATAAAATGAAAACCTAAAGGCGCATGAGTGCATCAGTCCTAGGAAAGCCAACTGTAACGGCCAACATCGTTGTATTTTCGGCTAACTCTCCTTGGCATTGATCGTTTAGGCATTCTCAATCGCATCCCAGACACAATCTGCCAAATCGTTCAAAAGCATATCGGCTGTGAACACGAAATCGCCCTCGCCTTCTCCTGGCTCCTTCAACAGAAGGGTGTGGAACGGCACAGTAAGGGGCCCTCCTTCAATAGTAGGACCAGAGCCATCTCTCCCTTCCTTTATGAGGATTCTTTGAGTCAGTCGAGGTGATGGGAGATCGTTGATGCCTCTATCGAAAACGTGGCGACCGCCTTTGGTGAGATAGACGTGGCTGAGTGGTGGCTCGAATGCCGGGGACCAGGATTTGATTTCAATGTTGCCAGATTTTCTCTTGATATCGACTGTAATCCCCATTCTCACTTCACCCTTTGATTCATTGATCCACCAGGCGATGTCCTTCTCCAGCTTTGCTGTTGTCTGTGAAAAGCCAACCTCCAATGCCACCGTTGGGAAATTTCTCCCTTGGCGGCGTGGCTTCCAGGATCGGTCTGCCTGCTTGCTTCGGCCAGGAGTCTCCACAAGAGTCGCTCCGCGTGGTGCAATAAGTCTGTTGACCCCCATCTCTTGCGTGACTTTCGTAATCATTTGCTCAAACATGGAGGCGGCCGCTTCGTGTGGTGGACTGGGCATCGTGATAATAAGGGTTTGAAGTGATGGCGAATAGTCACAGCGTCCTGGCAATTGTTCCTCTTGCTCGGCGAATGTCTCTGGTGGAAATTGTTTCAAGACGACAAAGCAATCCCCGACCGAATCCTCACAAGCAGACGAGAGGGTCTCCATAGCACACTGTTTGTTGTAATAGTACACGGGCGTACCAGAAGGAAGGTGCTCAAGAAACGAGCCTGCACTTTCCTCTGATACAACCCCCTCACTGCGATACACACGTGACATGATTTTCTGAAAAGAAGTAGCTGCAAGGATATTTGTATAGTGATCTGTCGGGTATTCTCGGTTTTTCAACGAGACCACCTAGTGGAAGAGGCTGAAAGTACATTGGGTCGTGATGCAGGGTCTCTGTCACCTCGATGCCATGATGTCATTATCTTTCAATGGTCCATCAGTTTAAATCGTCTAGTAACCCAGAATCACGTGCGATATATCCAATATTGGAACCGGGCCCCTGACGAAAGTGCCCGGCAACAGGCTTAATCGAGCGTCCAGGATAGATGATGATGGCCGACAATAGGTATATATTTCTCTCTCCCCACCCCATCTTTCCGACCGACCAACCAATCCTAAATTCCCCTTCGTGTTACCTCTGACAATTATATTAAACTCAAATATACCCTAAAGTAACTTGATACCTAAAATCCCCTCAAAAATTAACGGTTATCCGTGAAAACCACACCCTCCCTTCCAGCCAAACCATGTTATCTCAGAACTGGTGATAGTGCAACAATCGGAGCAGCTTTCATTCAATTCGGGCACTCTGGCCGAGCGGTCTAAGGCGTCAGACTCAAGCTTAATCACTTCCTCCAAGATTTCACTTGGTGGTGTATTCTGATCTTCGTACGAAGGCATGGGTTCGAATCCCATGGGTGTCATTTTTTGGTGGAAAATTTTAGGTATTAGCCGCACTCGATAAATGATAAACTCTTGGAACCTAATGGTTTACTTATACAGAAAGGGCTATTATATTCATCGCTTTTGCATTTATTTTTTCCTCTTCGTAATAGTTAGAAGTTGTGAGAAAGTAATTAGAATCTAATAGCCAAGATTCTGAAACTGGGGTGAGGAAAGTATTTAGTTGTTGCTGGGTATACGCCGCAGCGGAGGTTAAACCGGAGCCCAGCTAACTATAGCCCGTAGCTACAGCCCAGTATTTCCCAAGCTCTCTAGACTAGTTACAAAGCAAAATTAACAAAGCAGTAAAGTAATCCGAATCATCATCAAATCTCCTCAATCATCTACCCCATAATTTCACACCCCATTATACTCTCTACAAACCAGCCAACCCCCTAAAAGCCCCCACCAAATCCGCCCTCAAATCTTCCCAATTCTCCAACCCCACACTAACCCTCAACAACCTCCGATCAACAGTAGCATCCGACATAGTCCTCCACTCAATAAGCGTCTCCACCCCACCAAGACTAGTCGCATGCTGGAAGTAGTGCAATTTACTCGGCAACTCCCTCGCCAAATTCTCCTCTTTCATGGTAATCGAGAACACAGGGCCGAAGCCATTCGGCATTTGCTTCGCTAACCAGTCTCCCTCTGTGGTTTGCAAGGAAGCATGGAAGACTTCTTCCAGCACCGCTTGGACGGCGGCTTCGTCTGAACCCGGTGCGGGTGAGGGGGTGTGCAACGCGGAGTGTAACCACGATACGAGACGGGAAGTATTCGCACTTTGACGCTGGACGCGGACTTCGAGGGTCCGTAGACTGCGGACGCCGAGCCAGGATTCCATGTTTCCCATTACAGAACCGAGGAAGACTCTATCAGCAAAAAGTTGACTAGCCCAGTCATCGCGCTGCGTTGCAAGAACACCACAAAGTAAATCAGAATGACCGCCGAAATACTTCGAGCCGGAGTGCATGACGAGATCCGCGCCGAAGGCGAACGGATCTTGCAAACCGGGCGGGGCAAATGTACTATCGACGATGAGGAAGGCGCCACGCGAGTGTGCTTTTTCCGCGTAGGAGGCAATGTCGAAGGCTGTTCCTTGGGGATTGACGGGTGTTTCTAGGAGGATTACATCGTCTTTTTGCAGGAAGGTTGGGTCACAGTCCAGATCCAGCTTTTGCAGGCCGGTTAGACGGGTGAAGAGGGCTATTACGCCGTGGCAGCCGTGGTAGCCTTCGCCGACTGAGATGTGGCGGGGGTTGAGGAGGGTGAGGGCTGCGTGGAGGGCGGAGAGGCCGGAGGAGTAGGAGATTGCTTTTCCGTTGAGGAGGGCTGTGAGGATTGTTTCGAAGCGGGTTGGGTTTGGGCAGGAGGCGCGGGAGTAGATGTGTTTTGTGGGATCGGTGCCGAACTACATGGTAAGAGCGAGGAGAAGATGGATGATTAGACGATGGACAATGCCATTGACAATGTAGATAGTAGCTACGTATGGAGGGAGGTAGGGGGATAGGGGATGGAAGGTAGAAAGGGAGGAAAGTCAACGTTGAACAATGCATACACTGTTGAGATCGGCCGCAGGGAAAAGCTCGGAGGGATCATCGGAGTAGCGGAAAGTGGTGGACAGGTGCAACGGAGGAGCCACGTCGGACACGACATTGAGCGCGTCGTCCGCGTGCAGGGACTGGGTGGAAGTGCCAACGTTATGCGACATGGTTATGCTATGTAACAAAAAGGGAATTGTATGCACAGGAAAATAGAAAAGAAAGGGAAAAGAGAAACACTCGGCAAAAGTTATAATACAACCAGACATAAGGCCGAGGGGAGGAGAAAAGAGGGGCAAAGGCACGCAATCGGGTCACGTGGTGCGGGGGAAAAGCGTAATGTGCCGGGAGAAATGTCCGGCATTTGTTTGTGACCATTGACTGTTGGGTATCATGGATGATCGAGATAAAAAAGAAAGATTGAAAAAGAAGAAAGTCATGGACTATCGGCGAAGCGATCCCATGCGTGATGGTTCACGGACAGATCCAGGCAGGGCGACCTTGAAGTTGGTGCGATCTAAGGGTTACCGTTAGTATAGGGTGTAAGGTACGAGTAAAAGGCCCGCAATTTGGACCCAAATGCCATAACAATAATGGAAAAGTACTCACCAAGTTCCTTATCGAACGTAATAGTAATATCGTCATGTTCGATTGGATACTCGGGCATATCCAAGCACACAAAGTCCGACCCAGGATCCTCATCCTTCTTCGGCAGCGCAAACTTAGCATCCACGATACGGATACCAAACTTGCCAGAGCGTCCGAAGGATTCGATATGATCGGTGCCCTTGAGCACAAAGTTCATACAGGTGCCGTGCTGGAAATCGGAGAAGAAGGCAATAAGTTGGATAATCTTCTCTTGCCGCACAATCTGGATGCGGGCGAGGCTGGCTTCCCATTTCTTGTAGATGGGAACAACCATGCGGCGACGGGAGATGGTGAAGGAGGAGGCAATTCTGATGTTATTAGCGTGATGGTGAATATAACAGACAGAATATCAACACTCACCCGTCGTAGATAACCTTGAATCCAGTCACTGCTTCCTCAAAGCCGTGGAGATCTGAAAGGCATCATAAGCAACCCAAACATCACAATGCAAAGAGAAAAATAACATACCCTGCATCGAAGCAAATTCAAACCTACGAACCATCGGCTTAGCCGTAGCCTTTTGCAAAAAATCGGAAATCTGGTCCGGCATCTCGGGTCGAATCAGGTTATCCGCCAGCGAGACAGTCAGATCCTGCTGTGCCGGACGGAACAGACTCATGCCAGTGATTCGATTCACATCTAGCCCGAGCTTGAGTTCACCAGGTCCTGGAAGGGAAAATGTCAGCAATGATCATACCAAAACATCGTCCAAATATATGCTACCTACCCAAGTTAATCCGGTCTGTAACAGACCCCCACTCCGTAGCAATGAATGCCCTCAGATGTTCAGACAAAATCGTCGGCCCATAACCATGATCCACAAAGGCATGTTCTTGATCGATGACCGCCGCATTACCAGCAGGGAACTGTAGATGCGTGATAGGAGCACGCCCACCAGCTGCATCCCCCGGCTCTTCGATTGCATAAGAACGGAATTGGAATTCGCGGGTCTTCGTTTCATTCTGACGAGGTACCATGCTCAACAACACAGAATGAATCTTGGTTCGTTCCTCCACCTCATGGAAAGTCATCAACATAGACCGCGTGCGTCCGTCTTCCCTAACCTTCAAAAGCAGGGCGGGACTGCCGTCTTCACCACGCAATAGACCAAATACTACGGGTGACCCATACCCCACAATGTGCTTGACATTACTGAGAGTCTTCACCTTGGGGCTCGTCAGCACGGTCAGGCGGAATCCACGGTGCGCGTTTCGCGTGCCAGTGCCTTCCGTCACTGTGACTTGTCGCTCGAATAGACGAATCCGACAACGCTCCATCGGATCTGCAGGGAATGCCTTGGGCGACCCCGTGTCCATATATTGGAACACCTTGAGGGTGTTCTCAAAGACGACCGTTTCACCAGCCTCGGGCGACAAACTTGCCTCGGACTTTTGGGTGTACCTGACAATATTCCAGAGCGTCTTGAAATCATCTTCCTTAAACATGACATCAAGCTCGAACCCACGGGGTAGCTTAACGCGCATCGAGTTGCTCCGCACTTGCCACTCCACGTCGTCCCAGGTAGGTCCCTGCTTGCGATCGCTTTGAACCATAACATTGACAAGTTGACTTTGGCTCGTGATCGCGGCGAAAACATACCAATCGGACCTCTCGCGGATAATCGTCAAGGCGCAGGGCATGGCGTATTGCTGGCCTTCGTCGTCTCTCGAACTCACACAGGCTTGCACGAACATGCTGCCGTAACTGAAGAAGCGACTTGTATCGCCCAGGGGCATCATGTTCGCCATGTCCGGCGTCTTACCCGGTGCATCAGCCAACATGGACCGTGACGCACTACCAGACAGAACGGCGGAGACGTCCGGGGCAAAGAAAGGGTATCGTAACCAAATGCTAGTATCCAGCTGGCTGGGGGAGTGTTCGTCATCGGCGAAAATAGCAGCGAGAATGTTGTTTCGTTTGATGGACATGGAGAGAGAGCGGAGGTGGTTGAGGATATTCTGGTGAAGGCTCAGAAGATCGACCAATTCCTTATCACCAGTAGTACTGGCCACTGCTAGGAGAGCGTCGATACCCATCGCGCCGTATCGAGAGAGTTCATAATGGTCAGGAACAATATTCTCGTTGATCCAAAAGGCTTTGCCCAGGTCGACAACAGCCTGTTTGGCGTAGGTCACAGGTGCCGTATTGCGAGAACGCGCATAAGATTCAAGCCGCGTCTTGCCCCGCAAGAACCACCACACCGAGGCCCGGATCCATTCTGATAGAGATGTCTCAACGATCGGCTTGACCTTCTCAGCTGCCATATGAAAAAGACTGTCGTATCTGCCGATATACTCTTTGAACTCGCTGAATGCGGTATCGCCGACCTGATTGGCAACTGCCCGCAGAGAAAACTTAGGAGGCTGAGGGCTTCGGGACGGCTCTCGGCTGGACCCGGTGGATGGAGAAGCAAGCTGGTTCATGGATGGAGGCTGGGGGCTGCGTGGAAGCTCTCGTGTTGGTGGAGGTGCCGCATGGTTTACAGGAGGCGCAGGTTGTGGCTCATGAGTGGGAAGCTTGAAAACTCCAGACGAGGCCTTTGCCGGGCTTCCAGGTGTAAGATTAGGAGGTATACGAGGATCGATAGGGCTGAGATTTGGTTGCGCGCGGTGGGCGACCGGGCTGGGAGGGTTGCGAATCGATTGCACAATTGACTTGACAGAAGGGGCGGAGGCCGAATAGGGTGGCGTCTCGTAGAGCGAATCATAAACCGACTCATTGGGACTTCTCGGGCTTTGCGAGGGAGGTACTTCGGGACTCGAGATATCGGTGTCATCATCCGTCGGGGATGTGATATCGTCGTCGAACCGGTGTTGTTGCAGCGCACGGCCTTCTTCCGCCTGCATCTGATCTCGGACACGCTCCGCAACTGAATGCGAGTCGGGTGAGCCTCGGAAGGATAGACGCGATCCGGGTTTCTCGATATGCAAGGTGCTGAGAAATTCCGTATCGTGTTGCATGAGAGGCGGCTTCCAGGTCGAGTTGGGGCTTGTCCCACCCCGCTGTTCCTGTGGAGTCGCAGCCCGGCGGGATCGCGGTTCACTATCGCCCAGCGATGTGTTGACGGTCAATGATGGTAGGTGCGAGCGCGATGGGTTTGGTGAGCGCGAGGGCGCTCTATGAAGCTGTTGCTCCGCTACCTGTCTATCGCGCGAGCGTTTGCGCGAGAAGGAGATCTCAATCGTGGGAGTATCCGTTTCGTCACCACCTTCTCCAATGACATCAGGAGCCCGATCCGAGAATACCACACGGAGACCCTTGCCCTTGCGTGGTTTATGAGGGTTTATCGGGTGCTGAGGCAGTTCTCGCGGCTGAGGCAGTTCCCGCTGCGGGGGAAGCTCTCGCTGCTGGGGTAGTTCCCGAGGATCAGGGGGCGCATGTTCCTTGAAGTTGAATGCGGCATAGCTATCGTTCAATGGAGACGGGATGGAGGGAGCAGGAATTTGGGCGACATCGTGGGTGGGAGGGATCTGGCGTGTCGAAACGGTGAGCGGGACATCTCTTGGGTCGGCCTTGGTGGCAGCAAAGTTGTCTGGGATGGGACGATTGGAGGCAAGGAAGTCTTGTATCTGCTGATCAGAGGTCGAGCGATCTTTCTTATCCTTGGAGAATAGCTTGCCTCTCCAGTGAGGCTTCTTTTCCTTGATGGGCTTGGGCTCCTCGGCCGCCAAAAACGAGAACGGATCACCGGCAGGCATGTCGATAGGGGTGAAGATCAGGGCGCGAAAGCAGAGAAACTGCCAGTCAACATTGCACGCCCAGGCGCGCTCAATTCCACGAGTCGTTGACAAGGAAACCAGTCCTCATCGAAATGTTCGCGGGCGACTGCGAGTCTGGCGGTAGTTTCCCCCTCTCCTTGGAAATCAAGTCCCGTTCAGTACAGTCAGGCACGCGACCAGGCGCGAAATCGGGTCCAAACAGGGGATGACCGCTGGAAAAGGGTTTTCTTGATTTTCAAAGCCCGCTCAACCTGCGCAGAGGAAGAGTGGCAGTGTGAATGAGGAGGAAAGTGTTGCGCGGCGGCGCAATAGCGGGGAAGGGGGGAGATTGGGGGAGGGCGCTTCGGCGGTGGAAAGTAGGACTCTTGTTGAATACAAGGGAGTATACAAACCCAACACACACAAAAACCACCTGGGATCAAGCACCGACAAGGATTTTGATCTCGTAGATCCTCGAGGTCAAGCAAAGAAAGCGAGAAAGAAAGAAAAGAGGAAGAAGAAAGAGATCAACACAGGAAGGAGGGGCTTAGGTAGCGCCCGTGCCCTGATGAACCAACTAAACCAGGAACAGCTGGACGAAACAAGGTGTTAGTTTGGAGATATCGGGACAGTCTGTAAACTCGTGGTGGAGACCCCGATTATCCCTAAAGGAACAGGCACGCTATACTAGGATATATATTAGGGGGTAGGGCGAAATAGGGCAAGGGGGCTTGAACTTACTTGAGAGGAGGAGGAGGAGGAGGAAGAGATGACAGGCGAACCTTCAGAGTTCAAGCCAGGGGGGCCAAAGGGGACAGTTGACAATGGAGCTGGGCCAGCAGCCGTGAGACTTGGAGTCTGTCTTGAGACCTGAAAAGCTAAGAACTGGAGAAGAACCCAGTTGGGGGTGGAGAGAAGAAGAATGTCAACCAGAGTAGTCGAATAGTCACTGGTTATGGTTATGGTTATACATGGTTCACTGTTCACAGTGTTAAGAACTTAAGGGAAAAGAGCTTGGATACTCCGCAAGTACACCAACCCACCCGCAGTGGAGCTAACAAGTACGCAGGTCACTGACGGGTACTGCCTCCAATCCTATTATCTTCGAGGGGTCCATAATTAAAGACCATTAGGGCCAATTAGGGCCAATTAGGGGAATGGATTGACATGTACAGCCACTGACGATAACCTGCGTGAGGGGGATGATCATAATTGTTGTAGTATGAGATACTGTAGGGAATAGTAGATTTAACAATACAGCTACTCAATATCAATGAATACAATATCACAGCACCCATATTCCATCTCAAATACTAATCTATCACTTCTCTTCTTCTTCTCTTCTTCTCTTCTTCTCCTCCTCTCCTCCCAAGTTCCCAAATTTCCTCCTCGGCCACTTCACCCAAAACCAGCCCCACAGCCCGCCCGCAGAAAAGCGCTTCACAGCCAACTGGATCACCCAATCACCGTGTGCCCCCTCGACGGGTCTCATCGTGAAACTCAACTAACCCGATTGTAGAGGCGCCAACAGGGGGCCTCGGCGGGTCCCGCTGACGAGTGTGTCGGCTCTCCCTGAGGATCCTTGGATCATGTGCCTTTGTTACCACGACAATCCACATTGGCCAGTGGCCACACTGACAATCGTCGGCTCCATAGATCGAGGGTCGTGATCATGATTTTACGGGAGCCCCGTGGGTTTACACGTGTACACTATATTTACAAGTATGTACTGAATTCTTTAAATAGGACAAAGTACTATCTATAGGGATTAGAGACCAGATGTTGGATATTACCTCTAACAGGTCATATGGAGTACAATTAACAGTCCTCGGCATTTCCATCTATGCATTACGCATACTAATTCCTATCCCATATCAAATATTTCCTCACAATAAAACTCAATTCATTTCCACTACCAGTGCCACTGCCACTGCCATCCCCAACCACAGTACAGTACCGTAAATCCCGAGGCCCTTATCCCCAATCCCTACCCAGTGATAATTATCGGCCCGGCCCAAATCTGTCACTAGGCAGTTGCAGTTCAAACCAAAACGCTAACCAGCCACAGCCCGGCTTGGCCCTCTGCTTGGGGCATGATCCCTTATACAGCCACACCCTGTCCGTCACTCCGGCTTACCCCCTTCGGTCTTTCCGATGGCGCCCATGCCTTACCACCATGGTCAACGCAGGGGATAAAACCAACCTCCACGTCTGGGAAACTGTCAGCACCTGAATAGCCCGAGCATGCTCCGAACTACTGAGTCCGTTGATTGGGTGACTGTCATTTCTACTACAGTATGCTGGGACATATTTTGCCCACTTCCATCGGGTATCGCTCAGGGTGTTCGGTTGGTATGTAAAATGTAAAATGTAAATCAATGGGTCCAACTCTGGTCTTTTGATTGGTCACTGTCAGATAGAGCCTTGTCTCTTTGCCGATTGACGGGGATACGGTCCAAAGTATGTATCTGCTGAAGTACAGAGTACAGTACCGTCCGCGACACCGCTACATTGTCGAATGCCGACCGAAGAAGTTCTAGAGCTTGCCTACGACGATCAAAGACTATTCCTAGCATCAGTTAACTATTCTAATTCCAATATCTACATCCGTACGACCGCGCGCGTACTCGAAATACAGTAGTGGCTTATCTAAAAATATCCTCATCCTCGCCTATGCTATCAAGCTAAGCTACGCCTTTCACTCACATAGGGCACGCCGGGTTTCACCACACCAGCCCCAAGAAAAAAGAGGCGTTCTCCATGAGCTGCGTCGCCGTCTGCAGCGAATGATCGTCCGCTTAGACCACCCCGCAACCTAAGCTTGGGTTGTCAACTATCCCGACGTCTAAAGGTCCCCACCGAACCTATCGGGACTCGGCGTAGGGCTGGCTCATTACGGAGTAGGTCAGAGTGTGCTAATTGCTTAAATTGTACAGTAAATGTCAATCCCGTAACCCGTTAGGCTTAGGCTTGATTGAAGCTAAGTTTGAACGAGGCAAGTGACTAAAAAGAGGATACTGTTTCTGAAACCTCCGTCGGGGTGGTTAAGTGTGCGGGAATCTATAAATAAACTGGTTCGGTTCGCCGAGGTGGATGTTTCAGGTCGTCCGTAGTTGAGAGGGAAGATTTGTGAGACAAGGTCTACCATCTATACAAGGAATTATTCGATCTTCTTCTACGTGTGACTCCGGAGGCTATCTGAGGACCTTTCACGAAGGATCTTTGAGATCACGGGTTGTACACGGGCATTCAGCCTGCCCGGAGTCCGAGGGGCTCTAAACCCACCCTAGATTTTATCGCATCAACATTATACCTTTGATTGTACTCTCAGACCGTCTACATTTATCTTTGACCGACCAAAAATAATTATCCCAATTTCCACCAACCTGTCCTTACCACAGACTCTAACTCACCACACTTAGATAAACCCTAACCGATCGGCCCGAAGCGCTTAGTCTTCCCCGTGTGATAGGGATCCCGACGTGTACCGTGCTCAGTCTGTACATGACTGCAGATACCACGCATTTCCATCATCAAGGCGAAACCAAATAGAATATCTCCCAGATCCTTCCTAAATAGACACTTGGATCATATACTGTAGCTCTTGCACAGATCTATGCTGAATTCTATGACTGTAGTGACCAAAATCGAGCCTTGCCTAGGAAGCAACAAGCCTCTCTATCCTCCAAGTACACGCACAATCCAGACCATGAAGTATCTTCACGCCAATTTCAAAAATTTTGTCTCTATAAAACCATATTGCTGGACAAAATGACTGAACACGTCATTAGATTGGCTGAGGGCTACCTACGGTTGTGGGCACTGCCGCGTGAAATATACACGTTGCAAGAGAGCTCCGAGACGAAACATGGCCACCTTCCGGAGAGATCTCCCTTTGATACCTCACCAAAAATAATATATAGATGGTAATGAGTTGCTATATACCTTTAAAACTTATCGTGGCCGCTTTTTGAAATTGCACGGTGGCTCGGACATGGCTCACAGTGACTCGACAGATCGTTGTGCCCTGCAACTCGAAGACCCGCGCACTGATAGACGCAGACATTGTGCTGCGAGGATCCCAGAAGCAAAGTCGATCAAGTCCGATATAAAGGCGAAAAGGCTGGATGCCGAGGCCCATTCGGAGGATGTAAAGGCGAGGGAGTATTTATTGAGGTCGTCGCGAGCGAATGCAAATGCCTTGCTTGATGGGTCTCGGATCGGGATAATGAGGGAGCTTGGGTTTAGTTGGGGATTTTGTATTCGATGAATGGAAAATGGCGCAATTTGAACGGATAAGTATCACTATCCTAGGGACTGGGTTAGTATGAGGATTAACATGAGTATTTGTGAGGGACATCTGGAATGATGCATAGATGGATGAGATGTTGACAGGGTCACTTCCAGCTGAAGGAGGCTGTAATTCTGGTTCTTCGAGTATCAGAGGATCAGTAAACGCCATCCTCTTCCCGCTGTGTATAGATCTTGTTCTCGGGCCAAGATGAACCAGTATTTTAGGCGTCAAACATCAACCAAGCCCGAATCGGCGGCTTCTACACCCTTGACACAGCCGTCCATCGGTATAAAAACCGCGATCTCGAAGTTGACTTGGCCGTGGTGACCCCCATTGTCAAAGACCTAGGGCTTATGAGAGTTTATGAGCCGGCATGGAAGGGATTATTTGTGAGGCTGACGCGGGGCGAGGCAGAGTGCAGAGACCAGTCACCGGACAGGCGTTGAAGGGCTTGTAGATTCCATTATTTGTGGAGGCTGAGTCACGATTTGGATGAGAAGAGAGGCCGGCCGGGGCATTTGACTGGATATAAATGGAGATGGCCTTGATGATGTTGTTGAGAAAGAAGAAGGATAAGGCAGTCGATAATTCGATGGAGGTAGTGTACGGCTTAGTTTGTGGCTCGTATAGACCAGGGAGGTATGCGCCTCAATGGGGCTCTTAGGCTTCCACGTCAGCAGGGTCTCGTATATGTTGAAAGCCCGTCATTTTAGGAAGAATACTTGTTATTTAACCGGGTTATACTCATTGTTCTTGTTAAATTGAAACTGGCCTCAAAGATGGGTTGCTGGCTGATTCACGGATTAGTAAAAGGTGACTGGAGATTACGACCAGCTGCAGATATTGATAAAAGGACATACAGAACTTCGTTAGCTGCAAACTCTTTGGCACTCCTTTCAACCCACGTAAATTACGGGACAAGAATTGTCTCATTCGACATGGCTAGGGCGTCCATCAGCTTTCCATGCAGCACTGTGTGTCCGGATCTCAGCCGCTAGTTTTACAAAATTCAGTCACGGTACTCGATGTAAACCCATCAGCCTGTGCCTGATCTAACCCGAGCTAATTCCGAACCCTAGTCGCAACATGGCGCACCTGAAAACTACTACTACTTCAGTAAAACCAGGCTTCTTACCAGCTCCGGTTTTCCTCAATTCGGTGAATAGGCGACCAATTCAATCAGGGCATCATTGGGCCAGTGCCTACTCCGCTCGCTGCAGGGTCTCCTAGCAAAACGAGCTAATATGACGAGAATATCAGGGCTATCAGGACAATCATGCCTATCATGACCCAGCATAAAGCTATCATTGGCCCGCCGCATAGTGAACTAGCGTAGCCAGCCACAAGAAAGCAACAGACAAGACCACACTCCCCACAGATGCCCTGAGACAGGGCCAGTGGCCTCGCACAGAAAACGCCGTATCGACGTTGTGGCGGGTTCAATTTCCTTTTTTCTGGGCTGAGCGAGAGCAGGTCTCATCTGGAGCGGTAGGCGCCGACACCGGATCGGGAGAGAGAAGAGAGTTTTGTTTTCTTCTTGGTCTGTTTCTTTTTTCTCTGGAGAGTTAGGATGAGCATTGATTCTGCAGAGAAGTTGAGAGCGTGGAGTAGATCAGCATTGGGTGAGACAATTGGGATGGACTGAAACAGGGACAGCGGAGACACCGAGTGGTCGTTCTGTTTTCCCCTCCCGTTCAGACTTTGTGCGACCATGCGATGCGATGGATGCTTATGGAGAGAGATGGATTTGAAGAGAGGAAGAGAGGAAGAGATGTGATATGGTTGTGGGGGGTGAAAGCGAGGGGGTTGAGAGAGGTGGACTCTGTATAGTTTGTATCGGAAAGGGCGGCCAGCAGGAAGAGAATAAGGCTGACTAGTGAGTTAACTAAGGGCGGGCTGCGTTGGCTATTTCGGGGGTGCTGGATGCATATTGCAATTGTACGAAGGACAGTCAAATAATAACTATTCTATACTACCATGATAGAACACAAATGTAATTGTCTATTTTCTGGATAATCCTACAATATATGCAGAATGCAAAATTGATATCATACTGTATCTGATTATACCTACCTTTCGTCTAGTTCTATATTTACTAACTGCACGTCCCAAACTCATTATTGTTCTCCCCCCGAATCTCCACCGGGCCAGACCCAACAAGGCGCAGCAACAACAAACCCCCGACTTTTTTTGGCCTCTTTTCTCCCCTGCACAGCTTCTAGCTTCTTGTTTTCTCTTGTCTCTTGTCTGTGGTCTCCTCCTAGACAAAACCTTTTGCCGGTCTTCTGCAGTCCCGCGAGCAGTTGCCTAGCCACTAAGCATTCTAGTACGGAGTACGGAGCAGCGAGTTTCTTGAGTGGCTGCCGAACTTACGTACCCAGGTGTTCGCGTTCATCATCCGAACCTCCCCTCCTCATCCTAAGGCTCCTCTTCCAGGGCCCATCCAACCCAACTCCGACATCCCCGATCGATTCCTGCTACCCGGCCCTTCTCCTCCCGAGAGGAACTGCTTACCCAGTCCCTCTACAACCGAGCTGTCCAGAATTTCTACCGCTTTCACCACCTCGCCAGCCCACTGTTCACAGCCACTCTCTCGTCCATAACCCGCCGACCGGGTCTTCCTTTCCAGTCCTGCTTGCGACTGCTTGTCCACCCACCCCCCACGCAAGCGTCTCCATCCTGGGAGGACGCGCACAGGTGGATCGCGAGAACCCCTGGCACTCTCCCCTGTGTCAACACAACGTGGATTCGATCATCCACACCGGGGGTTGACCTCCCCTAGGAGGTCATCCCGGATGCACGAGACAGACAAAATGTGTCACGACTCGACGCGCATCGAGCTAGACGCGGAGGAACCAGGTCAACCCGGCCCGAATGCGATAACGTGCGCGCGACATGGTGGGCTGTCCATGTCCCAGGGTCGTCGATGGCGAGATACCTCGAAACGTCGGCGGGGACGAGCATCCCGTCGATCGAGCTCCTCCGTCGCCTGGTGGATGGCCTTGGTGTGTTTGGTGTTATCGTGGGCCTCACCGGCTGCCGCTGCATTGTTGAGCTTTGATAACTGCTTGAGCGAAACGATATTGGATTCCAACCCGCTTCAGTTGCAATTTATTCCGCTCAACGTCTCTGTACATTTCAATTTCACCGACCCGCTACATCCGCTGAATGTTACGGTATACGGCAATGTGTCGGGTACAGCTGATGGTTCTCAAGCTCCCTCGTCGACGGATCCGTCCTGGAGTAATTCGAGTTCGACGGTGGGGAAGATCGTCGACGTGAGCGCCACTAATAACAAGTACAGCACATTGCTTACATCCTTTGATGTGCTGAGCTTCACGCCCTGGAACAATGCCTCGCAGTTCTGCCAACAGGTGACACAGGGCGAGTGTCCGCTGGGCCCAGTCTTCAATTACAATCTGTAAGTGTGGAATCGCCATCTCTCGGGGTCGAACAACTCGCAGCCCCATTCTGTCCAAGACTAACGTGTATTTTCTTTGCTTAGGAGTGACTTGAGCACGTTGCGAGCCTTCTCCGTTCAACATAACATGGTATCAACGTATCGCTTTTCTACGATCAACCCTACACTCATTATCCGATCTGGTGATGCCTCGGCGGCCGAGCTGGGCTGTATCACGGTCCCGATCACGCCGGACTTTGGCACGTCCCTTAAGAACGCCCTGGCGTATGTGCCTCTGGTGATTCTGCTGTTGGTGGGGATTGCTACCGTAGCAGCGGCGATGTATAGCCCGTGGGGGACGACAGATATCTTCCGATGGACAAGCAACTACGGCCGTGATGAAGACGTGCTACGGTTGGTGACGCCTGGTTTTGCGGATTGTCTGCAGTACCTGCAATACGTCGTCCTCACCGGTTCCCTGTCTTTGGACTACCCCGGATTTTTCCAGCCTGCGGTCAGTCACGGGTCCTGGTCGGTGCTGATGTTTAATCAGAGCTTTGTGAATCCCGACGGTGGCAATACCCCAGTAGTCGACGGGGTCTATGCGATCAATGGGACATATGGACTCGACCGAATGAACCAGCTAGTCGGAATGGCCTCCACTAAAGATATCTGGCCTGGTATGATGGTCTGGACGTTGGTCATTTTGGTAGCCATGACTGCCATCTGCCAGATCGGATTTGGACTGCGTTGGCTGCATCGCGAACTGGCACACAGCACAGAGCAAGATCTGCGCGCCAAAAACATGCCATTCACCGTTGGCAACGTCATTCGTATCGTCTTCAACTACCTTCTCCTTCCCATAGTCTCCCTCTCCTTCTTTCAACTCGTCATTGCCAAGGGGTCTCCTGCGTACAGCGTTGCCTTGGCAGCCTTGGTCATTGTAACCGTCATCTGCTTCTCCGTCTGGCTGGTTCGTGTTATCGTGTCTACCCGACCCAAGTCCCACCTCTTCGACGATCTTCCTACCGTCCTCTTGTACGGACCGCTGTACAATACCTACTGCGACGATGCCACCGCATTTGCCATGATTCCCATCTTTCTCAACTTTGCCCGGAGCGTTGGCATTGGAGCTCTCCAGCCGTCCGGCATTGCGCAGGTTGTCTTACTGGCCATCTGCGAGGTCGTTTCCGTACTGACCTTGATCGCCTTCCGACCTTTCCCTTCACCTACACATATGAATTTTTACCAGGGTATCTTCTCCTGCGTTCGATTTTTGACTATCATCATGAGCGTGGTGTTTGTCCCCTCTCTCACCGTGTCCGCCGCCGCGCGGGGCTGGATCGGCTATGTCATTCTCGTCTTGCACGCTTTGGTTCTTATCTTTGGTTTCTTCCTCAACGCGTTGCAGACGTTGATTGAAGTCTTGGCACGACTCGCTGGTGCTGGTGGTGCCACCCGTGGTGGTCTGGTCAAGGTCTTTGGAATGCGGCAGCTGTCACGGCGTGTGCCACGCCAGGATCTCACTCGGCAAAGCATGGGCTCCGAGGCAGCGATGCTGGCACATGCTGATGACCGAATGTCCTCCCAATTTGGAGATTCGCGGCCTCGCAGCTTGTCCGGGAGCTCTGCTCTCCTGCTCAACCGTGCAACGGCTAGCGAAGGACGTGCCAGCGCAATTCTTGACTACGCCAGTTCTCAGGGTGGCTCGCACAGCCGTGCCCCGAGTGGCAATCTATATGCACAGTCCCCTACTGCATACACCGGGGCTGGTGGGTATTCCAGCGGATCGCCGAATAGCAGTACATTTATTGCTGCGCAACCGCGTGATCCTTACTACCGACCGCCTCGCCCAGGACGCCGAACACCTCAGGGCTCCTTTGATCGAAGTATGCGAAGTAAGCGGAGCTCGAGGACATTCTTGAAGAGTCGTGGGCGTGATGAAGAGGACATCGGCGATGCGACCCCAATGTCTGGTCGCGGCACGCCCGTGCCTGCATACTTACCCGCGCCGAAGGATGACATGGAGATGGAGGACACTGAGCAGCGAAAGGACTATGCCGTTCGTGAGGTTGACTTCTACTACCGTGTGCGCGGACCTCCGCTTTCGCATACCGGTACAACTCGGAAATTGAAGACTGGACCCGCTGATCCTACCGGACCCGTCTCTTCTGCCACTGGCTGGTTCCGTGGCTTGTTCCAGGGCAAGACTAAGGACAAAGGTAAAGGATTCGAGGTTGTCCGAAGTGCTCGGGCACCACCTCCAGGTCTTTTCCCAGGCGGCGATTTCAATGAGCCCTACCATGATGACCCGCAGGCGGAAGATGCCGCGGCCGGTGGCCACTCTCGGAATGTATCTGCGGGCGAGCCTCCATATCGTGATTCTGAGGGTGAGCAGGGTGGTGAACATGGCGAGCACGAACAAAAGGGGTCTGATGAAGCCTCGGGGGCACCAGTCCTGCCCGAGGTCAATACTGTTGGTGCCATCGAGCTGCCTAGTCGTGTCGGATCACGTCGTACGCAAGCAGAATCTAAACACGGCGCAGACAATACCTTCTCAGGTCTACCCGCCGTCACAGAAGCATCCTCCCCGCTATCAAAAAGTGTGCACTCTCATTCAGATAATCACCTCCAACCCCAATCATCTCCCACAACCGCCCGCCTCCCCTTCAGCGGTAGCAGCTCGACATCCCGCGAGCGAGGTCTCTCCGTCGCATCCACCTCCGGCTCCCTGACCTCGAGTCACAAAACCGGCCGCGAGCGCAGTCGATCAGAGCGACCATCGAGCATGGGCTATGTCGCGCAGCACCGCACGCGGGATAACATCCACGAAGCTAGTCCCGACGAAACCTCCTTTACAGGAAGTGCAGCAGAACTCGTCGACGGACATATTCACGGCGACCACTAAAAACCCCCCCCCCCCCCTTCTCCTCAGAAATAATACTTCTAGTGTGTATACATGCAAAACACCATCTCACTTACAAACTTTATGAACTCCATCCGCCCTCTTTTTTTGCTTCTCTCAATCAATCCTGGCCCAATTCACATAGCTACAACACCCCTCCCCCACCACAACTGTATTCCACATTCAGGCGGATTAACCTCATTAATGTCCCGAATCACGAATTTCCTTGCTTGTCTACCCATTCCGCCATTCTTGTTTTGTTTCGCTTCGCTGTTGTTCTTCCTATTGAAACTGGTGCTTAGCTATTGTGACCGTACCTCGAATTCCGAACCCTCGATTTTTCTGCTTCAAAATTGCTGCGAGGCATGTTTTGTTCTATTCTCTTCGCCTTGTCTAATCATTGCATTCCGATTCCGATGTTTTCGTACCCTCACGTACAGTTGTCAGTAGTCCGCAGGGACCTAATTTTTTTTCTTCTTTGCTGCTCACCCCATCCATCTTCTTTTGGATCGATCTTGGCTGCTGCTGTGTGTCTTTTCTCTCTCTTGCTGGGAGGTTTGCTTTGGTTCGAGTACAGATCAATGGATACCTACCTGGTTTGGTTGGCTGCTTTGTCGGCTGATGAGATTCTTCATGGATTATGCTTTGTATTTGTAGTTTATCGTAGGAATCTCGTGATAAGTAGCGTTTCTACAAAAGCCATGGTGGGAGCTATTTCGAGGTCTCGACAGCTTCCTGTAGGGTGTCTAGATCCACATGGCTTCGACGTTGCATGCTGTTGTGGAACCGTAGTCTAGAGCTCTGGAGTGTATCCAACACAGCTTAGACAACCGAGCTAGTGTTGTGTGAAACCCTACTCCAAGTATTTCCGTACCTATCCATGGACAGGCCTTCCATGCTCGACAAAGGCCCGTCTTCATCATTTCCACAGCAATTGGACTCGATTCCCTTAACCAATGGCACTCACCGCCATTGATATCGCCTCCGAACTGCCACTCCCGGGCGGTGGCGACCTTCGGCATTGTTCTGCCGTATTCACCGCCCTCGATGCTCTCCGGGCCCCACTGATAAGGACGATCACTCCCGCACCCTAAACATCATCTCCTTCATCATCAACACGCTCCCCTTTCCCGTGAGGTAGATCACGTTCGATTCCTGGCTCAGCGGTAAGGTCTTTGTGACTCGGCTGCTTGAGGATATCTTCTCGTCCCACTTGATCACTGTTCGGGAGCTTGTGCCGCTGGAGGATACGTCACGAGACTCCGGTGACCCTTTTTCTTTTGGGCCTGATTGCGAAGTGACTGGCCACCGGGTGGTTGTGAGGGACATTCGCGCCCGTCCATTTGCACGGTACATTCAGCGCGAAAAGGGTGGCATCCAGCTAGAACCTGCTGGGTAGAACCTCGTTTGTTCGAAAAAGAGTGACTGTGTCTGGTAAGAGCTTCGAGTTGTTGCGTTTGGGTTGTTATCTCTTGAGATAACAATCACAAAACACCATGGTTGTTCGTTGTTGTGACAGAAAGCTGATAGAAGGCATCTCCACCTAGCCATCAACTGAGATACAGCCGCTTCTGCCGTATTCAAAACTCCAGAGTCTCTGTGGCGTCATCGATAACCCCTTCGTTCGCCCGCTAACACAATCGGCTTTGCATCGGACCATATCGCGCTGCAATTTCCATGACGGGAAGCATGCACTCTGGCTAGGCTGGTCCTGTTGCCCATGCTAGAGCAATACTTGCACTGCATCCGGTGATACATTCACAGATCCATCAAAAGGACTTCACGATGTCTGGCTCCAGCACCGCATCTTCAGATACCTCCATGATAGGCCAGGTGCCTTCAGAGGAAGAAATCATCGCCAATGCAGGCAGCACTGATGTATTGACTGTCGAACATGGTGCAAATTTGAACCGTCCAAGTACAAGGCCGACAGACGGACAGGCCGTGCAAATGCACACCTCCGAGAACGACCCTTTGCTTGTTTCTGGACAAACAATCTCGAATGATCATCCGCACGCACGAGATAGAAAGCGCCGATTGACAAGCAATAGCGATGCTTCCCGACTTCAGCGAACTCGTTCTGGCGGAGCAATCCGGCCGGATGCTAGTACACAGGCTGCATTACCTCATCGATCTGTCTCCATGGTTCTGCCGAGCTCGCGAGGTTCCAACTCAAAGGCGCCGGGCTCGTCATACGCAACGGCAATTGATATCACATCTTCACCGTCCGATGACGGCCGTTATGGGTCGATTGATCCTGCGGGCAGTGGACATGGAAGCTCCTCTTTCCGGGCACCATCGAATTGGTCCCATGCAAGTGACAATGGATCTCACCCGACAAGAATTGCTTCCAGATTCCAGCAAGACTCGAGAGTTGAGGAGTCAAGACATGTATTATTGTCTAGCGGCGCCTCGTCGACGTCACGCATGGCGGAAACACCCAATGACAGACCTGGCTTTCAGACATGGCACCCTGCATCAGAGACAGGTGTGCAAGCAGATGTCTTGATGAATTCAAAGAATAAAGTCCGTCAACCTCTTCCATGGGAACCACAATCGCGGCGGTCTTCGCAAGGCTCAAGTGGCGGCGCATGGGAGAGCTATGCACAAGGGAACTCGCATCGAGGAATTACTGGCCAGTATCCTGATAGCCAATACTCGAACAGAGGACCTGAAAGCACTCGCTCAATGACTATGTCAGTACAGGGAGCCGAGAGTCAGAGCTTCCAGCTTTATCATAGGGCAAATACCTTGGATGCATCAGGATTCCCAGAGAATAGACAGAGAAATGTCGAAAGCTTCGGATGGAGGCCAGAGCGCAGGGTTATTGATGGGAATTCCCCAGAAAGAAGGGTCTTTTCCGCGAGCTCGGGAGAAGCTTCTCGAGCCAGGGCCAATACAGACGAAAGACGACATGGGAGGTATCCAGAATATCAAGATATCGAGATGCCTCGGTGGCAGCCTGATGCAGAAGTCACGACTTGCCCGATTTGTGGCACCGTTTTTAGTTTCTGGTATAGGAAACACCACTGTCGGAAGTGTGGCAGAGTTGTATGTGCGAGCTGCTCGCCTCACTCAATAGTCATTCCTAGACAGTTCATCGTCCGCCCTCCCGATACTCCCAGCTCACCACCTTCATCATCTCCTCCTTCGCACCCTCCCGTTGTCGACTTGACCGTCGACGACTCTACTCCCGTCACCTCTCTCAACTCTCCTATCAACCCTGCTCTCGGAGGTGGTGAAAAAGTCCGCCTCTGCAACCCCTGCGTCCCTGATCCGAACCCCAATCCTCTGGGTTACGGATCTCCTCGAGCTCACGGCCATCGATCCACCCACTCGTTGACCTCCTCACCAACCTCCTCCATGGGTAACCTGTTCTCCCGGCCGGCGGTAAGTTCTCGTCATCCTCGCCTAATACTAAGTGATGCATCTGATAGACTAAACTGATATCTGATGAATATAGAGAGAGGAAGCTTCCTCTCGCCAGGAGCGAAGAACCGTGGGCGCCAACGACCGCCCCTCGTTCCTGCAAGGCCTCGGCCAGCCGGCCCGCAGATCTGTCTCTGGCGCTATGGCCAGCTTCGGTAACCGAAGCCGTATGGCCGGTACCATCTCCGTCGCAGACTTGTCTGCCGCTGCCTTCGCCCCGCCTCGAGACACCCAAGTCTCGGAGGAAGACCTTTGCCCCGTCTGTACCAGACGGTTCCCCGCGCTCAGCAATGAGCATACCCAGGACGCGCGCGAAGCGCACGTCCGCGAGTGCATCGCCAGCTATGGCGCCTCGCCTGTCCACCGTGAGCCCCAACACGTGGACCTCCGCCAGCCCCCGCCCCCGCCACGCCCGTCGCCCGCAGCCGCCCGCATGCTGCCATTCACGGCGACCGAGAAGGACTGCCTCGCAGAAGATGGCAGCGTGGCTGAATGCACGATCTGCATGATTGAGTATGAGGTCGGGGACAGCCTGGCCCGCCTCAACTGCTTCTGCAAGTTCCACAAGACGTGCATTGTGGAGTGGTTCGAGAAGAAGCCGGTGTGCCCTACTCACCAGGGTTAGTGGAATTTGGGAATCTGTTGTTCTTCAGTCGGAGTGAATGGTAAGAGAGAACGATTGTGGGATTGCAGGATGTCCTGCTGGGTTGTTCTGTTTTTGCTTTCTTTCCCTCATTTTTTCCACTCTAATAGCGATACCTGGGGTACTAGATTACCCCTAATAACGAGATCATGATCCTTGCCATTCTGAAATACTGTGTAGATGACATTCTAATCTAAGAGACTCGTACTTATCGCATGTTGAAGCAATATTGGGCGTGATTGTTGATTTGATCCATAGGTTCCTTTGTCTAGATGCTATTTTAGTCGTAAGTACTGCATATTTCATATTATCTTCAGATGAATGCAATTTGGGACGAATTCAAGTTAAAACAGTCTGATGATATTGACTCCCGCCCACTTCGTATAGAAGCAGGTCACGTGCCATGACATTGAGGGGGCCATCATTCGACACGAAAAAGCGTCGCAAGTCTCAAGGATCCAGCATTGTCTCTCGGCCCAGACCTTCCTAGAATCTGGGGAAATTAAGGTATATCTTTACTTTTCCCTAGCGCTTATCTCGCTAAGGCCACCATCCCTTTCACCCTCTGACATTGTTGTGCGACTCTGCACGACTTGCGCGTCGGCGGTCGGTGTTTGCCTCCGCCGTTCTCCGTCCTGACCGTTCCGCGGTGAGGCCCTGAGAAAGCAAGCTGTCCAGGCCGCGAAAAACAGCTTGAAGGAGAGGAAAAAGTGTGTGACTCGAAAAAGAAATTGTCAAAAGATATCTATACAGCCTTTTGAAGGTTATCGTCTATCAGGTAGTGGTTCCGGATCAATTCGTCATCTTGTTCCTGCAGGCACCGCATCCAAACTCGCCTGTGGAACGGGACGCCTCACCAGACGCGGTCATCAAGGATCGGTCTTTTACCTGCCGGATCCCCGACAGGAATTCAACATGGGGACCGACTACCCGGACCCCCCTCTCATCTCCCCAGCGAGTCGCGCAGCACCTATGGTGTATCCCCAGGCGATCGGGAGCATTTCGGCCTGGGGTCACGCCAGGCCGGCGGATCCAGCAATTCTGAAGAGCCGCACCTGGACATCAAACGGCCCCGCGCCTGCGAGCCCTGTCGCCAACTCAAAGTCCGGTGTGATATGGATCCATCGCGTCCAGATGGATCCTGCAAGCGATGCGCCAAAGCCGGGCGCACGTGTGTTGTCACCGCGCCCACGCGGAAACGTCAGAAGAAGACGGATAGCCGCGTCACGGAACTTGAGCGTAAAATTGATGCGTTGACGGCGACTTTGCAGGCTTCGCATAGGGGCGCGTTTGGGATGGAACATCCTGCACAACAACAGCAGGGCTCTTCGTCACATTCGCCTGAAATTCCTGGTCCAAGATGGCTGAGAGATGATCCTAATTTAGCGGGGAGTAAGCGCAATCATGATGGGCTTTTGGTGTCGCAGTATCCTCGTCAGGATAGTCCTTCTGCAGAGAAATTACCTCCACAGGCATCTTCTCGACAATGGCGTGTTCCGTCGGCGGATGAGACGGCACCGTCAAAGGCGGAGAATGAATTCGTTGATGTGATTGATAGAGGCGTGGTGGATGTCGAGTCCGCCCAGGCAGCATTTGAGCGATACGTAACGAGGATGGCACCAGAGATGCCCATGGTGGTCTTTCCACCAGGCACGACAATGGGTTTTGTGCGTCGTGAGAGACCGGCTTTGTTTCTGGCTATTCTTGCGGCTGCCATCGGCCCGTTCAAAAAGGATGTACAACTCAAGCTTTTGGACGATGTCTATCGCATGGTTGCAGAACGTGTGGTCGTTAAAGGCGAGAAGTCCCTTGAGCTTGTGCAAGCCTTGATCGTCCTCGCAGTTTGGTATATGCCTCCGGATAATCTCGAGGAACTAAAGTTCTACCAACTCGTTCATTTCGCCGTGATCCTGGCCATGGATCTCGGGCTGAATAGGCGAAAGGGTGGCGAGGACCGTCCGTTTAGTCGGCTACGGGAAGTGCTTATCAAAAAGCCCTTGGGCTCGCCTTTTGATATAAATGGACCCGAAGCGAAGCGCACCTGGATTGGTTGTTATTTCATGTCGGTTCAGTAAGTATTTCGCTCTACCCTTTACATGGCGGTGTACTAAATTTCATCAGAGTATCTACGGCTTTGCGGAGGATGCATCTAGTAAGGTGGCAACCCTATATGGAAGAGTGCCTGCACACGTTGGAAAACCACCCCGATGCTCTGCCTTCCGACAGGAAGATTGTCTGGTGGGCAAGACTTGGCCAGATTATAGAAGAGGCTAGTACACAGCTTCTTACAGATGATCCCCAGTCCGTCATCACTTTTGCAGACAGCAAAATCCGGTATGCAGTCAAGGGCTTTTCAAATCAGCTGGCCCAGTGGCGAAGGGAAGTGCCGGAGGAAGCTTATACCCGTAAGTTCGCGGCTCATGCATGATCTTCGAAGCAACGATAATTATTGACACCCTTCTTTAGTGACATTGGCCCATACTTATCACGTCATCAACCTTTTCATCCACGAAAGTGCGATGAGTGTTGATTGCAGGGACACCTGCCTCCCGAATTTGCCTAATAATGATCTTCCTCCCTCGATCCTTGCTCCTCTTATCGATGCAATCAGTACCTGCATCCATTCCATCCACCAAGCTCTAGACATCGTCTGCAGCATCGAGCCAGACCGTCTCATTTGCTTGCCGACAGTGGCTCTGGCCCGGACGTCTTACCCAGTGGTCAGCTTGATCAAAATATACTCGCTAATCGTGGCATCAAACACCCACGTGGGTCAAGTGATTGATATGAATAGTCTCAAGATTGAATACTATCTCGAGAAAGTCATTACTCACTACCGTGCCGCCGCCGCACGAGATGGTGGCAGGGCAGCATCAAAATTCGGAAATATCATCATGATGCTGCGAAACTGGTTTATCAAGAAGAGAGAGAATGGACCGGCGCTGAGAGAGATTTTCGGCACGGAGATGCAGTCAGATACACAGGGTGATAAACAAGCAGTAAGTCTTGCCAGACATCCCTCCAAAGAAGCCTCTTCTAACCGACTATGAAGAATCAGCCAGGAACCACACCCCTCCATCTCCTCAGCGAAGTCGCAATGGGCGACCCCGCCAACCGCACCCCATCAACAGCATCCCAATCACGCACCGGCCAAGAAAAAATCTACACACCATCAACATACGGACAAACCCCTACCCAACAACCAGGACCGCCAACCTACTCCACAGACCCAAACCCAGCAAACCCACCCAGCCGAATCCCCTCCCGATCAGACGCAACCCCCTCAAGAACACCGTGGACATCCACACCCTCCTTCTCACCCTCTATCCCCTCCAACTCCGGTCCCGGGTATTACCCATCATTCACAACCCCAGACCCAACGCAGGGATACCCCGGTATGCAATCCTTGACTGGGCCCAGTAGTCAAGGTCAACCTGGATCTGGATACCCGGATATGTCGAGCATGGGCCTTTCGATTTCGCAGCCCATGGGTATGGCGCCGGAGTTGGGTATGGATGTTACGTTTGATACGGATAATTTGTTTGCGTTGGGGACTATGATGGATGAGGGGTTGTTTTCGTTTCCGTTGGCTTTTGATGGGGACTTTCAGTTGTAGATTGAGGATGGCCTGAGATGATGTATATAGGTAGTTGTGTGGGGTTTGAGGTGGTCGGCTTGTTTGTTTGTTTTTATACCCTCTCATCTGTTGAATGGAAGCGATGTTGTTCATTTACCTACAAGTCTCTCATTGAAGATTGCTTCCATTGCCGTCAACCGGCAGTGTTTTGAAATGATTGAAAGATGGCGCAACCTTCGGTATGCAGATCAGACTTGAAAATGAGACAGGCGTATTGAGATGCGGAGGAAGACCCGAGATAATAGAAAATTAGAGTATTTCGTTTTCGCTCCTGGTATCATTCAAACAACATCAAAAGGGTATATAATCTATTTTTATCGTGAATTTCCCTGCCAAGCATGAAGAATCCGTTGTTCAACATACGCCCACGGCCACCCATTATCTCTCTCCGTCCGGCGCAGCAAGTCAAACAACAAGTTCTGCGCAAGGGGATCGTCTATCCATGCGCTGCAGGCGCAGAGGGCATGACAAGCCATGATTCGCAGGGAGGGCTCGTCGTCGGCGGAAAAGGCGATGCCGAATAGGTAGTTTAGGTTTTCGGATATTTGTTCCTGGAAAGAAGAGTTAGATGGGCGTTATAAAAAGGTGGATGTTTGGATGGATGGGATGGGATGGGATGCTGGGTAATACCTTGACTTTGGCGCGTTGCTCTATGGTGTAATCGTATACTTCATATTCGCGGATCAGCATGAGTGCCTTGGCGAGACACACATGTTGGACCGCGGTAGCTGGTAACACAACTGGATTAGCATAGCTTCCATTTGATCTCCACAGTCTCCACCCAAATATAACCAGCACTTACAATGCCATAAAGTCGTATACCAAACCACAGGAAAAGGCTTCCCAGCCCTATGATCCGGCGGCGAAACATGCAAAGGCGTAAACGTATCCGCCCTGCCCACCTCCCAATCCCGAATCCGCTGCTTCAAAGCATTCTCCCCCGCGATCCCCAAATGACCCCCGTAATTCCGGCCGGAGACATTATAACAAAAATCAATAGTCTCGGCAAGGAGCCAGATCGCCCGGTTGACCCAGTCGCCGTCGCTAAGGACCAGCTTGGCGACCCACCACCGGCGCAGGCGGTCGTCGAATGGTGCAAATGTCAGCCGAAGACATTTCTGGTACGTAAGCGCGAACTGGATGTCTTGGATTACGAAGACCCAGAAGGAGGCCGACGCGAGGCCGCCGGATATCGCGCAGTCCACATGGGAACTGATATAGACTGAGCCTGCGAGGAGATGGCGCTGTGGGTCGTTGGAGGGTGTGTGGGCTTGATAGTGGGAGAGGAGGTTAGCGGAGTTTCAAATCAATCCACTGTGTGACCCGTGATGGGGCTTTCAACGTGGGGGCGAAAGTGTATCAAAGATGGATGGATCATACAGGAGATTTGTTCAAAGAAGCGCAGGATCACAGTCGAACTTAGAAGAATGTCGATTCCGATTTGAAACTCCGGCTTGTCAAGGACCGGAAGCATGATCGAGATACAACGTTCATGGTAACTATCCGCTACATCGGGCGAGATAGTATTTGCCGTTCTGGACAGATGACATGCCGACACAGCTAGACAGGCGTACAAAAGGAGTGGAGATTCATTGGCACGCCCGGCTACATCCGCGCAAAAGTGTCTTTCGGGATCACCGGCATCAAGCTAAGTAATTAGTTAGCAAAGTTAGCAACGGGCGCACGGTTCGCGAAAATAGGGAAATAGATTACCCATGGAGCGAGATGTCGTTGGAAATGTCGGAGCAGATAGGCTTCGTTGACATTTGCCAGGCGGGGAGTTGAGGAAACAGGCGTACTAGATGATCGAGGTGAATGTGCAGAGGTAGAACGCGAACCACCTCGCGAGTCTGCAATATAGAATGGAGCTGAATTGCTTGGCCCGGGTAGAGAAGGGTCCATGATGGATGATGGTGTAGATCGGGCTTCAGATGGTGATCTCGAGGCCAAATGGCCCGTCACTGGTACAACATGATACTCAGCTGCTGTCTGATCGGTCTCATCTTTGAAGGAGTCTGTGATGGAAAAGTTAAAAAATGCTTTGTCTTCGAAAGAAATTATTGCTAGACGGCTGCCAACGTACATTCGGACGAAGATTCCACCCAGACTTGGTCATTTGGAAAGGTCAAATCACTCTCCCCATACCTCGGGGGTCCCTTTCCTCGTAAGGACGGATTTTGGCCATGGCGAAACGAAAGCTCCTCTGACTTTCCAGGTGCCGGCACACATTCGCGGCCGGATCGTTGGCAGCGCATGCATTTTGCTCCAGTTTTGTCACCTAAAAGAGCAGTTAGTTTGATCTGTACCCGGAAAGCGAAGTAAAGTAGATCCTGGTATAACTGAACATACATTTCAAATGGCGCAGCCGACAGGTGAGGCTAAATAGTGTTCATCTGTGTTAGCTTTCTTTACTTCACCATTTGAGTATCCAAAGTAATCATGACGAATAACTGACCATCCCCTCATTACGCAGCAACGGAAGCGAGAACGAGGACAAACTGGGAAAGTTTCCAGAAAGAAAACATGCTCGGTATCCCAGACCCGAGGACACTAGGTAAATATAATCCAAGAACCTAGCCTTTTTGCCTTGAAACCCGAGAACCTATCAAAATTATTATCTACCCATGGAGGGAAATGTTTGATGGAGCACCCACTACCTTCGAGGCTAAATTCAACAGTTGCGGCGCGCGGAGAGAGTGGGGGTGTGTCTCTTTTGCCAGCATGACCCAAGAAAAAAATACAGAAAAAATAGAATAACACGGGCTGGTTGGTTTATGGGTCGATCATCATGACCATTGTCATGATTGCGCAGACATTTTTGGAGTAGCGACCAGACCTGATGCTGGTCTGTTCACCCTCTGTTGGAGATTAGCTCGACAAGAAGAGGAGCAAAGGCGCCGGGCCAAAGTGGGTTTTAGAATGGACTGGACTTGACAAGTTGAGATGAAATCATTGGCTCCTTACTCATACCTTGAGTACTCTCGCTGCGAGCACTAGCAGACGTGGCCCAGCCTTCCATCATGCCAGGTGCAACGCTCCCCACCGAGCCGCTGTTCTGACAGTCTCTGGCTGATTTTGGTTGGACGGCACAGGTACCCCACAAGTGCTGAACAAAGTTTTGAACTTCAACCCCCCGATCAAAACCGATCATTGCCCGAAGGGGCCAGATTTTAAGGTGCAAAGTTTTGGCCGAAACAGTGCGGTTGGCTTCGGGAACCCGGGCTGAAGAGGCAAAAACAAGCGAGTTTGCATGAGTCGAGTAGATATTCCAGAGAGTTATGATAGTACAGGAAAGGTGTTGTGATGATAATTGAGAATGAATGATGTTTTTGGCGGTGATCAATATGCTTCTGTTGAGATAGGCCCCCCTTTCGCATTCGTATTTCTAATTTTTGGGCTAAGCGGAGATTATGTGGGCACAAGAATAGACCCCATGGCAGTTGCGCGTCAATTCTGCAAATCTGTGTCGGTAATGGACAAGCTGGGCAACAGGGATCCAATCATAAGGAAGAGCGGCACGGCAAAGTCTCCGAAATGTGCTTGTCGGACATATGGCATTTATAAATCCGAGAAAGGTGGCACACGAGTAAGTTGGTCGACGAGAAAGAGTCCAGCAGGAGTCATCCCAGACTTTTCGGTTCTGAACCGCTGTCACAAGCTGTTGCTAAGTTAGTACTGAACAAAAGAGAAATATTGTTAGCTAACTAATATTTTGTTGACTGGCTAGTGGTCAACCAGCATTGCGACTTGCAAGTTTATCATCAAGCTTTTGAACAGTGGAAACACTAGCGCGGCAGCTTCCCATCCACTTTTCCTGTTTTGCACTCTCACCGAGGTGCTTCGTTGAGGACAGACACCGCAGACACCGCAGACACCGCAGACACCGCAGAATGGTCAGTACTTTTCTCGCCGCTCGGCCGGATGCTCTCCAAGTTCCTGAAAGTTCCTGAGCAGGGTCCAGTAACCATGTGGCGGTGTCCAAGATTGGTCGAAGAAGGCCGCAATCAAACAAAAATAAAGTACAAAGCATATACAAAACTAAAAGTCAAAACAATTGCCCCAGAGGAAAATGGCCACGCACGAGGCAAAGATGGTACTATTGGATCGGGGACGCCGGGATCGTCTGCTGTGCCTGACAAATCCCGTAGAATGTGTGGGGGCAAATCCATATGAAGTGAAAAAGAAAATTCGGCACGGTCAGCGATTTGCTTCGGGTTTCATTTCGTTGGACCCGTGGATCCTATAAGATGATGGGCATTGATTGGAAATGGTCAATGGGCGTGTACTGTATAACTACTCCGGACCCGTCGAACCCTGTCGATCTTGGAGGGGCACGATTTTTTGGGAAGAGGAGTCCCCGAACATGAGGACGTATGAGAAGCCGAGGATATGATTCGAGCAATTCCACGGAGAGGAGTCGTTGTTGTTTAATCTCCCCGAAGCTGCGGCTGCAGGGTAGAAACTTAATTAAGGTATCCGCCAGGACCTTCTAGGGACTCACAATGTGGAATCTAAGATTATAAATCGCAAATTATACCCGGGTCTGGCAGGCCAGGGTGCGTTCGTCCGTGGATGATGTGGGGATGAGTAGATGCCGAGAATTCCAGCTGCCTCTTTCAGCGATATGTGCCGAAGTCAAGCTCGAAAGGGTATTTGTTCAAGGTTCCAGGTGGGGAGAGGACAAGCGGGAGAAGAAATAACTTGAGACTTGATTCCGCCCGAGTTGAAACTTGCAAACTGCAACCTCTTCAACACAGAGATCAAAGATGTTCAAAGGTGATAAGAATGTTCCAACTTGTCCAACTTCTAATCAACATCCCACACACTAGGTCAGGTGACTTCTGACCAGGTGACCTTATCACTTATCGTGTAATCTGGTAACAAAACAAGAAAACCAAGAAAACAGGCCAACTTACTCCGTACATCTTGTATCTTGACTAAACCTCATCACATCATCTCGCATCATCATCTCTTATCTCTACTCTACTAATGCACACTACACTACACTACTACTAGCTTCAAATCACTAAAATACAACATGCCCATTTTTCCTGCTACACCCCCATTCCTCCCCTGATGATGCCCATGATCATGATCGTATAACCCAGCCTCAAAGATAACAGAAAATAACCTTTCTCTCCCTGTTCCTGCAATGTCCCTCCCACGCATCTCCTTCCTCGAAGGATGGGAACGCACCCCAGCCGCAGCCTTCCTGCGGGGTCGAACAGACGATCCTCAGTCCGACACCGAGTCCGACACATTCCATGACCTCCCCGATGATGCATCAATCGCATCCTCGTTCCCGTCCACGTATAGCAGACTCAATTTCAATCCCTATGCGGGTCCTGGATGGAGCGAGAGTGCCGTTGACGATCGCGACGATCGGCCCTCGTTGTTGGGATCTTTGGGTCTTTCCCCCACGACGACACGGGCGGAACCTGAGCGGGGTCAAGGAGAGTCCCCGACGCCTCCTGTGGCAGTGCTGCACAAGGAGCCACCTTGGTTGTCGGATACGCTGGGCGCTTTTGAAGTGAGCCCGGCAAGACGAATCGGTATGCCGATGGGAGATTCGTGAAGGTGTATGATGTAGATGGTGTTGTTGCTGATGTGTTATTAGCCCAGGTTTGCTTGGCAGTTGTATACTGCTTTCTCGCTGCGGGTGTCGTCTTCGGCTTTGCGGCGTTGAAGCCAGTTCTTATCAGTGAGCATGTATATCGTAATCTTTGCTCCCAGGAGGAGCTTGATAACGATGTCGCGGTCTGTGACGGGCAAGAAATCAAGTATGAACAAGCTGCGCGACAGCTAGATTACTTAACATTACTGAACCAATGCTGATCTTTCTTCCCAGGCTGAACCTGATGTTTACCATTGCCGCCGTCGTCACCAACGTCTCAGCTCTGCCCGTTGGAACCATCCTCGATGCCTACGGCCCCCGAGTCAGCGGCATCATCGGGAGTATCTTCCTCGCCCTGGGTGCCACCATCTTCGCCATGGCCAAACAATTACCCTTTGACGGGTACATCCCAGGATACCTCCTTCTCTCTCTCGGCGGACCATTCGTCTTCATCTCATCCTTCCAACTATCAAACACCTTTCCCAAACGATCAGGACTGATTCTATCAATGTTAACCGGCGCCTTCGACGCATCCAGCGCACTCTTCCTAATCTTCCGCCTATTAAACGAGTCCACGAACGGACTCATCTCGACCCGAACTTTCTTCCTGACATACCTAATCGTCCCCGTCTTCATAATCGCCATCCAACTAACTATCATGCCATCAACTTCCTACAAAACAGCCGGCGAACTAGTCCAACAAGCCTCAGCCCAAGTCGTGGATGAACTCCACGACCGCGTCGACGAGCGAATCCACGACCGAAACGAAGGTGAACGCCAACGGAATATCCGCCGCGAACACCGCCAAAGTATCGTCCACCAAATCACAGATCTACTAGACGACGGTACAGCATCGGTCGTCTCAGCGGCAGGAATAAACGACTCGGTCTTTAATTCCCCACTCCGCCCAGCAAGTCCACTCCAGGGAATGAACAGCCGTGGCCAATCCCCCAAACCAAACATCAACACCAAACTACTCTCCCAACCGCAATCCCAACCCCTCCCCCCAAACCAACCAAACACCCACAAAAGCGGCGTCTGGGGCGTCCTCCACGGCCACAGCGCCCTCTCCCAACTCCGCACCCCCTGGTTCATCCTAATAACCCTCTTCACAATCCTAATGATGCTCCGCATAAACTACTTCGTCGCCACCCTCCGCTCCCAATATACATACCTCCTCCACTCACCCGCCCTCGCCGCATCCATAAACAGTACATTCGACATCCTCCTCCCGCTCGGCGGTCTAATCTCCATCCCGTTTATCGGCACATTCCTCGACACTTTCAAAACCAGCACCGTCCTAGCCATCCTCGTGGGAGCAGCAACGCTTATCGGGGGTTTGGGGTGTATTCCGAATAATATCCCCGCGGCTTACGCAAATATTTCTCTCTTCGTGCTGTATAGACCGTTTTATTATACAGCGGTGTCGGATTACGCGGCCAAGGTCTTCGGGTTCCAGACTTTTGGGAAGGTGTATGGTCTTATTATTTGTTTGGCGGGGGTGGGCAATTTTGCGCAGGCGGGTTTGGATGCGGTTACGTTGAAGGGGTTTAACGGGGATCCTGTTCCTGTTAATGTGGTTTTGACGGGGTTGGTTGGGGTTGTGGGGGTGGGGTTGGTTGGGTATGTTGGTTGGAAGACTGTTGTTTTGAGAAGGGAGAGGGATAGGGGTGTGGTTGAGGAGGATACGGCGAGTCGGAGTCAGAACCAGAGTCACAGTGGGGTTCAGGGTGTTACTGTGAGAGATTGGGAGAGACAGCCTCTTTTGTCTGCTGGTGTGGTTGGTGATTCACAGGGACAGAGGGGTTATGGTTCGTAGAAGGGGATGGATGATATGGGATACAGCATGACCGTTATACAGTGAGATGCTTCTCAATTCTACGGGGTTTTCATTCTGCAGAGCGTACATAATTGAAATGAAATGTGATTTTATATTCGTGAATGCATTATCTCTAACGTGAACAGAACCGGCTCGGTGAGAAGTGAGAGGTTCCACCAGGGAAGGTCATGAGCCGAACTGGCACGGGTGATCCAAATGTGAATTCAAGTTCAATCGAGATCCAAGACAGACGTAGCACCGAGTATGTACCGAATTCGAGATTTTGGAAGATATAGTGCACTGTGTGGCGAGAGAAAAGGGCGATGTGGAGGGGTCAGGCAGGATGAGTTTCCGTAAGTTCGTTCGAGTGAAAGATTGAATTCATGGAGGTGGGGAGAGAAGCTGATGATGAGGGATGCTTTAACCACAAATGTCGCTTTGGCCGTGAGAAAAGAAGGCACACAGCAGGCTGGATGAGCTCAAGTCACATATGTGCATGATATGTCCAAGTCCCCGGACAGAGCAGTGCCAGGTTGAATAGCGTCAGATTCAAAACTTCCGTCTTGTTCATGTCGAGGCAAAGTCAAGCTCGGAGGCGCTCACTCAATAACATAAGAACTCTGAGCCTCCACAAAGAAAGCTTCCCCCGCCTCATCACAAGCAATATCATACCAAAGCATAACATCCATAGCCCGTTTCACATCATTCCAAGCCGTCAACCCCGTCCTCCTCGTAACTTCAATCAACGCAGACCCAAAGAACGCCCGTTCAGCCGGACTATCCCAAGCCGCAATACCACCCAGCGTCAAGACCCAAATCAGCAACACACAGTGATTCACGGACGTGTACATCTCAGCAGCCTCCGGCCGTTTCAGCACAGCCTGGAGTCTCTGCGCTAAACCCGGCAACGGGGTATTATTTGCCGGAATGGGGAAGACGACGCCGACGGCGAAAATCAGCATTGCTAGACGACATGCTTCGTAGGCGGCTTCTTCGATGGGTTGGGAGAATGTGGATGTGGATGTGGATTGGAGGTCTGCCGCTGGTGGGACGGAGAGGAGGGTGTATTGTGTGAGGTTGCGTTGGTCTGAGAGGAGTGAGACGTCGTGGCTGGACTTCATGCAGGTTTTCATTATGTCGACGTAGGTTACTGCGGCGGTCATGGCTTCGACTATTTGCGGGGTGAGGCCGAGTTGTTCTAGCCAGCGGAAACTGTGGTCGATTTGGTAGGGGCCGAAGCCGAGGAGGTCTTGGATGGAGAGGTTGCTTCGGCTTTCGTCGATGGCGCAGAATTCGAAGCCTGGGGCGATGCCGAAACAACTTGCTGTCATGATGTCGGAGCTGGAAGGGGTCAGAGTTAGTAATGAGGACATCAGGTTAATGTGATATTCTCATAGGAATCACTTACAAGCAGATTGTCGGACGCAAGCCGTGGAGCTTAATATTCTTTAATCCACCACGCAACTTCAACAGCTGCACCAGCCCATGAATATGGATCATATTTGGAGGCAGATGACCATATACATCTAGCCATTGCAAACGCTGGAACGGCGGGGTGAACGGCGTCTTCCGATATTGATCGGGACTCTCCTCGAGTGCTTGATGATGGGCCATACAGATCACACTAAGGAGAACCGCATCACTCACTGCACGAGTCGGATCCCGCACAGCCTGGCTGATCAACTTGATGGATTCCATCTCACACTGCTGCAAAATGCGCTGCTGCTTGGGTCCGAAAGTTGACCCCGGAACCCAGCCCTTCAACCACTGGACTCGCTGATGGCATAATGATCCAAACATGAATGCCGTGAAGAGGGCTGGGTCTGATAGGGAGAGCGGGAACCACAACTCGCTGGCTTTTTTCTCGTGGCTTGTTGATTTGGGTATAAGGCCTGGCCATAATACGGATATACCTAGAAGAGTTTGGTTAGTATTCAATGGATGGGTCATTCCTTGTTTCTTCGACCGTTGATATCCGGGGAATTCGGTGATACGCACAATATGATTCACACATATTTACTACTTCTGGCGCAAAATTTGATGGGTGTTGTCCAAAGGGATCCAAGAATCCCGAGATTACCGGCTCGATACGGGTCACCTCATTCCATGGGATAACCGTCACGGGTTCCCCAAAGTTGGTGACCTCGGCCGCATCATCACTACCATTGCATTCACTGCTATCGTTCAGTTGCGAAGTTGCAATAGATGATCGTGGCTGCCAATCGCGCTGTGGCGGGTGCGAAGTACTCGCCCCGATAGTCAGCGTCCGCTGCGCGACATACGGAGGCGGACGCGATACAAGAGGAAACGACGAGGGACCAGCATTGTCGGTGCTGGTGCTGGTGCTGATGGAAGTTCTCGAGGAGCGAGGAGCGGATATAGAAGACTGTTCACTCGCCGCTGAACGGTCTTTAGTTTGATCAGAGATCCATCTTCCAACATGAGCGCGGACTAATTTCTGCGCCTTGAGTCGTTCTGTCTCGGATGTTGGCCTTGCATTGACAAAGTGGATCCCGTCTCGTTTGCGGGTATTGTTCTGTTTCTTTCGGGAGGCCATGATTTGTATTATATCTCTTTGATCATGCCTAATCACCGGTGCAGGAGGGTGCAAGAATTGGAGCGCAAGATAAGGCGTGTCGGCATTCTGCGATTAAGCACGCTAGGAGGGTGGGTGATGGAGCGCGAGTGAGTGTTTTGAGGGGGCCGGTCGCGAGGATGACGGAAATCGGCCGTAGCTTTTTTGACACTGACAGTTTAGGCTCAATTGGGTAGGAAGAATTGACGATCGGTGAGTGGGTGGGCGGATAAACGGAGGTGGAAATGGAATGATTGGGGTAAATAGGGGGGGGGGGAAAGAGAAAGCGAAGGTTCGCCTTATAGGCGGAGGTGGACCATGATGAAGAGCCAGAGGATTAAGAACGGAACAGAAGATGAGGGGGGGATGCTTGTGTTTTTAAGAGATGGAACTAGGCCAGGACCCAGTTCGGTAAATGGTTAACGATAGCAGAAGAGAAGTGGGGAATGACAATCTGGGAGTTCAGTCAAAAACGAAAAGGATAAGATGACAAGGGATGGTAATTTGAATGAGATTTGACAGATTGACAGATTGACAGGCGGGAACATTTGCGCAAAAACCAAAAAAGAAACCGACGTGGAGATTCTGATTCTCCCGGACCCCGTGACCAGCGCAGATCAGTAGAAAACACACCAGAGAACACAGTGACAACTAAACTGATCTACAGTCCTACACTACGACTGTACTTTTTACAGTGGTTAATCAACCTATCAATTTGACTGTTCACCAAGCTAAATGACTTGCAGCCTCTCATTTCGTCCCTGGTTCGCGTCCTTCTCCTAGTGGATCCCGCCCATCCCAGCATCCAGCATCCGAGCATCACATTTTAGCGCCGCATGGGGCCACCTGCTCTTCGCACAGCGCCCAACCTTCGCACTGGCCCAGTGGCCCTGTTCTCCATATTCCGTGACTTGTGTCCCAAGGTTCGCCTATGATGTTAGTCCCTTCCCCGCCTATAATCACTCTCTACAAAGCTACACTACTGTAACAGCCACCACAGTATTAATCATGGGGGAGACCGTCTCCGCCCCCAGCCAAATGCAGGTGGCAAGGGCAAGCTTTGCAAGCTTTAGTCCTAAGGCATGGCATCTCTGGTTCTAGTTCCCAGAGAAGCCCGGAGAAAAAGACCATGGCAGGATGGTTTGCAGGTTGCGAGATACTTGGGACCTGAATACGAAGTTTGGCCAAGGAATTAAATTCCCTCTTCTGCTCGCTTGTGCGGATCAAACTACTAGTCTTCCGGGTATAAGCGCTATGATTGGATCAATCTGGTCATTCGATGCTCAATTGCTCACTGATTAGCCCCCTCTCTCTCCTTCACCGACCCGCCATGACGGGACTGATCACCGATCACTGATGAACAGGAGTTCAAGCTCGCTTGGGAGTCGGCCTAATTTGCCTGTCATCATTCGTGAGCGCAAAGGCGGTCTAACAATACACTAAAGACAGGCTATCTATCCAGGTTCAAATCATGAATATTATTGTCCCAAACTCAAGAGGCCCAGACTTCAACCGATCTCCCTAAAATTCAAAGTTTCAAACACGAGGCCCATGGGCCCCAGTTGCTCTTCCCCGCGAACCCAGCGATCTGCCCAGTGCCTCTCAACTCTCTCTCCTTGAAACACGGGGGAGAGACTCTTCCATCACCCGTGCAAAAAGCTGGTGCCTCTGTAATCACTAACCAGGGCTCCAACTTCCCGCTCTCTTTTGGTGTGATACATCCACTACTAAATCAACACGAGAAAAACCTTAATTCCAGCCTAGAGCAATCTAGACAACTACAAATAGTAGACATTATTATTCTCACTTTCATATACATACTCCGTAGACCTACTGACGCTACTGTAAATAGACGGATTACCAGTACAAATCACGATCGGATAGATTATAATTTTCTTATTCGTTGCAAGGACCCTGAAAAGGTACTATATACAGTACCTCTCCATCGGATCCAACCAGATAACCATGACAGGATCATATCTGCAACATGACCTGACACCGCCGATCATCCCTCAAGATCCTATCCTATCATATCCCATACCATCATATCCCGCTTAAACGAGCTGCACTGTCACTGCTAAGATACACTCAATCCTCCCGAGAAACGAAAATCCCCCGTCGATCTCATGCAATGCATCGGTGCCTTGGGATAAGTCTGTCTGACTCGATGATCAATCTTCGATAGCCTACATTCGATGGGTTTCTCGGCGCGTAGAAGGATTCAACTTGCATAAAACTAATTCCCGCTAAAAAGAAAAGAGGAAAAGAAAAAGAAGAGGTCCAATAACCAATTCCCTGGGTAGTTGTAAATGGAGGGATTGATTATCAACGCAATATTATTCAACAAACTCCTTATGTACAAATGTATGTACAAATGTACTGTGGCCATTTTGTCTCTGGTGTATCGATGGATTTCAAAGCCCGACTCGATCTGGTTTGATCTGATCTGACCTGATGCCTGCCTGGTAGGGTTGTGACAACCAGTTGCAGCAGGCCCCGCTTCAATTTTGCGGTGATCGGGGAAGTCGAGTTGCACGGCAGGACTCGCGTGATGAGATCTATTCGTGAGCTTGTGAAGGGATTTTTTAGGGATACATGGTAAATTAGATATCAGAGATGAGCTGATTATGAAGTAATCGAGGTGATACGGTAGTAAATACGCATTTTCGATCGTTGCAATTGAGTTTACAAGCCCTGTCCACTATCGAAGCATACAGACTACCTTGAACAGCCACACACCTTAGACCCTCTCAATGATAGCCCTGCAAAAGGAAGTAATTTGGATATCACTACTCAAAAAATACACCATGCCTCGAGATCTACTCAATCAATCTCCAACAAAGTATACTTACTACTCACCCCAGTCTTCGGATCCCGATACTCCTCCAACGCCCTCTCAACAACAGCCATATACCCCAACACCTGCTCTTCCTGCCACCTCCTGCCCACAACCTGCACAGCAGTCGGCAAACCCGCCATCTTCCCCGAATCATAATGTTTCCAAGCACCCCTTGCAATAGCATGATCACAACCCACCCGCTTCAGTGCAGTCTTATACGGCGTAACAAGCGCATCCCTCACTGCATCAACATGTCCGACCGGCAAAACACCCGCAGAATAATCCAACAAATTCCACAAGAAGGTATACCCGCACGACGAGACAGCGTCATGCATAGCCTTATGCGGGAGAGCCGGTGTCGCGTTCGCAGGACAGAGGATAAAGTCGAATTGTTGCGGGGCGGCATCCCACCATTGATGCCAGACTGCGCGGTAGGATTCGCGCTTTGCGACGAGGGGCCATAATGCGGCGGAGGATTTGGGGCCGAAGTCTTTGATTAGAGTTGCGAGGACGGTGTCGCGCTTGATGTAGCGCACGTAGAGGTAGTAGAGGTACCGCAGGGCGCGGGGAAGATGGGCGACGCGGGAGAGTTGGTTTGCGCCTGGGTCGGAGGGTTCGAAGGTGCGGAGGTTGGCTTCGAAGTGGTGGCAGCCGTCGGAGTTGAGGAGTTGGGAGCCGAGATTTAGGCCTGTGAAGGGGTCTGCGTTGGATGGGGGTGTGATTTCAGTGATTGTGTGGCCGGCTGCGGTTAGGGCGGCGACGGTGGTGGAGAGGGCGCGCTCGATGGCGGGTGTGGGAGGGACAACACCTAAAGCGTGTGAGCCAGTGGGAATAGATTTGGGGGGGGGGGGGGGGGGGGGGGGGGGTAGAAATTGTAGATCATACCATCGGTGCTCATCAGGCCGATGCGGAGAGACTTGCTCTTCGCCTCGTCCTCCAGCTCCTTGCGCCAGGAGATGGGGTGAACAGTGTAATCGTACTTCCAGGGCTGCATGCCGACTATGGCCTTGGTGAAGTATGTGAGATCATTGAGAGTGCGCGCCATAGGGCTGAAAACACTCGGGATACCCTCCTGACCGGGCATACTGGTGCTGACGCCGACCTTGGGCCAGCGACCAGTGCTGCAGCGGAGCGAGTAGATACCGCTCCAAGCAGCGGGCACTCGCACCGAGCCAGCGACATCAGAGCCGATACCAATACGGCCACCCTGGGCGAGAAGAGCAGCTTCACCACCGGTTGAACCACCGGGGCTGTACTCTGGGACGTGAGGGTTGCGGCAGTGACCCCAGAGACCATTGGCGGATTCAAAGGAAAGAAGCGTGATGGGCAGAGCAGTCTTTGCATACGGGACCGCTCCTATAAAAAATGATTAGAATATGAAGCTCCACGATGAAGAAACGATGACATACCCGCATCCTTCAGCAGCCTGGTCATTGGGCCATCTTCCCGGAAGGGCTGATTCGCCAGCGCCGAGTAACCCAGGGTAGTATCGAAGCCCTTGACTTGAACCGAGTCCTTCAGTGAGACGGGGATACCCGCCAGAGGACCCTTCAAGTTAATATCCGACTCGAGCCATGACTCTGCCTCTGGCAGCAGGAGCTCGGTGATACAGTTGGTACGTTCCTGAGCCTTGACCGCAACCTTGCCATAGGCCTGCAGCACAGTCAAGGGAGAAGTCGTTGATTCCTGGATATCACGGACCAACTCTTCAATGGGCTGGTCAATGATCTTCTTATCGGCATCGGTGAAGTTGGTATGGTAGGGGTACGGCAACGAGGCAAAGCGAGCAGCGCGCTCAGCTTGCTTTTGGTTGCTATAGATGTGTCAGTGGGGGTCACTTGGTGCAGATCACACTTTACAAGGGGGAGGAGGCCTTACCGTACTCGCCGGTATGTAAAGTAGTCGAATGGAGGGAGCATTGCGGCGTAGCTGTAGAACACGGAGAGAAGAGCGGCGACACGCGCCTTTTATCCGATGGAGAGCTCCTGCGGGGAAGAAAGTGTGGAGAATGCGATAACCTGATAAGCCCCCGATAGCCACGTCCAATTCGGTTTAAGTCGGCGGTGCAAAGTCCGCTGGTCACGTTCTACGCTGTACGAACAGTACCGAGTACATACAGTATGTACTGCAGAAGCCCAGTCCTTGCATTATTGTGCGTGTAACAAAGTATCTTACCAGCGTTTGCCGAATAACCGTACTCTCTCCGCGTACTCAATCACGATCATTCAGTCCTCAGTCCATAGTCCAACTCTGACCTGGCCTGATAAGACCCCCTACAAACTATTCCCATTCCAGCAGGTCGATCCGCCGCTAGATAATCTATCTATTCGATAGCATCCAACATGTAATTACTCTGTACTCCGGACTGTGTTATTCAAAAATGGTATCTTCATCTTCGTTCATCTATATAAAATAAAAACACTATCTACTAAAAACCAATCACGCCCAAAAGCCGCCCTGGAGGCGCGGCGGGTATATCTCCAGAATTTTGGTTGGTTTTCCCTTTTCCCGCAACAAAAGAAACAAACCCCTCATAACATAACGCCGGTGAAAGCCGAGGTTAACCCATCCCCAAAAATACACCATACATAATACAGTCCACCACTCCCCTCAAATTCCATTAAAGTATCACTGACGCAGAGAATCCGTTAAGGTTCAACCTTTTGCAGCCAGTTGTGCTTGGCCAGCCACCAGACGATCACCCCGCCAGTCACTAGTAGGATGACACCGAAGAAGATCACGAAGCCCCAGATTAGGGATCGCTTGCGCTTGCGGCGTTCGCGTTCAAGCCATGAGTCTGGTTCCCTGGAGTTAGAAAGAGATGTTAGCGGAGGTTGGTTAACAAGAGGTGATCTTAGATCGTGAGTTGGAGAGTTGCATACTTGACAGGTGTAGCGCATTCAAGTTCGCTCTTGGACACTTCTTCCTGGTGGACCGCTGTGGAGAAGCGTTTCCAGAAATATGGGTCCCGCACCAGTGCCATTGTAGGGCGTGTGTGATGTTGTGTAGGGTGTAGGGCGTAAGGTGCGGTTGTTTTAGCTAAGCCAGTGGTCTGGGCTGTAGCTACCAGACGATGGCCGATTAAAAACGAGACTGGTCTATGCAGTTGAAATCGAGCTTGAGGTGTTGGTAGGCAATAGAACAGGTTGAGATAGTGACGATGACCCTTGGCCGGCCGGTGACAAGTCTCGCAACCACAACAGCACGGTGATAAGTCCAATAAAGCGATGAATGGTTATCGCGACCGACAGATTATCCGAGACGAATTCAAGCGGATTGTTGCAAATAGCGGGAACGATGTATACGCTGAGTAGGGTTGTGTATAGGTAGCGACAGGAGCAAACAAGTGGGATGGAAAGAGAAAAGATTAGATAGGGGAGGCCGGGGCACTTAACTCCCCCTAGGAGAGGGGCAATCAAGTCAGTTGGTAACAGATGCCTCGTGTGGAATTCCATTCACAGCCCTGCTGCTGAAGGCTGGAAATGACGAGGCAGCCTCATAACTCGCCGTTCTTGGTTCCTGTCTCGCCGAGCTGGACTATGTGACAACCCCCCACAACCCAGCGTCTAGCACTGTCAACAGAGCGGATTGACCGATGAAATAAATACCATGGTAACCGTCAGCCCAATCAGCGGGAGAGATAATGGGTGAAAATTCCATCGTTGGGCATGGCATGTCGTCCGGGAATGCAGGGATGGGCGATTATCGATGATGTGAGCGATGGTGGCTGGAGCCGAGCCAATCTTGAGGACAGATGGGATATCAGTAATGGAAGATTATCCCGATCTGTTCGGTGTTGCGTAAATAGATTGGTTGATGAACGGGGTTGAAACTTTGAAGAACGGTGCTGCGAGATATTGACGTGATATGCATAGCAGTTATTGCCTGGCAGGTTGAGATAGATATAGATATCCGCGATATCAGCGATGGCTGCACGGCCGATCATATCGATGTCGTTAGATCAGACCTGATTGATTAAGTGCAAAACTACTACGACTCGCTACCTATCTTAGCGAGGGGCGCCATTCTACTGTACGTCGCCCTGAGAAGGTAACGCCACGCTCCTCTCATCAGCTTACGGAGCCGACATGTATCTAACGGGTGCATTTTTTTTTTTCGATATCCATGTTCAAAGGAAACTAACACTTCGATGCACAGAACAATGCAACCTAGTATCTTTGTGACATTTGTTGAAATTCTAATCTTTTTGCTCACTATGTACATGCGACCATAGGGTGTGGAGAGCCCCAAAAAGACTGCGCTCCTTTCCCTCACTCCTTCTGGCTAAATTGTCACACGAACACCAAAGATGAAACTCTTCGACGCCAGAAAAGACAATTATAAGCTAAGGGACCGCTGAATCTTCCCCACCAGTTGTGATCCGATACGGAGTCTCATGAAACAGTCTTCACTGGAATTCGCTATATGCAGCTGATGGAAAAAAAACCTTAAGTCTTCCCTACATCGAGTCAATTAAGTTTCCTATCCTTGAGCTACGTTTCTTTCACTCACCTCAGTCCAAAACTATCCATCCACAACCGCAGGCAATTTTCCAATCATTCCAAGACATTATTTCCATCTACGAAAGTTTCCTCCACGTGGAGATGGGGACCAGCTTTGCACCCACGGATCACAAATTCACCCTTCTCGTAATTCATCGACTTTTTTATCTACCCTTCTATCGTTGGATACTTTTCATTGGCGGATTTGCTTCCCAAGAATTCGACTCTCATGAGTTCTTTGTGGCACAACTTAAAATATGTCACAGAGCTTTGTATGAACCAGTGGGGTAGCGCACTGTCAATGTTGCATGGGTACAATCTCTTTGTAGGTCGCATGGGGAAAACCACCCCACCCTTGCTAAAAGTTCTTAACGCGTAGACCCCCTCCTCCCTATTATTGGGCGAGGACATGTTTAGGCTAATTCCGCCTCGATCAAACTTTCCGCAACCCCGGGGTAGTTGTAAATGTTGACTATCTTCAATCCTGCTTTGGCCAGAATACTCCTCCACTCAGCCTCGGTTCTTTCTCTGACTGCAAAATGCGCCAACATCATCATATCCATATTTGTCGCCGCTAGAGTGGGCTTCTCTTCGCTTACCACAATCTCATTTAGCAGAACACGCGAATAGCCCTTCAGCAAAGCTGGGACCAGGTTCTCCAGAATCTTGACGCCATCATCATCACCCCAGTCGTGAAGGATAGAGTGGAGAGAATAGGCGCGGGCTGCCTTGACAGGCTGCGGGGTGAAAAAGTTGTGGGCTTGCGCCTCAAAGGGTCTTTCTGAGGTATTAGCTATCACGCTCGCGATGACGGGCTCGCGATCCTGGAGAATGATTTTGCCCGGAGAAGAAGAATATTGTGCGGCAAAGGTTGCCACATCGTGACCCCGTCCACCGCCGACGTCGACGAGGAGAACATCGCTGATGGAGGAATCAAAGCCCTCAACCATCCGCTCGGTCACCGGGTAGAAATCATACCAGTTGGGCTTTCCGGCCCGGTACGCACTCATAAAGGAGTCGAAGTGCTGGAGGTGCGGTGGTGTGGCCACCAGCCATTCGAAGAACGGAAGTTGGGTCTTATGAGCTTCCTGGAAGGGACCGTCGGTTCCACCTAGTGTCGGGGACTTATATCCAGTCTTCTTAAAGTACTCCGGGAATCCGTTGAACGAAGGACGGGCCGCATCGTAGCAGAAGGCGATGCTGTGTTGGAAGTTTTCCGCTGCGAGTTCGTTGCTCAACCTCGTGGCGTGGAATGCTCCGTTGTAGAATGCGAGCAGGTTCATGGCCACCAGATGTCTGGCCAGGCGTGACAACAGGACAGCATCGACACCGGTCTTCTCCGATAGAGCCGCGGGTGTCAGACCCGCATCGCCAGCTTCTTCCAAATGCTGGAAAAGCTTGACATCGACGGCGAGGCGGATAATGGCTGATTGAGCCGGCTATCGTCCAATTGCGTCAATAGTGTGAGCAAGACTACGCGTTACACTTCTCACGGTAACGCCTCTCTTCCAAGAGTGGTCAAGCCGGCCAGGAACGTTAAAGGGGGTACTCACTTCTGCCCAGAAGGTGCGCTGCACAAACTCACTGGGGATCTCCAGCGCCGCAATTAATGCGCGGCTGTTGTCGATCAGTGCTTCTCTTGAGCCAGCCTCATTATTGTCGAACGCCGTGCGCAAAGACGCAATTTCGTCCAGGATCGCAGACGCGGATGGGTTAGCCATGGTAGTAAGGGCGAGTTTAACGTCTAGGGGAAGAGGAAGAAATTATTCAGCAGACGAGCACTGCGAGGGAGTCCAACTCCTTTTAAAGATCAACTCGCTTTCTCAAGCCCACACCCTGCGATTTTCCTTTGAGGGGTTCCCAGAACTCAAGAAACTTTTTCCACCCACCACAGAATCTATTCTCTGAGGCGTGGCCTAGGGTTACTCGGGTAATTGGCGGAGCTAAGTACTTGCTAGCTTAATATATGACTCGACACTAACACGTGGCGCTGACAAGCAGAACGTCAGACTTGAATCAACTTGAATCATGCATTTTCCTCGGCCTGGATAAACCAAGCAGTTGGGAAGCCAGGTGGGCCCTAAAGCAAGAATGGCCCCTATCGAAATGAGCATAGGCTTATTGTTTCCAGTCTGGCGGGCCTTGCCATAAGACCTACTAGGCCACGCGGTCAGTAGTTGACGCAATTTAGCAGTTCATACAACTTAACATGCCTACTATTGGCCTATGCAGGTTGCTTTTTCCAGCTAAGGCTAAAGCCTCCCTCACTACTACTACTATGGGAGATATCCTTTGGTCGAGATTTAGCGGGTGCTAGTGAAGAGTAGCGTTCAATTGTGCATAACCAATATTTTAAGCGAAATGAATGAATGCCCTACTGTCGAATAGTATCTAGTCCTTACTTCATGTTGTGCCCCATATCTGAACATCGGGGCACGGCCGTACGGGTACAGCGGGATGTGGAGAACAGATTGTACCAGTTTGTGCTGTTCCCCGGTACTGTACCACCTTTCCCGCTGTGGAGGTAGGAATTCACAGAAATGATGATGTTCCAGGGGGGGCGAAAACCAACTTCTTGTCTTATCCGCGCTAAGGGCGAGTTCGGGATGCCACTAAAAGGACGCTACTTCCTTCGCTGCTTCGTTAGCATTACCTAGCCGTGTTTTCGCTGTGCCGGTTTCACCTACGGAGGCTAAAAATTTGCCGGCTCTGCAACTAAGCCCGGTAGTGCCTTAGCGACATCTTCCAAAACAAATTATTGCATCTTAGTCAAGATGCCAATACAGTACTTTGTCAATCTCAATCCTTTTAGCCATGCGACGATGATCTTCTGTAGGGCCTTCATTTTCTCTTCATATATATCGTCCCAGGGGCTGGTTCTTAAATCCTTATCTTTGATCTATGTCACTTAAAAGATCCCTGGCTCTGCGGTTCCAGGTTCTCCTTAACCATGGCCTTTGATACAAATGTGGACTATGACGAGACACGAGCGGCAGAGATCAATGCCGTCGGGTGGGTTTTTACGGGCATTGCCATTGCAGCGGTGTTTTTGAAGATTTTCACCCGCGTGGAGAGCAAGCGGGCTGGATGGGATGATTTTTTTATTTTCTTCTCCATGGTAAGAAGTTGACAATCCCAAAGACAACTTTCTGCGTGCAACTAAACCTGTGTGCTTAGGCATTGAGCATCATCGCCACGGCTTTCGTCTCATACTCGGTCACTCTCGGTCTAGGCCGACACGCTGCAGCCGTCGTTGCTCAGCATGGCATGGAACGATACGAACAAACAGCTTACTGGCAGATCATCGCATACCCTTTCAATATCGGTACCTAGTATCAAACTGAGCAGAGGGAGTCGCGAACTAATATGAAAATATACAGGCGCTTTCAGTTTCCCAAACATCTCCATCGCCATTCTAATCGTTAATCTTCTCGACCCAAACCCCCTTCGCGCACGGCTGCTTTACGCCATGGTCATCTTGCAGGTCATGATTGCTATGATATCTGTTTTTCTCGTCTTTTTCCAATGCAACCCAACGGCAATGTTGTGGAATCCCACGCTTAACGGCAAATGTTGGAGCCCGGATATCTTCAATGGCTTTTCTTATTGGGTCAGCGCATATACGACACTCACGGATATCGTGTTAGCCGTTGTGCCAATTATGGCTTTTTGGAAGCTACACATGCGGACATCGACCAAAATCAGTGTCTGCATTATGATGGGATTGACAATGCTTTCGGCGATTGTCACTATCGTCAAAGCCACGTTTTTACACCTATTCACGGACCATACGGATCCTCGTTAGTAATATCAGTCGCGAGGGTTGATTTGTACGTTGGCTAACTTTCTATAGTTTTCAATGTGGTACCATTGGTTCTCTGGGGCCTGTTAGTTCCCTTCCCTATTCTTCCGCCCTGCAGTCGCTAACCACAAGATTAGTATCGAGCAAAATGTTGTCATTGTAGCCGCCTGTATCCCAACGCTCCGCCCATTCTTTCGCAAAACATTCCAATCTACCAAAGGTTCCACCGACCCGGCTAACTCACGAAGCCGCTCAAACTCCACCTTCAAGCTCTCATCTAAACCAACACATTCGCGAGACCCCTTTGCTTCGGAAAGAGATCGAAAAGTCACAAAAATGGACATCTATGGTGATGAGGAAAGCAATAGCAGCCGGCAGGGTATATGGCGTACACGGGAGGTTACGGTGGAAACTGCGGAATGACAACGGCGAGTTGGAGTGCTATCCGAAAAAAAGCTATGTATCTCGATGTGTTGGGCATTTCAAGTTAGGAGTAACCTATAATGTCGCATAGCCTACCTTTTTTTTACGGCCGGTGGGACTCCTAATTTGTTGCGTCGCTCACAGCCATAGCCTAGACTAGGCGAGCTGTTGTGCTAATGTAGTTATGCCTCAATAATGCCTTGAATCACTTCTTGATGAGCGTTGTGTTAACTCGCCTCGAACTTCGAGGAATTTTATGCTAACACCTGGTGAAGAATTAAGCTAAAGAGAAAACACACCTGCGGCAATATATACTAAATGGAACAACGGAGTTTGTGTCAGCACGTAATCGAGTGTCTAGGTAGACAATCTACTATTCAAGTTTAATATAGCCGAGTCGGGTCGACTAAGTAGTAGATCTAGAATTCCAGTCAATTCACACTAAAGATGCCTTAAGCAGTGATTCGGTTAGAAAGGCAGGTTTATTAGTTGAAGAGCTATTAAAGTATCGGTCAAATAGCCCTCCAAGCCCATCAAAGATTCTGGTCGATCAGATTGCAAGGGCCACTTTGCTACACAGAACTAAGCTACTGGTGAGATTGGATTTGGTCTGTGCTGGGGGTGCCAAGACTAGGCTGGGGAGATCAATGTGGGATAAGCCACTAGGATCCTTCGGTCGATGGACTGAATGAATAGCCTCATAATTGTCTTTATATAGATCCTCTTTGTGTGTATCCCAATATCTCCGTCGTTGCCTGGAGTTGAGGTGCCAGTTTCCACGGGCTCCCGGGTTGGCCGACGGCTGACCGGGTTTAGACAGGGATTTGAATCATGTCCGACTGGTGATTGGGACTTGGAGTCCAGGTTGATAGCCAGGCTGCTAGTGCCTACATTTATCAGTTATCACGCAACGTCACGCCTTATTTTCATCCTTTCTTTCTTCTTGCCCCCGCCATAGAGTTCAGGGAGTTGTTTTCACGATGCCCTTTGATGGAAAGGGCAACCTGCTCCATCTCAACCCGGAACAATTCGACTTCAACCTTCAATTTGAGAGTCTCTTTTTCTCGATTCTTCCCTCTGTCTTGTTTATTCCATCATCATTATGGCGAACTCTAGCACAGATACGCAAGCCCGTGGTAGTGAATGCGCCCGTCTTCCACTTGATCAAAACAGTATGCCTTGACCCTCCTCCATTCCGACAATTCCTGCGTTCTGAACACTGCTACAAGGGTGCCATTGTGATTTATGCCGGGTTGGAACTTGCACTGCTTATTCTCACCGCGGTCGGGTCCTTCCACATGAGCCGCATGGTGATCGCTTCATCCGTCCTGCAGCTGGTATCGGCCCTGTTCATGATCACGGTAAGCGTGGTAGATCACAGTCGTAGCCCTCGACCATCGATGTTGCTGAACAGCTACTTGTCCCTCACTCTTCTTCTCGATATCGCTCGAGCAAGAACTCTGTTCCTGTCGTCAGACCATAGCTCCGAGATAATCTACAGCAGCGTCTTCAGTGCATCGGTCGGGCTGAAGACCGGCATCTTGGTCCTCGAAGCCTGTCAGAAAGCGAGATGGGTAATCTGGAACGCAAAGGAACACAGTCCCGAGGAGACGAGTGGAATATTCTCTCTGGGCGTCTTCTTCTGGCTAAATAAGCTCTTCTTGGCCGGATATAGACAGGCCTTCACAATCGACACCCTCTATCCCCTTGACAGCTCCTTTGACGCACAAGCTCTGCATGCGCAATTCGCGAAGAGACTGGACTACACTAAGCCGGAGGGAGATCAATTCGGCCTTTTGAAAGTGCTAATACGTACCTTGTGGGTGCAACTACTGCTGCCGATTCCTCCGAGGGCGGCCTTGATTGCGTTCTACATCTGCCAACCCCTTTTCATCGAGAGTCTCATCACGTATCTGTCTCGTTCGGAACCAGATCCAAATGTGGGATATGGGCTAATAGGCGCTGCCATATTTATCTACTCGGGGATTGCAATCTCGTATGCTTTATACTGGTAAGGATACCCTGCTACTATCGCATATGTTTCCAGTTGACTCACACGATCGCTAGGTACTGCCACCACCGACTGCCGGACGATGGTCCGCTCAATACTCGTCACTGAGATATTTACAGCCGCCACCAGAATTCAACTGGGATTAGGCGATGATAGCGCTGCGTTGACTCTCATGAGCACCGACATGGAGCGCATCAGAATGGGTCTCCGCTCTGTCCACGAGGCATGGGCGAGCGTAATTCAGGCAGGCCTTGCCGCCTGGATGCTCTATCGACAACTCGGGGTCGTGTTCGTTGCCCCCGTGGGTGTAGTAGTGGTTTGCTTCGTTGGGTTAGGGATCCTGATCAAATTCACCGGTGACTCGCAGCGATCTTGGATGTCGGAGGTCCAGAAACGCGTCGGGCTCACAGCCACCGTCATTGGTAGCATGAAATCACTCAAAATATCCGGCCTCGCCGGTCCCGTGTCCGAGTACGTGCAGCAGCTGCGTGTCAACGAACTCGCTGCTGGCGCTCGATACCGCAGGATTATGATCATCGCCGCCATCTTCGGATTCGTCCCTCAGTTGATCAGCCCTCCGCTGACCTTCGCGTTCGCCCAGCACACGCTGAATGCTTCGACCATGTTTACCAGTCTTTCCTTTCTGACTCTGTTGACTCAGCCGCTGTCGCAGCTTTTCCAGTCGATCCCGGAGATCGTTTCGGGACTGGCCTGCTTGGGTCGGATCCAGGCATTTTTGGAATTGAAGCCTCGTCAGGATTATCGGGAACACCTGGTCGACGCCCAGAACTGCGGCATAGAGAAGACTTTAAACCACGCCAATCCACAACCTACGGATTATTTTGTCATCCGAGACGCGAACTTCGGATGGAAAGCAGACAAGTTCGTGCTGAGCAAGATCAATACCCAAATCCCAGCCTCATCCCTGACCATGGTCATCGGTCCCGTCGGCTCAGGCAAATCCACATTCTGTAAAGCCCTTCTGGGCGAGATTCCCTTCAGCCAAGGCAGCGTCGTGACGAAGACCTCCCCCCGTCACGTCGGTTTCTGCGAACAAACCGCCTTTCTATGGAGCGGTACGATCAGAGAGAACATTATCGGATTCACATCCTTTGACCGCGAGCGGTATGACCAAGTCATCGAAGCCACGTCCCTGCGCTTCGACCTTGATACCCTGTCGCAGGGAGACCAGACTAATATCGGGTCGGATGGTGTAGCGTTGTCGGGTGGGCAGAAGCAGCGTGTGTCTCTTGCGCGAGCACTATACCTACCCTCAGACCTTTTGGTCCTGGACGATGTGTTTAGCGGGTTGGACGCTGATACCGAGGGGAAAATCTTTCGGCAGGTCTTTGGGCCGGATGGTCTCCTGCGACGACGGGGCTCGACGGTGGTTCTGTGCACACATAGTGTCAGACATCTCCCGACGGCGGACTATATCATTGCGCTCGAAAACGGAAGTGTTGCAGAGCAGGGAACCTTTGTCGATTTGTCGACTCGTGCGGGCTATGTTCAGCGGCTGGGCGTGGGACTCAAGCAGGAGGGCAACGATACGACAACTGACGATGAGCCTGGTCCTTTTCCCGAACATAAGGGACATACTGGGGCTGACAAGCAACTCGAACATTCGATCATTGTTGACAGCACGGAATCATCTACCCCAATTGCCCCAGAAGTGGCCGCAGTCCGCCAGGTCGGTGATGCCACCGTCTATAAGGTGTATTTCAAAAGTATGGGATGGTTTGTAGCAGCCTGCAGTCTGTTCTTTGCGGCCCTCTGGGGCCTGTTCACCAATTACCCAACCATATGTGCGTCTCCACTGCCTTTTATGTCTAATCTATTTCATCAATTAATATGGTCTATGCAGGGCTCACATACTGGAGTGACGCCACCGAGTCCGTCCATCCTGCACACTCCAACTCTTACTACGCCGGGATTTATGCTCTCCTCCAGATCTGCGCCATCCTCGCCCTCCTTCTTCTAGGTATCACGCTCCTCATCGTCTCCGTGAAGAAAGCCGGCGCCAATCTCCACCGGCAAGCCTTACACACCTTGATTCGTGCACCACTCTCATTCTTCACAAACACCGACACCGGGGTGATCACCAACCTCTTCTCCCAGGATCTCAACCTCATCGACACAGAACTCCCCGAGGCTACCCTCAACACCCTCTTTTGCCTGTTCCAATCAATTGGCCAAGCAGTGGTGATGCTCACCTCGTCCGCCTACCTGGCCATCAGCTACCCGATCCTGGGCGCCGTGCTCTACTTGGTGCAGAAATTCTACCTCCGCACGTCGCGGCAGCTGCGCTTGCTCGACCTGGAGGCCAAGAGTCCGCTCTACACGCATTTCCTCGACACACTCAAGGGGATCGCCACGCTGCGGGCCTTCGGGTTCATCTCGGATGACATATTCAAGAACGCCAGTCTGGTGGATTCCAGCCAGCGCGCGGCCTATCTCCTCCTCATGATTCAGGAGTGGCTGAATCTGGTCCTTAACCTCGTCGTAATGGTCATCGCGGCGGTCTTGACAACGCTGGCCGTCCGGTTGCATTCCAACTCGGCCTTCGCCGGTGCATCGCTGTACTCGCTGATGACATTCGGCGAGAGCCTCTCCGGGATCGTGATTTTCTACACCAGATTGGAGACCTCCATCGGTGCGATCGCGAGACTGAAAATCTTTAACGAGACCGTCACGCCGGAGGACCACGACGGTCCCGGAAAGGAGGACATCGTCCCAGACATTAAATGGCCGGATCGCGGACTGGTCACATTGCGTGGTGTATCAGCCCGGTATAAATCCACCAGCGTATCTGAATCCGACTCTGAGATCGACTCCGTCGTCTCTGGTATCACCACGCCGCCCCTCGCCCTTAAGAACCTCACTCTAACAATCCACCCGGGGGAAAAAGTCGCCATCTGCGGCCGCACCGGCAGCGGCAAATCCAGCTTCCTCGCTCTCCTACTAAAACTCCTCGATCCGCTACCTTCATCCAACAACAATAATGGCCCGGAACCTCCAATCTTAATCGACAACATTCCGCTACACCGCATCCACCGCGCAACTCTCCGCCAACGCCTCATCGCCGTGCCCCAGGACCCCGTCCTCCTACCCGATGGCTCCTCCTTTCGCGCAAACCTCGACCCAACCAACACCGCGACCCCGGCAGAGTGCCAGCGGGTCCTCGAAGCGGTCCGGCTGTGGGAGTTTGTCCAGGAACGAGCGGAGGGGCTGGATGCGCCCGTCTCGGTGGGGAGCCTGAGTGCCGGGCAGCGGCAGCTCTTCTCGCTAGGGCGGGCAGTGCTCCGTGCTATGATCCGTCTGCGGTCAACGACTTCCTTCCCTCGGGAGAAGTCGGGGCCGGGGTCCGACAATCAAGACCAAGGCGGAATCCTCCTCCTTGATGAAGTCAGCTCCAGTGTGGACCGGGAAACCGAGCAGGTGATGCAGGAGATCATTCGAGCTGAGTTCAGACACTACACGGTCATTGCGGTGAGTCATCGGCTGGAGATGGTCATGGACTTTGATCGGGTGGTGGTGATGGATCGTGGGGAGGTGGTGGAGGTTGGTAATCCGGTGCTCCTTAAAGGGGAAGCTGGGAGTCGATTTGGGGAGTTGGTGGCTGCTGCTGGTGCATAGTAGCATTTATTTCCCCAACGTCTGTTCAATATTAGCGAGTATACTTTCATTCTTCTCAGTTGAGATCATGTTCATTAATTATCACACCCTTCTGACGGCCGAAGCATGAAGTATAGCAACTAAGAGATAAACTTGAAGACAACCTTATAGCGTTGTCCGCATCTTGGTTAGGTAGTATCTCGTAGATAGCTATATCATCCTTGGTCTTGAACAAGACCAAGAACCCTGGCGGGTGATCAACGGCAACATGGGACTAGAAAGTCTTACAGATATTTTTATCTGATAAGAACTGTCACCTTCATCATTCTGAGCTGATGGTCTTGGCTGAATCTGACTATCAAAGTGGGCCCGCTTTACAGTGTTCGGCAAAAAGCCGATTTCCCGACCAATGGGCCGCGAGTATGTGACGGCAATCTTCATATATGAGAAGACGGGCATCCAGAGCAAAGATCTAAAGCTTGAGATGATTACGCATATTGATGTCGGTTTATCAGAACACAGCCTTGTGCTGAATTATTCATGTCTTGAACAAGTCGACTTCTTGGTCTCTTCACTCGAACAAAGTTGCTGCCATTCACGAATGTGATCAATACCTACCAAATTAGCATATAATTACTCTATATTCTAAGAAACTAAGGTGCAAATATTACATCTATCACAATTAAGACAATCTTGTTTTTCAGATCTGTCTCTACGATCTGGTGGTAGACCCATCCATAGCTAGTCACTCCCAAGTAACCGAAAGCGGGAATTACGAATTGCCACTCGGCACGATCCAATTTTGCCGACGCAACCACCAAAGTGGCCGTCGCGTCGAGTCACCGCACAATTTCCCGACAACTTTCTCCAATCCTTGTATACCGTGCACTCAAGTACTAATATCGGCGAAATAAGATCAGCCTCGGTCAAAATGCCAAGTGACGGAGTCCTCAAGCGGCAGAAGAAGAAGTCAATTGCGTAAGTGCTATCCCCGGATTACCCTACCCACTTAACCAGCTAATCCTTGCTGATGACAATCTCCAGATGCCGACGATGCCATACCCACAAGATCAAATGCTCTGGTGGACAGCCGTGCAATAAGTGTCGGCAAGCTGGTTGTCCTGTCGAGTGTGTCTATGTGAATCGAGATCGTCAGATTAAGGTGCATGAAAGGTGTGTGGGTCAGTCATTGTAACCTCGAGGCACTTGCTAAACTACCTATTCTAGCTACCTGGATGAGCTTGCTGCTGAGAATGAACGCCTCCGTGAACAGTTATCTCGCTCACCAGGTTTTGGAAGTCCGGATGGTAATGTCCGCTCCGAAGGTCATCCATTCTTTCCAGATTATCATGGCTAGCTACCTTGCTGATATCACTCCCAGATACTCCATTTCATGAGCCAGATACGCATGTACAGAATCCCATGCTGGGTGAACGAGCCTGGTTCCAGCCATATGATCCATCAACGCCACCAGTACACATCGGCGAAGCAGCCTGTACAGCCTTCGCCACACGGCTGCGCCAAGTGCTCTCCAAAAGCAAGACGACATCTCACATGCCACGCACACAGTACACGCCCGAGTCGACCTTAATGAAGATCCGAAATTCAGAAATTCAATGGCCAGGTCTTGCCCAGGCTCGTCTGCTCATTCAAATCGTGTTTAATCAAGTTAGCCGGGTGTATCATCTAGTCCTGCGCAAGTCGACGATCGATGAACTCGAGGAGACTTATCGGAAAGCGGACTTTGATAACCCCGTGCTAACGTGCAAGTTCTTTGCGTTGTTTGCGCTCGGAGAGGTATACTCGACTCGGTCGAATGTTACGCTTGAATGTGGTGTTCCTGGTGCAGCGTATTATGTTCATGCTATGATGCTGATTCCTATTTTGCCGGAGCGGCCGAGCTTGACTCACATTGAATCAATATTGTTGTTGGTAAGAGCATTTGCTTTGGATGATTGAGGAGTCTCGGCTTACCCTATTCTAGTCACTCTATTCATATTTTCTTAACCGGCGCCATTCTGCCTTTCTCCTCGTCGGCAGTGCCATGCGTCTCGGTCTCACTTTAGGACTGAACTATGACATCCCCGAATGTCAATGTCCTGATCCTGTAGATCGCCAACATCGGATTCGACTGTGGTGGGCGATCTACGTATTCGACCGAATGTACGGGTCCAAGGTGGGCTGGCCCATCCAAATCACCGACGACGATATTCATGTGGAAATGCCCTCCACTGTTCCCGGAGATGTCCACGACGAGCAATTCTCCGATACACAATTCCTGGTTGCTTCTATTCATCTGGCGCGCATTACAGGGCAGGTGATCGAGAAGGTTTACAGTCGCAAGAAACAGCCCGACTCGTTTCTGCAACGAGAACAGAAGCTGCTTATCTCACTGAAGCAATGGGCGCAGGCGTTGCCCCCGCATGTTCGGTTGAATCGCGATGGGGCTGGTCCCAAGAACGTGGTATCCCTGCATTTGCAATTTAACCAGGTCAGTAGTCATCAATCAGGATACTCCTTGGCTCGATGTGTTCGATGTGTCTTTTCTCGACTTCAACTTACTCGACCAGTGTATCATCCTGGCCACTCGACCTATCCTACTATACACACTCATCCAATCTCGCGATGCAGACCATACCGACCAAAATACCACGCAGACGCACATCCAAACCCTCAAAACGCTCAGCGACGCATGCATCCACGCTGCAAGGCACAATCACTCACTGATCGTGGCAGAATGGACCAACGGCTCCCTCCCAATCATGGGCTATTTCTACGCCCACTATCTCTTCTCCGCCGCACTGATCATGGTCCTATCCAGTCAAATCCAATCAGACAATCATGCCGACTACGCCTTATTCGAAACCGCGTTCGAAATTCTCCGTGCAATGCGCGACCACGGTAACCTCGCCGCGACCGAATTCTACGATAATCTAAAATGCGTTCAGCAATGTCTCGACAAGACTCAGCCTACTAACGTCAATCCGAGCGCAAAACGGGGCTCAACCGCGCGACAGTCTATGACTGGCGAGTCAAGTCGCGTTCCGGATCAGCACCCAACCGATGATGCGCTGCCTGTTCTCCCCGACCAGGCTGCTGCCCGACGAACGAATGAAGTGGGTCTATCCGGCGGATCGGCGCTGCCTGACACGAGCGGTGGTGGTACATTTGGCAATGAGATGGTGTTTTTGGATGAGAGTATGGAACAGTTTTTGGCACAGGCGGATGTTGATTTTGGGCCGTTGGATCCGTCTGGAGTGCCGATCAGCGTGGCGGATGCGGTGTACTCGTGGCCGAATTTCTCGCTGTGGACGGCATGACCTGCATGGGGTGGGGAGATGATGCTGGTTCGGGATGGAATGTAAAATGATTAGTTTCTGCAGTAGAATCTGCATGAGATGAAGCGAAGCCTATAGTACTAGTGTGGCTGACTCCGATAGTAGAGGTTAGTATGGGCTGGTATGATGACAGCAGCAGGTGTTTCTGTTTCTGTCTAGTGACTGGGGCGTTTGGTTGGTTGTCTGATGGGCTGATGGGCTGAGCGATTTGCTGATGTTCTTTTTGTTCGGGGATGACCGCACAAATGAGGACTGACTGAGTCACCCTCGTCATCAGGTAATCCTCATTCCACTATCCACCGAGTCAGAAAGTATTTCCCGATCAGATTATAAACTGTAAATACTGACTTGGTCACTTTATTCCCTAACTGTTCCGTGGATCTGACTTCTCCTCCTCCCCGCAGTGGGTCCATGTGTGTTGTGCCTGACCGCCCCTCGCTGCCTGGGGATGAGCCTCGAGCGTTGGTTCTGTACTCGACTCCTGCAGACCATCCCGATGCTCTGCCTCATCTCTCGTCCGAATCTTCTCCTCCTGGCCCTGAATCCGATCGTGCCAGCCCCCGCCCTGCCATGGCCTCTGCGACCAGCCACTGGGGGACCCTGATCAACCCGGACAAAAGCCCGGCACCACTGTTGGAGCAACTATGTCTCGGGATTGCACAGTTAATGGTGAGACAAACAAGCAGGCCGACATGATCAGACTTGGACAGAGAATAGAATACACTGCTAATTTGGAGAAAACAGCTCTCGTTCGACTCGAATCCCACGACCGATCTCACTCCAGACCGCCTCGCCGCGTTCTATCGCAAAGTCGGCGGAAACTACGATCCGCTCTTTCTCGAGACCAAATCCCAAGCGCTGTCCTTCATCTACCAGTCACTCGGATGTTTCCACAGTCTCCAACCTTCCAAAAGCCCCTACGAACCCCCAGCCGTTCCCTCGCTATGTCCAAACGGTTTCGTACGATGGCAAACCATCCAGCTACTCATGGACCCGGACGAGCACTGGCGCTTTCTCAACAACGTGGTGGGAATGTGGGATATAATCGATGCAAAGGGCGAGACCTTCCCCAAAAACATACCACGCGATGCATTCCCCTCGGAGCCAGACCCGGAAATGCTGCAGTGGCATGAAGGCGTCGCCAAACGACTGGAATATGATTATGTGAAGAGGAACGTTCATCGGGCATCACCTCCGAATTTCGGCGCGTATCATTATCATTTCAGTGGGAAGGATCCGTTGCCAGATGAGGAGGACTACTTTTCACATCCTCCGCATCGATCGGGGTCGCGTCGGCATAAGACTCATTATGATTCGGATCGGCCAAGTAGACGGAAAAGTCACCGGCGACGCATGAGTTCGGATGATCATCATGGGTCAAGCAGTCGCAGACCGGAATCGGGATTCTTCGCTAGACCTGATGGTGGTCGCTCGGGTGTCTCGTCTCCTCGAGTACAGTCTCCGGGGGCCCCGCCCTGGACGGATCGTCCTCCCCGCTCTGGAGGCCGGGATCATCCAGCGTGGTATACCCATCCTTTGAGCCCGGGGATGGACGAAGCAGCATCACATCCGCATTCACATCCCCATTCCCACTCCCATTCACACGGCCACGAGGCAGACGCCTCAGACCACTCCCCTCGGAAGGATACCTCCGATCCCTCCTCGAAACAACATTCCCGTCGCCACAACCTCTCCCCACCACCAGATTCTCGCGGCCGCCGGCATTCCCACGATGCATACACACGAAAACCCTACCGCGATCTCTCACCAACAGCACCACGCCGCTCCCACGGCAGCGGCAGCCACGAGCTCCGATCTTCAAAGTCCAGCAAATCACGACGCGAAGGCCGATCTCGCTCCAGACCTCCACCTCCCCCAGACATCCAATTCCGCAACCCGATCTTCGACGGGCCCGTACCTGCACCTGCACCAGAACCCCCGCAGTATACGACTATGCCTCCGCCGCGCGCTGTACCTCGCCACCGATTCAACCTTGAACCGGAGGATACCCGAAGAGGTAGCTACAGCGGCGGGAGCACGGGTGGTAGTCGGCCCGGTAGCGGTGGTAGTAGCTCCGAACGGCCGCGCTCGTTTAGTAGTGCTGGGTTTCCGCCGAGGACGTCCCGGTGGACGAGTCCTGTGCGGAGTTCGGCGGCGAAGCGGTATGTGCCGACTACGCTGGCGGAAGATGCTGCGTATAATCCTTCATCGCCGCGTCGAGCGCCGATTTATGACTGATGATTTATGATTTTATGATGCCCTTGCACCTGGGTTTTCTCCGCTCTGCATGTTTGCATATTCTTTTCATCTCTTGATTTGAATCCCTGGTCAACGATTAGGAGTTGACAGTTACGACGTTATGACATATATAGGTGCTCCGGACGGTGGCTCTATTTGATTTTTTGAGCATGTTTTGATTTAGCATCTTGATATTTCTTCTTGTTTTCGACATTATCCAACTCTTCTCTACTTTTTTTCCATTATGGCGTCTTCGCATCGACAACGAGATCTTATGATAGTCACGAACAAACACGAAGCTAGGAATCTACAATGATATCACATCTCATCAAACCTACGGTATCCCAACCATCAATTCCCCCGACCAATAACTATACCCCCACTCCATCCAACTCCTAATACAATCCTAATAAAACGTCCGATCCAACGCCTCCAAAACAACCCTCGGCAACCCCCTATACCTCCCCAACTCCCCTCCTACAATCAAATCCTCCAAACTCCTTTTCTCAACACCCTCACCATCCCAAACATCACCCCCCCAAAGCCCCCACACACTCTCCAGCCCCCCACCTGCGTCTACAATACCACCCCAAACCCAACGGTTTCCCAAAGTTCACACACTCATCAATCTGTCGATCAACTTCGGCAAGACTATGGTGGAAGATTTGGGGCGGGACGCCGTGTCTTTTTTGGAGGGCGGTGGCTATTTCGGCGCCTGTGGTGTGGATTTCGGAGAGAGCGATTGTGCGGTTTGAAAGGGTGGGAATTGGGGTGTGTGGGAGGAGGGTGGAGTAGGCTTTTGAGACGTAGGATCTGGTACTGTGGATTGTATCATGGTTAGTGGAAATGGATATAATGAGAGAGTATATATCTAAGGCTGGATGGATGGGACTTACCATATATTCAGTACTTGATTCTCCGAATCCCCAGAAAATACGATTCGGTTCTTTGCTACATCCACGCCCAACAATCTATCCCAATGCCATTAGTTTCAAATCCCACAAATAATTTTTAAAGAGTGAGAAAGAAGATAAAAAAATTCACCCAGTATTCAACCCCGACTCAGCAAAAACACACGGCAATATCACACAAGTCGAAATCCCCGCCTCTTTCGCAGCCCTCTCTACATCATCTTTGTCCTTATTAACCCCAATCCGAAGACCCTGCTCATCACACCGGAAAGCTAGATCAGAGGGGACGAAGAGTTGCACATCTGTGTGGGGGATTGCTTGGATGAAGGCGTGTTGGAGGGGGATGTCTTCTCTGCCGACGAGGGATCTACGCAACGGAATTTAATTAGCATTTGGAGACAGTAGGTTGAGATTGGGATTAGTGAAATATAGCGGGGAGGGGAGGTGAGTACATCAAAATATCAACATCTTTCATCGCTGCACGGAGAGCATCCTGATCTTGTATGTCCACTTCGATTTCGTCGAAGTCTCCTTTTAAGCCATTGGCGTTGGAGCCGGGTCGGTAGAGGAGTTTTGCGGGGGCGCCGGAGGTGAGGAGGGCTTGGGCGATGGCGGAACTGGCCCAGCCGCGGTGGCCGTAGATTGCGAGGCGGTTGTAGGACATGATGGTAGGTTATGATGTGGTGGAATTGATTTAGAATTGCTTGAAAGGGTTAAAGGTTTTAGTAGGTAGTAAGTATCTTAAAGCTTTGGAATAGTATGATTGATATTTGGGTAGATAGTTCGCAGATTTACCGTTGCCTTTATAGTCAAGCCTCCACGATACATGATCAATATGAGTGAGTGTTTACAAATGATGGTTATGTTTGCAGTATACTCGATCCCGAGATAATCCTTGTTATCTCCGGGTCTAAGTAATTTATACTCCAATGACAAGCTACGATGCCAAGCCCTCGGACTCGAAGGAAGTGTTTGGGGTGTTTGGAATGTTTGAAGCAGTTGGGGGCCAGTCTGACACCCTTTTGAGGCCAATCAGAAGTGCTGAAATAAGAAGTGTGGGCCTTATCGCTGACAAGGCTGTGGTTTGTCTATTTGATTTGGATTTTAGAGATGTTTGTCTTGGATTGTAATATCATTTGTCGCTTTTTATGAGAGAGAATGGACCTATATGAGGCCGGGTACGGGTATGGGCGTATTGCATGTATATCACACCAGACATATCAACAGTGCAGCATGGAGCTCTCCGAGGCAACTCCTCCCATAATAAAAGTCCCCAGCCAGATCCCACCCAGAACAGACATGAAATAGCCCACATTCATCGTCATCACCGCCAGCATCCTAATATTCCTGTCAGTCCAAAGCCACTAAGAATAAAGAAAACAAGTTCATAAACTCACAGTAAATACGCAATCCCCGAAACAACCAATTCATACGTTGCCCGACCCGCCGCCGGATTCACACGCCAGCGCGACCAGCGCCGTCCAAGCTCCTGTATACTCAATTGCACACCCGACACGCGCTTCGTCTTCGCTTCATCCGGAAGATTCTCATCTAACATGCTATGCCGCACGCTATCAGTCCACACACGTCCTTCCAGGATAGGCCGGAGAGCGACGAGTACGCGGAGGAGAACGGCGAGAACGATGAGGAAAATGCAAGTACCGGCGTATTGGCCTTGAGAGGAGGGTGTCCAGGAAATCGAGTAGAGGGGGGTTTTGAACGAGGTGAAGAATGTCATGGCCATGTCGGACATGTACATCATCGAGGAGGAGGACATGTCCATTGAGCTGGATGAGGAGGTTGCCATGGACATTGAGGTGCCCGTGGCTGTGGTGGTCATATGGGACATGTCCATCATGGTGAGTTATATCGGTGAATCTATTTTGATTTGAAAAAGCCGAAGGGTCGAGGACAGGAGATGGAAATGGGATAGGCAGAGTTTCTGGCTATCTACTGGGTATCAAAAAGCAAAACTCGCTATACGAAGCTTCAAGAAGTCTCGGTTAGGAGCTGGAAGAAGTTTTAAATATGTGAAATGAAGACAAAACCCGAACACCAAACGATAGTTCAAATCAGCGACGGATTTTATCCAGTCCGTTTCTTTTAGTAAATAAGGCCCACGCCCAGCGTCATTCCAACAGGACATGACGGGTCTATCCGGTCGAATATGTGGGACGCCATGCGACTCGCACCACGCGAGATATCCTCAATACGAAAAGCAGCAGTCTCCGAAGGACATACACACATCCATCTCAGCCTCGAGAACCAGTCAAAATGCATCTCAAGCAGCTCCGACCGCGTGTCTTAACCACATCAATCCCGGATGGTGCACCATTAAACCAGGTACGATTGGCCCGCGGAAATCGGGCGGAGCCAAGATGCGGGAAGATCCACTTGGTGTGATGGAAACGCCCGCAAATGTGCTCATATTTAAATGGAAGGACGCTTGGATCTGTGAAGCGGATTATTTGCAATGAGAACGCGATAGTAGTGTGATAATGTATGACCGTCAAAGTTGTGGGATTAATTGATATAGATCTGGTTGATCCACTTGTAGAACAGTGAATATGACCAGGATGGAGTGATGGAGCAAATGGCAGAGACAGTGTCCAAGAGGGCAATCATTTGCGCGAGATATGAGAATGTTTGCTGGCTTTTGAGCAGGATTGGGTATCGCGTTTGTTCAAATATACTGACCGTGCGCCCCATCGCATGATCCACAGTCTTTTAGGTCTGTCGCGAGAGCTCTTATGAGCACATTCCAAGACTGCGGCGTCCGGATATCGAAGTCTGAGCCGAGCACGAGTCGAGTTGAGGGGCTGGTCTTGAAAGTGGAGTCGAGTGCTTAAAAAAAAAAGAGAGTTGACTTCTATAGTACGTGGATACCGTAAGGGATTCTCTGTGTCAATGTATTAATAATGCTGACCTGCTCGAAAGGATCGTCTATCACTCATCTTCTCATCCTCCCGTACTCATCCCGACTACTATTCACTGAATAACGACACCCTCCCTTACTAAATACACCTACCAATATCGAAACTGAGAATCATCCCCTCTACCACTCCCGCAGCCATGGACATGGCCATGAGCATGCTCCCCTGGCTGGACCAGCCAGTCCTCCTACACTCCAGCCGCGATGCCGGCACTTGCAAAATGACAGCCGAGCAATGCGCATTGAAAAAATCCTACTGGCTCTTCTGGTACGAGGCAGACCACCGCTACGCTTTGCCCACGGTAGCTTTCTTCCTCGTTGCGATTGGGCTGTTCATAATTGGGCATATGGCTTCAGGAATACTGCCTCGGCGCATCAAGCAGCATTCTCTGCTATCGCGTGTCTTTGCAGGATTCCGGTTCTTGTCGTATAAGGGGTGGAGAATTCGTGGGTGGAATACGCAGTCAATTGGAGTGTTCTTCTTGGGTGCAGCTGGACTGGTTTTCTTCCTCGGTATGTTGAGGGATTTGGAATACTGGAATCGAGACCTAAGATCTGGGAGTCATGCTAACCCTATTATACTATTAGCGATGACCCTCGGACCACGTCCGTACTACTGGCCCAATACGAAGAAGATATCCTATGGCAATTCCCCGCCTATTGCGACGCGAACAGGCTACATGGCTCTGGCTTGCATGCCTTTCCTGATGTATGAAAGCTGCACTCTCCCAGATACATACTTCCAATTTCTGATTGCATGGTCTGACCAACTTACAGTATTCTCGGTGCAAAAGCCAATCCTATTACCGCACTCACTGGCATCTCCCACGAAAAACTCAACATCTGGCACAATTGGGTTGCCTGGGCCATGTTCGTGCTAGCCCTCATCCACACATTTCCCTTTATCGTCTTCCATGTCTGGAAAGGAGATCTCGTGGCGCAATGGAGTAGCGGTGGAATCTGGGTTACTGGCGTGGTGGCTCTCATCGCCCAAGCATGGTTGACATTCATGTCCATTCCGTGGATTCGGTAAGCTTGGTTCCCTGGTCTTGATCTATATTTCCGAGATCCAGCTCCGTACTAACAATACTCTCCTATCAGCAACCGGTACTACGAGTTCTTCAAGGCAACACACCTCTTCATGGCCTTGATCTTTGTTATTTTCTTCTTCTTCCACTGCGACTTCCGCTTGTCCTCCTGGGACTACTTTATCGCCACGGCAGTCCTATACACCTTATCCTGGCTCTACTCGCAGTGCAAGACATACTTCGAACACGGTCTCCGCCACAAGGCACGACTGGTTCCTGAGTCCGACCACACCCTCCGCATCACTATTGATACACGCATGGAATGGGGACCGGGCCAGCACGTCTTCCTACGCTTCATCACCAGCGGCATGCACACGCTCACTGCACACCCATTCACCATTTGCTCCGTCCCACAACGAGACTGCCAAAATCAACTAGTATTCTATGTCAAAGCACGCGGCGGTCTGACAGGTCGTCTAATGGCGCTGGCCCGGAAAAATCCCGACATCCAAGTCCCCGTCCTCATCGACGGTCCGTACGGCGGCATCCCTGAAGGCCGAGTAGGCGAATTCGACAGAAACCTTGCCATCGGCGGTGGAGCCGGTGCCGGAACAACACTCTCTCTAATCGAAGATTTTATCCGGTTCGTCCCCGTCCAGGCAGGACGAGAGATGAAAGTAATCATCGCGACACGCGACCCAGGTATGCGGGCTTGGTACATCCAAGCATTGGCGGATCTTGCGATTCGGCAACCGCAAGAAAAGCCGGTCACTGGTTTATCCATCCACATTCATGAAACTTTCACAGAGAACACTGTGGAGCAGATCGGAACGAATATCAAGACTGAGAGTGGGACAGAGAGTATCCGCTCAAAGGAGTCTGGCCCGTCGACGATAGAACTGTTTAACATCCAGTTCTTTATTGGTCGACCAGATCTCCCGGTTGCTATTCAAAATATGGCAGACCAGGAAGGTGTGTCTGTCGGCGTGGTTGTATGTGGGCCATCATCGATGATTCACGATGTTCGTGAAGCAGCCTCTGTTGCGCAGAGCGATATTCTGTCTGGGAAGTCTGGCTGTGCGAGAGAATTATGGTTGCATAGCGAGAAGTTTTCGTGAGTTTTCCCAGTCTGAAGACTATTAATTTTCATCGGAGACGGTTTCTAACACGGTTATTACAGATACTAAAAATCTATGAGCGTTGATGGAAGAAAGGAGAACCGTCTTTCCCTTTACATTACGTCTTTGGCAATAGCCCGGATACCCACTCCAATATTATGACTATATACTGCATGATTCCCCATCCAAACAGGTTATTAGCACTGTTAGGTATACGTGAAAACAGCCTAAGCTGCTTCCAAGCTTTTCAAAGAAAAAAATTATTTATTTTAACTTTCATTTCATGTTCACTACCATGAACCGCCGAGAAACCGCCCACGGCTTTATATGCCCAAGTTTCCACTCCAAGCTTGCTCATTCAGCATGATCGACAGGATTCGTCAGTCGTCCCCGCGGAACCCAGGCATCAGCCGGCGTAAAAAACCACGAAACAATCGCAAAGATGGTCACAATAGCCAATATAATTGGCGCATCTAAAAACGTCATGTCAGTAAATCAAAGCCATCTTCAGGGGACATCAGAAACCAAAACCTACAGTTCAGCGTAGAAGCCTCCACAGGAAACGAATAGGGTGAAAATAAAACCGCCACAACCCACCCATTCCAGAGCACCGAGACAACCTGAAAAGGCTTACTCAATCGACCCAGTGACCACTTTGCCTCGAGAGGCTCGTTGGGAGTGAGTATGAGTCGACCAAGACTGATCAGCCCGTACGCAGCAGCGGAGGGAACTCCTGCTGCCGAGACCAGAGAAGTAAATGCAACTGCGGACGGGAGAATGGTGCAGGTAATAATGGCGGCAATGCCCCAGACAACGAGAACGGCGTTCTGGGGCTGACCATCGGCAGAGACGCGTGATACCCATTTAGATGCCGGGAGGACGCCGTCACGGGCAACGGCGAAGACTAGTCGAGATGCGGCAGTGATTGCGATGGCAGTGTTCTAACGCCGTCGTTAGATTGCTATTGTGCATGGGATGAATTTGGAAAGTGAATGGTTTCTTACCAGCCACAGTGCCACCACGGAAAGAACGTTCATGACGAGATGTCCCCCGCGGCCGAGAACAGCGGCATAGAGAGGGACAAAGGGTTGGGGCGCATCATAGGAGAAGAGCACATCAATCGGGGGCTATTCGTCAGATCATATTAGCATACATCATTCACACCCAAAAAGATCCAATCTCAAGACTCACAGAGGTAAATAAAAAGAGGATCACAGCACTAAATCCCAAAACCCCACTAACAACCGTACTCCAAAAGATACCCTTCGCCGCATTCACAGAAGCATTCTTAGTTTCTTCCGCAACGTGGCCAGACGCATCGAATCCAATCAGAATTCCCGCTGTGGCAAGATAAGACAGACACCAATTCCAACCTGCCGGTGCGCCAGTGCCGTTATACGTGGTCATGAAGGCTTCATTTGCGGTTCTGAGGCCATAGGTGTTATGTGCGCCAACTGGGAGCCAGATGACGTTTAAGATGAAATCGAGAAAGACGGCTCCAGTTGAGAACCAGAATACGTATCTGAAAATGCGGGCTATAGCCATGTTAGTGTTGGTCGAGTAGTGAGTTTTGAAGGATAGTCTTACGAGAAGCAAGATTCATCAATGCCGCTAAAGCAAGAAGAACCTCGGTGCAGATCCATTGGACGGCGCGGAACTTGATACTGGAGGAATCAGTTGGGAAGTCGACGTTGAAAACAACCAGTTCCTAAATTCTATTAGTTTTGATTGAACCATATTGATCGACCTTAGTCCAGAGCATACCGATAGCATGTAGTTGACGGCCGACTGGGTATTGCCTGATGTGAAGGTCAATCAGTAGGCTTGTCGAGGTGAGGATTTCTCGAGAAACATACTGGCACAGAAGGTTGTCCAGGCCGTCGTACTCCACCAAGCAACGATAAAGCCAAAGAAGCGCCCGAATTTCTTTCCACCAGCTTCTGCTGCCCAAAGATAAATTGAGCCTGAAGTGGGAGATGCAGAGCATGCTTCTGCAATAACGGCCGCCGTGATGAATGTAAAAACACACGTCACAATATAACTTGTCCTGCACGCTTGTGAGTATCATGCACCGCAGTAGAGCTTTCTCTGAGGAATTGAGGCTGAGAGGTTTTATTTACTTACCAGTAGGCCAGTGGTCCTCCAGCCGCGATTCCAGTCGAGAAGGTTACTCGCACACCACCAACGAAGTAGAGAGCAGCTAATAGTCAACGTAAGCTATTTGGAAAGAGTGCGACATAAATACTCAGTGTTTTATACCGAACGAGGTTGAAAAGTTCTCAAACAAGGAATAGCTACGATGTAGCACCTAACTCGGTAGTATTGGTGAGCATTGACTGCACAATAAGCAAGTTGACATGGATCTCCACATACTTGTTTGTAACCCAAACGCTCCTAGAAAGGTTCATAAACCATGTCAGCTTCCTCGAATCGTTCAACTCATCAGTTTCTCCTTACCAGAGTAGATTCATCGTTCGCGTTGTCCTCCAAAGAGGAAGAAACCTCGGGCTCTTTGACATTTGCCATTTTTCGGCAATCAATTGAATGACAAGAGAATCTCTTCTCAGCAGCAGAATCCAAAAGAAATTATGACATGAGGCTCTGACTATTAAGCAATTCGAGCGCATCTCGGCAAGCGGGCCAGGCCTTTCCGTCCCGCGGACACCGCGAAGGGCGGGAAAACGATGGCTCACCCTGGCACCAAATTAAGCGCCACTATGGCGCGAGACTATCCACTATGCCCGTTTAAGGCTTCCTGCCACGCGTAGGCCACACGATATGTGGGGACTTCTCTGGGGGCAGTCTGCCTGTGGTTCAAACTATGTCACCTCTGAACGGGATTGCGTTATAAGGCCAAGAGATTACCTGATTCCTCGCCGAATGCCGTTCTCTTATTCGGGTGAAGTGCCATGGGATTTGGTAGGTGCATGCGACAACTTTTATTTTGTTTAAAATGGAAAAAATATTTCAAAGACGCAATGGCAAAGTGTATCAGACTTTTGAGCAGATGAGATTTGATCGATTTTGCGAGACCAGAATTAAAGGAAAATGTCAATACTTTTGAACTGGGGCATAGTCCTTCTTGCCAGTGCTCTTGGGATCAAAGTAAGGAAAAGCAACTGATCATCTGAAACTACAACAAGACATGAAATTAATTACCTTGCAAGATCATCTACACATACTTCTTTTCGCCTTTATCGCATATCCCCAATGCTGGGCTTTTAGCTCCGATCTCACGGTTCCTATGGGAATTTCCGCTGGAATATCGAGGACAGCTAACCCTGGAGCTGCCAAAATTACACAAAAAGCTTGGTAAGTTAGAATCAAGCTCAAACTCTTACTCTGATAATAATATTCTGACGTATAACTAGGCCCTTTGGTTCGCATTGGTCCAAATGAAGTATCGTTCTACTCCCTGGATATCTACAAAAAGGTCCATGCACCAAGCAGTGCTTTCGTCAAGGACCCTCGGGTCTACGGCCAGTTCGTACAAGACGGGCATCCGGCCTTATTTTCTATAACGTGAGTTTTGAAGCACTCGACTTGAACAACACACCTTTTGACTCGGCCATTCCAGCGACTCTAAGGAGCATGCACAACGACGCAGACATATGGGCGTGCTTTTCAATCGTAGCCGTGTACCATCTCTTATTCCGATGATGTTAGAGCAGATTTTTAAATTCAATAATCTTCTCGCCGATATATGCCAAAAGGGACCAGTTGATCTTGTCCCTACCTGCCGGGCTCTCGAGGCTGATATTGTGTGTAAGTACTGCCCGACAGCCTGGAATATGGGGATTTGCTAACAAGTCGGATACTTAGCGAGGTTCGCCTTTGGAAGCCCCATTGGAGCGATTGAGTCGTTAGCTTCAGGGGAAGAGTTAAGCGCTGTCAAAGAAAATGACTTGAAATCATCAAAGATGCCACTTGTGAGCGCGCCGACTCATGCTACGAGAGTCGCGACAGCTAACCTTACATATCATTTTCTAGTACACCAAATTTCCAATTGCAACTCAGACGTATGACTCTATCACAAATCTCATCTTCGATGTCACAGGATGGGATGTATCCTCGGTCGCAAGTTCTAGGTGGTTTGATACGGTAAGACGTCTGCACGATAGTGGTTCTAACCATGTGTATAGAAGTGCTGATGAAATATGCAGTGGGCGAATGAGCAGTTAGAGGCATCTCTAGACTCGGAGAAAGCCTCAAATATCTCATTTTTGAAAGTGATGGCCGGGCCGAGACTATCCACACAGTCTGCGTTGTCCGAGGCTAAGGAAATGTTGGGTCCTGGGACTGATACCACTTCAGCCACACTTGCACATATCTTATGGGCTCTTTCCCTTAATAAAAGGTTGCAAGATGACCTTTTCCTGGAATTGGAGCAGGCTAACTGGCCAACTGATATGGCTGCACTGGAGTCCATTCCCCTTCTAGTTGCATGTGTCAAAGAAGGAATTAGGTGGACTGGGGCGGCAGCTGCCATGCTACCCAGGATCGTTCCAAAAGGAGGTTCTGTACTTGGTGGAAAGTACGTGGCAGGAGGAGTAAGTTTTTTTTTTCTCTTGTTTTCTTCTTCTTTTTCGTCCCGATGTCGAGCTGATTCATACCGATTGACTATCAAAGACAATGATCTCCAGCTCGCCGATCTGGTATTTGCACGATGAGATCGCCTTTCCAGAGCCGCATAAATATCGACCAAGTCGCTGGCTGTCAAAGGATGTGATTGAAGCAACGACACTAAGTAACGAATATTATATCCCCTTCTCGAAGGGCCCAGGCACATGCGTTGGAGTTCAGTGAGTACATTTACGTCCTTCCGTTTCTGTCATGGCGGTTAGTCCTCCACGGGTTAATGGACGGCTAACAAAGGTGCAAAATCTAGCTTCGCATACTTGGAGCTCTTCCTTTCAGTTTCACATATTTTGAAGAAATACTCCATTGATTCACGCAGTGACCTCATTGTGGGCGGCGATTTTGAAGCTGCGTTACCGCCACGGCGAGAGTGGGTTGCTGCCGTGCCTACAGGACCGCTCCATGTCTCTCTTCGGCCGCGAGACTCGGCGCTACAAAGCAAAAATACGATTGAAGGTCCTGATGTAACATCACTCCAAGCGGCTTGATTCAATTTTGATGGGCTGTCATATTGTTTCACGTGAAAGCTGAGGCTTCCAAATATATTACCTCTTTTAGTCTTAGGACATATACACGAGTCTACGCCAAAACACATCACCTATATCCAAAAAAAGTAGGGTCAGGTAAGACTGGCCTCTCAAGAAACAGTCTTTGACTTCCTTGCACAATCTCACTTGGTACCTTGCGCCTACCCGATTAACAGGCTTCTATTTTGACTCGTTGATTATTCCTTTACAAGGACGAGATTACGTAGGAAGTTAGCAAGGGCTTTCTCGAGTTTAAAATCAGAATGCATTAGAAAAGTCTGAATTAATACATCATTCAACGCTCAGCCACTCTTCTGATTAGCCCGTGATCTAGTGTCTCGCTGACGAGATTGTATATTAATCCAAGCTTGCCGCAGAGACATCACATCTATATCCGCATAATAAGACCTAGTTTGCCTTAAGAGTCTAATTCTAGCTCTTTGACTCACGAAGCTTCCGTTTCTCCGTTAACTTAAGCTTCTATCAAAGCATTTCCCTTGTCGAATAGTTCGAAATCTGCTGTATTGGCCGTTGTCTTCTGGCTTGGGCTCGGGTACGAGGTTGATTGACAGTAAAGATAGATTCCGTAACAAAAGTTATGAAACCGTCGATGAGCCCTTGGTAGGCGGGAGGATAGCTTTCCGGCTCATTCTCCTTATCGTCACATATACGGTTGCCTAACTTGAGAACAAGTTGGCCATCTCGCGAGTTCTTCTCCTCGGCCACTTCGCTTGCGATGGAGCTTATTAGGGGAAAACCAGAACGTGCAATTCCATAGAATTTTCTACTGTAGTCTTTGCTGTGGCCTTGACCTCAACTGGAAGTAGGATAGGGAACTGTAGCTGATCGGCAAGGTTTGGATCTGCATACCAATCATGATAACTCCTCGGGGGCTACGAAGCAGATCGTGGCAACAAATCGACAAAGAGCAGCTTGGAAAATCAATAACTCGAAACATAAATTCTGAAACAGTCTTCACTTGCCACGGCAGCATCCATTGTACGCTTATCAACGTGGACAGCGATATTAAACAGAGTCTTTTGGGCAGTGTTAAAAAAAGCCTTCGTACAAAATTTTGAGGCCCGCAGGTAAGACATATGTTCAATTTGGGAGGGGGCTTACGCTAGCGAAATTCGTCATAAAGGCGTGAGCCAATGCGAACCGGGTCTCACGAAAGCGAGTAAAATGGTCACTCTTTGAAATTCCTTCAATCTCGAATAACGCGAGCGCCCAAAAAAATGAGAATCATTGGAAAACGTCTCCCTGCTGCTGATGGCCTGCCTGTATTAGTCGAGCTCATCGCTGTCGAGGGAACAGCTCAACTCATGTAGAAATATGACATATCGGGTGGAGACAATCATATCATCATTTACAACGACAGCCGGAAGCTAGTCGCATCGCTTCAAGGAACAGAACCAAAACCAACCGACCACTATTGCCTACGCCGAGTTATCGTTAGGAGCCCTTCGGAAGCATCGACATATATAATCCGGTACTCACAGAAGTGAGAGGGTGATATCACCCTCGATCCTGGCCTTTAATTGGACCTCAATGTCAAGGTTAAGATCTAGCCGTAGTCTTAATTGATCGTTGCTCTTTTTTGAGCTTTCAGGTTCCTCAGTCGAGTCACCGGTAATCAAACTTTTTGCATGTGTATGTGTCCGTTCTGCCTGCTCCGGTTGCTTAATCTCACGGCTTGTGCCTGGCGCTAATTGTTTATCTCTACCAGATGCGCTCGAAAACGGCTGCTTTTGACCTGCACTACTTCTGCGGGCCTGTAGGGTTTCGGATGTCCTCTGTCTGTGTTCAAGTGTGGGAAATCGGTCTGGCTCCGGTGAGCCCGTGAGTCTCATTTTCTGTGGGGAATAGTCATCGCTTAGAGTTCTCTGACCTTGCGATTCAGGAATATTGTCCGAAATCTCCTGGAGTAGAATAAGTCATTGTACTCTCGGGAATTTAGGAAGAGCCACTTGCACTCTTGTTATTCTGCTCTAAATCCATTTCGAGTAGATAGTGGTGAAAGCGAATACGACATAGTCCATGAAAATGGCTGAGAAGGTTGTGGATAGGAACAATAGCTTTTTAGCATCACACATATATGGGAAGTACTTCGCCTCCTGACGTCACTATTTCACTAAGGACAAAGGGCAATTACTATGCACAAATTATTTGTGACTGGACAGCACGTGACAAAGGAATCCAAACACAGAGTGGCTTACCATAATCAGCTAAACCTAGTACTTCCCCTAGCTTTCAACACCTATTAAGTTAGTTAGCCCCACACCAATATCCTGTTTGTCACGAAACCTCCGTCCAAACCTCTTAGAACAGGGCATTCTCAAGCTCTGAGTGAGCCTTGCTAATAATTGAAAATCCTCGTGTTAGAGAGAAGCCATAATAAATATAGGATGATATTAATGGCACGACAAGAGCGTTCATGACACGACATACTAAGCCCCTTTCGGTTAGCTCCCACCCGCCGCCAAAGTGTACCCTCCACCCCTACAAAAATACTGCTAAGCCATGCCGCGTTACAACAGAGCACCATTTATAAAAGTAGCAGAAACTTTCTAATTACTCATAGTTAAGTAGTCACATACTTAAGGTAGAATTAATATATAGGCTTACATAGAGAGATATGGATGTATACCTGAGGCCTCAGCCGTGTTCATGCAGAAGTCGAAGGTACCTTTTTGTTAGTGGGTGGGAGCTAACCCAAAAGGGGCTTAGTTTGTCGTGTCATGAACGTTCTTGTCGTGCCATTAACGTGATCCTAAATATATCAGGAATGACAACAGGAATGTCGTATGATAATATAGTGGGCTTTGCGCGTTTTTTTAGAAGGCGGTGGACAACCCTCCTAGGCGGTCTGGTAAGTGGATTTCCAGAGGGTGCCCAAGCTTTTGTGAAGCACTATGACACTTGTGGACATGATGATGTCCACAAGGCCTTAGGTATTGTGTTTGGTCAGTGCATGATTAGACCTTGCCAAATCTGGGTTTAAGGGACCCTGGAAGGGATGGATAACGCGTATTGCGATACCAACACGCAGTCAAGACGAAGAATGTCCTCGTCAACCTTCAACTAATGTACCGTACTAAATGATACGGGTAAGGCCTTGAGCGATTAGTGGCCAGCCCTTCTCCCTCCACCAGCCCTCCTCCTTTCCCTCTGGCTTTCCAAAAACATTAAACACTAAGCAAAGCTACATCTTCATATTATGATCGGGAACTAGCCGACAGCTACACGCCAGATAGCTGAGCAAGAAAATAGAGTCATCGACATGACTAAGAGTTAAGCTCTGCCTGAAACTGTGTTAATCTGGAGAAGCCATAGAGCTCGGTTTCTAAATAGGAAGTGGGAAAACAGTTGTTTAGCATCACCTTTAGCATTAATTGAGGACATCTCTAGGACAAAACATCCAGTGTGCAGTAATCAGAAGCCTTTCTCAGGAAACACAGGCCGTTTCCTTGCTAAGCTAGTAAAGATTGAACATTGCCAGCCCCTACTTGTGATGCCAGCAGCTTTCCACCAGGTACTCGTAGTCACAGACGCTAGTCTTCGTCTGGAACGCAGTTCCGGGTCCGCAAGTCTTCAAAACCGGTTTTCCGCCCACAGGACATTCATAGAATCGATGACAGTTTTCAGGGTCGGCCCATGCCACAGCGCCAGCGGCGGTATCAGAGATTGGTGTAGCTGTGACGGCGGAAAAGAGGATGCAGGCCATTATGGCGTTCATTGAGTTGTAGATGAACTGCATAATGTTGACTATGGCTCAGTTAGTTACGGGGATTGGAAAGCACGGGAACGGTAGGTTAGACATGCTTGGTTTTGGTGCTTGGTAATAGACACAAAGGAAGTCTGAACGTAATTGGGCCAAGTTGCTGACAGTTTTGAGGGACTGCTGATGGTGAAGCGCTGAATCTGAGGTCTCTGGGGTTTATATATCGTCAATCGATTTTATGTAGGCTAAAATTCCATCCCTGTCATCGGCTACTGTGCCCTCATGATGTTGAAGAGGAGCATGTACATATTTTGGCTGGAATTTGCTTCAATATTCCCGCATGTATTACTAGCACTTGCAATTCAAGATAGACCTGAGCATTCAAGGGGAGCTGTCAAAATTAGGGTGCAGAGCGGGTTAGCGGAACAGTGCTTCTGGTGGTTCCCGATTAGAAAAGCCTTTTCCTCTCATGTTCATTCAGCAAGGCTGTTCCAACCAATATCTTCAGAAGGGCTCCTATTCACGTCAAATAATCTCACTGTCTCCGGAAGAAAGATCACAGCTTGTACAATTATTTGCCTTCCTGGCTCCCCATGTCCCAAATGCTATCAATACTTCCCTCTTGTGTAGTATCTTACAGAAAAGTGACAGCTAGCGAGGGGTCGTCGTCCTCTAATCTTGCGGCATTTACATCCAGGCTACGCTCATGACTGATTGGTTCGCCATGTGCCCCATTCTGTACGTTATCTGCATGTTATTTCCTGCCACTGCACGTGCCCGGGTAGCCAAACAGGTCACAAAAACGTAATATGCTAGAACGCTACGTTCTAGCCAGCCCTGGACCAATAGAGGTAGCGCAGGTCGTTAGGCCTAGGCAGGCGAGGCCTAGGTCCTAACATTTTGAGCATTTTGGGAAACTAGTCATCGCAACCCTATTAATAACCCCGACACAGGATGCCGGTCACCGCCATCAAATTCCTAGTAAAATTTTCAACACCTTGCAAAACTAGTCATCACAACCCTACTATCCCAGCACAGGATACCGGTCATCGCCACTAAACTCCTAGCCGTAATCATTTCCGAAAGGCCTAGTCCATTCCAGGTACCTGGGTGATCTACCGCACATATATTCCTTAGCTCTTTCAAGCACCGGAATTCGAAAGAGGCAGATGTGTGCGGGAAAATCTAAGAGATGTTACCCTAGTCAGTAGATCCGGTTTCAAAAAGCTAACCATGGCGTATAATTAGTTATTCTAGATTACTTATAAACTCCTGAAACCTTCGCGCAAGGGTGGGCTCACGATCAAGTAGGCCTAGATCTAACCTATTTCTATTTCCTACGTTACATCCAGTGGCGATAGCATCTATGCCAGGCACTTTCTGACGCAGTCCGTATATGTTTGTATCAGTTTACCATTCGGATAAGGGTAGTAGTATATAAGTTCGGAGATGCGTTAGTTAATTTCTCGTCTCTATAATAGGGATACAGACCTTAAAGAGAGGGCCAGGGATCGTACACCATTAGAGACGCACCTATAATACCGCTATATTCTTCCGCTTGTAGATTCAATTTACCGATAATGTAAGCCAGAGCCACGAACCCAGTAATGCTAGCAGTCGAAAAAAGGTTATGCCCGCAACGATATCCGAGACCGGGAAAAGCGTCGTACTCCACGTTTAAATCTCAGTTACCGACCACCACACTTCAGCCTTGGCCTTGGCTGTAGCTTTGAAAGAGGTGCAGAGGCTACGGAAGTACCAAGGAGCGATGTTATTAAATAGAGTGTTTAATATGCGGTAACTCGACAGTCGCCAAGGGAACGAATTCGACAATATAAATAACTGCAGGCATGGAACTAACATCTTGGGTTATTACGAACCAAAGCAAGCGCCGGCTACGCAAAATACGGAAGAATTTCAAATATAGAAAGAAGGGTTCGAGACGTAATGGAACAGTGGCTTCAGAAAAGCCTAAGCCAAGAAGAGAGTTATCTAACTCAGTACGAGCTAGAGCAAGCTAGTCATGGAAGGGAAAACGTACAGAGAAGTCTAGAATGAAGCCCCAGACCCCCGAGAGCTGAGATAGATGAGGATTAGACTTGAGCGAATCAGAAAATGTCCAACCAACGGCGCGAGTTTGAGACGATTTGAAGTGCGTTTCGCAAGCTCCGCACGCTGATACCCAGAAATGACAGGGACTTTTTGAGAAAAAACAGGTTCAACATCAGAATAGCAACTTCATTAGATAAGGCAATTCTTACGGCAATGCAAACATGTTAAGCATGACAGCTCTAAACGTGGCTCTGGAAAATCTCTGGCAAGCTAATCTCTAGTAAGCTATCACACTTTCCGCTGCCACTCCCACATCCTGGATGTGACAGCTTATTCGTCATCAAACATTGCGAACAGAATCTAATCTACTAAATTAATCCACGAATATTTTATGATCGCAAATGGGACCAATCCCGCACGATCTAGTAAACAAGTGCGTATACGTAATCATCAAGGTACTGTATTTGCTCCGCTTATCCCGGCAAAAGAACGACTTTGGGTTTTCCCTCTTTCGTCGAATCTTTTGATACGTCAAATGGATCCTCAACGTTCTCGTACTATATGAACTACTTATGTAAGGACCTTGTGACACTCCAATTTCTCTGATCTGCTTATGTTACCTTCTCCTATATATCTCGTGTTATAAGTTCTGTTCTGTATCCTAGTCCAATAAGTCAGGTTTGACATCTTTGGTCTCAAGTTGAACTCTCCTCCATACTTGATCAATCTGTGTTGACCCTCTATTGTACAACCTTTTTATCGAATAAGCGAATCTCCACTCCCTCATGTTTAGTCTTTGATAGATTTGATTTTTTTTTATGAATAATATTTTTCTTCCACGATCGTGTATCCCTGCTTAGATCGCACGACCTTATTTTCCCGTGCACTACGTTCTAAGAGCCCAAAGGCGCTTAATGCACACAGCCCAAAATCCGACAGTACCACTAACCTTTGTTTTTATTATGATACATCGACTGGAAAAAATGGGTTGATAATAGAAAATAAGGGCTGCCGTAGAAGCAGCGGCAATTTCAGAATGGAAGGCCCCACCTGGGTGGAGGGAAGTTGATAGGTAGACTGACCTATCGATAGAATAACCTCTGATATCTAATTTATCGATATATCCTTATACTTCTCTAGAGTAGCTAGAGTAAGCTATTTAAGGTATATAGAGCTATCCTCGTTTCCTATTTATTCTAATACTTATAGATAAAGCTATATAACGCAATATATATAATTCTTTTATTAAATTTCTTTTAAAGGTCTTCTAGGAGTATCTTCTTCGTTAGTAGAGTATCTCTAGGCTGGAGAAAAAAGACAGCAGACATTACTAGCACCCTAGGCACAAATTTATAGCACAAAGTTAGGCGGTAGAGGAAAAGTGAGAAGTAGGTGACAACGGGTGATCTAGGTGAGAATCTTCACTCTATTCTCACCCACTCTTACCCCGTTCTGTCCTCTATCACCCCGGTCTTCAAACTTCTCACCCATATTACCCACACTCACCCTAAGACTAAATACAGAGCCATTTTAGAGCTCAGGGCGCATTGAGAATTGACTGCGTACTATAACGGGCTTATGTGCGGCAGATAGTCGGATGGTGAAGCTACATACCGTAGCACGTATGTTTCCCTCAGAAATTTTGTTAAGGACATGCTTGGGGAGGATTGTCTTTGAATGGTTTAGCGTCAAGAAATAGGTACAGCAGATCCTAATTATGCCCTGAGGCTCATATTTGTAGCCCGTAGTCAAGTTGAAGTGGAAGAGTGGGTGGTTTAGGTAGGAATCGTCGCCCTGTTCTCACCCGCTCTCACCCCGTTCTCACGTCTATCACCCCGGTCTCCAGACTTCCGACTAATATCACCCACACCCACCCCACGATTAATCTAACACTATTCTAGACCTCAGGGCGCATTGAGAATTGGCTGCGTACTACAATAGGCTTAAGTACGGCTGAGCGGACGGGAAGCCCTGTTCTCCACACCCTATGGTCGTATGTGCTATTTCAAGTGTTTTCATGGATCACAAAGTATCAATGCATTGAACTGCCCCTTTTGACACTTATCACCAGCCCGTGAATGAATTAGAAGATAATCTTCTTCGGCGGGGGCCCAAGAAGAGCTGCCGATACATGTCGCGGATTACCCGTGACCATAAGCATCAGCCACGGGTATCAATGAATGTACTGTTTGGGAGAACTCGAGATGGATTTTTCTTCTAGCACTTCGAATTATAGAGCATTGATTGGACTAGGAGAGGATCGAATGGTAGCTCCTTTGTTAGGGTGGTTGACGTATCTAACATTACAGCGCCTACGGCACTGCTGGCACAGGAAGCGAAAAGAGGAGAAGGGGGAGACTGAGTCAACTGGTTTATCTAGAGCAAGCTGACGAAGACGACCAGAAGAAGAAGCAACAGGAAACAGAAGAAGGCCTATATAGGGCTAAGCACAAAGGAACGCAAACAGGCCTGGGCCTGACAGGAAACACTCAGCCAACACCTGCAAGACCTCGAGGTTAAAGGAATCGAGTCATCCTAACCAAATCGAATCACAGAAAGAGACTATGGCAAAGATTCGCGATCTGCTGGAATATATGACGAAGTTTTGATCAGAGTTTCATCTGATGGTGAGCAAGGCAGATAAATCCTTCAGACCATACAGATTCCTAATTGACCATAGTATCCGACGAAGAGTCAAAGTCAATTCTGGAGGTTGTAATTCTGTCGGTGTGCCAGGTAATACCACTATCAGTGGACATGAACGTAGATTCAGTAACGTTATCGAGTTTCATGACATTGGCAAACTTCGTGTCGGCCTCACTCAGCGTACCTGTGAGGTTGGTGATATCTAAAGCAAGGTTAGCATGTACTACCAGATTTCTAACAAAGACTCAAAGGCATACCGTAGCCAGCGATTGTACCGCAGCCTGCAGAGCCGGTATAGCATTCGTTGCTGGAGTGAGGTATTGAAGTGACGCATCGAGAGCTAAAGCTTCAAGTTTAGTGATGTATTTATCTTGTGAGAATGACACTACTCACTGTCGCTTTGCTTCGAGATAACCTTGCCTTCCATGGTGACAGTCTGGACGACCTTACCATTCACGACGGCAACTATAGTTTTGTGTTAATGAGTAGTTCAGCATTCCATGGACTGCAAGGTACACTGACTCTCAAAGTCAATAGCGGTGTTCTGTGGAACCACCACATAGGTCTGTCCAACTTGGCCACCTAGATATTTGACGGTTTCAAACATCAGCGAATCTTTGATCGTCTCCAGACAACCCTGTAGTCAAGAGGTTCTTACCTGGCGTGTAGGTGCTAGCGGCGACCCACCACTCGTCCGCAGACGCAGATCAACCTCTATATTGGGAAATCTTTTCAGTAAGAGCCATCTCTGTGTTGTTCTTGCGCTTCATTTTCACGTACTGCGACTCTTGATCAGGGGACCAGTTGAACAAAGGCTGATACAAGTTGGCATTGTGGTCACCAGCGGTTGAGGAGGCCCCGACCCAAACAGAGGCCCAAATTTCGTCTTTTTTGTTGGACACAGTTGACCTCAATGGAACTGACGGGGGCAAGATAGAATATGTGGCCTTGATAATACGCGAGTTTCCAGAAGGAGGTCCAAGAGAGAACATACTGTTCCCGAAAACCCACGAATCAGAGGGCTGCGGGGTGGCGGCGCCGATAGCGGCGACCGCAGGCAGGAAGGTATAGACAGGGCGCATTTTTGAATGAATTATTTTAGGAGGCAAGACAGTAAAAACGCTTCAAACCCCGGTCGTACTTGGAAATGAAAAATATTTTCAGAGCGAGGGCTGAAGGTTAAGTAGAAGACCTAGGGCATAGCAACAAACGAAAGCACCGACCCAGGTACCCATATACAGTTATTTTAAGGGATAGGAGGACCGCCGGTATATTTCAGCCTTATTAGCTTAATATCAAGCGTGGGTCCGGGAAGTTGCATGCTTGTGATGCTTAGTTTCCAATTACTGCGCTCGGAAGTGAGACTGAGACACGGATGTTTCGGTTCCGATTTAAATGTCACTGAAGCAACTTTGCTGTAGGAGTTGCTTTCTATTTGAGGGGCACACTTTTTCTCGCTATATTTATTCTGATATAAACAACTTTAATCTTATATTGTCAATTCGGAAGTCTCAGACTATAGCGTGTTGATCACGGTTCACAGTTCATATCAATCGAGGGATATCAGACCGCTCCATCACAACTGTAATTGATCCCTCACCAGACCCACCAATTCAAGACAAGCATCCTGCCACTTATAATCTCGGATTAGCTCCTCCGGGAATAATCTACTCATGTCTAGTGCGAACGAAGAACTTCACTCACTTTACGGCGAAATAATTCCCGAGAAACAATCGAGCATACCTCTGAATCTAAATAAACACGAATTACTAAATTCTGTTCAACGAGCCCCTCGATTCAATAATTTTAAAAGAATCGTTTGAATGCCAAGTGATACATTTCCAGTTTTCAACTGATTTAAAGAAAAGCCGAACAACCTTTCAATCCCCTCCTCTCGAGGCTTAGCCGGCGCTTTTAGATATCACTCGGGCCTATTGATTCGCAAGATTGATGCGATTCGGCACACAGCAGCAATGAGTATATTGAAGGCGGTGTTGCACCCACAGGCCGGTCTTGAGCGGTCCGGTATCCTGTTAAGGCGCGCTTTGAGCCACTTTGTTGTATACACATATGTAGTTTCAACACAAGTGAGGGACAAGGAGCTTCACAGACGCCCTGGTTATGTATTTTGAGTCCGGTAAATATCGTATTCTCGCTCTTGTTGTTGGCTACATGGCTGGATTTTCATCACCAGTCGTGCCCAGGGCTTTCTCAAACTCGACAAAGTGCAGGTCATCGGGTAAGTTCAGGTCTTTGAACTCCTCGAGAGGAAACGGGGTAGTCTCCCCCGTCTTTCGGAAGCCGCGACGCATATACCACGATATAAGACTCTCCCGGTTCGAAAGAGCATTAAGTCTCAGCGTTTTAGGGCCCCACTCGCGTTGGCAGTAGTCCTCGGCGTAGGTAAGAATCTGCTTTCCAATTCCACCCCGATGGCATTGAGGGTCTACCGCGAGCATAAAAAGACGAGCGCTGTCTGGAGCACGCTTGGAAACTCCAATCGTCCCCAATAATTTGCCGTTCGCGTCGCTAGCCATCAGGAAAGTACTGTCGGGGTTGGTGATAATGCTCGCAACGGCCTTGTCTTCCATGGAAAATCGTGACGCGAGATCCGAATTCCCGACCCATCCCTGTCTGCTGTCTTCGGCGCGGAAGGCTGATTCTATCAGCTGTCTGATGACCATGGTGTCATCTTCAGTCGCGATGCGGAAATGTGTGTTGTCGGTAGACATTTTTGCTTGCTGGAATTTAGGTTGTGAAATCCCAGTGTTCCAGCTCCTGGTTTAAATACTCGACTTTCATTTTGAAAATGCACTTTCTTCGGCACGCCCTATCATTGACACGCGCCCTATCATTGGAACCCTCTAGTCCTATTCGGGCTGACGTGGTAGCCAGCCATCGTTCATCTTAGAATGTATTGAGGGATTTTAGAAGATGGTTGCCTAAACCTATGATGGGGGTGCCAAAGCACCAGGTGGGTTGGATCTTAAGCCACTATAGAGAGAAATAATGTGAATGGTCTATATTCATGTTCGAAGAGGTAGCAAAACAAGAAAAGGTAGGGATTGGCAGAACGAAAGTTCGACCATTGCAAAAAAAGTTACTCTCCCTCGGGGAATCGAACCCCGGTCTCCCGCGCTTATCAGTGTTAATGACAAGCGGAAATCATGACCACTAGACCAAGGAAGAAGGACTTGATGGTTGAGTTACTGCTCGACCACTTGGTACTGGTTGATGTTGACATTGGGTTTCCTTGGCTATATGAAGGAAAACTTCTCGACCGTGAATCTACTACTTGGGCGCCCCCATTCCACACCAGCACATAGGGAGATCGGACTCTTTGAAAGATTCAGTGGAGCATTTTTGGTGTCTGCAAACCCCTGAATAAGTTGAAAGGAGTCACATTGGTCTAGGTACCTAATAGCATTAATTTATTTGGATGTAGCTTAGTCAATTTGGTCGGTCGGACTGGAGATATATATCTGTGCCGGCGAGAGGACCCAATCTGCGTAGATTCCCGTACTAGGTATGAGTGCTATCTATCCTATTCTTTGCATGTTGGCTTGAACTGCGTAGAGTAACGTCGGCAACGAGCCAGAGCTATATACTTATATGATGGCAAAAAGCTGAATATTTCCGACAGGTACCGTGAACCACAATAGTTGACACAGCCTATTCACAGCGCTATCATTTTTGAGAATTTTCTTTTCAAAAAAGAAAAAAACCCAAAATAACAATAACATACAACAGCCAGGATTCGCATGTGGTCACCCACCATACTACTAACTGGCCGGCGTGTGGCTTAAGTACGGCTGAGCGGACGGGAAGCCCTGTTCTCCACACCCTATGGTCGTATGTGCTAGAGGTGAAAGGAACATAATCTATGACTGCTCCAAGTTCAACAAAACCTCTACCATCAAAGGAACACGCCGCTTCCACGGGCCACGTCTTTGTAGATAAAACCCACGGAGTGTCCAAGGTTGGACTGCCAACGATCCCCTTCACGCTCAGCGCCTATATCCGAAACACGGGCTCACTGGTGAGAAGTCGAGAACGGTCACCCCCTTCAGGTGGTGGCGGTGTCCTGCCGGACCCTAGATCTGTCATCTGGGCGATGTGCCCAGCAGGATCGAAACAAGGGATGTGATCATGGCGAATGCCAGGGACGATGTATTTGCATGGTGCCGAGCGGAGATCCTGGCGCCCTTGGCAGTCGGAGCAGGAACGACGATCTCGAAGGGAAGGGCGACTGACAAGGAATACCTCTCGGAGCAAGACGTTTCTCTTCATCCTCGAGCTGGCAATACCGTGGAGAATAGCTGATGGCTCGCCCAGGACTGAGGATAGTTTTCGGGAAGATCGAGATGCCCGCCAAGGGGTTCGTTCGACGTGTCGCATGTGATGCATGTATTCGACAAAATTCCCGAGCATATCATCCATGAAGTTAAGACTTCATTAAATAGTAAAGTCCAGCAATGACAAGGCACCTCACGGAAGCTCAAGGAACAACTGCAACATCTTTTCGTAGTCTGGAGTCCCTAAGCCTGTTACAGGATCCCAGCTAATGATCACTTGTTAGTTCAACAGAACAGACTTAGGACCGAAACCATGTACATACCCTACAGCTGCCGAGAATCCCTGGGTACCGCACCCTGGGTTTGATCCGTTCACAATATCATTGAGAACCCATTCATTGCCATACAGCACCGGGTTCAGGAAGCCAATAGGGCCCTTCCCAATCGCCAGCCGCTCATCAACAATGCGATTGATTATAGCCGCAAATATCGGGGTACCTGCAGCCCACGTTAGCTATTCCAGGACGGTTCTTGAAAGCCTTGCTTTGGGGCTTCTCACTCGCACTGGTTCCGCCTGTGTGGCCAAATTTACCCTCATAATAAAGTGCAATATTATCGGCAACCGCAGCCACATCGGGGTAGCCCCGGCCAAGACGATTATACAGACCCGAGTCTCCTCCGGATGTCCAATTTCCCCCATAAAAAGGATATTCGGGATCAGCACTAGCAAAGTACCTTGAGAATGGACCCTGGTCAATGCCTACACAGAGAAAGGAAGCTCGACGCCATAAACAGGGACTTACTTGGAGATAGCTGCTTGCTGATAGGACGGAGCTTGGAATACGTTGCTGAAACCACCACCAGATGATAGAATGTTGTTTCCCTCGCTGTTGTACAGAGCAGTCTCCGGCGCAGAGGGCCTATGTCCTGGAAGTACTTTTGTACCCCCGACTGCCGTTATGTACGGACAGCTGAATGCTCTTATGTCAGATCCTAGTAAATCCATGGTATAGGATGTGGAAACCGACTTAGCTGGGAAAGTTGGGCTGAATATGTCCTCCCTTGGGCCTAGACACCCGTCCTGGCCTGCGACACCATGGTCACCTGAGGCCAACAGGACCGATACCCCTTGGAGACCGAGCTTCATATACCTGTTTGGTATTCGCATCAGAAAAGTTGCTACTGGCAGTCCAATGGGAAGACGGTATGACCTGGTTGGAATGACGTACTCATTGCACTGCCGCCTCTGATATGGAGCTGGGAAGTTCTGCTCGGGGCCTCCATACGATATCGAAATAACGTTGGCGGGTTTGTACAAGCCACAGAGTACCCGATTTTCAGGCTCAGCAGGGGAGTTAGGATTCACTCTTTTGCCATCACCACATTGCCCCAAAGCACAGTCGGTGCAATATGACTGCATTGTCATTAGATTTGGGCGGTACAAAAGATTCAATATCACGTAGCTTACCCCATCGATTGCATTCAGGAAAGCGTCGAGAAAACCCTGAGATGAATTTTGAGCATCCATATGATCATTCGTCTGGTAAATTGTGATTGTTTGCGGATAAACGATGGGATATACAACCTGTAGGTCCAAAGCTGACTCAAGACCAAATTTCGATGATGGTCCATCTCCCTCGGTGTTAGCAATCATGGCCTCTAGAGGCCGAGTACCCAGTGGAATATTGGTCGTCTGATTCTCGAAAAACAAGTCCAGATCTTCAGCGTGGAAGTAGTTGTCTTCCTGAAACATACCCAAAGAATTTTTAGGATGAGCCTTGGTGGCAAGTGGAATCTTGTAGATAGCTCTAATGCAGTCTGGCGTAATTAATTTGTCACAGCCCAGAGATGCGAGCACACCAGGGGCATCTGAGTCAGGAAGGTGCATTTGCTCCGAAGCACCGTGGATCAGAATATTGTCTCGTTTGTGAAGCAGCCTCTTTTGCCGTCTGAATGCTGAAAGCCTGATCCCTGGTTCAACGTAATCAATATGATTCTGGATGTTATATGGTACACGATACCTGGTCTACTTAGACATTTGATTTACAGAGGGAGGGTGAAGGAATCTCCACATACTGTTCACAGGCACAGACCCACTGACCGGTCTCCATATTCTGGTACTGAAAATATTGAGTTTGTAGCAGTTCCTCCGCCTCTTTAGCTGTGGCCGTAAACGATAGCCAGCCTTTATTTTTATTCAAGGATATGCGCGCATCGCTGACGCCGGACTGGACTATCCATGACTTCACCTGTGCAATGGTATAGTCAGAGGCTGCAAAGGTATCACTGACCTGGTCTGCCGACCAGTACTTTCCATAGTTTGGAGATTGAGGATGGGACCTTTGGCACTTGTTAGATACTGCGTGATTGGTCGATGTGACAGGCAGTGATGATTGCGTCAGCTTACACGTCTAGTAAATACTCATTCGCCCGGTGCAAGTTGTTCTGTTTCAGTCCAATTCGGACGAGCAACAGAGAGTCTGGTTTCGATCGGCCAAGTGATTTCCATTCTGGCAAGACCCGATCACGTTTCTCATGAATGACATATGTAGGAGGCAGAGCATTTACTACGGTGCAGAACGCAGTTGCCAGTAAAATCCAGGAAATTACTCTTGCACCTGACATAGTCGTGTCGGCCAGAGAGGGAGTTGGACTGTGCCACCAGAGGAGTGTAATTTCGCAGGAGTATTGGTGACGACTGAAGAAAGAGAGAACCGTTTAAGAGGGGGCCCTGGCCAGATGCCCTGCACGCCCCGCCCACATCGAATCAAATACGTACACTAGTATAGCCTAGTATCGCAGACTGAGTGCGACTTAATGGTATTGCTTACTATCGATAAGGCTATGAGTTCTTTTTTTTCCTCGAGTAATACGGCGTATCTCTCCAATATAATGAATTTCACCTTCAATTCAGATCTTAAGGCAACCCATTCTTGATTGGATTTCGAATGGAAATGCAGTGGAGAATTTGAGAAAAGTGGGTCGAGGTTGTACCAGTATGGTCAACACGAGAATAAACTGACCTCTCGACTACTAGTTAAAAAGAATAAAGAGCTCTTCCTGAACTATGGCTCACACTTCAATGGCCAAATGTTCATCCCAGTCTTGGTGCCCGTATGCACCGGTAGACCCCCGTGCAGAACACGCTTATCTCCGGTTCCATTACCTGGAAGGTTGATCCAAAAGAGCGCATTTCCTGGTATCGGTTTAAACATGACTCCCTCAAATGAGCCATTTTGAATAGCTTTACCCTCATCAAGTAAGCTTGTAGCCACCAACTCAATGCGCGGAAAATATGTTTCTCCGCCGGTGCAGTCGGCTTCTAGGAAGACAAAGACACTGGCAACGCGATTGCACAGTCGTCCGTCCTTATACCGCATTGACTCTTGAAACCAATCATAATGGAGCTTGTACTGCTGGCCGGGCTTATAAGTCACTAGTTGGGGTATACCGAAGTCGTTAGAGGCCTCTGTGAGTGATGCCATCAGAGAGAGTGCACGGCTTCCCACACGCGCGACCGAAGGCTCCGATGGTGGTAGGCCCGCCGACCGAGATGACCGATACGCATCGCCACTTGTTCCGGTTGATAATTTCGAAGGAGAATACTGAGTTTCCCTGGGAATTGTGGGTAGTTAGCTAAGAAAGGCCTCTGATTACATCCAATAACTTGTGCATTAGACGCAGAAGGAGAACGGCAGTTAGGCCTCACCCAATATCTAGTAGTTGGGATACCTCCGCCTCAGTGATGAAGTTATCAACGTAGACTAGAAGAGGGTCTTCTGACACAATCTGCGTCTTGAAGAGCGGAATTTCACTCGCTGCCTCTTTGTACCACCAGTGCCCCACGCCGCCTGTGTTGCTGGAGTAATGGTAAAATCCATAACTACAATATCCTGCGATCAGAATACCAACGATGCTCCCAATGGACATCATTTGACCAGAGCAAAATGGTGCTTGCAAGGGACTTTGCTGGAAGGTGTTCAAAAAGTCGAGAATCTGAAGTGTAGGGATGCGGGGGAGCTGATAAATGCATGGTTGGGCTGTACCTATGTGGAGCCCCTAGGTATTATCACGGCGGCGGGGATGAGAGTACAGGGATACCCCGAATGCACCTGAAGAGGTCAATTAAGATGGCGCGATGGGACCTCGGTAAATGGTACGCAGAAACAATGTTGCAAAATTCATTCGGACTGCGAGTGACATGTTCAGATACGCCCGGTCTTTGGCTTGGCCTGAAAAATCGGGTCTGGGTCGACGCCTCGATATTTGCCAACTATGCCATCCATTATAAGCAGGCTACAACCCACAATCATCGTATTTCAAACCCAGGCAGAGTGTAGACACCAGGCAGGAGGGAATACGTATGTGGCTCAGACAGCTTAATTGGTACTCTCTGTATTCGTCTACGTTACAGATACCCAGTGGTTAAACAAGGAAGCTGCTCAGACTGCTATCCTACCGGTAGTTGCAGCTTGCTCTCTGTTCCTTCCCATGATATAGTCTCATAATACCAGATCTTCCCATACCATGGTGTCAGCGGCTCTTCGGGAAATTGTCTACTCTTCCTCGGCCCTATCCTCTGTCAGACCCTCTCGGAACATATTGAGATGGCATAAAACTTACAAGAAGCCAAAGTCATCTGTGATAGGCGTTAGCACATGAATCGGACTGGATACGAAATTCAGCTCAAAAATACATACAGGGGTAAGACTCAATATCGACTGCACGCTTTTCTGGGGCGTCGCGTTTCTCTTCGCTCCTGTGATAATTCATCAGAATCCTTTCGTTGGGGGTATTATCAAGTTTAGGGATTTCGCGCATACAGGAAGCCAAAGTCATCTAAGTTTCCCAAAAAAGTCAGTATGGAAAGGGTTGAGAGGAATGCGCGATACCGTACAGGGATAAGACTCAATATCAACGGCACGCTTTTCTGCTGCATCACCCTTCTCCTCGCTCCTAGAATAAGCTATTAGTTTCTTGTCGTTAAGGCATCCTCAGGTCCAGAATTGTCGCGCATACAAGAAGCCGAAGTCATCTAAGTTTTCAATGAGGTCAGTATAGAGAGTTGATGAGGATGAGTAGTAAATCATAAATCGTACAGGGGTAAGACTCAATATCGACGGCACGCTTTTCCTCAGCTGGTGCCCTCTTCTCCTCCCTAGGATCCCGATCCCGTCAGAAACATTTCAACGGCTTCACCGCGAATGATACACCTACAAGAACCCAAAGTCATCTACCCACAGTATCAGCTCACTATCTTCTTTTCTTCACAAATCAACATAGTGGGATCAGTCGTGCAACTCACAAGGATAGCTTTCGATGTCAACATTAGCTTCACGTTTGGCGGGAGTTGGAGTTGCCAGACTAGCTGTGGCCATGGCCAAGATGGCGATAAACTGGGCAACCTTCATGTCGAAGGTGGATGAATGATTCTGTTATCTCGTCAAGTGTGAATAGCAATATTCAGATGAAGATCGAGGTGGTAGGCTTGGGTCAAAGAGCAAGGAATTATCTTTATATGACATAAAACCACGGTGATCGCTACTGGTATCATGGTAATACCACGAAATCCTGTTTTTGATCCGGTAAGATTCGTGTTTTCATTACGAAACAATGAAGACTTCTGACCACATTCCCCAGGTCGAAGGAATAACCAAACTAGGCAAAATGGTGTTTGCCAATTGTCATTAGCCCAGTGTGTGAGGTTACATACTCCGCATGCTAGGCCGGGTATGTCCACTGAGTTTGAAATGGCTAATGTGCAGCATGGAATATGTATGGTACGGAACGGGGCGATGTGCGATGTCACCTCACTAGGATCAACTGAACTTAGCAGCTAGTGGTCTATGTGCCTCTCTTATTACCCATCCAGCAACATGCGCTCTTGCTGAAATTTTCATAAGCAGTTGTTGTCGATCATAGCACTGCACGCAAAGACTTCGAGCCTTGTCTCAAGTCTAGGCTGCATGTCCTGGTCCAATCAAATGACTGTGAGCATAAAACACTGCAGTATACATATTACATGATAATACACCACTGGCTGTTGAAGAAGACATTTGCCACGTCATTTGGCACGCCTGTCGCTGCAGAAGCAGCACGATTTTTCCTAATTTGAGTTAGCTGTCACACATAAGAATCCTGAAAATCACAGCCAACTCAAGTGCTGGGATTGGCGGACAAAGCATATTATTGCTGATTATTCTCACATGATGGATACCTATGTCACCTTTCTACCATTGTGAAAGACTCTCAAGAATTCAATAAGGCCCCATCCAGCCGGTTGCACAACTTCACTGTTTTTTTCTCAATGGCTGCTTCCGAGTATCGGAAGATCTCCGAGGAAGCCTCCGATATCGACTCTCCGACACTTGAAGCAGGAGAGACTGAAGAGCCCTTGTTCCAGGCAAAATCTCACGGCACATATCTCAGAAAGCTCCCAAGCTGGGCATATGCGATCGCTAGTCTATGTTTGGTTTTTCTAGGTTTTGCTACAGGACTTTTCATCGACCTCGACCTCGATAGGAAATGCCTTATTCGTCATTCTTATTATTGTGGGTAGCACGTCCCCATTCTAAACCCCGAAATGCATTTCGAAGACGAGAAGTACTAATGGTAGCGTCAGCCCCCGCATTGGATAAAATCGATGCGGGATATAACCTCGTTCGATTTAACAGTACCGTTGGTAATCCGACGCCATTTGGTGGTACCCCACGACCGGAGGTCGACAACGCCTGGTCAGCCGTGGACCAAGGTAAGTACGCACGAAAGTAGGCTACCCGCACATCTATCTGACCTCCGCTTAGTTCGCGTGCAAAGTATATCACACGAGGAACTGGTGCGCATCGGCGGCTCGGTGGATGATGTGAGATTGCCTGAAGAACTGGGAGGAGGATACATGGCATCGGACATGTATACTCATGAACTCCACTGCCTCAACTTCCTCCGGAAGGCAACATATCCCGAGTACTACAACCAGTCACACGGATTCACAGATCTGCCACATGTCGTTCGACTGCATCTAGGTATGACAATTCCCATCTTATCCCAAATTTCGGAATTGCGTCTCGGCAAGATCGCATCTGCTTACTCTGCTCCACCAACAGACCATTGTATTGAACTGCTGCGGCAATTTGTTGTCTGCCAGGGGGATGTTGGGCTCTACACGTTCCAGTGGCTGGAGCAATATCCGACTCCTTACCCCAAATTCAGTACTTGGCATCAATGTCGCAACTCTGACTCAATTGAAGCCTGGATCACGCAAGGGGCCGCTCAAACACCTGCCAACTATACCTGGCCACGTGTACCTGGATCGGTGGTATTTCCTCGGCCGGACTCTGACTGAAATTTAAAGTGAGGGAGGAGGCCTTAAAAATGCTGGCCTGTATCGGTATAAGTGCGGGGTCTTTGAATGAGAGCAATCGTTCTGATCGGCGTATGGACTGGAATGGGCGTCTGACATTTAAGATACGTCTTGATTCGTTACTGCTTATGGTGACATATTGAAGAAAATTTGTTTGTCATAAAAACCACCAATGATACCGCAGAGACAGAAATCGATATAACTCAGGACTGGGGCTAAAATTTCGAAGGATTCGACGGCTTTCGAATAATGACCCGCTGTAGCCAAGATAGGGATTGAATTCAACCGTTGGAAATGCGAGTATAACTACCTTGTGTTGATAAACTTTTACAATGTTTCTTTCCAATCTGATAATTCCACAGATACCCATGATCACATCGGTATAACGTTATAGACTTTGTGTTGGCGAGACAATATAGTATGTCCCATGCTGATTATAAGCCAATCACTGCCACGGTACTAGCTTATTTGACCCGAGAGATCACCCCTTGTTGCAAATCTGCTAAATCCATGCCTTGACGAAACCGCCCCATGCGGGGTCAAAGATGCAATGTTACATCAACTAACGCACGTACTCCGTTTGGGCCTTTTAGCTGCAAGCTAAGCAACGGGCTCTTGGTGGGGGCGGAATCCGCCGGCGCTAGCAAAAGCAAGGAGATATGCTACAGCCACTGTTACAGTACCTTACGCAGTGGCGTAATCCTGGCTCTAGACGATTCACTGTAAAGGATCACGGACGGACTGAAGATAAATCCAATCACCCGAATCAGCTAATGAACATGTGATGTGGATCTAGTCAATACACAGGAAAAGCCTAGTGGGATTTTACAGTACAAGTCATTCTAGATAATGTAATACTTGTCGTAATGGCGTCCATCAGACGTCGATTCTGTTGTAACTCGTTTTACCACACTCTGAATCCAGTGGCATGGAGTACCTTACGTAAATGTGGGTTTCAGCCCCCTCAGCTTATCTCCTGCAGTTCAATATTTGTACTTAGAATGGCTCTCTATCGATTCAAAAAAAGCCAACGTAGTATCTACCCGGAAGAAGAAAGATCCTTTTTAGATCTCTCGCCGCCAAAACCTCGCGGACGATGGAGTACGCCGAAGAGGGTAAACCATTCCTCTCTGAAGAGCATACCGCAACGAAGGGTGTCAGACGCACACGAAGCCTAAAGTACCAGTTACTTGACTGGACTTGGGTAATATCCACGGTGATATTTGCTTCACTTTCGGTTTTCCTCTACTTCCGACCCATAAGCAGTGCGACATACGAGCATGGATTCTCAACAGACCTGGGTATAAGCACCGTCAATGCTCCCTCGCACCGGCCAGAAACTAACTTAAATTTTAAGATGCGCTGAAATCACAAATCCAACTCCATCAGGTAAAGTTTACCGGTGGACTGGAGTTAAATGAAACAGGCAAGCTGCACCGCATCATCGACCCGGGACAACCACAGTATGTCGGGCCTCCCACGCCTGAGATCGACGCGGCGTGGGACGAGCTGATGCTGGGTAATATAATGCTGTTGACCTATTCTTCTGCATGGGTATGCTAATGATGGTCGCAGCCCTCGACCTGGATCTCCCCGTGACAGAGTCAGCAGATGTGACATGGACAATGAAAGGTCAAGAGAACAATAAATATAGAGTGAGGTCAGTGGCGTCGAGAACTATTATCCAGGCGAAAGAACATGTGCTTATATTATTCTCATAGCCTCGACTTGTACCACTCGCTGCACTGCTTAGTATGTATCTGCTGTCTAGGATCATCATCAAGAAAGTTATTTACCAAACAGAATGCGATTCGTCGGGCCCTAGATTCGGATTACTATGAGCCAGGGGTGGAGCATCCTTATTTCTTTCGGCTACATATTGGTATGGACTTTAATTGATTACCCAAACTCATGCAGCTGAATACTGATATTGGCTGTCGGATAAGATCATTGCATCGACTATCTTCGCCAAGGTATCCAATGCTCAGCCGACCTGACCCCACTCGGCTATGAGTGGAATGAGGAATATCAAGTTCCATTCCCCTTGTTCAAAGAGAGACACACCTGCCGGAACTTCGAAAAGATAAAATCTTGGGCGATGGACAGGATTCCACCCGAGAGACAGAATCACAGTCATAGTCATTCGATCGGGCAACGGCAGACCTACGGTTCATGACACACATGCTTCTAGGGAACCTCCAGCTTATCGTTATATATGGACGAAGTGTTGGTTTTACGCCATGAAAACGTATTGGTGGCACAAGGAAGAAAGAAAACAAACGCCGTTATGTCTGGAAAGAGATTCTCATTAACTACAAAATATATTATCTACCGTCATCTTGAATTTCATTTAACGCCAATGCGCCTGCGAAGCTGAAATGGTCCGTAAATGAGCACGATATCCAAGCCGATCATCTCCATGGCCCAATCCATGTCTTAAACTTGCTGATAATACCCCTTTCTGCACGTTTCTGTCTTAAAATCTTGAATAAAGCATCCTTGTCATCAGGATAGGAGATCGCCTCAAACGCATCATCAATGGACTGGAAATTTGGGTACTCTATCAATTTGGTACTGAGTTGACGCTTGCGCTTACCTTCCTTCCAGATCGAGACGTCAGGATCCCCGCCAGCTAATAGTAGAGACTTTACATCCTTGAATACCCGTGGATAAAGATGTTCGAACTTCGTCAAATCCTTTCTCCTGTAAAGGCATTCAAGGCGACGTTTCCAAATAGTGGTGTCCTTGTACACGCCATTTGGATTTGCACCGTGTTTCAGAAATAGCTCAATCGTACTCTTTCGCTCATCCCGCTCACTTGGAGTTAAATCCAGCTCAGGCAAGTCAAGAACAAAAAATGCCCAAACTGCTGAGCCTGCCAGAGAAACATTTGGGTTTGCTCCTTCGGCAAGAAACATTTCCAGTACTTGATCCATTCTTACTCCGAGGCAACCCATCCCTGCTCGTCTGGTTGCTTTGGAGGAAGCAAATTCTTCACGTATATAACGACACAAAAATTCGGCCCAGTGCCATGCATTTACATCGGCTCCATCTTCCAAGAAGAGATGCACAGTATCCATCGGATTTGGAAATTCACGGTAGAGCCTTTTTGAAGGGAGTAATGCATGTGATAATAATGGACGATGCCAATTTGCCAGTGATAAAGAGGGATCCTGATCAATTCTTTCTGCAACGTAGTAACGAAGCCCGCGCTGCACACACAGTTCGAAGAAGGACTGGGCGTTGCATTGCTTGAAGAGAAGTTTGTTAAGTTTTTGGGCGGTATGAGCAGTTGGTTTTATGTTGAGAGCCTTCGACCACCAACATCAGAGCATCTCCAAAATCATCCACGACTCGGGGGACCAAGGACTTCGTTTGGACTTCGACTTTGTAGGCATAGTAAAGGAAATGGAAATCTTCAACCCATCTGCTCACAAGATGAATTTTTCCACCTCACCAATGTCGAGTGTTAGGAGTTTGAGTGTAGCAAAGATCGAATGGCAGATGACAAGTTCAGGAATGAAGGCAGACGTAGTTTTGAGGGCGAACTTCGCCTGAATATCCTCCCGAATCAAGAATTCAGAAACAGTACGATGAAGGAAGTCTACCTTTTGGGTGAGAAAAAGGTCTTTGTTTTGACTGGAGAATGTCGGCTGGTGTAAAATTCCCAGAAGTCCTTTGGACCGATCGTCAATTCGTTTCTCCATCGTTATTTCCCGATCTTTGATTTTCAGCCCTAATTTTATTTTTGCGTTTTGAGTTGCCTTTTGACTACTGCGAGTTTGAACACCCAGTCTGAGCGCAAAATCCGAATTTTCTTCCAGATTGTCAACGAATGTGTAAAGGAGCAGAGGCAAAAGGTGCCCAGGCTCCCTGGGCAACCCGGAATATCCGCGCCATTTGGGACTGATATACATCGTCGACCAAATTTAGCATGTGCTCAAAGAAGTCTTAGAGATCAGTAGGCAACTGATAAAGCCTGGTTTGCAAAAATTTGAAGGTATCAGCAGAGGTCAGGCCTCGTAGCAACGACCGAACAACGAGAAAACCCCAAAGAAAGACACCTTGCGCAAGGTCAACAATCTCAGAAACAAGTTCATTGTATTTGCTGTCGTGATTTCTTGCTTGGATGAAATTTGGATCCTCTTCGAAAGTTTGGTAGACATAGATCTCAATATCTCGTCTGGTGAGTTCTTGAAGGTACAGCCGGGGATCGGTGTTTGTGTCAAAAGCTTTCTCGAAGATTTCCCAAGGTCGGCTCGATACGCAGACCTTGACGTTTACAAAAGCCGTCAAGTTCTCAGGCACTCTGAGGATGTCTCGTGAGTCGCCGGGATACTCGTCTAGTCCGTGGATGATTGCAGATGAATTTCATGAGTGTTGACTTTCCCGCACCAGCTTTACCACCAATCCAGTAAAGACCACCATGTTTGCCACCTTGCTTTAGCCATTCCATGAACTTTGTCTTTGGCCTCGGTGTCTCTGGGCTTTTTGGGTCTTGTGATTCCTGGAATACCCACTCAAATGTCTTCGCATGTGCCTCGGGAATGCTCTCATGACGAACTTTGATCTGCTGAAACCGCAAGCTAGCCAGAATTTTCTGCTCCGTAACAAGTTCGAAGCCTCTGTCTTCAATTCCGATAATCTTGCACCAAGCTCCGCAAAGTTGATATCTCTCACTATTCCCACTTGACTACGCCCAAGCGTCATCAACCTTCTCCACAAGAGTCTGAACTAGTTGATTGCGATCGATTTCCATCCTCCTATTCTCATCAACAAGACTGCGAAGCACAGCGAGGAAGTCTGATTGCTGATTGCTGAGCAATTTCAGAAGTTGTATCTTGAGTTCGCTCCGATAGCCATCCAGCGCTTTTCGAGATCCCTCAGATCACGTTCTTTCGAGACACATTTCAACGCTTGCTGGAAACTTCTCCATTTGCTATCCGTCTGTTCCAACTTGAGCCTTGCTATTGCAGATAGAAGCCGGGCTCCTTCTTCTTCGCATGATGCAGCTAGCTTAGTAAGTGCCTGCCCATGCGCCGTGAGGGTAGGGGAAGCTGGATTTTGAGATAGCCTGGTATTCAAATAGATGAGGTTTTAGGTGATTTGCTCAAGGTGTTGATGATTGCTTGAGAAGCCTTCGGCGGACTTATATATCTCGCGCGAGCTGTTCAGAAGCTTGGAAACAAAATCGATGAATTGAACGATGTTGCCCGCAATACTAAGGGCCGAAAGAGGATCGAGAACCATCTTAGCAAATCACAAATATGTCGACGCGACCGGGTGATTATAGTTCAAGTCGAAGATCTTTGTAGTATATGATTGATCGTTGCTGTGGAACCTTCAGAGGACCGCGGAGCCGCCTTTTTTGGCTTCTTAGGCAGCCATTCCTTTCAGGCACAGGTATGGCGCACCGACCCCCATGTCAGCCGCACTGCACAATGGGTCAATATGGTTGGATATACATGTGGTAGCCACGGCGAATCTATTTTCCGTGACATGCTCCAATCATCATGGAGAGGGGAAAGCTGTTGTTCTGATCGGCGCTTTAGAAGTTGAAGAGTAATGCGCCAAAATAATCAAGCCGGCGAATTCAATATAATTCGTACAACTTATCAAAAAGGAAAAACATACAACAGCCAGGATTCGCATGTGGTCACCCACCATACTACTAACTGGCCGGCGTGTGGCTTAAGTACGGCTGAGCGGACGGGAAGCCCTGTTCTCCACACCCTATGGTCGTATGTACTTGAGATAACACATACATAAAAAATATCCTCTAATAGGATTTGATCCTAGCTTATCAGGCAAGGAGGTTGGGTGCGCAAAACACCGGATCAGAAGCTATGTGAGAGTGGGTGAGTCTTATCCTCCGTCGCCCGGCTAATGCACTCCTACGGTACAACATTTGTTAGGCTGTTCACGTGATGAACCATGGATGCTGGCCTTCAGACTAGTGCTTTGTTTCGCAATGCGCCCATTTCTGCCTTCTCTCCCAGCAGATTGCGTATGCCACCCGCTTAATACCGATGTCTTTCATTAACGATGCTATCACTCACCCAGTCCCCATTTTATCTTCAATTGAGCCGCACAAATTGCTAAGCAAAGAGCCTCTGGCTACGGCGGGAAGCGACGATGAAAAGGTCGCCCAGAGGCCATTAGAAAATGGCATCCGAGATGGCGATCCAGATGTCGTCCTCGTGGACTTCGAGGAGAACGACCCGAAAAACCCTTTGCATTGGTCACCGATGCAAAAATGGATGATTGTATTCGTTATCTCGTAGATGGGTTTCGTCAGGTGGGCGTAGTATCTGTATACCTGCTGCTGTCGACTGACCGAATTAGTGTCTTTTCGACAATGACCATCGTGCCCACAGCGCCTCAGATCTTGCAAGAGTTTCATTCAGATAGTAAGATTGACCAGACCTTGCTTGTCACGATTTGGGAGCTTAGGGAAGGAGTTGGCCCATTTTTCATCGCGCCGCTCTCCGAAAGATTCGGCCGGCTTCCCGTCTTCCATATTAGGAACCTCTTAGCGCTCTGTTGCTTAGTCGCCAGCGCCCTGAGCGTAAACATCTCTATGCTGATTGCGTTCCGATTCTCAACGGGCTGCTTCCTGTCGATTCTCACCCTTAGACCCGCCATCGTCGGAGATTTGTTCCAAATGGAACAAACCGGTCGGTCTATAGCATTAGTCATAGGCACTCAGATGATAGCAGATTTTATCTCACCTATCGCAGGCGCGTATATCGCACAGAGCCTGGGCTGGAGATAGTCGATTTAGCTAGCGGCTATCGTGCTCGGATTCTTCAGCTTGCTCTTACTGTTTGTGCTCCGGGAGACATACGCAGTAGTTATTCTAAGGCGGAAGGCAGAGCGATTACAAGAGGAGCGCGCAGACGACAAGAAATATCTTTCCAAACATCAGGCCCGTATCGATGCATCCACTAAGCTTGAAAGGGCTATAAAAACCAATGAAAATCCTGGCCCAATCTCCTATCCTTATGCCGACGACGAGCTACATAGCTATAACATACGCCTTGGTCTCATTGATCCTTGCCACACTCACGGAAACCATAGAGTCGACGTATCCCACTGTATTTTCTAGCGGGTCTATTAGCTTAACGTTTTTGAGTCTCGCCATCGGCAACACCATCGCCTTGATATTCTATAGTCTCACGTCCGACCGCTACGTGATCCATCAGCGGGAAACGAAGGGCGACGCATTTAAGCCGGAGTCTCGGCTGGTGCATCTGCTTCTTGCCGCAATCATTCTTCCTCTGGGGTTCCTCATCTACGGATGGACATTAGAGTATTATGTTCAATACATCGTGCCACTCATCGGAGCGTGTGCCGCGGGTTTCAGCATAACACTTTCGGCCATACCGGCGGAAACTTACGTGGTGGATATTTACGAAATCCATGGGGCATCTGCTATAGCTGCTGGTGTTATTTTCCGAGCGATTGCTGGGGCTTTTCTGCCATTAATTGGTCCTCCTTTGTATCAATCGATTGGACAGGGCTGGGGTAACACTGTTCTGGCCTTTATCGCAGCAGCTTTTATTCCCCCTTTGGCCTTACTCATGAGATACGGAGATTGGTTTCATAGTAAAGAATTGTTTGGGATGTCTGGAAGATAGATTGCTTTTTATCCACAGCAAATTTTACTCATTCTAAATCGCTAGTGTGTGGTCAGGATCTTTGAGAGTTGGGACCAGTCAAAATAAACAAATACTCTGGCTTTAATACTCTCTCGCAACTGCTTGTTGTCACTATTTCGAGTATCTCGAAAAGCCGTATGAGGAACGCCTGCATCATAGTTTTAAGAGTCATGAATGGATGCGACCTCCCAAGGAATGGGTGCGGGCACAAACTCTCATGAAACCTCATTATTTCGATCCAGCGCGAGACTACAGGCTGAGTGGCATGTGGATGCGACGTATCATGTATACTGCAACGGCCCCTGACAATCTAGGCTTGTTGTACCTAGCTGAAACTTTGCCCATGCTGAAAGACTCCTTGATGGATGCAGATGTGAGAAATGCAGTTCCGCAGCCAGCATATGGACCATCTGATCCAATTGCCTCGAGAATAGCGCCGGCACTCTACATTAGAGGCTTAATGGACGTTCCACCATGAGCTGCTGCAGCTGCTGTTCTCGGGTCAAGGGCGAGCCCGCCTGCGGTATCACCAGCTGCATATGGAGAATCTCGAGACGGTCCCAACATGACAATATTGGCTGTGTCGTGGTAGCAAACCTATGGTACTGCCGAATCGTTCAGTTATATTATTGATTCTTTGCTATTTCCATCTATTGTGTTTTTTTCATTGTTGCTTTACTGGTGGCCGGGAGTTTGTAATTGCCCACAGTGCTTCCTCGCGTGAAATGATCGCACTGGTCCTTGATTTGTGCCTGCTTTGTGATTCACAAATTACTGTTTAAGGTGTTGACGCTTTGTGGCAGCGATGACTTTGAAATTCTATTTTTGTGAACTAAATTGAATTTTCCGTATTTGTTAGACATGTTCACTGGTACCGGTGTTAGGAATGAATACCACTAGCCAGTTTGTCTATAAGTCCCAAGAGTACTCATATCGGAAAATATGAGCGATCATCCAACATAAGTCCCGAAAGTCCAGACTGTCTAGTCTTCAGGCGTGGAACATCAGCCGCGCCCGAAACTCGCGGAAGATAGAAAGATTCTCAGGGAAAAGTCAGTGATAATTAACTCTGCGACCAGTAGCACCAGCTGCTGCGGGGAGAATTTATTGAAGCAACCGCCAGCGAGCAAAGGATGCGGGGTAACTATGAAGGCCAACTCCAAGGGGGATCAGGCAAATTGTGGGTCAGAATAATTTGTATATTATGATGATGTTGAACAAGTTTTGTTGGTCGCGACACTTCTAATAATCCAAGTCTTCTGCTACACAATGTCACCCAAATACGGCCACCTGTCACAATCGCGTGCATCGACCAGAGTCTCTCTGCGATGGTTACCCGGGCCACCCTTTGAAAACACCGAAACGCTTGTTCTGATGGTGGGAGAATGGTACGTTGACTTGAGAGTTGACAAAGAATCGGGTGCTCTTGGTTGGGCAATCGCTGGCCAATATCTTCTGAAGGACACCAACCCGCGTATGTGTCGCTTCCTCTCAGTGGGATCATCCTCTTTCTGCATGGCCAACTAATTATCACTGATAGGGAGGATTGTCCTAACTCATACCATTGACTCACATGGTAACTTCAATGTGAGCGACCCTTGTCTTTTCATACCGCTTCCCGACGGATGTGACTTGGAGACGGGTGCAATGCCTCGCCCTGATATGCCGGGAAACCCAGTTACCGAGTACGAAGAAGTATGGAGGTATCTTTCGAAAGACGACATTGGCATTCACGACGTTGAAAAGCCAATTGCATGGGATGTTGGAATCCGACGATAATGACCCGGCCCATGATTCCCATCAAGGAACCAAGATTTTCCTGGCTCGCATTGAAGGAAGATACTTGGCTTTGCAGCAGATATGCATTCATAATAAGGGCCAGTCGGGCGATCCAGATAAGATTATCGGTGGTGAAGTGAGTGCAAAGTCAGAAGTGTTTGTTGATGGTCATTGGAGAGTGAAACACGTTGAGGCTCGATCATGTTGATCTTCCATCAATCTGTAATGATTTTGAGGATCATGATCAGCATTCATGGGAGGTTCCAGGGAAAATTGTCACCGTAAGAGGGTGCCGATACATTGTCCGAGCTTTCGAAACCACTGAAAAACAGTCCAAGCCTACACAATTGGCGAAGTTTTGAACGCTAGATTTGAATGTACTTCTCCAACATCATAAATGAATATGAAATAAATTGAATATTGGGTCAACGTCATACAAGCAAAACATTCTCGTATCTACATGGACAAGGTGGTGGAAAGCTAGAAGAATGGACCGAATTGAGAGAGGTATCGCAGTATTAAGTTTACTGAATCGAGGCCGAATGCGCCCATCAAGAATAGAAGTAAAGAGAAGATGGACCCGAATGTCCAGCACGAAGAGCAACGTAACAACATTTGCAGATAAATAAATGCACATACCAGCAGACACCAGCACATGCTACATACATCTGCTACGCAGGCCTAATTGACTCTTTAGATCTGCATGGCAGCGGCGCACAGGGCGCCGAAGAAAACGGCGACACCGGACAGGGTAGCACGACCGGCGGCGTTGAACGCAGGTGTGGCACTGGGGGTGCTCGCACTGCCGGTGGAGCCAGAGCCGGCGGAACCGGCGGGGCCAGTGGGGGCAGAAGAAGGCACACGACGGATAGAAGAGCTCTTGAGGCCAGCGGTGCCGGAGGGGCAGATGGTGGTGGTGCTGTGAACGGTCACGGTAGCAGCGGCAGATGAGGAGGGGCGTCCAGCGGGAGAAGAGACACCAGGGGCACCAGAAGGTCCGGAGCTGGGGACGGGAATACCAGTGACGGAGGGGGAGGAAGGAGAGGAGCCAGGGCCAGAGGGCGAAGTGCCGACGGCAGTGGTGGAGGTCTCAGAGCCAGTACCAGTAGCAGTCGCGGTGGCAGAGCCAGTTGGGCCGGAGCCGGGGATAGTAGACGACTCTACGATGGTGCTGGTCAGAGTAGAGCAGTCCTGGCAGTCGGCCTCGCCCAGGACAGCAAGGCACAGGTTGATAGGGATGTTGATCAGACCGCTGCCAGAGTTGGAGCTCTGGTGGCAGTGAGCCTCGCCAAGGACAGCCAGGCAGATGTTGATGGGGACGTTGATCAGGGAGCCACCATCGTTGCTGGAAGAGGAGGCCTGGTCACACTTGGCCTTTCCAAGGGCAGCAACGCAGGCATTGACAGGGACATTAATCAACCCGTTAGTGGCGCTCTGCTGCTTGCACTCAACCTCTCCGAGGACGGCAGCGCAGAGACCAACAGGAACGCTGATCAGGGAGTCACCATTGCCGCTTGAAGAAGAGGCCTGATCACACTTGGCCTTTCCGAGGGCAGCAACGCAGGCATTGACGGGGACGTTAATCAACCCGTTGGTGGTGCTCTGTTGCTTGCACTCAACCTCTCCGAGTATGGCAAGGCAGAGATTGACTGGAACGCTGATCAGGGAGTCACCATCGCTGCTGGAAGAAGAGGCCTGATCACACTTGGCCTTTCCGAGGGCAGCAACACAGGCATTGACGGGGACGTTAATCAACCCGTTGGTGGTGCTCTGCTGCTTGCATTCAACCTCTCCGAGGATGGCAGCGCAGAGGTTAACAGGAACGCTGATCAGGCTATCGGTGGCGTAGGCACTCTATATAAAAACCCGTCAGCCCTTTATACATTTTTGGTGAAAGATCTGGGGTCATTTTGTTACTCACAGAGGCGGAAGCCGCAAGGGCGACGAGGGAAGTGATGATAGTTTGCTTCATTGTGTCGAAAGAAATAACGATACGTGGATTGTCAAAAGAGTGTATGTCGTAATAAACGAATGGACGCTGCGAACAGCAAAAAGAGTGACTTGAGAAGACTAACGAGAGAATGAAGCTGCTGGAGAAATCAACAGGGAGATCAGGGGAGGAGGGTGATCTTAATGTACTTCTCGAGTAGGGACAAAAGCCCTACGGACAAGATACGCCGAGTCAACCAGCATAGCGTCTTGGCTTGCACTTTTGCATCCACCGACAAGGGGAAGAGAGGTCCAATCTAGTGTCGATCTGCATTTCCAAACGGTCGGCAAGCAAGAAACAGGGTGAGAGAAGACCAGACCAGTCTATTCCAAGACTTTGATTGAATTTTGATTGGCGGTTTCTTGTCGCTCACACGCAGTGGTTGACATGTCCGACTTTGATCTCAACTTGGCAAGAGAACGACCTGAAAGCTAGCAGACCTGATATTTCTTAGTCGAACTCTAACTGTACTGTGAGCCCCGTTACGGGTCCACTAGCTCCAAATTATACTTGGCCTGATTGCTCGTGATTCTCCACTAGTGCACCACATCCGTCCCCATAACTGATTTTTGCGCTCGTGACATTGTCGATCAGGGGTGAAATACCCGAATTTGAAGGCCTTGAGATTGCCTCGCTAGGTACACTGTACAGTAAGTATGTACTATGCACCCGGTACATATTTGATAATAGACCTCTTGCCCATTCACTAGTGCCTTGCTTTTCCAGTCTCGAGTCCAATGGCTTGAGCTTAGTATTTGGGTGTCCAATGCTGTTCTCACAGCCTCCTCTCATCCAATCTTGCCATTAGGCATCCCTTTCGTTAGTTAGCAGGTGAGAACATCTGACTCGACATCGCTTACCAAACAAAGAAAACCTTCACGGCGGCACCATGCGTTTTCCAAGGCTAATGCAAAGCACCCAGCCATTGATCCTCTTACCCCCTTTTTCCCAGGCGAAGTGTACTGTATTTGAACCCTGGCCTTGCGCTAAGTCCTATCTACAGGAACTCGGCGCAATTATTGTGAAAGCAAACATGAATTATTGAAGGCGACCCATGTTCGGGGTAAATCGGTGGCTTGCAAGCCACCAAAATAGACCCTGCGAACTCATGTGGGCCTCGGCTGCTGGTGCTGAAGACACATACTGTAGACCCCACACCCACCACTCCGCACAGTGGACCCATTTCCCTTTTGAATTCGCCGCGGTCCACACGGCCAAATTTCATATCTTGCCATCCTGGATATTTCCTGATCCTGGATCTCGTGGTTCTTCATTGTGTCGAATTGTAACACATGGCTTCGGCTGTCGGGGTATCCCGCGGGCCTACGCCAGCGTCGCCGACTTTCACACCACACGCCAGCCCGGTTGCCAACCGAGCAAGGTTGAGTTTCCTGTGCATATGTGGAAATTAGTTATATGCAATCGAAATTCGAGCATTCGCATCAATCCTCGGCAACAGGTGGAGGCCATACCTTGGCGCTAGGGACTTCTTCGCATTGCTTCAGTGGGGACCAGGTTCTACATAAATATTTAAGCAATAATTTGTCAAGAGTCGATTCCACTTATTCACTCAAGACTTCCAAGAGTCAAGGCATCTGTAGATCTCGTCAAGAATGGCAAAAAGGTCGACGTTAGCCGCGCGTGGGAAATCGCGTCGGAGATCAAGCTCCAGGAATTCGATACCGCGTTCTTAATTTAGATAGTCTGCGGACTGTAATTGAAGCCCTAGGAGAGAGCAAGTCGGAGTTTATCCTTGCTTGATGGGTTCACGATAGCTTGTGAATTGGTGGGGCTTCCGGTCAGTGTAACATTGAAAGGCATGGACAGGTCGGTGAGCAGGAAACTTTTGACCTGTCAGGTCAGCCAGGTCTACGCGACTCGTCAGCTGCTAGACGCGTCGGCGGTCACAGCACCAGTTTTAGTAGCCGCATTGGCTGCTAGCCTGTAAGGCTTCCAAAAGAATAGCAAGAAATATCTAGACCTCAAAGAAATTTCTGGGTACTTCGAAGTCGGATCCCGATATGGTGCGCTATGGGGAAGACGCCTGAAGGTGTTGATTACTCTATAATCGGGTGGTCGAATTGCGACCGAAATTGGCTCCTGTGCATCAAGAGAGAGAAACATTGACATGTGGATTAATTCTTGGGCATAGAGAGGGGTTTGGACAAAATTAGCAATTCTGCAAGGGGCAAAAAAATGAACCCAAAACAAAAACATACAACAGCCAGGATTCGCATGTGGTCACCCACCATACTACTAACTGGCCGGCGTGTGGCTTAAGTACGGCTGAGCGGACGGGAAGCCCTGTTCTCCACACCCTATGGTCGTATGTGCTTGGTTTAACACACAAACAAAATATACAGCCTCTTTCATACCAACCAGCGTGAGCCATAATCTTGGCCTTAATTGATTTTTGAAGTTTTAACCAGCTGCTTTTGGTTGCTTTGGGATATGTATAGTTAATAAATTAAAAATTTTGTTAGTCCATTCATGAGCAGGTACCTCGAGAGGTCCGCACGGGGCTTCTTGAACTGAGCCAGGCGGTGACATATTTCGGCAGCCATCATCGCCTTCTGGGGGGGGTCGCAACTGTCGAGGAGAAACTTATAGAAAACTTTTGACCCAATTGGGTTATGACCTTAAATTCTGCAATTTAAGATAGTGGAACTTTACTCAGGTCCCTAAATACGGCAAGGAACAATTTGCTCTTGAAGGCTGCCGCGTATAAGCGTCCATGCTCTTATCGGACTCTAATGCCAGGGTGATTCTCCCAGAAAAAGGGATTTTATGAGAACAACTTCTCACTCAATCAATTTAAGCTTGGGTGGGCAATTTTATATGCTTACGGCCTCAAAGATGGCCTCTGGTCACTGTGCACAGAAAAGAGAGGGTGGTGGAGCATTCAACCACTGTTTCATATAGAAGTTTGTTCTCGTATTATTCTGGAAGCAAACCGGTGTCCCGCGGGTCGAAATTCAGGGAACCTATCCAAAGGTCTTGTCTATAACAGCTTTGGTAACGATTTTTGTCGCCTCAGGGCTTATCCTTGACCGTTTCCCGTGGCCACCGCGTAAGTAATACTCGAATAACACAATTGATTGCCCCGTTAGTTTTGCCTTAAAGATTGAGAATTTGCGACATGCGAGTCCTCGGGCTTCACAACGGAGAAGCCATTAATTCGAGGAAGGCGGTTTCCTCGGCGATAGATTCACTAGTAGTGGAGGCTGATGAAAGGAAACATAAGCCGGCTGACTTTTAGACCATTCTTGGCCCTTTGACGCCAAAGTTATCTCAAATCGCCAGATGATCTTCGAAAGTATGATTTTCATACTGTCATATGCGAATCTAAAAGCATGAGGTTTGGTCAACCAAGCATGTCTCTAGGAACCCTAGGTAAGAACTTACTTCTGGCCAATGCAACTCCGCGGTCCAATAGAGAATGGCCGGAAAACATCCCTGGAATCTCCCTCAAATTGCGAATCTCCTAGCCATCTTCCGGAAGGAATTCTTCTGGTCATGAGAAGTTTCTGGATGAGTGATAGGCACTCCAATGGCTAATGTTGACGACGCTTTGCCCAACCATATGTTAGCATGATATTTGTTAAAGATAATCCGAAATTGATGAGACAGTAATAGTTGAACTTACTCCGCCTGGAACAACACTTCCATCAACTAAAGCTCCTTCAGGTGAAACTTGAACTTGTCTTGAAAATCCATTTGTGATAGGAGGTGCAAGGCGTAGAGTCTCCTGAATTACCGCCTGTAAGTAATGCAACTTGTTGATAGACAGCACGTCAATTTGACTCTCCTCCTGAAAGTATGAGTGAAGCTCTTCCAAAAGTCTCTCCATTGCCGGCTGGTTTACAAGCAAGAAGTATGTAGCGAAAGCCAAAGCAACGGCTGTTGTTTCACTACCGGCAAGAAAAACAAAAATGGTGGCTTGGTGTTCCAATTCCTCCGTCGTGATTAGGCCAGTATTCGTGGCTTTCAGCATGTGCGACATGAAGTCTGGCTTGGTGTTTTTTTGTACAGGTTGGCGGATTTTTTCTAGAGCTATCCGGGAATGAGTCTCTTTCTTCTCGATGAGAGATGAGGGAAGCAATATAGCAAGAAGCTTGTTCAGTGGCCGGAACCGATGAACTACCTGTAGCAAGGACGCCGCGTAAAAGTAATCCAGGACAAATTGCACCCACTCGTGACATTTTGATGATGCGAGACAATTGAAAGATTCCCCAAATGTAAGGTCGCCGATTAGATCAAATGTTGCGTAGTTATACCACAATCTGAGGTCTGTCTCTAACCCTTTTTTAGATTGTTGCTCGAATTGATGTAACAAGAGATCGACATTTTAATCCAGGATAGATTCCTGTTCTGCCAGCGATCTGGATGCGAAAGCTCCGTTCATAGATCGTCGTAGCCGAGCGTGATTAGCATCGTCGGCCATCGTCATAGTTTTCGGATCCACCAGCATTTCATTGAAGAACGTTGGATCCCGGGGAATGGCGGGGTCTTTTGTTTTCGTGCGTAGATGTCACCCCATGCTTCAGCAGAGATGAATGAAAGTTCATTGGGACTGATTCGGACGACACCTCCGAATCGTTCATGGGCGGCCTGTGTGAAGAGATGGAATTGGCCTCCTAATTGTGCTAGTGCCACAGGAATTGGAGAAGCAGCGTATGCTTTAGGCCCGGGAATCTTGGCCAGAGGATGAAAATATATGTTATAGTAGATGGAGGCGTTGATTACGCACACAATCTAGACATCATCAGTAGATAATTAGAATTGCTAGGTCATGGGAACAATATCTACCCCGGCAAACAAATATTTCAGAAAATCAGCCCAATTTCCAGTGTGGAAGCTCTCGGTCACAGAGGCGTTCATGCTCAGATATCAATTCGATAACGTGAAATTTAAAGAGCGCAGCGAGGAAAGTACGAATTTGTTTCGAATAATTTATAGTCCTCCGTACAATGTTCAGCTCAAAGGTGGGGGGCCCTGCCCCTGCCGAAACAGGTAACTGTTTTTACACAAGCGGAGAATTGATGAAGTAAGCTATAGTTTAGCGGGTTCGGTTAGATTCAATCTAATATATTAGGGCTGGTGTCATTGATTCTAGGAGTTGTGTAGGCTAGAAACTATTCTGATATATCCGTCCTACAGAGCAGTGAATTCAGTGATAATAATAATCGTAGTAATCTCCGACCACGCTCAGGTCATCTAGCCATTCTGTTGTTTTTAAATTAGTGTGCGCCCAAACAATTATTCCCACCTGGTCGCAATAAAGTAAAGATCAAACTTGTGTCAAAACACCAGAGTTTTCCAGATCCAGGCGACCGGAATATCAATAAGATTCGTGAATGTCAAAAGTACGTGTCTACACTACTGCCCAATACTCTATGCGAAATTATTTTGGCTGGATCTGGATTCAAAGAAACACTATTTTTATTGCTTTTGTTTGCAGTGGACCAATCCCAATTTTCCATCAATCATCATTCCTCTCGACAATCAGGACAAACTCAGCCTAGCTACCAGCTTTTTTTGGCATGTGTCATAGGTCTTGACCAATATCAGGGTCCCGTAAACACACAGCCCGAGAGATCAAGAGAGGTAAGGCTGAGGGTATAGGGCGGGGGGCCAGTGCCTAAACCTTGCATGAGCTAATTTCTAGATTAGACAGATCAGCCTAGGTAGACTTACTTAGCGCTAGGGTGTAAGCCACAATGCAGGTAATACTCTGATCAGCGGCAAGTTTGTCCACGAGACTATGACTTTTAACCACATCCGCTAGATTCTGGAGTTCAGCTCCGCTCAATCTCAAGGTCTTCACACCTGCATCGCTAGAAGCAGCATTCGCTGTAACTAGGAAGGGGATCAAAGCACCGAGAATAGTTAGGGTCCTCATCTTGGTTAGGTCAAGCTGAGCACTGTGATAATCAGTAGAGAAAATCTGGAGAAGCAAAAATCCGTAGATATGCACAGACCTTTCCTTTTATATCTTCGTCTAGGGTCGTTAAATAAACATTCGAACATGACGCGTGTTACTTTAGAGTAACAATCGTATGAGCGCGTTACACTGTATACCCTAGGGCGGGGGACAGAACTTGTCGGTGGTTAACCCCGTTCCACGATTACGATAATAAAACGTAGTGTATCTCGTATTTGTACAAAGAACGTATAACTTCAATATGGCATTAAGACGAGGAGATAATGAAGCCTTTGCAGCGAGATTTCTAATTTGCCGGCTTCCTACCCTCTGAATAAACCCAGAGCGAGCAAAACTTAATTAGCAAAACAGTATGTTCCACAACAGGTTCCACATATTACGTGAATAATAGTATTTTTTTCTCTATTCTAAAACACGCGATGGTCTCTTCTTTAGCTATGAATCTCGTTGGCTTATTAGCAGTCTCATACCTCTAATAGGCATATTCATGAGTCATTCATTCACAGTCATACTGATCTAGACTTCCTCATCAGTTTTAACTAAATCACAAAGACATTTCAATATGCTTAATTGGTGGCTATTAATCCAACACACATGATCGACTATACGAAAGTTGGCTTCATACGAGATTCTGAAGCAATGCTTCTGGAAATTTTAACTTCCCTCAATTCCATTTCTTGCTTGAAATCTAAGACAAACTCAACTCAAGAAGGCCAAGGGCATAAGAAGTGAAGCTCGCTAGGTACCACGGAGCACTCAGTACCAACTGCGATGAACGACAACAATAAGTATATTATCAAGCACTCGAAGCTCTGAGGTGGATAAAGCTTGAAACTCACCGCAGGTTGATCCTAGTGTGAAGAAATCCAGCACACACTGGACTGTAACTGGATCGAATCTTTCGGTCGCTTCGGAACTATTCAGAGATTGGACGAGTCTCTTCCACCCGGGCCCGCTCAATTGAGCGGTGGCATGCTGCTGAGTCATTGTATGAGGACCAATGGCTGTTGAAATGGTAGGATCAGACATCAAAAGACATCCAAGCCACAGGATTGGAGACGCTGATTGAATCTTCATGATGGACTCCTTCTATATGTGGGGATTTGGTTGCCTTGGAACAGAGAGTTTGAGGGCAGTTTAGGCGATTATATATTCAACAGAAAGTTAAGAGAGAGTGAGAGAGTTGAACTTATTGAGCCTTAATATTAACCCCGAGAAACCGTTTGTTACTCAGGAATAATTTTCTGGAGGGTGACATATTGTTGCTCGTCCAATGCGTTTAAAATTTACCGTCATTGATCAATGTCGTTGTGCGACTTCTCTGCGGGATGATGAAAGTCAGAAATGGATCGATAAATCCATCGCGAACGGCCAAGCGGCCCTAGGTAGTGCTACATGGGGCGAGATGAATGGTATAACTCGAAAATACCAGCCTGACTCGAGAGAATCGTCGCTCTTCCGCGAAAGAGTATTTTCCTGCCACTTGGGAGAATGTGACCAGACGCATAGCTCGTCAAATGCGTGGTTCTTCTTCGTCACGAGAAACTCAATCTCCAGATGGCTGGCGATCGATGGCTTGGACCAATTAGAGGGAGAGGATGGCGGATTTCAATACCTATTGCGTGAAAAGACCTGCTGCGGTGGGTGTGCCTATGAAGTTATTAAATCAAAGAGCCTCGTTCTCTTATGAGAACGGATCGGGAGCGGGCAGGGTTCGATGCTACAGTCATTCTCGAAATTCCCTTTACCAGTACACACTGTGACTATCCTTCCTAGCACCACTACCAAGACCTTAGCCTGGATTATCAATTAGGCTGGTCGCAGTAAGTTAAGGGTTCCACCACGCTTTGAATAGAGGTTGCACTTTGAAAGTTCCTGTACGAGTTCAGGGGTAAATCGTAAAAGTCCAAAGTCTGCCTATACCTTAATATCTTGCGACGAGAAAACATCCACTAGTAAGTAGTAGGTTTCCGGTATTAGTCGACGGATCTCCTGCGCTTCAGGGTTCTGTTCGGGGAACCGCTTCTCTTCTAGGATCCGTGCGATTTAGGCAGATAGGTCAAGAAACTCTCGGTCCCTTCGCAACGTTGAAGACTAACTCATCTAATTACTTCAATCTCCACATTCTTTCGAGGTAGTCCGTTTGCTCGACTTCTTCTTCGTTCGAGCAGGAGTAATCAGCTCGTCGTTAAATGCACGGTTCATCTTGTTTATAAGGTCCCAGTAGGCGCCTAGGAGGTACTATACGACCTTCGAATCTTCCGTTCCTGAGAGGCTTAATCCTCAATCAAGAGGTCTCTCCTATCCGCATCCTTCTCGTAACCGTCGTTCATAATAGGCCGATTCAGTATCTACACTGGATCGGGTTTGCTGTATCCGTCATTCCGTCTGGATTTGATCCTTCAAAGAAGGTCGATCAGGCCAGAAAATTCTACATTTTTAACAACCTAGAAGAAATCTGTGGGTTTCACTTTCAAAGGATCAGATTATGATCAGCAAGTTCCGTGAATAATATAGGTTGGTTTAGCTACATATCCGATATATAGGTCATATTCAAGCTATGTACTCATTGATTATGTTTAGCACACTCAAGCCAAAGGCAATCTGACAAACTCCAATCTGACCCTCCGAGAATAGAGGTACAATAGTAACCTCACCTACGTGAACAGAGGAGGAGTTTTAAATGCCGATTGGAACATATAGATAATTTATGTAGTACAATCACAAAGTCATGATTACTTGAGCCTTATCGAACCCAGCGTGGTCATCGTTGACTTCCCTCGAGCTCAAAGGGCTGTTTATGCGCGGGCTTTGACATGCCTTCGACTTCATGAAGCAGGGTTAAGCTCCGCACGTGTCGCCCATTAGTATCTAATTCAACAATTTTGAGCTCCCTCTCACCCTATTAGGATCTAGTTGGGCTTGGCGCTTTCGTCGACGGCAAACGAAAAGTCCAAGCGCAAGCAGAGTGTAAATAGCTCCCACTGCCACACCGACTCCAATTCCAGCCTTGGTTCCAGTTGTTAGGCCTGATGAAGCATTCACAGATTGTTGTGCTGTGGCCTTGGGGCACTTGAGGTTGGGGATGTAGTTGCGGTGGCAGTGGCAGTGGCGGATAAAGGCTATCACTCGACTGCCATTCAACCACGATGCCATAGGCATTCCAAAGACCGCCAGGTGTCATACTACCAGGCGTGGATGCAGTGGTGCCATTATTGGTCCAAGAATAACCATAATAAACAGTCGTTGGTGGGGCCCATTGGCAGACTTCCGTAGCGTACCATAGATCCTTTGACGCTCCCGCGGGTCGTGTGGAGAACACTTAATTACTGGCTCTAAGTATCAGATCGAGTAAGCTTAAACGCCCTGACTCGAACCTGACCGAGGTACCCGCTCGGAGATGGAGATGGGTATACTCACAGATATTGTGGAGAACAGGTTCTAATCGTTGTTTGTTCATTTTTAACGATCACGGTAGAATTCGAGGCCATTATCCATCCACTTGGACAGAGTCCTGGCGAGAAAGTACTCGATGGGGACCATCCTGAGGGCAAACATTCTCTGGAATTGATAGGACCTAAGTTCATCTAGGTTGAGCCGGAGCTATGAGCAGCCCATAGGTCGGTGAGGCATGAGCTGTGTGGTGTGAAGGTAGTCGTTAGGGGGAAGGGGACGTAGGTGTTCCGCTTAAGACTGTAATTGAGGTTGCGGCTTCCATAGTTGGAGGTGTAGCGTATCCTCGTTAGAGAGAATGGAAGTTTCGGAGGTCGTCGGAGGGGAAAGGGCACCTAGACCCTGGTCGCGAGAAACCTTACGTGGCACAAAAGAGGCTGTCCTAATTCATGGGTGACAGCGCAACTGAAACGCATATAGAGTAGACCATTTACTGATCGCCGCCTACAGTGTTATCATCCTTCCACTGAAGGCCGAGATGTGCGAATATATCGGACAGCTCTTGAGATGAAGCCATCGCAAGATGAAAGCCTCGGTCTGAAAGGTTGCTCAGTGCGGTTCAGTGTCAAATACAGTCTTGTATGTCACGCTCATTCTCGAAAAGGACGCTGTCCCTAGAGCAGGAAGATCTACTACTCAACCGAATATGGATTGCAGGTAGTTGATCAAACAGTTTTGGAACAACTTCTGAACTTTAGCAGAGATTTCCTTGTCGACCCTCCGGCAACGTGAAATGGCATGACTCAAGGACCAGGCAAAGGTATTTGGATTTGACTATAGGTATCCTGTGGGCGCAAGCTGAGATAGTATTGGCTAGTAATCCTAATGGGCGAATAGGATAGAGAGTAGGCTCAGGCGGAACCAATCTTGGATGCAAAGGTTCATTGATTGAAGAAAAGAGTGAAATACGTTGCATGGGCAGGTTCAAGGTTGAAATGCCCCATGGATGCTTAGGTACAATGGGGTTAGAAGTTTGAAACCCCGACAAATTTTCAAAATCCTCTTCGCAGTCAGGATTTGAACGATAAACCAAGAAAGGATATCTGTGCTATCAAGAAAGATAATTCGAAAGATGTTTAGAAAGACCTTAAAAAAAGAATGACTGAAGCATATCTATTTGGTCCGTTTCTCTGACTTCTAGACTTAAAGTTTTGAACGGCCATTGTACTTTGGGTTGAAACCAGAGGGATTTTAGAGGATATAGGCCTTTCTGACGGCAGCTCTAGTACATACGACCATAGGGTGTGGAGAACAGGGCTTCCCGTCCGCTCAGCCGTACTTAAGCCACACGCCGGCCAGTTAGTAGTATGGTGGGTGACCACATGCGAATCCTGGCTGTTGTATGTTTTTAAAAATAATAATCATTTTTCTTTGCCTTTCCTCATAAGTTGCCACTACTCTTGCCAGAAGGCAGCTACCGTGACTACAAATAGCTGAATTGATCGCATAGCCGGGAATGATCATCACACTTGTACCTCAATACTTGTACCTCAATTCAGGGTCTCAACTTTCATTTGCGCGAGGGGTCAGAGTAAATGATTTCAACCAACGAACCAACCAAGTCGTATCCAATCCAGTTTCAATAATACTAAGGTGACCCATCTAATGCCATTATTTCAGAAACCCCAAACCATTTACTCCAATGAGGGACAAGCATCCATTTAAGCATTGTGTCACAAAACTAATGATCAGCGATTAGCGTCCTTGAGCCCCGCACGTAAGCTTCTGAGAAGCTAAGTGTTCACGCTATCAGTCAAAAATTCATCCGGTCAAGAGCTCCAAGATGTCCCCATATAATACCGATAACGATAATCAGAGAGTTCCTTTGAACCCTGAACAGCTGGAAGTTACAGCCAAGTTTCTTCGGCGACTGGCGCAGGAGGAAGACTTCCAAGACCCCTGCACAGTGACCGCCGAAAGCGTCGACTCCGCAAGGCTCTTGACAGCGTTTCTGGATGACTACGCTGAAGCAGATGACAGTGCCGACCGAGAGACATTCCTGACGTCTTTCCTTGACCATGTCCGTGCAAATATCTACGATGATGATAGTTCCTCTCTTCCGCAGGATGCCATCGCGGACCTCGACTCCCTCCCCGGTTGGAGCGGATCAAAATTGCAAAGGCTCAGGGACGCACTGCGGAATTTTCCAGGAAGCATCACGAGTAGTGTCGCACTGTTGTCGTATGCAGCAGAGCATGGCTTGGAAACGGTGGTTCGGCGGCTGCTCCTCGCACCAGAGAGCAGCAATGCTATTTTCTCGACTACTACCACCGAAACAGATGACCCAGCAGAGCCAAAGCCCCTTTCGCTGGCAGCCGAGAACGGACACGCTGGAGTTGTCAGCTTACTACTCGCTGTAGGTGGAAACAACATTGACCCCGATCATCGCTAGGAAGAGTGATCTGGCCAAACGGCGCTATTATCGGCCGCGAAGAATGGTCACGCCGCCATCGTGCGGCTCTTGCTGGCCACACCGGGCGTAGACCCCAACTTTGAAGACTGGAATTACCAGAACCCGCTGCTGCTGGCGGTGCGCAATGGTCATGATGCCATCGTCAAGCTCCTACTCGCACACGAGGGCCTTAAGGATCCGAACATCCCGAACGAGTGGGGAGAGACGTCCCTACTCGTCGCTGCAGAACTGGGACACGAGGCGGTTGTTCAGCGGCTGTTGAGCTGGGCGACAATCCACCCTGAGACCACCAATTCGTGAGAAGAAACACCCCTTATGGTGGCCACCGATTGCGGACATACTGCTATTGTCGCAATGCTCCTGGCAACGCACCATGTGGATGTTAACAGGAAGGAGAGGGACGGGAATACACCGCTTCTGTCGGCGGCGCGAAATGGCCATAGTTCCGTGGTGAAGCTGCTTTGCGCGGAAAAGAATGTTGATCCGAATTGCCTGGGGGCTGATAGATACATCCTCTAGCGTGGGCCGCAAGCAATGGTCATCTGGAAATCGTCTAGTTCCCGCTCTCCGTGGGCGATGATGTGAAGCCGGATTTAAGGAACTTAGATGGGCGGACGCCGCTCTCCCTGGCAGCAGAATTGGGACATGAGGCCGTGGTCAAGTTGCTGCTCACAACACCGGGTGTTAATGCGACCTCCGCTGATTCCAAAAACCGCACGTCGCCCTGGTGGGCTGCGCAGAGTGGGAATGAAGTCGCCACTCAAGCTCTTCTTGCAAAGATGGAGAAGGCATGCCTGGATACCCCGGACTCGGACGACGAGACACCATTACTGTGTGCCGCACGAAACGAGCACAAAGCCTGGTGCGGCTATTCCTTGCTACCGAGGGGGTGAACCCAGCTCACAAAGACTCCAAGGGAGGAACAACCCTCTGGTGGGAGGTAGTCCACGGATATGAAGATGTAGTTACGGAGCTGCTCGCCATGAAGATGGTGGATCCCGATTCCCCTGGCCCGGACAGGAAGACGCCCCTGCTATATGCCGCAGAACACGGGCAAGAGACCATAGTCAAACTAGTTTGGCCACAAACCGAGTAAATAACGAAGTGCGGAGTTCTAGTCAGGGGACCCCGTTGTGGTGGGCGGCGTGCAATGGATATGAGACAATCATCACATCATTGCTCACTCAGGGTGCGGACCCTAAATCTCGAAGCTCAAGTGGTGAGACGCCCTTATTTTGAGTAGCGCAGAATGGCCACGCTGCAGTAGTGAAGCTTCTGCTTGAAAAAGGGGTCGATCCGGATGCTAGCCCATCTCAAGACGGGGAAAACGCCTTTGTGGTGGGCTGCCCGAAACGGGCACGAAGCAGTGACCAAACTCTATATTGCGACAGAGAGAGTGAATCCTGACTGTCAAGATTCGACGGGGGAGACGCCGCTCTGGTGGGAAGCACGCAATGGACATGAAGAAGTAGTTCGACTGCTTCTCGACAAGGGAGCTCGCCCAGATGTGCCCAACTCGGATGGTCAGACGCCCTTGTCCTACGCGGCAGAATTCGGCCATGAGGCTGTGGTCAGACTGCTTCAGGCCCACGGTGCAAGTTCAGGTTCTTTGTAATGTTTGTATATCCTACGGTCACGACAATCTTACACTGCATGACAAACCGGCAGTCGTGTAAATTCGTGGTACCGTTAAATCCGAGATGACAACCTTGCCGAGCCGCCAAGCCTCTTGGTTTTTGCAAAACGCCCCAGTGCCACTGCTGCACTGCCACCATCGGTGCGATTGATAATTTTCCAAGAAATGATGCGTCAAGATTATCAATCAGCAGAGGGTCTCTAGTTGCTGAAAATTGTCACGAAAATGCCGGCATTGTGTCGAAAGGGACATCCGGTCGTTCCGGAGGGGGAACTAGAATATCATAAGTGGTGATATGCCGTGTGAAAGTCTAGAAACATGGTCGGAACCTGGGAAGAGAGCTGAAAATTTCTATGCAGTAGAGTGTGATGCCAATGATTGATGTGAGTATCTGTCTTTCTGTAGATAAGTGCTCTTCATTCTGCCTGGAAGCGTTTCGGTAATACGGATGCGACTGCAGATGTCACTCCTATTCAAACTTGAAGATCCGAAGCACACCAGAGGTTTTAGTATCTAAGAGATAAACTGTTCTATATTCTAGGCCCGCCTTAAATGGAAGCACATCCAAGTAAAGATCCATAGTATAACCAATGGGAGTAAAGCAGGTTCTTGATTGACACTGGCCACATTTGAAGCCCGCATCATTCTTGTTGCCAGCTCTCCGTATTGATCTTGGCCATACGTGGAATTTAGTGTGACTGCAGCTGAAGTTGTACCGTCTTCCAGCCGAATCCATGTCTCTATTTCTTTCTTCATGGAAGTTTGATCCAGAAGTATCTGGCGTCCACCTCGAAGAGCATCACCATAGCCGCCGTAACCAGTGTGTCGACCATAGCACATATGAATACCGTTGCCAGTGAGATTCTGATCAGCGATAGTGCCATTCCATTTGAAACACCTATACAGGTTAGAATAGTAGATCAACGTTTTTTGAGTTCTTGTCGTACCAGTCGTTCTCATGATCATGGCCACTGAACGTTGCTATCAGCCCTGGAGTATCCAGAAGCGTCCGCATGAATTGACTATCCTGCCCGGAGTAGTCAGTGTCGCCAGAGCCTTGCGACACCACAACTTCACCATTAATACCAGGTGTAGTTCGACGATTGAAATGGTCTTTTTGATATTTGAGCATAGCATGCGCAGGAATGTGGTAAAAGGCCAGCGATGGAATAGTCCTGCCATATTTGGCGGTTAAATTGGCATTCTGATTTATGAACCATTCGTTGACCTATACAAATTTTGTTAGAGATTTGAAAACGGACCATCGGGGTTAAGAGAAGTCAAGAATCATACCTCTTTGTCAACCCAGTCACCTCTTGCGCCAGAAAGGCTATTAACGCCTCTGTTGGTTGGATAATGGCCTCCTTTAGAGTCAAAGAACCACAAAATAAGCACAGGGGCTTGATTTGAGCCTTTATGTGGATATACTGGCAAGTAATAATTCGTAATCCCAGCTTGAGGCGATGAAACCATGCTACTTGTCAGGCTGTTCTGGTATTTTATCTCATGTTTGTAGATATCTTGCGTTGGGTCCAAATTGACATCGCTGTCATGATTCCCATAGGTCGATGCCCATAATATGTCCGCATCAACCAGTGGTTTCACAACTTCATGGAGATACTGTCCTGGATCGGAGCCATCTGTAGCTTCACCAGATATCAAGTCTCCATTCAAAACCACTAGCTGTGGATTTTCACTTGTAACAACCTCTGACATGACATTCTTCGTCATTGAATCAAGCGTTGCATCTGACAGAGGTCAGCAAACCCGGATCACAATAACACAATATTTCGGGGATAAAATACTTTCGGCAAAGTGTAGATCACTAAATATTGAGATTTGAAAGGTGCCATTTTTAGTGAACCTGAGCTTTGGATCATCTTGTCGACTGGCTAGGACAGTTTTCATGGTATGTTGAGTCACGTCCTTGAATAGCATTTCAAGACAGTTTCAAAGACCGTCGTCGCTCGCATTATGTACATTTTATAAGGCGATATGCATTGCATTGTACGTGAAATTTTCAAAATAAAACCTAAGTCATCCACGTCATGATATTCTGCTGCCTATAACTTCTGGGCATGTTCTCGGCATTTTGATAACGCAGGTTTGACGTAGGATATCGCCGGAATTGGACAGGCCGAGATCGCCAAGATCTCCGCTCTGTCATCAGAGTTGGAGATAGCGGCGATAAGAATACGGAGATCGGGAGAGTTCCGTGAGATGGCCGGAGCCGTGGACGGGTACTGTAGAGTAGTGGGGCTTCTGCTGATATACATGTAGAAAGTGGCTGACGGTTTGTAATGTTTGTCCATCGTGCTTGACTTTTATTTGCTGGTTTCTGTAGAATTTGTTTGTTATATTTTCTCCAATACGATAAGCAGGCTCGGTTGCCGATCGCCGATCATAAGCTTACGCTTATATGACTGGTAAGCTCTGAAAATGGATTACTGCTTTTCCTTTCCACAGAAAAAGTCCTCCGCTCTTGCGTGGAATTAATCTCATCTCCGGACTAACGGAATTTTGCGAATGCTCCTCAATTTGGCCTGATCACACCGCTATAATGTTGCTTGTTAGATGATCTGTTTAACGGTCGTAATTTTGTGCATCGAAACATTAGGGTTGACCGGAAAGCCTCGAAGATCCGCCAAGACAATGATACAGTTTATTTTCTCGGTCGCTGCCATTTCATCACCTTTTCACAAAGGACTATTTCATCTCAATTCGCTTCTATACTATTTATTAGACACTTACTATGTAGCAGGAAGATTGAGAATAGTGGAAGCTAGCTGAATCAACGAATAGAAAGTATTATTTACATCGAGAGCCTCGCAGCTCTCTTTTTCAGAGGCCAAGGGCCTCTCGAGCATTGGACACAATCGCAATCTGGCATAGTAAAGTGAAGACGCTCCCAAATCTCCTGTAATTTTCCTCGTTGACGCTCTTGTTGGGCATCTGGCAATGCTTTCCTCGACATCCACATCAAGTTGACTTTACCCGCCTCTTGATCCATATGCTCAGCGTATAGGTCCACATTGTCCTGTTTACTCAAGGTGAGCCTACCAATGTGTTGTGCGGTCATACTCAGAATTTCTGCAACCTCATGCGGAGAGAAGAGGCGCCCGGTCCTCAAGATATCAATTGCATCCTGGATCGTGTGCGTGATTATCTGACATTTTAGCAAGAAACAAAAGCTGGCGCTTTCAGCTTCTCCTATGACTCGAAATCGGTCAAAATCAACCTCGAAGCCGTGCAAAAACTTCACGGCTTCCTGAATAGTCTGACCAGGATGAGAGAGTTTCTCACTCCAAAACAAAAGTGAATTGACAAAGTTGACTCGCTTGTCTCCAAATATCGTGATGTTTCGGTTCGATGCCATACCTAGCCGGAGATGTCTTTGGTACAGCTAATTCTGAGTATTAGATTGATCTTTAGCAGCTTCCTGGAGTTTGACCTTTTATTCTAGAGTAGGATGAAGCGGGAGACTTGCCGGATTTATAGTCTGAGGCTGAGCCTCCTGTATACGCCTGTCTTAGTTGATTCATTCATCCATCCTCAACAACCAAAGGAATGCTTTGTTCAATGAACAAGAAGCTTTATTCTTTCTTCTGGGTATGGATCGTAATCTGTTTTATAGCTATCTTTGCAGGCCTTACAACGCCTACAAAAATTACAGTTGTTTAGACTGTTTCTTTATTGTCAAGCTATTAATTCTGATGAAGATGAGAGTGTTTAGAACGGTCAGACCTCACTGAAAAGGAATTTGGGGGCTGGGCTATTATTAATAAATTGTGCGCTTAGAATTCACAACCTCTGAATCAATACCTTTTGAGAAGTGAATCGAGTTAAGGATGGATGATGATTCTGCTGAACGACAGACTGCCTTGACAAAGAAAGGTCATTGTAACAAAGAAAATGATTGGAACATGCCCTTTATTTTGCTCAACCTGATCGAGGTTTAAATTGAGAAAAGAAGGAACTATGAGATTCATTCCGAAAATGGCAGCGTCTAGCGCCAGAAACAGGCACATGATACCCGTGATTTCCTAGCGGGAGGCTCCAATAACGCCTATCACTATTCAGCTACTACTATTTTGCGCCGCCAAGCCTCGTTACCTATCCTCCTCAGCTGGTATTCGCCTAAATATTCAGACTTAAATCATCTCACGTGTTACATAAACTATCCTATCTCTAGCTAATTAACAAAAGCTATGGTGTCTGTAATTATATCCATGATAAAGTCTCGTCGGCAGCCCTATTTCCAAAAGTTTAAACAGTCCCGCTATAAATATCAAAATATAACATGCCTCAATTCATACGCACTCACATTATTGCACACTTTAAGAACCACCACACCCGCCTCCGGAGCCCCCGCCACACCCCGCTCCGCAACCCGCGTCGCCAAATCCGCTGCACCCTACGCCAAATCCTCCGTCGGATCCTCCGTAGCCGCCCACCCCAGAAGAGCCTACATACCCGCGGTAGAAAATAATCCTATTTGCTGGATCGTCTAGAATAGGATAAACACCGAGCTGCGCCTCTGACGGTACGATGGAGTACCACGACCCATTATATCGGTCCTCCAGCTGCTCCCCTTTGAAGCGCCAGATCGCTGCTTTAGCTTCTGTCACTTTGCGCGTAAGCTGCTGCTCCAGGGCTTGCCTTTCTCTGCGTGCGGTATTCGATAATCCCAATTTATGACGCTGGTCCTGATATTCACGGTCGTACTCATGGTAGCGCGATTCCACCTCGCGCGACTTATATAAACGCCGCTCTCCTAGCGGCTGGAGCTTGTTCTGCAGCTTCGCAATATGCTGCTTTTGCTGCTTGTTATAGTAACGTAGCCCTGGCAGCCGCAATTTTGGCTTGATGGACCTTATGGACGTCTCTATACCCGCTATCTCGGCGTTCAATGCCGTTGATGCATCTTGCACGGTCCGATAATCGGCGAGCTTGGTTTCTAGACGGACTTTTATCTCGTCTAGATCTTTCTTTAGATGTTCGTGGTCTTTGTCGAACGCGGTCAGCTTGGCTTCTATATCTTCGGAGTCCTTTTGACACGCGGCTTTGCGTCTTTCGATCTCAGCGGTTTTTTCCGGATTTTGCGGGTCATGATAAGATTCGCTGTATCGCGTGGCCCAGAGGCTTGCTGTATTATCCTCCTTTTTCGATCGCCTCATTGCACGGATGGTATCGACGTGGTTGATCGGTCGCCCTATGTGCGTTTTGCAGTACTTCTCGTATGCGACTGGCGAGAGCTGGTGTGTGTGCCAGATGAGATCAATGTCGAGCGTTGGGACAAGGGTGTTTTGGTTTTCTTTCATGAGCTGTAGGAACTTGAGATACCGGAAGACATGGTCTTGAAACTGGTCTTGAGTCTGGTCTTGATTCTGGGCCAAGGCCAAAATCCGATCCACAAAACCTTGTTTACCGAACTGTCGTTGAGGGCTGTCCCATAGGTTGAAGATAGGGAACCCGAATTCACGTTGGCAGAGTTCAAGCGCATCTTCAGCCTTGGCCGCCCTGATCCTGTGGTTACAACCCGGACAGACAAGATCGGTGCGGCTAACACGGTATTTAGCCCATTTGATCATTGGGATGACGTTTGCTGCCCTCCACAAGCAACCTATCCAGTGGCATTTGTAGCCGTGTATATCCATAGCGTTCTCAGTGACGTATATGGGTTCGCCAGCAGGAGTGAACTCGACAATCTGATACGGGATATCGGGATACTCTTCTTTCCATACAAGTTTACTCTCTTCATCTGTGTTGGTAGAGAGTATCTTTGCAAGAGGAAATTCGATCTCTGCTTTCCAAAGATTTGGATAGTTCAATTCCATGTCTTTCTGGAAATTGAACGGTGATAGGAGATGGGCATAGAACATAATAGCAACGTCCCTGCCAAGGTCTGTTAGTGCATATTCTTATACCTCCTAAAGGAAGCAATACGAAAACTAGGATTGTCATACCAGGGTGGGAGTGGCCACGGATCCTTGGGTGTTCGGATTCCATGAGACGTAATCCATTTGTTCAGGATTTGAAGGTACATCGAGTACCGGACCTCAGCGCTCATAAGCAGGCATTGCAATCTCCATTTACCCTCCTCTTCCTGATCTAAATTGCGACGCGGAGGGGTCGGGAATGCCTTCGTGTCCCCACCAGGTTGCTCGACACTCTCTAAAATGCATTTGAACTTTTGCATGAGCTCAATATGGTTCTATACGGGGTTAGACGGCCTTAGTATCGCTTCAGCATTGAAGTAAAATCAGAGGAATGACGCACTGCAATACGCTCCCTTGAGCCAAACTCAGGGCTGATCGGGAATGCCTCCAGTAAAGTCTCCATGTCAAAAGGTTTTACCACGTTCAGCGGTCTTGTAAGATGCTGTGAGGATGATAGAACTGAGAGAGCGACACGTTCCGGAGACGGAGATGTCATGCTTATAAGTATAAGATTGTCCACTTCTGCCGCTTCAAAACACCATACCATTTTCGGCCAAACTCTAAATACGAGCGTTCATGATGACACCCATTTCTGGCGACTTCGCCCACTCGGGCACCTTCTCCCATGACTTGAGGCTCCTTGTCTAGGCTACACACCATAGCGCCTTTAAGGTGAGGGGTGATAGCAACGACAAATGCCTATAGACCCTCGAGCGTGATGGTGGTCTCTCAGTTGCCTTTGTGATTATAAGCTTCCCGCCTCGGTTTCAGCCGAACGGAATGTCAAGATATGATATTCCAGTAGCAGCCAGTGTGTAAAGGCCTTCTACTAGAAGATTCACCATTTTGAAATTATTCGATCAACATCGTGAAATGGTAAAGCACTGATACAAACCTTCGTGCTGGGTACTGCGCCCGACAAGGCACACCTGACAAGGCGCAATTTCAGGGTGAGATTTAGGTTATCATTGTATACGAATCTCTGGGAACTCGGGGGATCTTCCACGTGGTAGTTTCACTATCAGCAATAGGACCTGGAGTTTCTCTGGCACAGGTGCTATTTTTCACTTTAAGGTTGATACTCCGCGACTCTTACGTGTCCTTGACAGGCGATGACTCGCCTTTCTGGAAAATGTATCCGAACATTCTAGCCGCGTATAGTTAGAGAGTAAAAGGCAGGTAATAAAATAGTACCCAATAATGTATAATATACTGATCCGCGAGCGATACGCTAGAAACGAATATGGATTTTATGGTACAAAGGTGATTTTCTAGCGGATACGTAGCGCAACAGCAGCCTAACGCGCATGACTCGCGATCTAGTCAACAACGAGACCGCTATCCACGTAGTTCGTTGTGAGAGCCTCATTGTCAAGCCCTAGGCTTGTCCCGATGAAATCTCGGTTGCTTAGACATGCATATTTATCAGTTTCACTCTCCAGTGGCACTAATAATATTAAGCTGAATGAAGTCATTTTCAAAGAAGCCGGTCGCATAGCACTGATAACAGCAGACAGCAGATCTTCGGGGCAGCCTCAAAATTGAGGCGCCCGTGCACTTGGTTACACCAAGTGAATTTCTGGAGCAACAATGGATAGCGGGGTCAGTCCAAGTACCTGTACCGATGCCGCAGCGATGATCATCCGCAGTTGTAAAACACAAAATAATTTGTATGGCCGCTTGGAGAAACAAGTGTCGATCATTCCTCTTCTTTAGCTCTAATTTCTTTGTTAAGCTTGATTTATCTTCGAGGCTTTCGTCCCTCCACAACCTCACTTCTTTCACCCGTACGAACCAGGCTGGCTGCCTTGGGTACCTGCCTGCACTAAAATGCCGATCACACCTAACAAACAAAGGAGGGCATTTTGGGCATGAGACATGTCATATGTCGATACCTCCACGGCGCCTACTGTACATGTTATATGACGAGCGGTCAACTCCGGTGCGATCTTGAGAGAAACTAATCCAACGAAAGCCTGCACCAATCGATTTCAACCATTCGGGACTCTTCAAGCTGATAGCAAGTCCTCACTTCGCACAGTCGCTGTTATGTGACATTGAATTCATATCGGGAGGCTAGGCGTCGGGAATTTGGAACGCGACTCGCTAAAAACGCTGTTCAGTCCCGCAGTGCATACCCAATACACAAACGGACATCTCGATATCCAGCCCATCCAGATACGTCATTGTGTTACTTAACCAAACACGCCAAGTATTAATACTTTTCAAAAACAAACCTGACAAGATAATTGTCCGAGGCTCGAACTCTGTTGACGCTCTCCGATCGCCATGGGAAGCCATCCGCGAGACCACGTCACCGTGGGTATAGTCGGAGGTGGGATTGCCGGTCTAGCGCTTGCCAGAATGCTCGAGCTTTCAGGGATATCCTACTGCCTATGGGAAGCATATAGAGAATTCGCCACGCACACAGGCGCCAGTGTCGGACTTATGCCCAACGGTCTAAGGATACTGGATCAACTGGGGATGATCCACAAATTCAATGAGTATAACGTGAAGCGCGGAGATTGGGAGCATCGAGATGCGAACGGGGTTCTCCGAACTAGTCACAATCCTGGAGCGATCTTTGAGGAAAAGTATTAATCATTGTCTGGCAAGCTTGGGTTTAGCAGACTGCTAATATTGTGATTTTCAGAATTGGATATGGCGGCATCTTCATGGAAAGACAGCGAGTGCTTCAAATCCTGTACGAAAGTATCGAGGATAAGACCAGGCTTCACTCTTCAAAGCGAGTTGTGTGCGTGGTGCAGACCGGCCACGAAGCTGTGATTGTGAGCGAGGATGGGAGTGAACTTGGTTGCGATTACGTTGCAGGTGCAGATGGAGTTAGATCTGTGATTCGTCACGAGATTGAAAAAGCAACCCTTGCCAAAAAGGGCCCTGAATCTCGGGAGTCAAGCCTGTAAAATGATGACGTCTCACGAAACTCGACTGAACTAAACCCACAGGATTCGATGCTCGCTATGCCTGTGTCTATGGCATCTCGAATCCAGTTTCAGGCATTGAACCGGGCCGTTCTTTCACCGTCTACCGACCAGACGTATCCCTGTTGATATTCTGTGGCCACAACGGAGACATATACTGGTTCATGACCCACGATCTGAAGCGTACCGTCGCGTTTGAAAAGCGTGAGAGATTTTCTGAACAGGATATCGAGGCGCTATATGCACAAGTTGCCGACAAAACTGTGACGGATGGGTTGGTTTTTGCCATTATGTTTGAGAACAGGCGGGCTGCGGTTATGACAGCCCTGGAAGAGGGCATTGCAGAGCAATTCTTTTCCGGGCGCTTGTTTATGCTAGGTGATTCTGCGCACAAGGTAGGATATCGAATGATTTTTCTCAAGCGACCGAGAATGAGCTCCAACTAACCAATGATTATTGATTAGATGGTGCCTCAGGCAGCCATGGGCGCAAACCAAGCCATCGAGTCCGCAACAGCATTCGTCAATATCCTGCGCCCCTTCCTGTCTCATAAAACATCTCAGTCTTCAAGCGCGTACATTACACAATCTGAAGTGGAATTATGCTTGGAGCAGTATGACCTCCGACGTCGCGCACGAGTTACTGAAGCCTTTCGGAGAGCAAATCTCACCTGCCGCGCCCACCTAAAGATCGGACCCGTGAGCGAGGAATATTGGGCGAATCTCCCTAAAATGATGAGCCCAGTGGCAATTTCCAAGTTGTTGGATTCATTTTCTCGCGGAGAGGTGTTGGAGAATTGGTCGGTAGGGAGTACTAACATGGCTGTCTGCACGGGGTTTGGAGAAGCCAAAGAGTGCATGTCAAAGTTATAATTACCGAGTGGGGAGAGTGCGTGTCTGAATCGACGAACACTGATTGGTGAGAGATGTGGAAATCTCCGATTATGAATACGAGAATATCCCTACTGCACAGTATTGCTATGGACATATGCGGAGGGATAATAAGCAGTGTCAAGTTACGAATTCAAATGATGCCAGGGGGATTGGGTACAGTTTCTGATTAGACATTATTGATACCGAAAGCTAATTCATTTCCAAAGATAGCTTCTAATTATAAGTTGCTCATGATCAAAATCTACGAAAGTAAATAACGCAGGGCAAAAGAGGGGGTTGAGTTGCGGCTTGAAGTGTTTACAATGTACGATGGACTAGATCCACGCGGGCAGCCGGTTGTCAAGGCTGACAGGACAAACTCACCAGTCACCAGTCACCAGTCACCGGGTGGCCCTTCCGCCTCCTCCCCAGCCTTTCTTTAATTAGTTCGTTCCCCCGTTGGCCTTCCCCTTGTTAACAAACTTCGACAATCCTTCACCAGTCCTCTTCCCACGTGTTCCAAGCACACGTGCGCTTTATCCAGAGATGGCGCCCGCCATCGCATGGCTGTGTCTCTCCGGCTCTTGTCGCGCAGGATGAGGCACAGACTTCCTCCGAAGAGTAGTGACTGGTCACTGCCACCACGGACCTCACGATCGCGCGCCAACGGTTTTTGATCCTGGTGCTCCCGACACAATGTCGTCGCGACTCGTATCTCTTCTCCTGTTTACCACCCCTTGGAAGCACCCACTGCAACCCTTGTGCAGTAAAATATGCTCCCCTCTAAGGAGACCATCGCCGAGTTTCGGGCCTGTGTGCCTGGCATCGATGCGGGAACTGCATACTTGTTCCTCGAGGTACCCACTGCGAACCCGCCCCCACTCGAGGATACCGAGTTTACTAACAATCTGTGCCTGTCAAGACCGCGAGCTCCATGGATGAGGCCGTGGATCAATTCTATGAAAATCCCCTCAAATTTACTCGTCGCCCGCCGTCATCAATGTCCTCAGTGCGAAGTCCCATTTCTCCGGCGAGCCCGACCTTCACGGCCAGGACTGGCAACTCGAGCGGTTCCACGGCAGAGCCGCCAACCAGAATGGCCGATGTTTCCCTGATTTACCCGTCGCCACCTTCATCGACGGTGAGTGGGAGTGTGACTAGTTCGCAGCGCAGGGCACACACGAACGGAGTAATTGAGGCTGCGAAGATTCGGGCTCGAGGCGAGCAGGAGATGCAACACTTGCTGCAGAATGTTCAACTGTGCCTCCACATATACAATCCCGAGATCGAGCCAGAGCGCGAGTGCGGGTACCCGTGCAGCTGCATCATGCACAAGTACATCCAACGAAAGATGGAGCGCCTTGAAATTCAGGAGATATGGGCTAAAGCGGTGATGTACCCGGGCGAGAAGCACTACCATGACTGCACGCAGGTACGCCTGTTCAACAACAATCCGTACCGGGGTGCCGTGGCATCTCCGTACGGGTTTAGCGGTTCGAGTTTCTATGGAGTGCAGCGACCTGACCCGCAATACCATGCGAAATTTCTTCAACAAATGAACACCTTGAATGACTCGCTTAATATCAAGGCCCAGGCTGCCGTTGACGCGATGGAGCCATCCTTTAATATCTGGGAAGTAGATCAACTCCAATCCTCAATGTCAAATATTGGCATCGGTCCATCGATCAATCGCATTGTTACCGGTGAAAAGTCCAAGCGCGCCAGCTTGAAGAAAGCTCTTTCCATCAGATCTTCCGAGGAAAAAGTCGCCACCAAGACATCCAAGATTTTCTCCGAGGCACGCGCACTCGTGGACTCTATCCTAAAAGAGGAGAATGGCAGGTGGCCTGAGCCAGAAGATAGACAGGTTGTCGCCGCATACCAAGAACAGGTCGGAATGTCGCAGAAAGTTGCCGAACTTCGAACTCGGAATCCTTTGCAATATCTTCACCTGCTCAAGGCTGGTTATTTCGAGCCTATTCCGAGGGCCTGGGCTAAGCCAGGGTCCAATCCACTGAAATTCACCATTGACTCATCTGTCGGATGGCGGGGCATTACTCCGACTTGGAGAGGATACAGGGATACCGCAGAGGAGCGCCTTTACTGGGTATTAAATCATCGGCAGAGCAACGCAACAATATTGAAGCCTGACATAATGTCTGCGTTGAAAACAGCCCAAGCAAGAATGGAACGGGCAGTTGAGCCCCCATCAACATATTATGCGCAGGACGATACTTGTCATCATCTTCAACAAGGTTTCAAGGGATACTCGAAGCAAGTCATGCCTCCATTCCGGCTCGTCGATGCACCCCAACAGCCGACAGATGACACGGTCATCCTGCTGGATGTGTCAGGCTCCATGGACTCTCAGCCGCGTCGGCCAGAGTACAATCAATTTTTAATAATGAAACACAAAATGATTTCTCAGCCAAAAAATAAAGGTACGCTCTACGTTGCCGATGAACTCGCGTTGCAAATAACTGACTGTTCTCCTTCTCCTAGATGTGGCCCGAGCAATCATTCATCGCTTAACCAGCGCCATGTCCAACCGCGACAACAACAGGTCCGGCTACGAACTAACCACATTCTCCACTGAAGCCAAGCGCATCGGCCCGATAAATCACTGGAATTTCGAGGAAACGTGGCGAACCGTGCACTTCGGCGGCCGGACGAGGCTAATGGCAGGCTGGCAAAGCGTCAAAGACCAACACCTCCAAAAATACGCCCACACAGCAACACACCACCCCATCTACGGCTGGCAAGCCGGACCCCAAACACCAATCCTCCGCCTCCTCCTTATCCTCGACGACGAAGCTCCAGACATGAACGATTTCGAACTCGACCTCCTCGGCCTATCCTGGGTCCACGTCACCATCTTCTTAATCGGATTCCACGGCTGTCTCCATCACCACCGACACGCGAACGAGCTCCAACGAATCAGCGAAATAAACCCACACGTCTCTTTCGTCGCCGCACAGGGCAACATGCCCGAGCGATTCATCACCCACGAACTGCTTAAGCGCCATCTGGGCTATGACCTGTCGATGAACGAGTTCGAGGAACTCGAGCATGTACCCGGTGAGCCGCGACGCATGGAACTTCCGGCTCGAGAACCGCCGCCTCCGAATTTGCCGGAGCTTGAGCAACCGCCTCCGCCGCTGCCAGTGGAACTTCCCGCTCTTGAACCTGTGTTGCCGTCGAGGCTATCTATGGAGCAGTCGAGGGTACCTTTGGAGCCGCCGCCGCCTTATTCTGCGACTGCATAGACGGGGGAGGAGTATTTGTATGAATGAATGTGTGATGATAGTAATGATATACTGCTTTTTGGACCTGCTATGTGTGTCATGGGCGTATAGGCGTGTGATTTAACTTTCTTCAAGACATTGTTTGGAATTTAGTCAGTAAATGGCCTAGGGTAGTTAGCTTTTCAGGTGAACTGCACTTAACGCTGATAATAGGAGTGCGATATAACTGAGCTTATGATCTGCCATGTCTGAGGCGAATTTCAGTAGCGCGCATGACCTTCTTACCCAAGTGGACGGCACTTTTTAGGCACTTTCGTTTTTGGACAGAAGAATTAATTCATGCGGATCTAGTCTTGTTGACATTCTGTTTATAGTCTGTAACATACTCCGAAACATATACAGATTAAGAACATGTCACACGGCGGGAGTATTCACTAACGGATCTCAACTTAGTGTCCCCCGGCGATTAAGCATCGACGACGGCCAGGGAACAACCCCTATCGACGTTGACCGCGGCCTGTCCAGCATCATTCTATACCTGCACATTTGCGCCGCTCTCCAATATAAGCTCCGTAATGTGAGAAGATCGTGGGGTACAACTCGAGAAAGCGATATGGTGAAGAGCTGTATTCCCACAGTATCCTGGATGTTGAGTCTGCCCCTCTCTGAACGAGTAATCCAATAACGCTCTCGTGAGTGTCAAGCTCCCTTTGAACTGCCATAGGCAGGTGTTGCAAGTTATAGAAAGTGGAGTTGATATTTGCACCCGGATCGAGCAAAAATGAAATGATATCTTGACCGTAGGCACGTACTGCCATAAACAGTGGCATTTCATCCAATGCAGCCACGACCGATGCGAATCCTTCAGGCAGAGATCTCTCGGAGTGAACCTCAGTAGGCGAGAAATATTGTTTTCCAAGCCATTTTTTACGCTGTAAAGCAGGGCACCTGAGTGGGTCTGTGCTGCTCTCCGATAGAGGTGGTTATTCAGAAGAATGTGAAAGAATCGGCTGGTCCGAGCGAAGGAGGAAAGATCTTTATCAGGTAGAGCGTCTCCGACAAGAAGGAGTATCTCGTTCGGGAGGTCGAGGAGTGGCATTTTCAAGGTTGTTCAGAGTGAGTGGAGAAGTAGGTCTTGAAGGGTAGTGCAAGAGGAAATTTACCGGAGGTGAGGCTGACTGACGTGACCACATTCATCTGGTGGGAAATTTGTCGTGTTGGTGGTGGGTGGGAAAGTGTCCAACCTTGGATCGTCAAACAAACATTGTGAAAGTTGGCGAGAAAATCGATCTCCCAGCTTGTTCTTGAGCCTCTGACGTGGACGCGGGGGCAGTTCTACCTTCATTAACTCGTCAAGTCTCAATCTTGGAGTGCGCTAAGAGAAGCAGACATTCACAGATACCTTGAAGATAGGTTCTCAAGACATGAGTGATGGCGAAGGAATAAATCCAGAAATAGAATCTGCATTCCAGGAAGATAGAGTATCAAAGAGCTACGTACAAGTATGTTCGTACGACTTAAAATTCCATCCACTTTGTCTGGTTGAAAGTAGGAAGTTAAGGAGAGACAGAACAACTTTGAGCCTATCTCCAGATTTCACTTCTCCCCCGAAACAATATGGCATGCATCAGCCTTGTGATTATCGCCCGCTTCGTAAACTTCATGTCTGCTAGATGATTTGGTGGCCTTTGCGTTAATGAGCATGTCTAGCTGACCCGCAGCAGTCTCCTCCCATAGCATCTCTGGCGAGCTGGGCACGGCTCAATGGTCCAGGTGCTGGCAGAAGATCCCGACCCATGAGATCTGGGGCCTCACTGCGAGCCTTGTTGACGAAACCCTCAAGGTCCCGCTTGGCGATATCATTGTTGTAAATCAGGTTGAGCCAGTTGGCCAAGCGGTATCCACCCTTGGCGATCTGAAGCTCAATAGTTCCAATAGCAGAGTCATAGTAGGTGGGATAGAGGTCTCCAGTTTGCAGTGCAGCAGCTCCATCGGGCATGACAACAGAGCAAACATAGGCATTGGCATCCGATGCCCATCGGGTGGCGGTAGTAACGGGATCACTAATGGTGTCTCCCGAAATCCAGCTAGCAGCCTGGGACTTGAAACTACCCGAATCGATCTCACCGATCAGAGTATTCGCCCAAGTCTGCGCATAGGTGAGCGAGCTGCCGCCGATCAACTTCTGGGGCATGTATGTATCCCAATCGGAGTGGAGGTTATCACTGTAGCCATCGAAAGTGACCTTGATGCTGTTTCCACCAACCTCGTACGCCTCATCGTGCAGTGGCTGAGTGACGTCTCCCAGCAAGTGAACTAGGAACTTGACAGCTTCGGCAATGTTGGCTGTGCTGAGCCGGCCATCACCAGCACGCTGGGTGTAGTTTGCAATCGCAGAAATGGAGCAGCCTGAGCTACCACAGTCACGAGTATAGTCCACATTGCAGCTAGTAGGGGGGTTGTCCTCCGCATCGATGAAGTGAAACGGTGCCGACCATTTGCCAGCAGTTGTTGCCCGATACGAGTCAGCCCATGAGGCGATGTTTGCCAGGTACGAGGTAGATGTGTCTCCAAGAACACCTTGCGCCCTTGAACACTATTAGCCTTGATCATAGCATCAAGTGGTTCACTCTTACCATGATGCAGTGCTGGAAGAAACGTAATGCTGGGCAATGTATGCAACTGTTGCGTGACCCAAGGTACCCCACGCATTCACCCCACTCAATGAGCCGAGGGTGACAATAGCAACCTTAGACAGACGTGCCATTATTGGACAAGGATATCGGCACCTTTCATAAAAAAATGTCTCGGGTATGAAGGTAGCCAGGAACCTAGCGGCAGATTTGGAAAGATCCCTACTATGACATGCTGCCAAGGCCGCGGATCAGCCGTATTTATAATTTTCTGGTCTCTTGAAATGGGTTCCAATCTATCTCTAGAAAACGGCGAATTTTCCCAAATATGCAAACTAGGGTTTCAAACCACGCTTGTCAATGTTGCAGCAAGACTGTCATGGGCTTGAGGCCGCGGGCGAGGCGGAGATAAGATCATATCAGTGGTGGAGAAAGTCTGCGGGCGAGATTGCTTGATTCATGTTATCCAGTCAGTATTCTTCAGGATATGCGATCGGCGCTGCAGGGCACCGGACTCCCCGGGGCAAAGCCATCCACAGCGGAAATGATCGACGCATTTATAAACGAAGGCTAGAAAAGAAAACATCACTCAACTGTTCTCATCCAGCTACCAGACCACATGTTCACCAAGATCTAACTGCAAGGAGGTGAGAATTTCGTCTTCAGTGCACGTGGAGGTGGCATCGCGGCTTTCTGGAATAATATCAAGGATGCAGGCGAAGCTTCAAGTCCGGCAGGGCCCATCTATGCATAGTGCCCGAAGGTGGCGGGGCTTAGTATTGTTGATAGGCTCAAGGATACACAGCGTTACATTCCTTCTCGTTAGGGTATTTAACGTTTAGATTAAGCAGCGTAGCGTAGTGAGAGATCGTGACCGAGTGTTTTCAATCCCTCGAACTTGCAGAGCAGAGATTTGAAAAAGTTCATCCAATGCCCGGGATGTACTGCTGCGAGAATTTTACATGGGCTGGGTTATTTGAGTTGGAATTGTCGACCTTAGCCTGGGTCAAACGAAGTAAACAAGGGAGGGGTATGCAGATATCAAGGCCAAGGGATGAAGATTCCGCGGTTCTTGGCGGAACGTCGCAAATACGAGAAAGACGAAAAGCCCCCAAAAAGCTTCCTTCATGGATACGAGAGTATTCACTCCACTGATCTTCAAGGCAGTCAGTGAGTTTGATCTGATTTTGGGCAGACTTTGGCGAGCCGCGAGTCGCGATCGGGGCTGTCCTCCATAAAAGCAAACCCGTCGGAGCCCCGCAGGGATCACACAAGGTAGAAGAGACGGACATGATTGGTCCTAGCTTATCGGAACTGACCGGTCTTAGACTGGTGTTGTCTTGGCAGTGTTTTGCTGTGCATGCAAGCTGGACAAAGGAATGACTACAACCAAAGCGCGGAAAGAACTTGCCGTCTGATTACCCCAAGGTCCCCGTGCTGTCGTACGCGCTTCATCGACCGAGATGATTCCCCGCTAAATGCGTTAAGCTAGCCCTATTCAGGTTGAATTTAGAGTGGTAAAACATCGAGATGCTCGAGAGAGACCGGGAAAATACCAGGAAATCGGAACGCTTGCCGGCATCGGCGATTTGGCGGTGCATTTGGCGTCGACAAGCTAGTTCCCCATTTGCTCGAGTATATGAAGTCGTGATCATTGTTGAACGATGAAATACATTGACTTGCATGTGGGTGGTAGGAGTGCTACAATCTGATCTAATGAGTGGATTTGAGAGAGAACTGTCAGGTGCCACTCTCGGGTAGGCCGTCGGCGACCCAACTACTCTGTTCCAATGTGCAAATATGATGGAGCCCAGCGAACTCAAAGCGACAATAAAGAGAGATTCGGGACTACTTGGAAATATCGTGCATCGTTCCGTGAGCATCTACTGGTCGCTGCCCTTTGAATATTCCTCAAAACCAGTTGTTTTGCAAAACATTCATGTTTCGTCTCACGACCTCGACGATATGCCTCAATAGGACTAAGTCTTCGTCTTTTTCAGGTCTGGATAGGTGACTTTTGTAAGGCTGATCGAATTTTAGCCTCGAATTCACTCTTCCCTTTTAGTCTTGGAGTTTTTTTGGAATACTCACAAAATATATATTCCTTTCCGTTCGGCTTCTGGCACCCGCTCTAAATTTCACAGTCTCTTTTGGCCTTCGTGTCACATTTCCCCAGCTTCACAGAGACCATATGTTGGAAACGACATAACCTAGCCAGAGTAGAGCGTCCATCCCACATGGATCATAGCATTATTGTTGCCTTCTTCGAAAGATAGGCAGATGTACACTGTACATTCCGATAATTAGAGTAGGATCCGCTGCAAACCGACAATTGCTTCATACTGCACTTTTTCAAAAGAGTCCACTGTTTTGAATTGGTCTGGCCAGATTCTGGAGCAAGGCCAGCAAATTCTTCAGTCTGAGCTTTGGCATAGCCCCAGCCCAGAGACCCTTCTCACTAACAGAAAGCCTGGATCTTCATCCTTCCATCACTTAACTCCTGGTTGACAGGCTATCATGTTAAAGTAATTGGATGTGACTCAAATCTACCTGGGCGAACTGTTACCCGAAACAACGAAAGATCAAATACATTGCAAAATCATATGGTGTTATATTAGGATATGAAGTAAGCGATGTTATAAGCTTTTCTATCATCTTCCAGTTTCATTCATTCCAAAAACATGGCGGTCTCAAGAGCGCTTTGTAAAGGCCAATTGACAACCATCCTATTGGAGACTGTCAGCAAATTCGATAACCGGAAATTAAAAGGAAGGAAACCATAATAATGACAACGTACCATCGGAAACAGCGTAGCAAATACGCGAATCTCTTCTGACCTCTCTGTGGCATGATGCTTCCAATCGAGTTCAAGCGCCGCTTTGCCAATCATCGCCGCCATTGACAGTGGCACATACCTTCGTGCGAGGCAGTCGTGGGCTCCGGCTCCAAAGACGAGCCAATTCTTGGTTTTCGACCCCGCATCGCCCGAGATCCAGCGGTCGGGATTAAACACATCTGGGTCGGGGTATGCATCTGGGTCGTGCAAGGCAGGATAGCATGACGGAATAATCATTGAACCTTTAGGGACCGTGTAATCTGGCGTCACAGGGAAGTTCTTCGTCGCCAGGTATGGAACGAAGATAACTGGTGGTCGATAACGAAGAAGCTCCTTGATGACGGCGTTGGTGTAGGTGAGAGATTCCAACATGGGTAAGTCGAAAGGCTTATTCCTATCGCCTCCTCTCGCAGCCAAATTTTCCTTGCGTAGACGATCGAGTACATCTGGCCGTTGAGCCAGTATTTGGAACAGCCAGGTTGTGGCGCTGCTGGATGCATCTTGGGAGGCAAATAAGAAGGTGAACAGAGTCTCACTGATCTCCTCATTGGTGAAATCACGAATCAAGTTCGAGGGCTTTTCCACGTCAGTTTCCCCAGCCGTAATCCTCTCCCTATATCGAGTAGATTCCATCATGTGCGCCACCCAGTGGTCAATGATACTCGTAGGCTTTGCCCCGGTCGCCATATGCACCTTCGCTGCGGCTGCACACTTCGCAAACTCGGCATGGACAGCGCGCACCGTCCTCCTTCCAAGCCACGGCTTGCTGAACGGAATGTGAATAGAAAATGGAACATTGACCAGCTCGAGGGCGGCAGTAGCAAGATAGAAGTCATCAGCAATTTTCTTGACTGCACTTTGAGAGATATAGTCTCCGAAAAACGTCCGACATGAAAGCGCGCAGTTGATCTCCCGGAACAGGCTCATAAAGGCCATTGGCTGTCCCTGATTCTTTTTGCTAGCAGTGACAAACTTCTCGAAGTAATCCGCGAATACCCGCTCTTGAGCAGGGAAATACGTCGCGATGGCCTTGTTCGTGAACAAGGGAGTCAACCCTCGGCGGTACTCCGCGTGCGCTTTCCCCTGAAGGAAAACCCATGCTCTGTGGCCCAGAATATCCTTGGCGACTGGGACTAGACATGGCTCAGCGTAGTTAGGTGACTTGAATACTTTGTGTGCGATGTCACGATCCGAGGCCAGAACAACGAATCTGAGCAGGTCTTAATGCATGTCACGAAGGAATTGAGACAACACGACCTACTTATGGAAAACCGACACACATGATAGTGGTCCACTTGCCCATTGTGCTAGATAAGAATCGAACTTTGGGTGAAGGGCTTGAATGAAGGGACCCATGAGCGGAATTTTGAATGCAGGCCCGGCAATAGAACCCTTTCGCTTGATATACATCACTAAACTCACTGTTAACCGATGATAGCCATTTGGCGCGAGTCCATGTTTACCTTGATCATAGAAAATTACTCCAAGGATAAATGTGAGAAGGTATTGCCAGTTAGACCAGCCCACAAACAACTTTGGTATGACACTGTGCAATGGCGTCTGGGACATGCTGGAAGATACCCATGTCTGAGATAGTTCCAGTTGCACACCAGAAGCGTTAAACATTCCCGCTGTCATTTCTGCCACGTGATTTTTCACAATGAGAGAAGTTTCCGTGTTTGGAAGATGAGGGCGATGTTCTTCATTCTTAACGCGCATCAAGATATAAATACGTCACGTCCCCTTTGAGGAAACGAGACCTTCTTGTTTTCCGGGCCGTCATGAATATATTTTTGGGATGCGGCAGTCGTTGTATGAAAGAGCAGGCTAGCGGGTCTGTCCAGCTGGGTCATCCAGGACGAATCAGTCTCTATCCACAATATTCTGACTGTATACCAGACAAAGAATTGATACCTTTACGCCAATCAAATGTAGTTAAATGTCTATCAAGGTCGAAGCTGTCTTCCATTTGTACTCCATGACCAGATCGTACGACAGTCTAATTTCTCGAACTGGACTAGACTCCGAATTTCAAGCCAATAGAAACCTTTGAAAATGTGGACCGGAAATGTCAGCAGATTATGGAGGGAATGTCCAAACATCGGCGTCTAGTCCTCTTTGGGAAAAGCTTCGACTCTCCTTCTCCGACGCGTTCCATCCACGTGCCTCAACGAAGAATTGAACCTGTTGGTGGCTCACGAGAGTTACTCAAGCTACCTGCCTTCATACCACCGGTGCTTGAGTCCTTAGGCCACGCCCAGGTTCAACCTGGACACCCTCTACCAGCATGCGACAAACTCTTCGCCGATCGTGTGGTGCCTGTGCAAGGTCTAAACTAAGCTGCGACCTTCGCACACCCCACTGCTCCAGGTGTATCAAGCGCAAGGTGTTGTGTGTATATGCAAATCAACCTTGGGCGGTCCAGCCGGCGTCTTCCGGGAACGAGGATGGCAAATCAATAGAATCCCTTGAGCCGCACGGCGCACTGTCAACCTACCGATTTGGTTCTATCGATCCTTTCGATTCGTATCCTCAAACGAGGCTTCCTCGAGAACAAGTTCAACGTCTCATCCACAGCTGTACGTACAATCGTCATTGTAGACCAATCAACGCTTAGCTGAGACCTCAACCCAGTTCTCCATAAGATCGCCTTCCAATACTATCCCCTCGATCTCAATGCAACCTCAAATCCATTTCTCATTTCTTGGTGGCCCCTCGCGCTGGGAGATCCAGCTCTGTTCCATGTCTCACTGCAGACAGCATGTCTTGACGAGGAGCTGATGGCCCAAAAGGGGTTTCAAGCCTCTGAGATCTTGATGGTCGACTCGGTGTCTTTGCTTCGACGGAAAATTCAAGATGTGTCCCTAGCTGTACAAGACGGCACGATGAACTCTGTCATTACCCTAGCGACGATTGAGGTGAGTAGTGTATCGAGTCTGGCCATTAAGGCAGAAATTCTTCGAAGATGTGGCTGATGCTTTGAGATTGGCAGTTCGGCAAGGGAAATATCGAGGCCAGCAAAACACATGTTGAAGGCGTGAAAAGACTAGTGACCTTGCGAGGTGGCATCGGATCTGTGAGGCAGACGAGCCCACTGACTGCAAGAATGGTTAGCTGGTGAGTTTACACATGATCATCTGGAGAATACGCTAGCTCATCTATCCCACAGGGCATCAATGCTCATCCTGGGGCATCCTCAATTTCCAGTCCAAGATGACGGCGGTGTTGGAGATGGTATACCGCCCATCTCAGAATGGCTGTCATGCTCGACTACTTTAGAAAACGACACAATACCCGAGCTTAGCTGGGTGATTGACGACGAGGTAGTCAGAACTGCACTCGCCCGACTGCGCTATATCTTCAACCGGGCGGAAGGTGAACCATTCTCCGGAACAAAACTCCACGATCTCACATTATTTGTCACACATCGACTCCTGCTCTCTGTTCCAGACACACAGGATTCAACCTCATCGCCAGTCACCCAATGCATTCGATACGCCCTCATAATTTACATGTTCATAATCCAGGGACCGACATACTACTCTCATGACGTCATATTAAGTTCGATCGTCACACAATTCATTTGGCATCTGGAACGTCTTGAATCTACACCTCATGTATACGATGCATTGGATATCTGGCTATTGACAATCGGGATTGTGGCCTCCGCGGGTACTGCGAACTACCATTCCTATACAGCGAAGATCCGAGGCGTGTGTGCCTATCTTAACCTCACAGACTTCCCCGATGTCCTCACATATCTTAAAAGCATATGCTGGCTGGGTGGCTCGCAGGGGGAAGATATCCTTCGACCGCATTGGAACGCCATTTTAGTTGACAATAGCTCGCTGGGACCAGCCGAACTGGCACTGGATCTATCGCTCAACAGCTTTGGCTTGCAATCTACACAAGAAAAGCCGCAGAGCAACTTCGCCGTCCTCGACGACGGTGGCCTATTTGCTGGACGTACGAATCAAGCAGAGTGTCCTTAATAGGATATAGATGCATCAAGTCCTGCTACTGAAACACAACGACAGGAATTCTGGAAACAAAACTCGGTTTTCCGCTACACTGGTTACGTGACATAAACCGAGAGCAAACAAGACGACAAAACAGATCGACGGAGTAAAAGTCTTTATTCGAGTGTCGGCAAATGTCCCAGCGTTGCTCTATGCCCGACCCGTTAGCAACGCGATGGACTCAACATTACGATGTGATCCAGTATCATACTCTATGCAATGCCGATCCTCACAACAAGTTTGAACGTCAAGCAAGCGAACCCAGAGAATATCGTTGGGTAGCAAATTCCCGGATGAAAGAGCCGGCCTGAACCCGTTGGGCCCACCGGTCCCATCACAGGCTAAAGCAAAAACAAACTACATTGCCGTCTGGGTTCATTATCAGCAAAACTGTTTCCAATCACAGAGACACGCAGAGATGTTCCGGCTGATCCCACATGACTCGACTCGAAAATGAGTCAAAATAACACATAATGCAACCTGCACATATGTCTCATGAAATGATAATGATCCACCAACCATCATGCCTCTTGATTTTATCCCGTTCTCAGTACGAATTTGCTCGGTAACGTGGATTGTCTAGTCAGTGTGACGTGCGGTACTTCTTCTATTTGACAACCAGGTCGCGCAATCATTGGGACATCTGCACCTTCAATCCTTCGCCCCGCCAAGGCTGTGAGAAACGAGGATCCTGGAGTCCCGGACAATCGATCGCGATGGTTTGTCCACTACCGATTGAAGGGCTGATTGTGTGGATCTTACCGTGATGGGCATCTGATGGTTATCTATGATTGGTTGTTCACCGCTAGGTTAGGCCTATATACTACCAGTCCGTTCCCTACACCAGCCATGTTTGGGTTGCATCAATGCAGCTCTTGATTAGGAACACACTCAGAAGGATTTCTCGGCGCTAAAGTCCCTACCTCGTTCTACACCGGCTGACCACATCAACGTCTGAATATGCTCATGGCATCCCTTGCATCGCGCTATCCGCTCCCTTCCCTCGCTCGAGACAAATCTGGCGGCCCGACCTTCCATCACAGTCCCAGCCTCACAGCGTCTTAACTCACCAAGCGATATGTGTTTTTCTTGATATCCAGCGTGGCCGGAATGGGAGCGGGATGAGATCATGTCCTTCCTAATCCATTCTCCAAGGAGCATGCGCCTGCTCGCACATGTGCTGCTCGGAACCAGCATCGCGATAATTTGGCTGTATCATCGACTGCATCTGCGGGGATAAGTGTCGCCGTTGATTGACATGTATTCACAAAGTTCACATCTGTGGTGGGGTTCCTTGTTCCGTTGCTCCCGACCACGTCCGGACCTCAATGCGGGACCCAAAATCAAATCAATTTCTTGACTCCAGATGCTAGGTGCATGGGGCACCATTTGACTAGTGCTCACCCTGCTATATATTCTTCACTCCAGCATAGGGTACCTTAACCCTTCAAATCCCACGCGGTTGACATATCAGACCAGAGAAGTCCTCTGCCTTGACGCCCGTGAGCTTGGCCTTTCTGACCGATCACCCTCTGATGGAGCTCCTACTGTGATGGCCCATGGAAACATGAAAATGAACTCGATAACTCTGTACCACTTGATAGTGGGCTCTTAAGCGCATCGATCGCTCGAACGATGGAGCGATTGCGGGAAGGCTGCATATCTGTATGCATGGCGCAAGAACCATTCCCCGCCTAGCGGTTCCTGCAAGGCTCACATCACTACCGAGCCAGTTAAGTCTCATTACTCAGTTAGGAAGCATGCATCACTGCGCATGAACAGCGCGCGAGGAAGATCATCTGTCTGGAATTTGATATTTAATATCGATGCAAGAGAAGATTACAGTAGAATCTGCATGATGCCGAGTCTTTCGTATCAAGTTCAGACGCGGATGAATCGGTCGTTACAATTGGTATACATCTGGCCGAGTACATACATTCTGCCATCCTTCGGTGTCGTAAATGGATAGCCTATGAATTTTGCCGGTACCACATTATCCAATATTAGCGCTGATCCCCAAGTCTGGATTATCAGTTCGTCAAGGTGGAATCGGGCGATCGCACTTGGCCGACCCACCCAGATGGATAAAGTGGCGGTCAAGAAGGCTTTCCATGGCAACATTTCCCGGCTGCGTTAAGCTTTGGGTCAGGTCAATAGTTTCAGTTAGTTAAACGCTACAATCATGGTCATGAGCATGAGTCTCTTGCTTCATGATCTTCAGTACTTCGTACAGAGTTTAAATGTCCCATACTGAGGCTTTGACCCCGACCTGAAGAAGCACGAGGCTGGGTACCTGCTGTCAACCGAGATGCGTAAGCTCCCGCTAGTGCATGTGTTTACGTGATATTAGGTTGAAGATCGGCACTGTATTATTGAACTCTCATTGACAACCAGCTTAGACAATGTCTTGGTCCTCGCTCGAAGTCAAAGGTAAGCTATCAACTCTTCATGTCACTTAAACTTCATCGATCAGGTATACCAGCTTACTGGCTCGTACTTTGCCTTCCCGTAGTAGCTGAAGCCCCGTTAAGACTCCAGCCAGGCCACCTGGCTTCACTTGGTGGGGATGAGGAAGAATTCGCCGTTCTTCGAGTAGTTTTTGTACCAAACCCCACCACTTAATGCCGAAATCAGGATTGCTATCATCAGGCGTGATTTCTTGCGCGCTCATCCGGTAAGGTTCCCCAAACACGTCATACGCCATGGAAACATGTGAATCGACATCGTCTCTGGCAGACTGAACATCCAACAAGGCATTATAAGCTCCACCGGCAGATGAGATAGCGGCACTGCATATGGCGGCTGATTGAGGGGTGGAGATGGTGTCTAGAACAAATTCCAGCGCATCATCAGTATCCTCCCTGATCTGCTCGCCCACATTTGCATCGTGATAATCAAAAACAGCATCTGCTCCGAGCTGAAACATAAGGTTACGGTTGCTTTCGGAGCACGTTGTCACGACTCGAAGCCCCGAAAGCTTTGCCAACTGAATTGCCAGAGTGCCAGTAGCGGTTGCGCCTCCATAGATCAGGATGCTCATCTCGCTTCCATCGCTCTCCCCCTCACCTGGAAGCGGGAGCTCCATGTTTTGGTACAGATTTTGACCAACGGTGGTCAGGCCAACGCCGAGGGTGGCAGCGGCTTCAAAGCTCATAGAGTCAGGTATGCGAATTTGAAGGTCGCCCTTTGCAATTACATACTCCGCAAATGCACCGCCGTTAAGGCGTACTGCATTACTGCCGTGCACGAATCCCGCAACGCGATCGCCTTTCTTGAAGCTCTTTTTGACCCCAGCGCCAACGGCTTCAACGATTCCCGAGTAGTCGCAGCCCACGGTGGCGCCATTGCAGGAGACAAAGTCGATGTGACGCCAATCCGTGGGATTCAACGCAACTACGATGAATATTAGCTCAAGACTTGGGAATGACCATGTGTTACTGAGATTGAGATACCAGCTTTTGTTTTGACAAGGATGTAATTGTCCGGCAGCTCCGGGACCGGCGCATCCTGTACGAGGATCGCGCGGCCCGCTTCCTGGACAATGATAGCTCTTTGTGTTGTCATTTGAAAACATGCCGTGGCGTGGAGAAAGAAGAGATGACAGGAAAGAGGCTGGAGACAGCTGAAGTGTGCCGAGGTAAATCATCTACGTGGCAGATTGGTGTACATAGCTCAAAAGGATTGGCGAGCCGAGACTCTCTTAGTCACTAGGCCCAGCGATCAACGCGCTACGAAAGATCGAACTTTCCATACCCACCATTGGTGGGGTCGAAAATAGGCGCTGCTCACAGAGCTTCTCAAAAAAAAAAAGTTGGTCAGAGAGCTCAACACCGAGCTCCATTCGGGTGGTCAAAATGCAGTGCGAATGGGTGATCTACGTGGGGGGGGAGGGGCAAGCGCTATGATTCGATGGAGTCTACGGCATTGTGTATCGGGCTCCGCTGGGATCATAGAAAGGTCAGAACATGGGAGATCGCATCGTGGTTGATCCGTTGGCCCGAGTTCAACCGATAGTGCTTTTATTATTAGCCACCAGAGACGCCAGGATCAGACTAAGTATGACATTAAGTGCTGTCAAACTCGAATAGGCAACCTGTGGAAATGAGGTCTTACAAAAGTACTTTGTGCATGCACGTTAAAGAATCCCTGTCAAAACATGCGCAGAGTCCCTGGCCAATGTTTATAGTTTCGAGATATTCCCGCGTTTCGAAGAAATTCTGGATTCAAGTGGATATGTATGGAGAAAAACATCCAGGGAACTTGGAAAATAGGGGTAAGTATTTACGGGGTACAGTAGTTTTTCCTTTTGGCTTGGGGGCTGGAGGAATCTCGATTCGCGATTCGTGATTCGGAGCCTACCACACACGATAAGGATCGCACTCCACATCGAGAACACCATCGACTGCCAAGATGGAACCAGGGGACTTTCGGTTGCAATAGTGGATCAGCCTCTGCGGGCCGATGGAGAAACCTGAAGATCCTTGCCTGGGGCTTGGAGCCGTCGTGGAGCCGTCGTGCCGCGTCAGATGCAAGACGACCGCCGTGAAATACGAATACGCCGCTCCGTACGCTCCTGTACCATTACAGACATCTGTATGGATTCAAGATAGGCCTCGTTCGACTTGTCTTGTCCAGCGAAATGCACGCCAGTGTGGGGCATTAGCAAGCATTAGCAAGACTTTCAAAATCAGGATATGCGCTGAGCACTTTGGCCTCTCCGTACAACATGGCATGGACGATCCGGTTCGTTGATCAAGGTCCCCACCAGGACTGGAGGTGTTTGTATACATGTTGGAGGCATGATCCCATCGCTTAGCCGACCTTCTATGTACGGTCGATCATGTATATCGTGGGAGTGGGTGCCATTCAGACTGCATGCATGAGGCTGCCTTGGATATGCAATGAGTTATCAAAGCCATAGCTTAGAACATCAGGAAACATCCTTGTTGTGGTAGAGTTAGACCAAGAAAAGAAAGAGTACTAACACCAGGACCATGCTTCGACCCACATCCTCCGCTGTGAGTCTCGACCGGGACAAAGTCGACGTTACATGAACACACCAAGGAGTACTTTTTACGGGTAGTATTGGGAATCGTGGCCCCGAGAAGCGCCTATAGTGCACAGATAGGGGGGTGTCAGGGGACGGACTTCCAGAGTCGCGATTTCTCAAGGATTATTTGTTATTACCGCTAATCAGATAGTAGGTAAAATATGCAAGTCAATTATGCGAGGCTACCACCCCTCATGGCACGAGCTTTTTGAGATCATGACCCACTACTAGAGCAATTGAGACTCGCCGAGCTTAGAAAGCTCAACACAAGCTATAATACCCCACAGCCTCCTCCGTTTTCCGCGCTTTTCACAGCAACTTTTTGTCTGCACATTTCTATACATACACGATGCCCGGCCGACCAACCGTGAGTGCTTCTGACCCAGTGTTGGATGCAATTGCGGTCATCGGAATCGGATGTCGCTTTTCTGGAGGAGCTAGCTCTGTGGAGGATTTCTGGCAGATGCTATGTGAGGGACGTACTGGACACGGGAAGATCCCCTCTAGCCGATATGAATCTTCGGCGTGGCACCACCCAAGCCATGATCGCAAGGGCGCGGTACGAAAAACTCTCTAACGCTTGACTGGAATTTATGCGGGTTGAAATAGACAGCTGATGAGAATATTAGATCAACCATGATAGTGGATTCTTCCTGAAAGAAGACCCAGCATGTTTTGATGCGCCTTTCTTTTCCATCACAGCCAAGGAGGCGGCGGGAATGGACCCAGCTCAGCGATTGTTGCTTGAGGTCGCTTACGAAACCTTTGAGAATGGTGAGTTTGGCTGCGCCATGTAGCTTATGCGGGAATTTGTGCTTGGCTAAACTTAATATCGCAGGTGGAATTCCAATCGACACGCTACCGGGTAGTAACACCGCCGTGTACTCTGGATCTATGACCAACGATTATGAGTTACTATCAACGAGAGATATTTATGACATGCCCCACAACTCTGCGACTGGGAATGGCAGGACAATGCTGGCGAATCGCCTATCATGGTTCTTCGATCTTCAAGGACCTAGTATCATGATGGATACGGCGTGTTCCTCCAGTCTAACTGCCGTTCACTTGGCGGCTCAAGCTCTGCGTTCTGGCGAATGTGGAATGGTGTGTATCTGCTGGGACTATAATCGGTCTTGAATAGGAACTAACAACCTCTCCAGGCCCTGGTGACTGGTGCCAGTCTTATTCTACACCCCAACTTCACACAGAGACTCTCTTACATGCACATGATGAGCCCGGATGGCATGAGTCATTCATTCGACGAGTCCGCTAACGGCTACGGACGAGGAGAGGGCATTGGTGCTGTGTTGCTGAAGCCTGTCTCTGCCGCCTTGGCCGATGGTGATCACATTCGCGCTATTATCCGCGGCACCGGAATCAACCAGGATGGAAGAACCCCTGGAATTACTCTGCCAAGCCCAACATCTCAAGCCAATTTGATTCGGTCAACCTATGAACGACATGGCCTTTCAATGAGGGATACAGCCTATTTTGAAGCCCATGGAACAGGCACTCCTGTCGGGGTAAGTGCACCTTGCAATCAAGACCAGTGCTCAAAACTATACTAACAGGCCTTTTCTAGGATCCTACGGAATTGTCAGCCGTTGGGATGACTTTGGGTCAAGCCCGAACACCGACCGACGAGCCGATATATGTAGGCTCCGTGAAGACAAATCTTGGTCACACTGAAGGAGCCGCGGGAGTGGCTAGTTTGATCAAGGTAGTTCTATGCCTAGAGAAAGGTATGCTGGTACCAAACGCTGGCTTCAAGAACATCAACCCTAAGATCCGGTTGGATGATTGGAGGATTCGCCTCAGCAATGAAGCGATTCCCTGGCCCGAGCATCTGCCACAAAGGGCTAGTATCAACTCGTTTGGATTCGGCGGATCAAACGCCCACATCATTGTCGAAAGCACCAAGAACGCATTCAAGCTCTATGAGGAGGAAGAAGAAGCGCCTTCCCATGTTGTTGTGTTCTCGACCTTCGATCAACCTGGAATCGAGCGCCTTGGTCCAGGTTGGAGTGACTTTATCAAGCGTCAACAGGCCCTTGAGCGTGACATTCCGCTGAAGGACCTCGCACACACAATGCTGGCGCGCCGGTCGCACTTGGGCTTCCGCAGCTTCGCAGTCGCCAATTCACTAGACCAGCTGCGCAGTACCTTGGAGAAGGGCCTCACCAAATTCCCTCGGGCGAGCCGTAAAGCTCAAACCAGATTGGGATTTATTTTCACAGGTCAGGGTGGTCAGTGGGCTGGCATGGGAAAGGAGCTCCTGAGAATCCCGACTTTCAAGGAAAGTATGGCTCGATCCCAGGAGATCCTTTCGTCCCTGGGATGCCCCTTCGACATCATTCAGGAACTCCGAGCAAATGCAAAGATCAGTCAGATCAACCGACCCGATCGCAGTCAACCAATTACCTGCGCACTGCAGATTGCACTCGTTGACCTCTTGGCGAGCTGGTCTATTCACCCCAATGCGGTCGCTGGTCATTCCAGTGGTGAAATCTGTGAGATTTGAGCATTCCTTCCAATTGCGATGGATAGTAAGCTAACAAATTATATCTACTTAGCCGCCGCATATGCAGCTGGATTCCTATCTCAAGCCGACGCTCTGCGAGTGTCGTGGGTTCGTGGCTTTTACTCTCAGCAAATCTCCGAGAGTGACAGACGAGGAGGAATGCTAGCGACCGGTATCTCATCTGAGGATGCCCAGAAGTACCTCGACGAGCTTCCTCCTCGCTCAGTCGTTGTCGCATGTGTCAACAGTCCTTCCAGCACAACACTATCGGGTGATGTAGACTTAATCGATCAACTTGAGAAGAAGATCCAGCAAGATGGACATTTCGCACGCAAGTTGCGAATCGACACTGCTTACCATTCTCCGCATATGGAAGAATTGGTTGAGGTCGTGGGTAACGCTATTGCATGCATCAAACCTGAAGATAGATTCAATGGAACTGTCCCCATGTTGTCTTCTGTCACGAAGAAACGTGTTCATTCTACTGATGTGGGCGGACCATACTGGGTGCGCAACATGGTCAGCCCCGTCGAATTTACCGCCGCTGTTACTGAGCTCGCAAACTTGAGCGAATCCAGCAAGACTCGCCGACGGCCGGTTCCTGTCAAATGGACGACTCTGTTTGAGATCGGTCCCCACTCGGTTTTGAAGGGTCCAGTCACACAGATCCTGCAAAAGGTCAACCCCAGCATGACGGCACTTCCATACTATACTTTGGTCGCACGCAATCAAAATGCTCTAAGAACATCACTAGATGTTGCAGGTTCTCTTTGGAGTACCGGAAATCCAATTAATCTCGCTGCAGTTAACGACAGCGTGGACCCTGCAGCCCCCAAGATGGTTGTGGATCTGCCCTCCTATCCATGGAACCATCAGAACTCATTCTGGCATGAACCACTGGAGACAACGCAGCTGAGACAGCGCAAGCACCCACGTCACGATATCCTTGGAGCTCCTCTAGACTACCAGAATGCTCTCGAGCCTCGTTGGCGGAACTTCCTGCGGCTTTCAGAGAATCCATGGATGGCCGATCACGTTGTAGCCGGGACGACTGTGTTCCCCGCCGCCGGTATGATGGTGATGGCTATTGAAGCTGCACGTCAGTTGGCCGATGGCCAAGGCAACATCAAGGGAGTAGAGTTCCAAGACCTACACTTCATGCGAGGAGTGGTTATTCCTGAAGAGGAGCGCGGCTTGGAGACGCTCCTTCAAGTCTCACCCCATCCCGGTATGGCAGGTTGGTATGAGTTTGGACTTTTCTCGCTTCCATCGGGTGGTGGCTGGATTCAGCACGCAAAGGGTGCATTCATTCCGCGATTCGAAAACCCAGAGGATAGCGAGCATGCTGCAAACTGGGCGGCAACTTTGGCGCGTATCAAGGATACGCAGTCGATTGCCCAGAAGGGTGATATTCAACAGGCATATCAATGGCTGTCTCAAACCGGAGGACTCACTGTGGGCCCGTGCTTCCAGAGTACCACAGACGTTTTCTTCTGCGAGTCAGAGCCTCGAATCTGGCTGTCTGGAGTTGTGACAGACACCAAGCAGGGCATGCCCTATGAGCGAGAGACGCCCAGTTTCATTCACCCCACGACTCTGGATTGTCTCTTCCAATCTGCTCTGCTATCATCCTCCGAGTCTCTCTCTAGTACCAGCGCCAATATTCCCGTCGGTGTGGACCATGCTTATATCTCAGATTGCTTCCAGCCTCAACAAGGCGAGCAATTTGTCGTCCACACAGAAACCCAGTGGAAGGACGGCAAATCCCAGTCTCGGTGCATTGCATCTGACCCCTCATTGTCACAGCCTTGGATCACCTTTGAAGGAGTTCATCTAGGCCGTCTTCCCTTCAACCCGAACTCCCAAAAGCAGGAAGACGCGGGCTCCCAGAGCCGATACTCATCCATTGTCTGGGATGAACACTTGGAATCACCAATCATCACTAGCCGGCTTTGTCCCGCTGGAACCAAGAGCAGCGCCGTTGAGATCAGTGAGCTGCTGCTGGCTGATTGGGTGGAGCGTCTCTGCCACACCAATGGAGACGCGAGTGCACTGGTCGTTACTTCCAACACATCGAATTCTTTCATTCAGAGTCTTGCAAAGTTCGCACCAAGCAGTGGAAAGCGGCCTTGCTTGAAAAAGGTTACAACTGCTTTGTGCGGACATGATGGGAAAGAAGACAAACGAGCCCCGAATGATGTTCTGGGATCTCACATCGCCCCAATAACCACAATCGGTGACCTCCCAGCCGCTTCCCTCTCAGAAGAAGCATATGATATTATCGTCATTGATGATCTCGATCTTTGGACGGGTAAAGCGTCTCAAGCAGTTCTGCCCTTCCTAAGCAATGTTCTCGATCGAGGAGGTTTTGCCGCATTGCGTGTGTCCGAACCGACCGTGGATTCTGCGGCTACAGCCCTGAACGCTTTTGACGGTCTTGAGGTTCACAGTCTGACATCAGACCGCAGCTTCATCGTCGCACGCAAGAAGCCAGCCTCATGGACCACTGACTCGGAGATCTATGTTCTCACTGCTGAAGACAAATCAAACTCCTCATCTGTCTTCACCCATCTTGAAAAAGTCTTTGCCACTCACAATGTTCGCGTTGTTCCTATTGGCTTGGACCAGGTATCTGAGCAAGAAGGAAAGACGGTCATCTCACTCCTTGACCTGTCTGGCCCCTGGATCATAAACTGGTCGGCAAAGGATCTGCAGCGACTCCAGCAGTTGGTGAAAGCTCAATATGTACTTTGGGTCTCGCCCTTCTGGGGTCAAGGAGACGTAGAAAATGCTGGTCACGGTGCAACATCCGGCCTTCTGCGAACAGTCCGCAATGAGCATTTCAACACCACGATTCCCCATCTACTTGTGGATGTTGATGATCTACATGACGAATTTGGTCTGGCCTGTGGTATCTTGCAAGTCATGCAGCTTACTATACAGGAGAGCTCCCGTCGCGCTGATGTGGAGTACCGTTTGACAAAGAGCCGACTTTTGGTGCCCCGAGTTCTTCAAACCGCAGCAGTTGATGAGGCAATGCACACTTTATTGAAGGGCCCGAAGCCTGTCCCAGCCAGCCTGGCACTTGACGCGAGACCCCTTGAGCTGAAGCTTCAAGACGGCAAGGAAGCATACTGGGAAGAGAGACAGGGCTTCACAGACCAGCTTCAGGCAGATCACGTCGAGCTTAAGGTGGAGATGGCCACTGTCTTTGACACGAATGGAGATTCAGGAAAGACACCCGAGTCCGCTCTCCCAATGTTTGAGATCGTTGGAAGAGTCAGCCAAATCGGATCAGGCGTGCGTGACTTGGCTGTTGGCGACAAAGTGTTGACCTTGACATCTGCGGAATTGGGCCTGTCCACAACCTTACGTGTTCCCGAGGGTGACACGATCAATATGCCAGCGCTTGCGGATCCAACACAAGCCATTTCAGCTCCTCTTGCTTATTTGAATGCACACCAGATTTTGACTGAAGTTGGCCGCCTACGCTTCGGTGCTTCAGTTCTCTTGGTCGGCTCCATCAGTCAGACTCTTCGGGCCATGATTGACTTTGCCGTCAGCATGGACATGCTGGTCATCGTTGCAACTGACTGCCAGAACACCACGGATATCCTTTCATCTCGCTACCCGAGCTTGAAAGATAGGATTCTGGGTATTCACAGTGGACTGGAGGCGAGCGTGTCTAGACTGACCAAGGGTTGTGGAGTTGAGGCTACTATCTCATTCCTCGGCGGGTATTCCGGCCGTGTTGCTGCCAAGTGTCTCGTTGGAGGAGGACAGTACATTAACCTGTCCAATGATATGAAGCTCAGCGCCCTTCCAGAAAGCTTCATCGACAGCGGGTGCACATTCTCATCTCCACAGCTGCGGAGAACTTTCTCTGAAAAGCCTGGCAGCCTACACGCTTCAGTTCGGATGGTGATGACTTTGATGAAGGAGCAGCAATTACTGCACCGCGTGGAAGCCTACCCGATTTTCCCCGTTTCCGACATTCAGCAGGCCTTCCAAAGTTGCAAGGAGACCAATGGCAGAGTCATCGTTGATCTTCAAGCTCCAGGCCAAGTCCCAATTGTACTTCCACTGCCGGAGTTTACAGAATTGCCATCTGAAAAGACATATATCTTGGCTGGTGGGCTGGGTACTCTCGGCCTCGCATTAGCTGATACCTTGGTAGAGTCTGGTGCCCGTCACTTGGTCTTCCTTGGGCGATCAGGTGTTGCTCAAAAGGAGCAGAAAGTCACCCTTGATATGCTTCGCGGTCGTGGATGCCATATAGATGTTGTGCGCTGTGATATTTCCAAGGCGGAAGATGTCGAGCAACTCGGCTCCGAGATTACGACCCGAAACTGGAATGTTGCCGGTGTGATTCAATGCACGACCGTTCTCAAGGTAATTGATCTACTCCATCTTTTCAAGGGCTTGACTAATACATTTATGATTTTAACAGGATGCCATGTTTGAAAACATGACCTTTGAGGAGTGGTCTCAGTCAACGGACCCTAAGATTCGAGGAACATTGAACTTGCATAAGCGGTTCTCACAGCCAGAAGGGCTTGCCTTTTTCGTGACACTGTCCTCCGTTTCAAGTGTCGTTGGCAACATGGGGCAGTCTAACTATTGCGCTGGTAATGGTTTCATGGATGCCCTCATGGAATGGCGTCGTAACCATGGTCTCGCCGGATGTTCCATCAACGTCGGTCTTGTCCCGGATGCCAGTGGCGTCAGTGATATTATCAAGGATCAAGAGGAACGTCTTCGCAAGTATAACCATCTTGGTGGTACTGAGATTTTGACCCACGAGCTTCAGACTTTGCTTCGGGTCATCATCAACAGCAAACTTTCACTTCCTCACCAGATCATTGCTGGTATGACAGACTGTCTGTCACGCAAGAATGCACCTACCGCATGGCTACTCGACCGCAAGTTTGATCACCGTATCTCACTCGCTACTGAGAATAGTGACTCTTCTGCAGTTTCCACGGCTACCTTGCTTAAAGAGACGGACTCTGCTGAAACAGCAGCTCAGATTGTTCTCGATGCTCTGAGTGAATATTTGGCGACGGCTATGGCTACAACGGCTGATTCTATCGACGCTGATTTACCCTTGTCAGCCTTGGGTGGTACGTTTCCAGTTTTATTATTTCCTCTTCTCAATCCATCAAGTCGTGCTCATCTTACTAACTATCCTTCTCTAGTGGATTCACTCAAAGCCACGGACGTTCAGAACTGGGTTTCGCGCGACTTGGGCGCAGAACTGTCCTCGTTCGAATTCCTTGGTTCGCAACCAACCAAGACTTTAGCCAAGAAAATTGCGTCTGCCAGTTCCTTCGTCTCGGTATCGAGCTGAAGGGACTACGATAAACTTGGCGTCAGATAGCCTGCGAGTACATACTTGAACTACCAGTCGGAAGGACTATATTGAGGTAAATTGTAATTGGTGAGGATTTGTCTCCTTGCTTTAGCGTTGAGGGAATTGTTAGGCGTTATCGGGACTCTCGCATCCCAACTGTTTATGTCAATTATTTTGTCTTGCTCTAGTCTGAAAGGTCTCGCATGAATATACGAATTTCTTTTTCAACAATCAGGGGCTGTTCTCGATGCTGTATTACATACCATACAATGTATCATTACGTTAGATCCGTCCGTAAAATACGTAAATACCAAATTTTCAGAAACATAGACGCCGATCCCAGTCCTCCACGATGGCGCTTCTGCAGGCTGGCGGGTCTCGGTCGGCGCCCGTCTCTTAGTTGGTTAAAGCATTATTCACATGCAGCAACAAGCAATTAGTATTTCCGTATTATTCTAATATTATTTTGACTATCGCAACTCCGTGCTCCGTACGGAGTCCTCCGTCCGTGCTAGAGAATCGACTACCGACCAGATGTAGAAGTCACCCCGCGCAGCCCCCGGGGCCGTTGTATGTGCGTGCAATCCTTCTGGAGCCACTCCACCTGCCATCTCGTCGAGGAGGGGCAGAGAACGATTGGCGATGGAAGTGGGGAGTGAGAACCTGTTCGCCCGCCCCCGACACTAAATTAGCTCGGTTCATTCGCCCCAACATCTTTGGGACATTCGACGGGAGCGACGGGACCTGGGCCACTTTCGATATTGTTCCCGCAATTGCGGCGCTGGAAACGCAAATCCCCCTGGAAATCGTCGATCTCTCCAAAGCCAACTGCCACACACAACTTTGGAAAGCATTTGGACATAATTCAACCTCCCTGAGGCGACCCTGCCTCGTGGAAGTTGCTCGGACGGCCAGCGAATTGAAATCGTCTTTAGTCTTATGCACGTTTCTCGGGGTCTAGCGGGCGTCCGAGAAGACGGGCGAGTAGACTCCGGGTTTCGCCTCGATCCCAGTCACTCTCTTGCACTAGGGGCGATACTCCGCTGTAACAATAATCAATAGTGGATCCATGGCCTGGATAATGGTCAAAAGTCCCAGCAGGAAGGTGCTGCGATCAGCGAGGGTTAGTGGTGGGTGGCACGACGGCCTCTCGCTACTAGAAAGCTCTATCGGTAACTAACTAATGCATATCCATACCTGTAAAGCTGTACAGCTGTAAACTTGTCTCGGCCATGGATCCAAGTAGTGGCCCCGCTTGTGGTGCCAGACGGGAATGGTGGGCTCTCGCGAATGCATTGCCTCGCTGAGAAATTATTTGCTTGCAATTGCATTTCGTCTTCTTGCAGCTTGCGCAGGGCCTCCTCTGGTCTCTCATAAGAAAGGGTTCTCGGGCCACGTCTTCATCCTTGACTGTCCGTTCCACTTTTGCTCCTCTTTGCTCATAAGCCCTCCGCTATGACTGACCCTGAGAAGACAGAGGCATACCTGCCCACGGCCCCGGAGCAAGCTGTTTGCCATGAATCTGGCCCCGATGATACCAATGGCTCTAGCTCCTCGGATTCAGAGAAGGTGGCCCCCGAGAAAGAAATGTCAGAGAAAGCGATGAAGGTGCAAGTAACCCAAAAGCCTACTCACAACCGGCATCTTTCTATCACTCTGGATGACTTGGAGGCCCAAACCAAATCCGACCTTCCGCTGAAGCGATTTGCGTATCTGAGATATGCCGTCTTTACCATGTACCGCCGGCTCTTCACAATCGTCTTCATTGTAAACCTGGCGTGCTTCATCTACGTGATGGTTGCGGATCGACAGATCCTGGCCTTGGTGAACGCGACGGCCGTGAACTTGGTAGCCTGCGGTTTGGCTCGGCACCCAATGGTGGTGAATGGTATCTACAGAATAGTCTGTTCGCTGCCTAGGTCAGCACCACTTTTCTTACGTCGTATGTGTGCCAAGGCAGCCCATTACGGTGGTGTGCACAGTGGCTGTGGTACTGCGTCTTTGGTGTGGTATGCGGGATTCGTTGGTGTTGCATCCAATATGTATTGGAACAAACTTCCCATCAGTCCCTTGACAGACCGCACATTTTCGACGGCCCCGATCGCTGTTTCGTACGTGATTCTTGTACTTTTGATGGTCATGATTGTGGTGGCATACCCAGTTTTCCGCAGAAAGATGCATGACTATTTCGAGCTCACCCATCGATTCACCTCGTGGCTTATTCTTGCCCTGTTCGTTGTCTTGGTCATGCTCTTTGCCAATGACATGGGTAAAGCAGAGGAGAAGTCCCTCGGATACGCCCTGATCACGCTCCCTGCATTCTGGCTCTTGATCGGGGCGGTGCTTGCAATCGCTCATCCTTGGCTACTCCTGAGGAAGATCCCGGTGCAGACAGACCCTCTCTCTCCACACGCTATCCGCCTACACTTCAGCCACACGCCAATTGCCTTTGCCAAGGGTATCCAGGTATCTAAGCACCCCCTTCGGGACTGGCACAGTTTTGCGGGCTTCCCGGATCCTTCTGAGTCCCTTGAGAATATCAGGAGGGTTCCATCAAACGAGCCCGCGAGGCCACCTGTGGCATACAAGAAGGGACATAAGAGGAACCAAGAGAGTTGGTCGATCGTGGTATCTAAGGCCGGAGACTGGACCTCAGACACGATCAGCAGCCCGCCTACCCACGTCTGGAAACGTGGTGCCCTGATGCGCGGTGTTGGTTACGGTATGCGCCTTTTCCACCGAATCATCGTTGTGACCACAGGTTCCGGAATCGGGCCATGCCTCGGATTTTTGGGCGATGAGCATCGGCCGATGATCAAGGTTGTTTGGCAAACTCGCAACCCGACAAGGACGTACGGCCAAGGAGTCATTGATCTGGTCCACCAGATGGGTCCAGACCCAATCATCCTGGACACTTCTAAGGACGGCCGTATCGATATGCTTCCGATCATCCACCAACAAGTCGAAGAATTTCAAGCGGAAGCGGTGTTTGTGATCAGCAACCCACCGATTACCCGCAGGATTGTCTACGAGTTTGAATCTCACGGTATCCCGGCTTATGGACCAATTTTCGATTCATGATCCGTTTGTTTTCGGTTTGGTCACTTGTTATACTGGAGCTCTGCAGTGCAGAGTTCTTACGCGTCGCGGATACGAGGGAGGGAAATGATGGCATAGCCCAGGTGGTAAAGCAAATGAGTTATGGTAGAATGATTTCTTGCGATAGTTTGACGGCGTCCTTGTGAACCTACGAGGTATGACAGGAAACGATACATATGATACTTTACGATGAAAAAGATCGCGATAATACAATTTTCATTCATGCTTATTCCTATTCCTTTTCTCCAACGATGGTTTTAATTTCTCATAAAATTGAGAACAGTAAAACTATTCTTGTCCTACCATCTACATTGTATCCGCCAAGGTGTGAGGAGACCCCTCTTTGGAGCTACGTTGTTGAGGGTGCTCGTTCCTTCCCGATGAGGACAAATTGATAACTCGATGAAAGTTGGAATTGTCAGCGCTTGGATTAAAGTACAGTCGTGGCGCACAATATTGCCTTTTCTTATCAGATTTGCATATGTGTCACTAGGGTTTCCTTACAGGCTTACATGTGCTCTGTCCTACTTCACCCCACAGGTTCATGCACGTACGAATCACACAGATCATGTCTGATTATCCACAAGTCCCATGATGCCGTTGTAGTATGCGTCAAAACGGGGCTAGACATCCAAATTGTAGCTGCACGGGTGATCAACCGTTATGGTATTACCCGGATCGCCATGCACCTTGCCTCACGAAGACACACAGTAGGCCACCCTCTACGTAGTCCCACATGGGCGGGGCGGGGCCAACCCGAGGACTCTCTCACCTGAGAACCTGTTCTAGTAGGATTTGGAAACTCTAATTGTTGCGTCTTATCTGTGTACTGTGTCTCTGGTCAGATTCTGCCTAAATACTTGGAATATTATACCTCGGCGCAAATCAGTAATGAACTCGGTTTAACTGCTTCGCTTCAATCGGCACAACAGCCCGATGACCCGTTCTCAACGTTCTCAACGTAAGCTACATAATCTGATCATAATGTGTATTTGCATGTTGTGTAACCGCACAGGATCATTGACAACGTCCAGTATCCGGTACAAACAATGGTGAGCCCCACCAGACAAAGACTACTAAACCACCAATCAGTCTGTCTCGAAAGTAGTCAAGATGAAAATGAAGACCCTATATGTATGAATGGCCTTGATCTCTTTCCAATTTTGTCTATTTAGCATTTGTTATTAGCTATTTTTTTTCGCTTTCTTAGTCTTCTCGATGATCTTCGCGGCCTGAAAGCGTTAGACAAGAATGAACGTTATCCTCATATGTAGCATTTTTATTGCAAATTCCACGTTGGACTTTTCTGGAGGCTATCTAGAGCATACACGACTAGTTACTTTCAAAATATCAAAATACCGGAACGAATACTAGCTTAGGTGCTGGTAATGACCTCGTAACAGAACTCTGGGTCTAGATTCTTAGCACCCAGCCAGCTCAGAATTACCCGATCATGCAGTAGTCAAAAAATATTATCATGCCCAATAAATTGATGTTTTAGTCATATTCAATAAGCATTCAATTAAGCACTACATCATTCTTCATCAAAGAAAAGAACAAGCCCGCATCAGTTGGAAGACATCAACTAACTATACTTCGGCAATAGCTGTTCATAAAAAAATGAAGTTATTTTGAGAAGACCTGCAAGTGGAAATCTTTAGCCAGGCTGCCTTTCTAAAAGCATGGCTTTCACATGGCGATGCGACTTTCTAAGCAGCGCTCCGTAATAGTTGGCACCTCGAACGCCTGTGGTGGTTTAGAGATGTCGGTGCCTAATTGATGCCTAACGAGGTGGCCTATAGCGGCCAAACAGCAAAACAGACCAAATAATGCCTTGGCCTTCGGCCGTCGTTTGATCCCTTAAATTTGCCTTGTTTGTGTCTCACTATCAGCCTCCCTCTACTGGTGTCCAGAGACTTGAAGTGCAAGGAGGAAAAGATTCTTTGTTTTTGCGTGATAAGGCGTTTTTTTGGAGATTTTTAATCCGGATGAGTAGGTCGGAAAGGGTGGCGTTTCGCTGCCAGTGAATACATAGACATATAGTCACGTTGACTCCTGATCCGTTACATTCTGCCAGTAGAATGGTGTTGCAAAAAACCCAAGCTTGATTGTTTGGCGTCAAAAAGGAGCCGCAGGTTGGTGACGCGACGATCACATGGATGGTTGCTTATTTCCCCTCATCCTCTCACAACTACCTTTCCATTATTTATCACCATGCATAGTCCTTTCAAATCTGCTCTCTCTCCCTTTCTGACCTGATTGATAGCCTCTTTGCAACTAAGCTGTAACGTCACTCTCAAAGATCTATATATCTTTACCGCAGCCGCCACAATGGATCAATATCGAGACCCACCTGACACTCTTCAGCCTTATGGTATTACTTTGGACAACAGTGGCGACATCCCACTTCAAGTCCCCGGCTTTGGAGAGATCCCAATGCGCTTCGTGCTCCTATGCTACGAGCGGTTTGCCCACGGAATATTGGAGTGGCGACAAGCCCCTGCTGTGACTGCCCGTGAGTTTTGCCATGGTTGCCGTCATGGAGCAGCTCACCGACCGCCCCGGATGGATTGTCAATATATTCGACGACCAAGTTGTCGCGGATTGGCGAAAGGAGGTTGTTGCCACAAACTCCCTAATCAGCGAGATGGCGTGGACCTGGTGTGTGAAAGAGCTGCGTGACAAAGCACTGGATTTTCACGAGAAACAACATATCCGGGTGCTATATACAGGAGCTTGTGTATGCAAGTCGGATACGGCGGATCTGAGAGCTCTGAGTGAGGCGTTTCAACAGTCGGTTCCTTCTGTACTCGAGCAGCAGCAGGATTAGGGGAAACTTGATTGGCGGTCAAACCAGGCGTTAAGCCTGGTAGATCCGTCACTTTTTCCTTTGACATATGCGAGAAGTTCGGTATTAATGGATGGAGGGAAGGTTGATCTACAGCACATCTGGGAGTCACAACCTAGTGCGGTCGCTTCGCCAAAGCACTTCGATAGGCGGGAACACTCTGATGACTTCCAGAAAGAGATAGAGAAAGCTCGCAAAGCTTGTGATCTATCTAGGGGGCTTTCTCCTTATTCTGCTTTTGGCCACCCAAATTACGCCAGGTTCTATCGCTGGGGCTCAAATTATCAATTTCTTCCTTGCGACGTGGAGTTTATTAAGGACCCCGGAACTGAGGTGCAGATTACATCATATATTAAAAATCTACATCCGATGCATACGGGACTGCACCAGGCCATTGAGGATTTCCTTAGCAATCAAGCCGTGGAATGACTGTCTGGTTAAGGGCCAGCCTGCTTGGGGCGATCTTGAGAACCAAGGGCAGTTGGGGCCTATACCACTTCGAATAACCACATACGGGATTGAATGGGAGAACGAGCTTCCTGATTGGGCTGTCGCTTTTAATGTGCCTTCGGAATCCAGAAAACGGAGATAGCGCGACGCCGAAGAGAGGTTACAGAATGCTAGGAATGACAAGTCTCCCGAGGGCCCGACTAGGCACTCGGAAGCGTTCGGTGCGTTAACGCCGTTAAGAGATGTCAAGCGAAATTGAATATGGAGTTGCCGCCCCTGAAATCGAAACTATGGCAACAGGCCAAGGCATATATTAAACTTCCTGAGGATGGCTCTCAGACCGCCGTTGAGGTTCCAGAAGACTGGGCAGATAGGTCGGAGCCGTGGCTCTTGCTCAAACGAAAGGCAGAGTGCGCAGTTCGCTTCAAGCATCCAGAGCCAGGAACATCCTTTTTGTATGATGACTGGATGAAAGGCTGACACAACGACAAGGCTATCATCGATATGGTCGAAAACCGGAAAATCAGAATCCCACCCCATGCACCTTATACCATCAGTCTTCAGGACAAGTTTCGGAAGTAGGGCTTACAGGTTATTGTGAAGATGGAAAACATCGAACTCACCCCTCAGACCCCCAGCTATTCTAACAATACCTGGGAGCTCGAAGGTCAGAGTAATGAGCACATTGTGGCCGTGGCCGTCTTCGCGTACGAAGTTGCGAATATTATACAGCCCGGGATCGAATTTCGCCAGCACACCAACCTGAAAAATTCCTACTATCAGTACTACGAGGAAGTCTTTCCAACAATAGATGATGGATGGAGAGATCTTTATCCCTCTAGGGTTGGAAAGTCGTACGAAAAGGAATTCAAAGCAATGGCGAGTATCCTAGGATTTGCACCGCGAGACCTGTCCGCGAGGTTCGACAGCGGTATGTCTTTCCAAACCACGGGTTCTGTCGCGACCCCACAGGGGCGACTAGTCACATTTCCCAATGTCCTAGAGCACCGACTGGAACCATTCGAACTGTCTGACCCAACGCGTCCTGGGCATTATCGGTACATCAAGCTATACTTGGTTGACCCGCAATGTACCACCTCAACGGCTTGACTGGTGGGCAGACGAAGTGAGCAAAGACTTTGGCTCGTCTGGATTGCCTCGCGAATTGTTGGATGCGATTTTCCAGGAAGTAGACGGCTGGCCATTGGGATGCATGGACCGAGAGAACCATTGGAACGAATTGATTCGGCTGGCTAATATGCGGACCTGGTTCCGGGAATCGATAGTATGAAAGGTAGATTGGTTACATAAAGTTCCCCCATCTTCTTTGAACAGGCCTACGGAGGTATTGAATGGCCCCAGGCTCATTTGAGTGACCGAAACGATATGAACATATAAAATTAGGTCTGAATTATGTCCGCTTCTCCCAAGATGGACCCAGCATCATGCCCTTCATTCCAGACGCTTAATAAGAAATGAAATATTGAAACTTGATGTATGTGACCCCGCAAGAAGTCTCCACAGTCCTACGCGTTGTACTAAGCCGCAGCCAAGGTCTAGTCCACTAAATTTCTGGATTCCGAAAAATGGCCCCCAAACAGTATGACTTAACAACACACGAGCTGCTTGAAAGAGTTTTACCGCGACCAAGATTAATGGTGAAAGAAAATGCCCCATACTCTCTTTCAAAAGGAACAGGCTATGGGCGGGACAATCTATCTCAAGCTCACATTGTCAGCTCTTGATTAAACCAACAAGGAACAACCAGGGGCCGGTCGTACTTTTGGAGAGTCTGCATAGCGCCCAAGCGCCCACATCACCACTGTAGTATGATTCATGTCAATCGATTTCTGTCATAGCCAATAAGATACACCAGTTCGATGCGCGAACTAGCAACGTTCCACTCGGCCTCGGGTCTATTCACATGAAAGAACAAATAAGGCTGAAAGGGCGCCCACTCGCGCGTGGCCCGCTCTCTTTTCCTTGCCCCGTAATTACTGCGTATAATAATGACACTCGACTGGAAAATCAGAGGAACAATAACTTGTGCCAGTATTGCTCTTGATGGAATACTCTTTTTCCTTCTCTTTGGTGTTGCGATTACAACATGGGTGCTCCATCGACAACAACGATTCGGTCTCGGGATTGTGCCAATAAAGACCTTCATCATTTGCTTACTGGCATTGACAATGTGAGTGAAAAATCTCGATAACAAATATATCCAAATTAATCGAGCTGATCATGGGGCTTTCAGGGCTGAATGTTTTGGGTTGTCTCTCTTGCACTTGGATCCTAGGTACTACCATCCGAATTCCTCTACGATCTCGGCACGACCCTTCTATTCTATGTGTTCTATGCTCTGTTCCATGGTCTCATAGGAAGCCTTCCTGGAACAGATACAGGGTATCCGAAGACCGAATTCTTCCACTGGGGCTTGATAGGCATTATCGCGATTGCGGGAATAATCGAATGGACCCTCTACGTTCTGACCGTGGTCGCCTTATCGAATTTCCACTTTTGGTCCATGGTCTGGAAAATCACGGAGACGGCGACAATAATTATTCGCTGGCTGGTTTCATGGGAGATTCTGACATGGTCAATCGTGTTATCCATTAGGACTGTTAGATTGAGGGCAGATGTGATGGTGAGGGAGTTCGCTTGTGTCTTTCTTATTATCCGCTAATTTTTCCACGTGCCTTCATTATTATACGCGGTCGCATGCGTATTTTTCTGCGTTAACTGGTTTACTTGGATCTGTTTTGATATTGTGTCCTACCTTGTCTTGCAATACTCCATGTCAAACACCGGTGTTTATGCCATCCGTATTGCCCAAGTCATCCTGTGCGCGTGCTTCTATCCTTCTATTCTCATATGCTGCTTGAGATGGGGAATGAACTGTCGGTCTTTGGTCGATCCTAAAACAACACACGGGATGAAGCACCCGAGAACTGTTCTCGTTGAGGTGGACAGCGGAATACCGATAACGGAGGCGGATTCGAAGCCCGAGGCGGAAGTGGACTCGTCCAAGCCTATAGTCGAGGCTGAGTCAAGATCTGTCACTGAATCGAGCTCCCAACCTGTCCTGTAGACAGACGTTGGCACATATTCTCTTTTTCTCAGCTTAATCTTTATTGATTCTGTATGAAAATATCCATGAGGCAAATAGTAAGCATTGCCTTGGCATATCTGAAGATTTGAAGAGAATATTTATTTGAATTCAGTAACTTGAAAGTAAAGATATTGGTAGATGACAAGTGATTGTGATTGGTTGTGTTCGCTAACACTATGTTAATTTGAAAGTGGAAAGGCTTGATCTTTGAATACACGAGGAGACCTGCTAAGTCGTTGGGGCTTTGAATCTGCGTTGAATTGACGCGTAGAATTCCAATGGGCCATATTGCGCTCCTGGAATTCTCTAAACCAACGGTCATCGTCGCTTTCCAACTCTTTGAGACGCGGCTCGTCATTGCCTTCAATAGGAGCGTAGATCTCAAATACCTTCGCGCAATTTCCTTCTGCGCGGGCATACATTGGCTGCCATTGACGAAACCAACGCAAGTTTTCGCCTGTTTTCAGCGTAATCGTCTCCAGCACGGACGGTCCTCTGAGTTCAAAGAACCGCTTTCCAAAGTCTTGTGCTTTTGACTCTGTCAAAACTTGAGGAAAATCCTCCTCCATTGAAGGATTTTCTTCCGCATGAGCAATACCTAGACCGATATGGATGGAAAGTCGATGAAGATTCTTAAAGCCGGTTGCTAGAGCCCTAACAATATCGTCGGGCTAAACAGACAACGATTAGCTCCAGTATTGGGGAAAAAAAAGTCCCGGCCATGACTTACCCATGTTCCATTCGGATCCAAATCAATTTCGAGGCTTGTAAGCTTGGGGCAATGCCGACTTAAGTTTCCTATCTGCTCAGCATCCAGAGTCTGTCTTTCCCTATCTGGTTCTTCGATCTCATGTAAGCAAACATGCTTCAGACTAGATTGATGAAGTACCGAGTTTAATGAAGGGACTGCTCCTTTCGCGGTCAGGCTTTCCAGAGAATCAATTGAACGCAAAAAGCCGTCAAGCCCGGCCGAAGAGCTCAGAGGATCGTAGCTAGTGATTTGAAATTCTTTTAAATTGACAACCTTCCCCGTGGCTAGCTCCAAAAGCCCTGGGGTAGATTGGACACCGAGACTGAGTGACCGTAGTCTTTCCCAAGGAAAACTATCTCGCCAGAGAGCCGCTTCATCTCCTTCAACACTATAACCACTCAGCGAGAGGCTTGTAAGTGGTGGGAATTTTGCACCTTCGGGAAGATCAAGCTCCGATATCCTGGTAGGAGAAGGACGTCCACCCATCACGCAGCCTCCTTGCAGCCAATTGACAGATACTGACAGTTCTTCAAGATTCGGAAAGGCATTGAAAAGGTCATGCAAAGCCAACTCCTGCGGCTCCCACGGGCGAGCCCTGGTTCTTTTTTCTGCCTCTGAAAGGTCTCTGGGAGCTCTAGCTTTGGCATCTACAGAGGTGTGCAATTTCTGCACAAAGGGCATCTTAGTATTGACCCTAGTTCTGCCATATTCCCCCAGGAGATGAAGCTTCGGTGCTTTTTTATGGCCGAGGAGGACCTTCACAAAGCCATCTGTTATCGGAAGGTCGTCGTGGTAGCTACACTGAATATTAGCATGCACCGACCAACTATGTAGAGAATCGGAAAAGTCGTTTCAACCTACTGTATAGTCTCTAAATTTGGCAGCCTATTTACCAAAGTAGCGAGAACATCGTTCGGCGGCTGCAACATTCGCCAAACACGATCAGGGTTTCCTTCCTCAAAAGTCATCTCACGGACAAAGCTCCGTAACAGATCATTGCGGTTATCCAACAGTCTGCACAAGAGGCCAAAGGAAAGCTTCTCAGCCTCATCTTGTGTCTTCACTTCTTCATCATCGGGGAGCTTGGACCAGTGGCTTCCGTCGATGGGCGAGCCACGGAAAATAAGGGACCGGTATAAGAAAGGGGTTGCGATTACATCAAATGATCTGCATACACTGCACACGTTGCTGAGATCATTCCTAGTAGTTAACTTTGAGGCATCCCAGGGTAAGTCGGATTCTAGAGGACGCATCAGAAAGGACCCTAGTATAAACATACAAATTGAAAAACCATAGACCATATCTCCTGTATCATAATGGGCGCATTCATGGCTTGGAATTTTCTCTGCTCGAAGATGGAGCTGGGTGGAATTTTGTGCAAAGGGAAGATGTGAGATCAGGCAGATTTCCCTGAGGTTAGGGGGGCAATTTGGGGGTCTTCGGTTGTTTTTGGAGCCGCATACATCACGTGATCTCAAGAGCAGGGTTGGCGAGATTAAAAGAGATGGCGATGCGTTTGATCCTATCTTCGAAATGAACCTTCGAGGGTGTGCGAGCGGAGCTTACCCCCCACCGATGGCAGACCTCCCTATGGGCCGGGTTTCTCTCTCATACCTACCTGGCGAGGTGCAACGCTTTTCACGCCGGAGATACACGCAGCAACTGGTTTCTCATCGCAGTGAAATTACTTGAATCGACTTCTGCCGAATTTTTTCAAAGATATGGTTTGCTTCTATTAAAGCCTAGGAGGTTCTAGCTCTGGGAAGTCTGGAGACCTGCTTTGTTCCTGGCTGCCAGCCCTTGCTCGATCACTTTCTCCATTTCTTCGCCCCAAAAAGAAGCGTAAGACGCCGCACTTCCAAAGCTGCCCTTTGCGAATGGATCTGCTCCTTGTTCTAGGAGCCACTTGACACGCTCAATCGCTCCAGCCATTACTGCGTGGACAATCGCATATTGAGGCTCCATATGCCGTGATTCAACCTTGTAGTTTAAAACCGCCCCATTCTCGACCAATAAATGCATCACAGGTATTCTGCCAGCATCGAATTCCTTGCTTGGCTTGACGCGTCCGACATGTGGATTTGCTCCTTCGGGACAAACACCAGCAGCATAGTGCAAGGGTGCTCCATTCTGGATACGAGCACCGGCCTCCAACAGCATTCGGACTGCTTCGACACTGCCGCGCGCCGCAGCGTTTTCGAGAGCATTGCATGACTTGGTATCAGAGTTACCATGCCTGTCATGAAAGTCTTTTTGTGGTCCGAGATTGGGATTCGCGCCGTTTGCCAGAAACCAAGATAGTAGAGGTAAGTTATTGACTAATCTTGGAAGTAGTACAGCACCATACAGGCCCGGGGTATTGGGAGTCCAGCCATAAGCAGTGAAGAGCTCGAAAAGGGGGATTTGTTTATTGACTGGCGCTTTGAGAATAAAATCTGGTGTTTGTCTAGCAATTGGAGCGCCATTCGAAAGTAGGCATCGAGCGGTCTCGACATTTCCAGCTCGAAGGGCGATCAAGAGACCCCGATGAAGAAACGCCGGTGTCCGAGGCTTAGAGGTGACAGTCTCTTCAATCGTAGATACTGGGCCACCACGGCATGCGAAGTCAAAGGATGAAAGAGGCGACGGCTCGAGGCATTTATGATCGAAATCTTCTGGCTCCAGTGTGGGTAGATCATCAAAATGGGAACCCATTACCATAGAACGAGGTTGGGTGCTTTGGCTTGGTTGGTGCGTTTTATTTTGCTGAATTGCGGCTAATTGCTGCTGCCTTGCCATCTTTTGGATTTGTTGTTGACGTGCCTTCATCACCAAATCCTGCTGAAGCTGCGCTCGAGATGCCATTTTGTCAGGCTTGCTCATTTGGTTTTCACGAAAGTCTGAACTTCGTAAATAAATGAGGCTATGGCAGCCAAGGGATGTTGAGCCCTGCCTGGGACCGGTGGACCGGTCGCGGAAAATGAGCGAAGGCGAAAAGATAATGCCGCCGTCGTTCCAAGACAGAAATCTTCAGGGGCCAAAAAGATCCGCCCGCGGAACTCGTACGATCGGTGCTTTGCTAGCCACTCTAGGCTGGTCAATCGAGAAGGACTCGCCAAGGAGTCAAAAGTTGAGAATCATGACAGCGATGGCTGGCGCTTATGTGGTGTCTAATTTGGGGGCGAGGATCGATCCACTCATGAAGCACCTCCAATGCTGAGCGCCAAGTTGGATCAGAGGCCGTGTCAGTATGATTTGGGGCCGATTCTTAATAACAAAAGAGCTAGGAGGAATTTTGGGATTATGGTAAAACACTTTTCACGTATTTCAATTGACTCTTTGTTGAAGTTGGATCTGCTAATATATTGTATTTTATTGAAGGACCGACTTCATTTTCTGGTCAGCTTTACATTTCTGCCTTACCTCGAGCAGCAGAAGACTGAAATCTAGAAGACTTGGGTAAATAAGATTTAAGCCCCTTATAATATTCTCTTTGAATTTAAATACAAGGAACTCCTCCAGTCTAGACTTCTGCTGGCCTGAATATTCTCGTTCCTGTTCCGTGATAAGCGAAATTGGGAGTTCGCAAGGGATAAAATCATGCCCGAAAGGCAGAGAACACCACGCCACCACGCCAGCGAGTCGGAGTTGCACCGAGGGTATGGAGCTTTTAATATCAGCGACAAGCCCATAGAACTGTCTCTCTCTCGCTTTGCGGGAATTACCTTTACAGTTTTGACCTAGGACTCAGGCTCTCCTCGGTCGGAAAGATTGCCAAACATGGTTTTTACAGACCTTACTTCTCTCCGGATGTTATCTCTAGTGTGTTTAAAAAAATGCGAGTTTTTACCATACATCCATCTTGACAAAAAGCCATTAGCAATGCATGACATATTCCGACATGAGAATGGCGTGCTATGGCGGGGGATCATTAAATTGATAAGCACGAGGAACGTACCGCGATTACTGACATATATATACGTATCCTCAATTGATTGTATCACAGAGACAGACAGTCAATAACACTCCTCAATAGCTATGGTTGGACGGACGCTCATTGATGTTGCCATTATTGGTGGCGGACCAGGAGGGCTGGGCACGGCCATTGCCCTATCTCAACTTCCGTTCGTTCATGTCACTCTTTATGAGAAGAACCCGGAGCCTCGAGAAGCCGGTGCGGGGATAAGTCTCAGTACGAATGCATGGAAAGTACTGGACTTACTTGGAGCCAGCGACGGCGTCAAGGGAGGATCCAAATCAAACACACATCAACGGTACACTGGAACACTTGGATTGTGACTATTGATGCCATTGCATTCTAATCAATTTTACAATTAGGAATGCCCACACAGGCGCAATTCTCAGCGTTGTCAAATCGCCTGAAAATTCCAAGGCAGACTCCCGCGGCGCGATTCGTGCCCGTCGAACACGCCTCCAATCGGCTCTCCTTTCGCAAGTCCCGGAAGGAATCCTCCAATATGACAAGAAGCTCACTTATCTAGAGACTCTGCCGGGTGGCGGAGTCCGGTTACTGTTTCATGACCAGACAGAGGCAGTTGCAGATCTTGTCGTCGGGGCGGATGGAATACAATCGGTTTGTCGAGCCCTATGATAATCCCGTTTCAAAATCGAAATACCAGGGCTGACAATGATCTATACCGCAGATTGTTCGGCGGACGCTTTTACCAGGCCATCACCTGTCTTTCACAGGAACAATTGCGTGGCGAGTGATTGTTCCTAAAGCAAACCTGACTCATATCCCGGACATCACGTCTTTTACAAGCTGGTGGTGGGGTGAATCCGGTCATGTCTACTTGTCAGATGTCGACGATGACGACGAGGAAAATCCGCACTTCGAAATCACCGTGCGGGGATATCGTGAGCCGGAGATCTCTGGGAAGACTGTTGTCTGGGGAATCCCTGCTACCAACGACCGCGTAGCGTCTCGCGTTCAGGTACAAGGTCCATTCTTTTTTTTTCTACATGGCTTGACTTTTCACGCTGACTTTTTGACAAGAACTATGATCAGCGAATTAAAGACGCTGTAAACGTCGTGCCTGAAGGTTTGTGGAGAGAATTCGCCATGTTCGCTGGTCCACGACTAGATAGGATCATTGGCTGGGACAACAGGGTCGCACTTATTGGAGATGCCAGTCATCCTCTCTCTGGTAAGATCTCAGCCTCGTTCCCAAAGCCTTTAGTATACAGGGAATCACAATTTTCTTTAGGAGCTTTTGGTTCCGGTGCAACATTCGCCATGGAAGATGGATGGATTCTTGCACGGGCCCTGGAACATACTCAATCGCTTTCCCTTCCAGTGGGAGACGCTCTCGAAATTTTCAACACTATTCGGTCTCCATATTATGCAAGAATGTATGAGCATCTTGACGAATCGGAAGAGAGGTTGCGAAAATCTCGACAAGAAAGTGAAACCTTCGACGACTTCCTGAACGCTAAGATTAAGTATTTTCTTTACGGGGACAAGGACTTCATTTACAAAAATGATATCCAAAAGGTTTGGGAAGAGTATATAGTGTCAGCGGACAGACTGGTTCGTTAAATACTTTGGGATCTAAGACATTCAACTTCACACTCAATATAGAAAAAGAAAACAGCCACTTCGCCTGACTATAGCTTCAAGGGACTCTTGTGTATTCTGATTTTAGGCCAACGCCAAGGTCAGTGGCACGTCCTCCTCACCTGCAAAAAAGAGAGTACACGCGTATTTTCTCTGACCTAAATTTAACCTGAATCAGTGTGCCCCCCCCAATCCGCTGGCCGGGTTTCAGAGAATACATCTATGGAACGTCCATCGCGACACTTACCGAAAAAGGGCGGAGTCAGATTCAAATCTCGTCAATGGAGGTCTTTGAAGCGTCTTATGACTTGCCGACTCAGTCACACCTCATTGGGAATTTTCTGGCCAACGAAACCGACCCTTACTTTTTGTGGCAATATGATCCAGCTTAGCCGTGCCCAAAGTGCTGTTCACGGACCAGGACGCGAGCAGCATCATTTAAGTCCTTCTGTAATTTACAGTAATGCAGGGCTCTTTGAATGGGTATTGCTTGGTTTCTGACTCATGATTTTATCACAATGAGATACGTCTTCAAGCCAGACTTTATAAATTTGTATGGAACGGTGTTCTACGAAAAGCGATCACTGAACATAATCTTGACCAAAGTATTTCCGATTTACAGGCAACTAACTAGCTTGCATGTATCATCGAGACCAAAGATCCCGCTTGAAATCACACCGTAGCCAAGTAGCTTCGAACAGGCACATTATCCTCCCTGCCTGGCTCAGGGAACCCAGACACATTGACTCCTTTCCGGAAAAGCAAGCAGTGAGTAGATCCGCCAAAGTGGAACATGCCGATTTCATCACCCTTCTTCAGATGATCACCTTCTTTGACTGTGATGTCACAGGTAGACACTTCTGCCATTCCCACGCCGATAAACGCTATCAACCCGATTGCAGGCTCGTCTGCCTCAATGAAGATGAGGGCACGCGTGGCAGTTGCCGTGATGTACGACTGCGAGATGGTCTGACCTTCCAAGTCAATATCCGCTGTATGAGCTTGCGGGTTACCAACACCCTCAAACAATGGCTCAGAATAGTAAGTGCCATCCACAACGTAGGCCTTCACAACTTTTCCGCTGACGGGCGCATGCCAGCGGTGATAGCTCAAGGCGCTCAGGAATGCCTGGTAGATCGTACCACCAACGAATTGCGAGGCAAGCTCGTCATGATCAAGCATATCGAGCACAGAATACGGCTGGCTCTTGATCCAGAAATGATCGCGAGCACGAACATTGTGGGCGAGTCGGTATGGCTTGGATTCACACGCGTTGGCAATCACACGACCGTTATCAGGTTCAGCGACCGGGCGCATCCCCTCAGAGAACTGTCTGGTGAAGAAATCATCCCAGGATTGGAAGCCAAAATGCGGTGCAGACGGGTCACACTGGAACATGTCTTGAAATTTCAAGTCTTCAGCCATAGTTGGACCGACTCTTGCTGCGAGTGTCAGGTCGCGATGACCTGTCTCACCGAACCAACCATGGGAGGTGGTGTTCAAAACCTCAGCTGAAGCGGGAGATTTCAAGAATTCTCCCCATACATTAAGCACTTTCTTTAGCATGGCATTAATCTCGGGATCCAGGAAAGCTGCATAACCACTTGGAGTACCCATTGCCCAGTCGAGAACAGCATTGATGGGTAGACCGACCAGCCCGACTCGGTGGGCTTTGTCGGTCCATGATGGGGCTGACGTGAGAAGATGATTGAGGACTCGCAGGAAGTGATCATAATCACGGATCTGCACAGTACCAGTGGGATCTTTGCTGTACGGCCTCTTGTGGGGGACCTCTCTGAACATGCCCGTCAAGAGCATGTAGACCCTTGTGTTGCTTTCGATCAATTGCTTGAATTCTTGAAGAACTGGATGCAGAGCCTTGTCATCATGGTCTACTTGTTTGATCACCCCGCCAAGCCATTCACGATGGGCTGCATGGTCTGCTGGCATCCAACCGCCAACCCTGGTAGATTCTCGAGTTAGATAAAACAGTGGTCAAGTCTGGACTCGGAATATACACACCTGTGTAGGTGGTGGGCATCCTTCTTCGAAGGCATTTGGGAGGATAAGATCAGAAAATGCGATTATGAACTTCAAAATTTTTTTTTCGTTAACTCTGATCTCTTGTCAAAAAATTGCAAGAGGTGAAGTTGGTTGATGGAACGAAAAAAGCTTCGCTGCGACAATCCTCTTGGCAGGCGATCTATTTAAAATGTTTAGATATTTCTTTCCGATTACATCATCGTGACGGTTGTGGACGAATTAAAAGACAGGAGACAAGTCGTATCGTAAACACTCATGCCCGCCTTGTTAATAATCTCCACGTGTTGGCGACTTTTGCAGGAAAACCTGGAGACCATCCGACTATCCGGGGGAGATGATGTCATTTCCAGTTCCCTGTACTTGTGCCGATCTTGAGATCACTATACGTCTAGACATGGCCTGATTCTCGGAAGTATTCTACCCATTTTCAATAGTCATTTGATCTATCTCACGATGGATGGATTTTATTGCGAGGTTCTACGCCATGGAGTCCTGGGTGTGCTTATCAGATCGAGTGTGACGGTTAAAGTACTCCGAACACGGGAAGTGAGGTAATCTTTTAAGCTTATTTTCAGGCGTTCCATTCTCATTAATACTCAAACATTTATGTCTATCAGCAGCTTTTTCCATCTGCGGGAATTCCTTCTCTCATCTCGAGTCACAAACATATTGCCCCAGCCAACAACCTTCACATCCCCATGACTCGAAAGGCAACATAATCACTGATGTCACCTTAGACGGTCATGTTCACAAGAAACTCGATTGTCACTCAAAAGCCGTTAGGGTGAAGTACCTGCTGGTAGAACGCGTCTTGTGGTTTGTTTGCCTCCATTTCCTTGAGGCTATTCCCAACCCAGGAAACCACGAGCACGGTCCACCACCGCAGGATCTTTTGTCATTATTCGAATTAATCATTTATTAGGCAGCATCAAACGCGCGGATCTTCACTGGAGGAAAGTCCCGTTTGAGACCCGAAGAGCCCTGTAGGTTAGTGTGATTTTGATGCAGTGCCTGGTTCTCTCTCTATTTGGATCATTTCGCGGCATTCTCGAGGCTGTCAATTCTGGCAGCCGTGCTTGATATGGTCTGATGATAACTATGGCTACATTGATATTCTGCACTTGTCGAATATCGCAATAAATGCTTCTCTTATTGTCGCCAAAAAATAGCTATAGTAATCAAAAGCATTGTAGTATAATTTCAGCATGAATATCTAAAATCCCTTATCTAAATGCATCTCTTAACGGCCTATCTTAGGTCTTCCATCTTTTCATAGGTTCTATAAGATTAACAGAATGCTCCACAAGCACCAGCAGTCAAAGCACCAAAAACTTCAGCAGGAGCAAGACCAGCGGCACTGCCCAAAGAAAGCATCCCAGCAGTAACTCCAGAACACGCAACATCGCAGAACCAACTTCCTTTGCAAGTGATCTCAAAAGAAAGCTGCGATTGGACGGAATTATCTTGAGTGATGACAATCTGACCGTTTCTCGGATATTTGCACCCAATCCAATACTTCGGAATACCCCACTGAGAAGAATATGTAGTCTTCTCATACCAGCTCTTCGCCACTTGTAGACCAGCAGTGCCGTGTAAGGATTTGGCAACAGCATCGCTGCTAGGCTTGATAACATTTGTTTCTCCAGCAAACATGCATCGGTAAGAAATTGTGCAACTGTTGCCAACATCAAAGCTTGAGGTACGGCACCCATTTCCTTCGATAGCATTATAAACGATATGGAACACATCATTTGGATTGGGGAGCTTGACCTCATTCTTGTTCAAACTTGAATCAGTTACAAAAATTGCATCGGACGAGAGCGTCAGTGTCGATGTTGTTTTTCCGGCAGGAGCTGGAGCCGGATTCGGTGAATTGGCGGGCTTGTGATCACAGACATAAGCGGATGCGCATTCTGTACCATCATCAAGAGTGTAAATGCCACGTTTGTGGTGACCACGACAGAGAAAACCGTGCGATTCAAACCGAGGCCCGCCAGACCAGCAATTTGGGTATCCGAGTCTGGAACCGAAGGATCGATTACGGTGGTGAACTCATCACCGTTCGGCATCGTGCGTTTTAATGCTGATTTTCGCCAGGGATAAGATCCATCCCAAGGGACATCGGTCATCATTTGGGGAGTGACCCATTTGCCTCGTCTTCCAGGGGATACTCGGCACGAGAAACAGAAGCCAAGGAGGCGATCGTCATGAGAATGGGAAGTGAATACATGTCGAAGATGCCTTAAGTGATTGTAGATGAATTGATCTGTGATGGTTCTGCCTGGATGATGAATCAACATTAAAGGATGTGTCTCGATACTTATACTAACAAATCCCCTGATATTTACTTTGTTTTTAGAAGGAAGGTTTGAAATGAGCTGAATGATGATATTGAGCTGACGTCTGCATATGCAATGAGGACACAATCTCGGCTTCGCCGATTCGTAGACATAGAAGATTAGAAGCGCCACACTTGTGGGGATATTCTAGAACGTAGGTAGCTCTCAAGTCCATGCTTAAGGTTATGTCAGCTTACATGGATCCCAGCCTCCACAGCTCCTCTTCTGGCGTAATGTACTCCCATACAGGGCTTGCTTTATACAGCTAGACAGAAAGTCGATTCGCTATTGCCAAGGATTATGGGCTGCGATCATTTTCGTATCGACAACGCAGCTCGGGGTTTGTTTGAATGAAGCCCGATCAGTCCCCATCATAATTCAGAAGTATTGAGACGAAGATCGAGTGATTATCACACGCTCTCGGGTTTTCCTAGATTATGTGAGTGGCGTCTAGGCCCGAGCTCTACGCACAATCTACCATACTAGCGTGATACAACCTGATAATTTTTCAGTCCTAGAAAGTTAGTGCATTATGTGCTAGAGAGTTTGTCTTCACCTGCTCTAGCCATTCTCACACATGTAACCCAGATCGCGCAAGACTGAATAGGTACTTACTACGTTTTGGTTTGCTTTCTATTTTGTTGTCATTCCACTTTCAGCACATACGACCATAGGGTGTGGAGAACAGGGCTTCCCGTCCGCTCAGCCGTACTTAAGCCACACGCCGGCCAGTTAGTAGTATGGTGGGTGACCACATGCGAATCCTGGCTGTTGTATGTTTTTCTTTTTTTTGTTCGGATAAAATTTATTCGTTGCGTTGGATGTTTTAGCTGGTTTACCCTCCAGCCCTTTTAGACATGTGCTCAGGTCTATACGGCTCAAATGGATGTACCACTAAGCCAGTGCAAAGGTCTAGCCTTAGTGATCAGTCTTACTACTCAATAAATAGAGCCCTTAATTTCTTTCACCCTAGTTCATATCTATCTTTGAAGGTCTAGTCCATAGACTACTTCTAACATGATACATGTTTATGTTGTTGCGGACACGTATATTGCCATATAATTGTGAGCCACTCGCAATGCAAGTCAGGACCTTCAGCAGCAAATAGCCTCCTAGGTCATTACTTTATTCCCAATTCCACCATGGATCATGAGTATTCACGCGACGGTATTCAACTTATCCAGACCAATAAGTCGCAATCTCGCGTAAATCTCCCAACAAGGCAGGAGGGTTATCAAGACCAGGAAAATGGCCACCTGCTTCGTGGTCTCTCGCACAAATTTCAGTCAGCCAGCTCGTCCTCAAAGACTCATGTAGGCAATAGAGTTAACTCACTACTATACAGGACCAGATTCCCAGTCTTTGCGACCACCGCGGGGGGCCAAAACCCAACATTATATTTGAACGCACTGAAGAGTAAAGGGGCGTCGTTGTTCGCTTTGGTGTACACAGTTGCGAAACCATTGGGGTTCTGTTGGTAAATTATAACGGATGAAGCGAAGCTCTCGGAGAGGTAGTAGAGAGAAACACTGCGAAGGATCTCATTGTGGGTGAGCACCGAAGGCGATTTTCCTGCGTTGGGGTCGGACCCTACAAATAATTCTCAGTCGTTCAACTGCATTACACTCTGGATCGACCGCGAGGATCAGTGGATAAATGAATTTGCTCACAGTTGACAAATTTCTCTCCTATCCAGGCAAGCTGGCCAACTGGGTTGTCATAGAGTGCGAGGCCGATTGTGTTGGCCTGGTCATTCTTAGGCAAAGTTCCGTGACAACATTGCTAGTGATCGTTTCAGAGATTCATTGTACATACCTTGGTGGTCTGTTCGATGAAATAACCCTCGCCTGAATTGTTCCACTCTATTGCAGCGGCCTGCTCATATTCCTCCAAGGGTGATAGGGTGATGTTCTCAGCAGCGAGCTGATCCGAAGTATAAGGGTAAAAGGGCAGGAAGTCTAGAGAAACTGCGCGAACAGTACTGTTGAACTGAGCGTACATGCTGTACGCAATACCTGCACCCCAGTCGGTTCCAAAGGTGGCATATGTGTCGTAGTGAAGGACCTTCGTGATCAGCGTGTTGAAAACACGCGCTGTATCTGCCGCGGTCCAATTCACGGGTGGCACAGAAGAGAACGCAAAGCCAGGCAAAGAGGCCACGACCACATCAAATGAGACCTTCTTTCCGGTTGCTGTGGTTGTCTCCTTTGTAAGCTCTTTGATGACGGGAGCGAACTCTAGGAAAGAGCCGGGCCAGCCATGGACGAGAAGCAGGGGGATGGCATCTTGAGCCTTCGACCTTTCATGGATAAAGTGGATTTTCAGCCCTTCAACTACGGCCGTGTAGTGGTTGAATCTGTTGAAAGTCTTAGTAATACGCTCTCATTGGCTGGATGTAAAGACACACTTATTCAAGTCCTGTTGCTCACGTTTCCAGTCAAAGCTGTTTAGCCATTCGGCTCGGAAGCTCTCCAAAAGACTCAAACTGATGCCCGCTGAAGTCCCTGTGTTGATGTATACAGGGTGCGCAGGTAGCTCTGTTCCCTTGATCTGGTCGATCATCTGAGGCACCCTTGATGACAGATCTATGTTGAATGGCTGCAACTGATATCCAGCCTCCGATGGAACGGGATTTCCCTGGCTGGCCTCGTAGAGGCAGCTCAGAGCAAGCAGTTTCGCCCAAGACACGCGCATATTGAACTTGTACTTTTTTCTTTTCCTCGAACATTCGGAATATGGGTTTAGGTCAGAACTGCAGTAGTATTTGTACCCCTCATTGCTCAGTAGGAAATTAGCTTCAAAAGTTGGTAAGCTGGCTTTACAAATCATTGAATACATGCATCTTGCAGTATCGTAAGCACTAAATTCTCCACTGCGGTCTGTAGCTTGGCCTGTCCCGTCCCCTTCTATATCAATATACGAATCTCGTTACCACTTTCAGCCTCAAGGTCCGGTAGCGTCCGCACTCACAGTATGCATTGAGCTTGGAGGCTGGACGGGACAAGACATAGTTCGGGTAATTTCTTGGCAACAGCCCGGCCGACCCGATCACCCGGTCGTCCTAATCACCCTAAAACACTATACTACATACGAATTTTCAGGTGCCAATATATCAACAACGAAAATTGAATATCTTAACCTGATGCTTAGTATGCAAGAATTTTCTTACACTAGAAGTGCTCTAGTCTAACTGGCATACTTATGAAATGGTCATTTACCTGCAATTACTCCCCGGTCGAGCAGTGTAAATATGTAAATCTATGATCCAGCTATGGTGCAAAATATATCTTTAGCTAATAAGCACACCAAGAATAATATATCTAATACTCAGATACCCTAGGACCATTGAATTGGCCTTAAGCTTTAAGATATCACTTTTTGAAATGTCGCCTTCGCCTAGTATCGTGTTTTGGGGCGGTCGGGATCGGATGATCGGGTCGGCCGGGAACTACGTTAACCGACAATAATCACAAATTGCCACGGTATCTTAAATTCTAGGTTCTCTGTCCAGCTCAGTTTAGTTAGTATTTATAAGCATTCCGCAAGAAATATCGACAATCTTGTGTCCTTCCACTGTGTTTATTAATGTTGGCCCGTTTTCAATAGTAATGATGCGGTCACACGTGACCTTCTGGCATCCCGTGACGGTGGGGAGCTAACCTCTTGTCTTCCATCCATGTTCACTAATCCTGTAAAGTGTACCTTTTCAGAAAACCAATATTATCATTATCCATTGACATCGTCTTATTAAGAATAATCATGTGAAAAGGCACACCGCGGCATTCCTAAACCAGCCAATCTTAAAGGGCGGTCAGTATTCCACGTGACTTGGTTCAACTTGGTGGGCCATGTCAGGCAGAATCCTAAGGCGGTAGGCAAAATCTTTTGCATTCCGAGATTTTCAACCTCATGATCCACGACCTTCACACCCATCCATTTTCCACCCATCTTCCCCTGTGTTTACACGGCAGTGATCCTTTGCGTGAGCCATTTCTCAAAAGATTTGGTTTCTGAACTCCGTTTCATCTCCCTCCACCTACAACTATCTACACCGTCACAATGGCTGAGGAAACTGGTGTCGCCTGGCCCATCGCCGATGAGGCCCTGAGCCAGCAACTCCTGGACCTCGTCCAGCAGGCTACCAACTACCGTCAGGTCAAGAAGGGTGCTAACGAGTATGTCTATCCCTTGTGCCATATGCTCCTAGAGTCATGCTTTATTGGCCATGTCACTCTCCATAGAATAATGGTTGCTAATCTTTTTTTTTCTTCTAGGTCCACCAAGACCCTGAACCGTGGTACCTCCGAGCTCGTTGTTCTCGCTGCCGAGTAAGTCTTCGCCGATACTCGACTTGGATAACACTCCCATGCTAACGTATGTTATAGCACCACCCCTCTCCCCATCATTCTCCACCTCCCCCTTCTGTGCGAGGACAAGAACGTCCCCTACGTCTACGTTCCCTCCAAGATGGCTCTTGGCCGTGCCTGCGGTGTCAGCCGTCCCGTCATCGCTGTGTCTATCACCACCAACGATGCCAGTGAGCTCGCCAACCAGATCCGCGCCATCAAGATCCAGGTCGAGCGTCTCATGATCTAAGCAGTCGGTCGAGGCTGGGGGTTTGTGGAGGAATACTTCGAGTTAGGGCGGGGTTTGAGGTTTGCATTCTGCTGTGATGGTGATTGCAAGATATTTTCCGAATAGAAAATATTCGCTTTTGGTTGCTGTACAGCCCCGCCCTTTGCTGGTGAAATCTTTAGCTAGGTTTTTCTTCGGCTCGAGGCATAAAACTCAGATCCTTTTTGAGAATATTCTTTTCCATTTGCCGCGAGTGGTGTAGAGATTGCCGGTGGCTACATAACGTAGTGTATACCACGTAAGTGTACACTTGGTTGAGGGGTAGGTCCAGAATGGTTCGAGAATGACTGCAGATCTGAGGCATAGAGTTCTCTGGTGGAAGTATAAAGTATAATGGGATGCTACCCCGTAAAAATCGATCCGATGGCTCATACAGAGTCACAGCTGAAGGATGCATGTTTGTCGACTTATATAGGTGACCTGACAAAAGCCCTGAGCTTCCAGCCGATCGAACATCACCCACCAAATTGGCCGTCCACCTGCAACTGCGGCGACCAACATCACCAGTTGGAGCAGCTTCGACCACAGAGAACAGCGTGCACCCGCTTCCCTTTAATCAACTCTGCCAATTTGCGTCTGTAAAACAGCTGCCCCCTAAGCCGGCGTTTACCCGAACAGATCGACCAACGACTGCCGAACCTCTCGACCCGCAATTAAGCCTGAGACAGGCTAACAGGAGGCTAATTCATCCCCAAACACGACGGTGCCAGGGGTCCGTCACAGACAGAGCAACATGAATGGATCACGACCCCCCAAAAGGAGTCGATGGCGCGTAAGCAACAGGCCACCAACTCGCCGATCAAAACATCAATCAATGTCAGACCGGTGTCTCGGGTCCTCTTTAACCCTCCAATCTCAATCCTATCTCCGTATGAAGCACCCAAGAATTGAGTCTGCCGGCAGAGCCCACTCGTCTCGAGTCCGAACGTGCGCTCCACACCAGCGCTACCAATCTACTCTATGAGTCTATTCCGGCCGACGCTATTCAGTATTCTGGTCTGGTGGGTCACCATGTGGAACGACAGCGACCAAGCTAATGGGGCTACGGTTCGCCTTGTGTCTCCTTGGCCCGGGGCTCTGGAAGCTTTTGGGTTTAGCGTGCACAATATACCCGACTGAGGTATATGGAAGAATCTATTCCGTTTTTTGTTCCTGGCCTACTCCGTTTTGGAACGGGGCTGTCCGAGGGCTTGAGATATAACCTCCGGCATCTCCTCCGACCTTGTTCGAAGTCCAGGGGCCTTCTTTCCTTGGTTCTTCCTACTCATCATAGCATTCTTTTTGGCATCTTTCTTTTGTTTATTATACTATTCACTCTTTCACCATGATCTTCAACGCTGCCCTCCTCGCAATCGGCCTGGCGCCATTGCTGGCAACCGCCCAACTGTCCGGCTCCGTGGGCCCGACAACCTCCTACACAACCAAGGCAAGCAACAAGATCTGCAACGTCCTCAACTACGGTGGCGTCGCCGACAAAAAGACCGATATTGGTCCCGCCATCACCTCGGCCTGGAGCGCCTGCAAGAGCGGCGGTGTGGTCTACATCCCGTCTGGCGACTATGCTCTCGGATCCTGGGTCACGCTGACCGGTGGTAAGAGCACTGCCATTCGGCTGGATGGAACCATCTACCGGACTGGCACTGGCGGCGGCAACATGATTTTCATCGAGCACACCTCGGACTTTGAGCTGTTCAGCTCGACTTCCAAGGGTGCGGTGCAGGGCTTTGGCTATGAGTTCCATAAGAAGGGATCCTTGAGCGGGCCTCGGATCCTTCGTTTGTATGAGGTGACGGACTTTTCAGTCCATGACCTTGCTCTGGTTGATTCCCCGTCCTTCCACTTCTCCATGGATACCTGCGAGAACGGCGAAGTGTACAACATGGCTATTCGGGGCGGGAACTCGGGTGGTCTGGATGGAATTGATGTTTGGTCCACTAACATCTGGGTCCACGATGTAAGTATAGTCTATCATATGGCTCTTCTTGCTTTCGATCTCGCTAATCCTTTCTCTAGGTCGAGGTCACCAACAAGGACGAATGTGTTACTGTCAAGGTATGATATGCACCTTGTCTAACGTCCCCATTGCTTGACTCAGATATCTAATCCCTGCATAGAGTCCCGCCAAGAACATCCTCGTCGAGAACATCTACTGCAACTGGAGCGGTGGCTGCGCCATGGGCTCCCTCTCGTCCGACGTCGATATCTCCGACGTCGTTTACCGTAATATCTACACCTGGTCCTCGAACCAAATGTACATGATCAAGAGCAACGGCGGTAGCGGCTCCGTGTCCAACCTGGTCCTGGAGAACTTCATCGGTGCGTCCCATACTACTCCCCATGCCCAACCCCCAATCTAGCTCAATCAATACTAACCACCCCCTAGGCCACGGCAACGCCTACTCCCTCGACATCGACCAACAGTGGAGCAGCATGTCCACCGTCGACGGCGACGGCGTACAACTCAACAACATCACAATCAAGAACTGGAAGGGCACCGAAGCAAACGGCGCCCAGCGCGGACCGATCAAGGTGAACTGCGCCGCCGACGCCCCCTGCACCGACGTCACGATCGAAGACTTTGCCATGTGGACCGAGTCCGGTAGCTATCAGAAGGAAATTTGTAACAACGCCTACGGCTCGGGTGCCTGTCTGAAGTCCGGTAGCGGCGGCTCGTACAGCACCACGGTTACTGTGAAGACTGCCCCGACCGGATACTCTGCGGCGACGATGGCGGCAGACTTGAAGACTGCCTTTGGTACAGTTTCGTCTATCCCGATTCCTACGATCCCGACCTCGTTCTACCCTGGTGCTACGCCGATTAGCGCTCTTGCTGGTGCGGCGAAGACGACTTCGACTTGTTCTTGTGGGAATTAGGAGAGGTAGAATGGCCACCGGGGCAATGTGTATTACATAGTCTCCTGAGTTTTGTATCATTTTGTGACATTTCTACTTGAAAGTGTCTTCAATATTCTATCGATCGACTTGTGCGATGGTAATTTCGTCTACCTCGATAATCTTGAAGAGACACATGCAACTAATACAGACGGGTTCAAAATCAAATATCACACAACATTCACAAGAAAAAAGCAAACTACTACTAAAGTAGGTTGTCAACAGTGCCTGATCAGGTAAATGGTAAGTTCCCTTCCGTGGCTGCCCCTTCACCTTCCCATCCCGCCTTAGTTACTTAGTGAGGGGGAAAGAAAAACGCCCTGACGGAACCCCGTCCGTCGATCACGCCATAGAAGGATCCAATCGAACACGAGCACAGAAAGCAACCCAATACAAATCGAAGCAAGGAATGCGCATTGATAGAGTTTACGACGTGCCCTTAAGGGACCCTGATTCGACAGCCCGCCCTTGATGCAGAGTCCACGCCGCTCGCGACGTTACAACGGGAGGATCTAGGGATCCCACGTTGAGCGGAGCCTCGCATCAATATAAACACGAAGAGAGAAGACCGGATCTCAGGTTAATTTGTTTGGGTTTCTCCTTTTTGCACATCTGGCACTCACAATCGTAGCCAGCCATGTCGTCCACAAAATCACCAGCCGACGAGCCCACCGCGCTCGGGTCAACACCCGCAGACGGCGACGCGACCCCGCCAGACTCAAGCCTCGATACAGCCTACAAAGCCAAGGCCGACAGGCTGAACCGCGCCATTCAAGACATCGGCATGGGCCGGTACCAGTGGCAGCTATTCGTGGTGATCGGATTCGGCTGGGCCAGCGATAACCTCTGGCCGATCGTGACTTCGCTAATCCTCCCACCGGTGGCATACGAATTCCACGCCTCAAAGCCACCCTTCCTCACGCTAGCGCAGAACATCGGGCTCCTCATCGGTGCCGTATTCTGGGGTTTCGGGTGCGACGTGTTCGGGCGCAAATGGGCGTTCAACCTGACCATCGGCATCACGGCGGTATTTGGACTGATCGCGGCCGGGTCACCGAATTTCGGTGCTGCGTGTGCATTCGCGGCGCTCTGGTCTGTCGGTGTTGGGGGCAATTTGCCGGTTGATTCGGCTATTTTCTTGGAATTTTTGCCCGGGTCGCATCAGTGGCTTTTGACGGTTTTATCGGTTGATTGGGCGTTTGCGCAGTTGTTGGCTACTTTGGTTGCGTGGCCGCTGTTGGGTAACATGACGTGCGGCTCGGAAGAGGGTTGTACGAGATCGAAGAATATGGGGTGGCGGTACTTTTTGATTGCTATGGGTGGGCTGGCAATGATTATGTTCGTCGTGCGCTTTGTGTTTTTCACTATCTTCGAGTCGCCCAAGTATCTGATGGGCAAGGGGAGGAATGCGCAGGCAGTGGATGTTGTGCATGAAGTAGCCCGCAGGAACGGTAAAACATCGCCGTTGACTCAGAACGACCTTGATGATTTCGATGAAGGCGAGTCGCATGGTTTCACGGCGAGCAATATCGTCCGCCAACGTCTGGACAAGCTTCGCTTCCAGCATATCCGAGCACTATTCGACACGCCCAAAAGAGCGTACTCAACCACTTTGATCATCCTCGTCTGGGCCTTTATCGGCCTCGGCTTCCCACTATACAACGCCTTCCTCCCATACATCCAACAGTCCCGAGGCATCGAATTCGGCGACGGATCAACATACATCACATACCGAAACTCCCTCATCATCGCAGCCATGGGTATCCCCGGCTGTCTTCTCGGCGGCTTTCTAGTCGAGCTCCCCCGTTTCGGACGCAAAGGCGCATTATCGAGCTCCACAGCATTGACGGGTGTGTTCCTGCTTGCATCAACAACGGCGAACACATCGAATGCCCTGCTAGGATGGAACTGCGCCTATAACTTCATGAGCAGCCTCATGTACGCCGTGCTGTACGCGTACACTCCAGAGATCTTCCTGACGAAAGATCGTGGCACGGGGAATGCGTTGACGGCAAGTGCTAATCGTATCTTTGGCATTATGGCGCCGATTGTGGCCATGTATGCGAATTTGAACTCTGCTGCGCCGGTGTATGTGAGTGGTGCTTTGTTCGTTGCTGCGGGTATTCTGGTTGTTTTACTTCCTTATGAATCCCAGGGCAAGGCGAGTCTGTAAATTATTGTGCATGACTTGATTCAAAGATACGTTAGACGCGATCCTGCAGAATTCATTAGCGGAGAGGTCAACGAATAGATTCTGTTCGATTAATCAACTGTCGAACAAATTCAGGGCAAGATACCGCTAGACCAAAAATTGCACTCTAGGCTGCATTCTTAGTCTATACGGCCTTCTCTTAATTCTGACATCAACTAATGTTTTTCCAGTAAAAACACAGCGAGTAATTGAACTTCTAATCAAATATCCCAACTCGTTCCTCTGACGCAGACTACTCTCTACTAATGCGAAAATTTCTATAGCCAAGAAACGCGATTGCTAGTTTCACGATACACCTCTTATGCTAGTTTAGCGTAGTTAGAGTATTACTATCTTCTAATTGGGATATCGTGTATGTAATTCAAAAGTCCGAGTCTAAAGATTAGAGAAACAGACTAAATAGATATGCTTTGATCACTCTTGGTTGAGAGCCATCTCTAATTTTCTTTCGAATTATCTGTCACTGATGGCATAGATACTATTTCTGTGGTCTATCGTTTAACTCGTGCACTGCTAAGCTGATTTGGCAAATTTGGCGGGTTTTCAAACTGATAGAAACCCACTGTAAAAGATATTAATACTATTACCACGGTAAACCGGAGTCAGAGTGTATCGTCGCTTTAGCAATTCTCTACTGATGCCTCCAAGTATGTAGGATTTTGTTATTCGCACAACTCACTAGGCCGAATCTTGCCACCTACACCTAACTAGCCGTGGCTGAGTCAATAATACGAGGGCCAAGAAGCTCACACAACAGTCTGGAGAACTTGGATTCCCCCAGTCCACGAATCTCTTCGCGACCATATCCAGCTCTTTCAAGGTCACAAGAAAAACAGTAAACATGCTGCCACCTTCTTTCCCTAATGAATTATTATTCTTGGTTGCGGATTTTCTGGAAAAAGAAACCGACCTCAACTCCTTGGCTCAAACAAACCCGCGATTATATTCCCTGATCAATCCATACCTTTACCGGCGCTATTATGGGCAGCCGTCCGAGGAAGCGAGGGGACTGCTCGAATCTGTATCTCTGAAGGCGCGAACCTTGAGGCGATTGATAAATTTAGTGAGAGACCTCGAACACCGCTATCCTTGGCTGCGTTGTATGGCCAAGAGGCAGTGGCCAAGTTGCTGCTGGAGACTGGGCTGGTGGATCTGGAGTCAAAAGACCGCTATGGCGATTCTCCATTATCCCTAGCAGCCGGTAAAGGCCACGAGAAGGTGGTGAAGCTGTTACTGGAGACTGGGCGGGTGGACGTTAACTCAAGGGGCTTTTATGATTAGACGCCACTGTCTAGTGCAGCGATAGAAGGTCGTGAGGCGGTGGCGAAACTCTTGCTCACGACTAATGGAGTAGACGTGGGTTCGAAGGATAACGATGGTTACACGCCTTTGTTCCTAGCGGTGGGGGTTGGCCACGACGGGGTAGTGAAGCTTTTATTAGAGAGTGGCCGGGTGGATGTTAACTCTAGGAAGTATAAGGGTCACATGCCACTTCTCGTGGCGGCGTGTAATGGCCGAGTCGATGGTGAAGCTGTTACTGGAGAACGGACAAGTGGATCTCAATCCTAGGGCTTCTGATGGTCACACACCATTATCTCAGGCAGCGTCCCGAGGTCACGAATCGGTCGTAAAACGGTTACTCGTGACTGGTCGAGTGGATGTCGACATGAGGGGCTTCAACAAGCATTTCACGCCACTGCTATGGGCTGCGTATAGGGGCCAAGACTCGGTGGTGAAGCTGTTACTAGAGAGCAGACGAGTAGATATCGACTCAAGGGACTATGATGGTTACACGCCTCTATCTCAGGCAACGTTAGGAGGCCACGAGTCGGTAGTAAACTATCACTCGAGACTGGTCGAGTGGATCTCAACATGAAGGACCGCAGGGGGTCATTCTCCATTGTCCCTAGCGGCATGCGAGGGCCACGAAGTTATAGTGAAATTGTTGCTGGAGACTGGGTGGGTGGATATCGACATGAAGGACTTCGACGGTTGGACACCACTGGCATGGGCTGCGTTTATGGGCCACGAGGCAGTGATAAAGCTGTTGCTCGAGGCTAGGGTAGATGTCCACTCTGTGGATTCGGAGGGTAGCACGCCACTGTCGTGGGCTGTATCGGAAGGCAATGAGGCAGCGATGAAGCTGTTACAGGAGGCTGAACAGGTTTCTGGACAAAGACAAGAGTGTGTCAATATTGACAGAGCGATGAGATGCAGTATAGTATGACTCTTTTCCGTTCTACCTGCCTACCTAGGTAGTCAAGTGTTTAAGTCAATAACGGTCGCCCTGGTACAGAACTTTCGATAGTCAAGGGGATTGGCAGGGTTTGTGCAGCTGTCATTGAAAGTCTATCATTCTATTTTGAAGCGAGGCGGTTGACGACCTAATTCTACCTAGCGTGTCGTTCGAATACCATGCACGCCATACCTCTCAACTCGGCATGACATCATCCATCCAACAACCACGCCCGTGGATACACAAAATAATCCCAGACATTGTAGTCTGCACAACCTATCACCTTTCTTTCACTGGTCCAGAACAGTACTCACAATCCCCCCGTAGCCAGAGGCATCAATATAAGAAACTTCCACTTGCACCATAATGCCCCCACCTTGCCAACGTCCCCGGAGAATTTCAACCAATCGCGCCTTTGTCGGTCATCAACCAGCGATGAGATCAACGTTTTGTGGATACCCCAAGGTACAACAATACGTCAGATCAGCTCGACTGGATCCGATCCGGTGGCTGCCATATCACGGCGATGATGTTGGGATGTGGTCCTGTGCGAGGGTCGTCAAATGAGTGGCGGTTGTTTACTGGTTGTTCCGCATGGTCCATATGACAGTGTGGCTTGTAGCCTTGTATGTGGGGTTGTTGCATCTTAGACCGGGCATTATATCATATCTCATATGAAACTGGAACCTGTTTCTATCCCAGGTTTGGGGGCTAGGTAGGGGATATAAAGGGAGACACGATACTGTAGTGGCTGGCCATCAACAATTCAAGTCCAGTCCCAACCTGCCACGTACTTCAGATAATAACATCCATCCATCCATCCATACAATTTCCATCTCTATCATCTCCTCAAAATGTCCCAGCAAAACAGTATGTCTCCCATCAAATCCCTCACGTCCCGTCCCAATTTCAACACCCCACGCATCCCCCCATCCATCTACTTAATCTAACCATATCCTCCCTCCCATATAGATGGCGGACTCCTCGGCGGCCTCGGCGACACCCTCGGCAAGACTGTCGGCGGCGTAACCAACACCCTAGGCGACACAGTCGGTGGACTAGGCAACACGGTCGGCGGCGTGACCTCCGGTCTTGGGGACACCGTGTCGGGTGCTACTGAGGGCCTTGGCAATACTACCAAGGGAGTTGGTCAGGGTGTTGGACAGGGTATTTCGAGCGGTAGCAAGAGTATTGGTGGTCAGAAGCAGACTGCTGAGAACCCGCTTGGTTTGAATAAGTAGGTGGTTATCTATGAATGGGATGGCTGGTGATATATATTTTGAACACGAGGGGATGGACACGCTACATAACCACCGAATAGGTTGGCACAAGAGGGTTTATTGATTTCTTTTGATGTGTTAATAACATGATTATGAACTTCCATTTTTTTCAGAACTATAAATTTTTGCCCAGGGCTCCATGTTATTATGTCTTGTGGTCCGCTCTCACTCAACTATGTTTATATCCTCTCATGTTGCTGAGTTCTTCCCTCCCCCTTGCACCAGGATCGAGATCCTCTCTCGCATGATTTGTCATCAAAAACAGCTTATTTGTGACCCCTTATATAGCGCTTTCTGGCCAAAGAGACATCAAGACAGTTTGGCCGAGTGGTCTAAGGCGCTTGACTAGAATCGGATTCAGATCTGAAGTTATCAAGTCTCTTCGGAGGCGGCGGTTCAAATCCGCCAGCTGTCGTTTTTTGGTTCGTTCAAGATTAATTTTCAATTATCATATTTTTGGTGGCTGAGAAGAATTTCGGTGTGCCGCTAAGCGAGTGGGGGTGTGGGGCGACTGGGGGTTATGAATGGTTTTGGTGGCAGCTAAAGGACTCTTGGACACTGGAAAAATTTGGAGCTCGATGGGAAATTGTAATAGATGAAGAAGATAACAAAATCACTAGGAAATTGACTTGATATGGAAGGAATAGGTTTCGGAGATTTTTTTCGGTTTTATCCCCCTCTGGGCCTTCCGATAGGGCACAGGAGAATTCTATTGATCCTAGTCGGTGTCCCTCCTTACATATCCGGACATTGCTCTGTAAATAGAGATCAGAACCTCTCGATAGAGTATGGAATTCGGAAGATTCCACAATTTAGGCGTTTCAATGTTTTCGTGGGGAAAAATAGCTAAGGTTCGTTCCTTCAAAAGGATTGGCTTGATCTTTACCGTTAGACACACAAGACGTTGTTTCTGAATCGAGCTCTTTTGACCTGATTCTCTCGGTTGTATTCCGTGGTCGACGAGAAAGACGAGGGCAGTCGAATCTCAATCATGATCCGTAGTTCCAATCCGCTCTTCCGTATTCCTGGGATGGTTAGAACTTAGTAGCTGTTCAAAGATCTCTTTACTTCGATCGCTCTTCTCATCATAATATGCCTTCAACACAATCTGTATGTTGAGGACAAAGAATACGTTTTTTTCCCCAGCATAGTACATATGACTTGATTCGAGGCCCTGCTTATGGCTGAACATCTTTTCTACATATCCCTTCAGCACCACTAATGGTCTTCACCCGATGAAGAAATGCAATCTTGCAGCTTGGCTGGTGGACCCATAGCGTTGTTCAAGTTAGCAACACTAGCAGACCATGGCAGTAATGAGTCTTGAGAGACTAAGTTTTATTAAATCAATTGCCATAATAGGTAACGTGTTCCAATTTGGAGTGGAATGTGGGGAAATGGAAGACCGAAAGAAGGTTTTCATGCAAAATTGTCGTTCCGACGGAGCCGATTATGTCGGCCGAAACCACTGTCGAGTCATACAATGACCACACTTGATCATAGCTCGATATGAATTCCCGTTCACAGAGAAAGCATTGAGAAAGTACTGGTTGTTTGTTGAATTTAATCCCTCACTTCATATTTCCCTTGCCATTCAAGTCGTGGTGCGTGGCCAATATGCCGGCGACAGAGAATACGTCACACGAGTCTGACTCTTCAACCGCGAATGATTCACCTCAAAAACCCAACAAAAGCTCCAAGATGAATCAAAAGAAACTATCGCCTCAAAAACCTCTCACAAGACAAGACCAAGGATGGCGACGTGTCGTCCGAAACTTCACCCCCTCGTTTGTCCCCCATCGCCTTATCTCGTCAAGTAAAAGCTAACGTAAGCCCCACCAGATGGTTCTCCGTAACGATGGGCACAGGCATTGTGTCTATCCTGCTACATAACCTACCATACAACGGAGTTTGGATCTATTGGATTTCTGTCATCATCTTCGCTCTCAACGTTCTCCTGTTCAGCATGGGGTGTATCATGAGCATTCTACGATACACGCTGTATCCGGAAATCTTTCGGGTGATGATCACACATCCAGTGCAATCAATGTTCATCGGAACATTCCCTATGGGGCTGGCCACGATTGTTAACATGTTTGTTTTCGTGTGTGTCCCGGTCTGGGGGAAGTGGACGCGGTATTTCGTATGGGGATTGTGGATTTTTGATGCGGTGATTTCGGTGATGACTGCATTGTCTTTACCATTTGTCCTGTAAGTCCACCCCTGGACATATCTTCAGAGCATCTGTTTGCTAACATGGAACAAGGATGGCTCGTGGAAGTGAGACCCATCTGTCGTCGATGACAGCTGTCTGGCTGCTTCCCATTGTCAGCTGCATCGTGGCTGCCTCTTCCGGTGCCATAGTGGCCGAGGTATTGCCCAACGATCAGTACGCACTATGGACTGTGCTGGCGAGCTATGTGTTATGGGGAATTGGCCTTCCACTGGCCATGATGGTCATGGTGATCTACCTGCAGCGTTTGACACTACATAAATTGCCATCCAAAGCAGTCATAGTCTCCGTCTTTTTGCCTCTAGGCCCGCTGGGACAAGGCGGATATGGGTATGTTACCGTTTCGTATCTCGTGTGAATTCGGCCTAATCTTTTCTTGGCAGAGCGATGAAGTTGGGTCAATGTGCTCGAGAGATCTTCCCCAAGACGCACACCCTCGAGCAAGCCTCGGGTCCGACGTTCTACACACTCGGATTTCTTATCGCTTTGATTCTCTGGTCCTTTGGGTTGGTCTGGTTATTCTTCGCATTGGCCTCGATCGTGCGATCCAAGAATTTTCCATTCAATATTGGATGGTGGGGCTTTACATTCCCGCTGGGGGTCTTTGCGTCTAGCACTGTTCAGATGGGAACGGAGCTGCCCTCGAGGTTTTTCAGTGTTGTTGGGACGGTGGGTTATCAATCTGATAATTCGAATTTCGGAAGAATCTGCTGGCTGACTGATTGTAGATTATTTCCCTTCTCGTGGTCATTATCTGGATTATGGTGAGTGTCGGTACTCTTCGAGGTGTCGTGTCCGGGAAGCTCTTTGTTGCTCCCTGTCTAGGGGACCTTCGGGTGGTAGAGGAAGACAAGGATATCGGAAAGGCAGCATAACTGACAGGCCTTCTAAGCTTTGTCAAATCGAAAAGTAATCATTCAATAGCAATTATCATAGTTCATCTATACATCATCCTTTTATCATTCCGGGATATCCTCTGTAGACTTTGGTCGGGTACCCCAGACAAGATCACGTGACGTGGAGAAGTGCTTCGAAATTTGAATTTATTTTTCGGATTTTTATTTTATTATTTTATTATTATTTTCCCTTTCGCCCATCGAAGAAAGATCGAGCCCAGCGTCATCCACTTGGTTCCCCGATCGTCCCAACTTATCAGTGTCCGCTTTTCTCGCCAGGGCACACCAGCCAGGGACATCGGACTCGGTCAGCGCGCGTTGTCCTGCTCTGCCATCGCCGTCCTCTCCACCCCCTGAATCGCCCTTTCGTGTGCGCCTGGCGATTTTTCGTTCTTGCGCTGACTGGCACAACTCGGTCTCCGTAGCCGCTAGTCCTGTTTAGGCAAGAACACCTTGTCGTGTGCCTGAGCCATCTGGCATCAACCGCCACATTGCCGCCTGGACACTTAGATACCTGGACACCTTACTGCCTTGGTGCCTGGGTGACTCAGGCCGCCGGAACAACAAAACACGCGGCGCGACTCCAGCTGGACGTCCTCGAAACCGCAGTTACTAGTTGTTGGCTGGCCGCGCGACCACTGCTCAAAGTCGGCTGATTATCGCATCGTAAATTAGATCGGTAACATTTTCGCGACTTGGGATAGCGGTGGTCGAATGTGCCGCGCATGACCAGGAGGAAAGCCGAACCCATTCCAGTCTTATCGAGGCGCCGCTTACGGTAAGGGTCGAGGCACCACCACTTCATTGAAAATGATGGGATACGGGGGTCAACCGTTTCACCATCAACAAGCGCAGCAGCAACAACAACAACAGCAGCAGCAGCAGCCACAACAACCTCATCAGGCATCGCATGTTCAGCATCCGCTGGCCCCGCAGCGCCAGCATATTCCGTCTCCATCATTGGGCGCCGCCCCAAATTTACCGCAACATGGAGGCAGTCCATTCCCCAGTAACAAGACTCTGTATCGTGCGGGTCCATCCCAGCAGCAGGCATTCTCAACAGGGCAATCGCCTGATATGCGCAAAATGGCTCCCACATCATCGAGTCCTTTGACCGGTTACCCGGCCGCGACTAGCTATGGGCAGTTCCCCGGTCAATTTGCGCAACAGACTTCTCCAGACTTCATGTCTCGCCCAGACTTTATGACTCGTAATTCCGACCCGATGGCCCTGCAGAACTTACAGCGTGGCTTCCAAAATCCCATGGCCCATGTCCGCGCAGGGCCAGGAATGAGTCCTTCAACTATGGCCCAAGGTCACGGCATGGGTATTCCATCGCCTCAGCAGTCGTTGAATAGGCTGCCTCACTCGGGCATTCAGCAAAGAGAGAGTCATTCGTCTGCCAGTCCATCTATGGCCAGTCCTTCAATGTTCGCCATGAATCAGCAGCGCCAGCAGCCGCAGTCTCAACCACAGTCACCTCAGCAAACGCAGCAGCAATTGCAGCAATACCAGCAACAGAGGCAGCAGCAGCAACAGCAATATCAGCAGCAGTACCAGCAACAGCAGTACCAACAGCAACAGGAGCGTCTTCAGCAGCAAAGGTTGGAGCAGCAACGACTCGAGCAACAACAGAAGCAACTCCAACAGCAGCGCCTGGAAGAGCAGCAGCGCTTAGAACAACAAAAACAGGAGCAGCAAAAGTTGGAGCAACAGAAGCGACTCGAACAGCAACGCCAGGAACAACAGCGACTCGAGCAGCAGCGTTTGGAACAACAACGTCTCGAGCAGCAGCGTCTAGAGCAACAGCGCCTTGAACAGCAACGTCAGGAGCAACAACGACTCGAACAGCGGCGCCTGGAGCAGCAACGCATAGAGCAACAGCGCCAAGAACAACAACGCTTGGAGCAGCAGAAGCAACAGGAACAGCAACGGCTCGAGCAGCAGAGGCAGCAGCAGCGTCTTGAGCAACTGCGGCTCGACCAAGAACAACAACAAAAATTGGAACAGCAAAAAAAGCAACAGCTGGAGCAACAGAGATTGCAAAAGTTGCAGCAGCAGACCATGGCGCACAACCCATATCAGCAACAGCAGCAATCTCCATTCTCCCAACACTCTCAAATCCCTTTCCATCAATATCAGCCACACGCTCAAGCTCAAAATCAATACACGCAACAGCAGCATCAGTTCCCTCAGGCTCCGCAGCAACCTCATTTCGCCCAACCTCAACAGACGCAATTCCAACACTATCAACCCCCCTCACAGGCATCAGTAGAGAAGCCTGCCAGACCCGCTGCGACCGCTGCTCCATCTGCGCATGTGCCTGCGCCTAGTGGCAACCAGACCATCAAGCCTGAACACCCGAGTCCCGCGCCAAAGAAGAAGTCAAAACCTAGACAATCAACAGCTGCCCAGGCTTCAACTCAACCTCAGGTTACTCCTCAGTCTCAGCCTCAGGTCCAAGCTCAGGCCCAGCATCACGTTCAACACCAGGCTCAAGCCATACCAAATCCTCCTGCGCCCGTTGCGGCAACGACTAGCGCACCAATGCCGGCGAATGGACAAGTACAACCCCAAGTAGGTACCGCGACAGCAGCCGGTGGTGTACCTCCTGCCGCAGGGGCTCCCGTAAAACGCAAGCGCGGACGGCCACGGAAAGAGGAAGTCGCAGCCAGACAGGCCGCGGCGGCCGCAGCAGCCGCGGCAGCTGGTCTTCCTCCTCCACAACCTGGACAACCATTCAATGCAAACATGGCGTCTTCATCTGCTGGAACGACTATTCCTCAAGTTCTGACTATCGGTCCGGATGGAAAGCCGCAGCTTCCCAAGCGTAAACGTGGTCGTCCTCGCAAGGCTGATCAGATCGCCTGGGCGGAGTTGACCGGTCAACCCCTTCCACCGCCGAAACCAAAGAAACCATCCGCTGCGAAGAAACCCGGAACTGGGCGACCTCGTGGTAGGCCCCGCAAAGCAGATGTGGCTGCGGCGGCAGCGGCTGCTGCTGCTGCCGCTGCCGCCGCCGGTAATGGTGACGGTGATAGGGCACAGGGAGAGACCAAGCCTCAACCAAGCGACAAGGCGGACCCGAATGGCGCTCAGAAGCGCTCAGCGCCCGTTGACGATGACCCACGAAAGCGACCTTGCCCAACACCTCCATACCCTCAACAAGGTCAGCCTCAGCCTCCAGCTCAGCAACAGGCACAACAATTGCCTGCCCAGAGTCAAGCGCATTCGCAACACACTCAAGCATTACCGATGCAACAGCAACAGCATCATGGACTTGCACAAGCGCAGCACATGCCGCAGCCAGGACAGCACATTGGACATCAGTCTGCTCAGCATCTTCAACAACAGCAGAGCCAGCAACACGCCCAGGGTCAGCAATTGCCTATGCAAGGTGGTCACCCCATGTCCTTGCCGCCACATATGCAGATGCATCAACAGGCTGGCGTTCACCCTGCTCGGCCATCACCAGCTCATCCATACATGCAAAATCAAATGCCGTCGATGCAGTCTCCGATGCAGCAGTCGCCAATGCAACTTCCTCAACCGGTTCATGGACACCCCTCCCACCCGGGTCAGCACCAGCAACAGCCTGTGCAAGGCCAGCACTTTGCTCAAAGTCGTGCTCCCGCGCATCAGCAGAATCGAGCTCCACCGGCGCCAGCACCGCAGCATCAGCACCAACATACATTCCAGGTTCAGCTCCAACCTCAGACAACCTAAACTCTCTGCTGGGTGTGCGATTCGCTAAGACGGCCAGGCTAGTGCTGTCTGATGCTCTCATGTTATAATACGATTGGCTGGCTTCATTGCTTTTATTCCAGCATTAACCCTTCCCTTCTCTGTCATGGCACTGGGGTACGCGTCTCCATGTTCCCCGCGTCGATTCCCCGATTTCTATATGCAGCCGTTTTCTGTTTCTTGTCTCTATTTTCACCCGACATCTGATATCTGATATCACGGGCATGGCCAAATCCCCCTTTATGAATCTGATTTCTGGATCCGAATTCGGTGGTCAATTGATCCTGTATTCTGTGTCGTTTTTGCGATTTCGCGTGCTCTTGTTATTTTATGTTATTTTCTATTGTTCTCTTTCATATTATGCAATGTCTTCCCTCCTCTTCATCGTTTCCTGACATGATGGGCATTTTGATTTGCAATTGCGGGTTATTCTTGTTCAGGTCTTTTACTCGGGAACTTTGCGGACCTTTTGATTCTTGGCTTTTTCGTTTTGGATGGTTGTTTGAGATACATATTTAATGCTGTAGTACATACTCCTAATTCATGGGCTATTATACCAATCTCAAGTAATCGAATATATCTCAGAGCAACTTTAGAAAGCCTGGATTGGACCGGACGCCAGCGATAGTCGTAACATCATGGATCTACCATTCCCCCTTCCGGGCTCTCTTCTTACTGCAGCCATCATCCTCGCCTTTGGCGTGTTACTAATGCCAAAATATCGAGGCGTAATTCAATGTAGCACATAAAGAACAGACCAGTCAAAAAGATCAAAAGACCAACCTAAAAGGAAATTCATTCAAGATCATCAAAGTCGGATACCTCACATCCAACACAGACTTATCATACAATGATCCGACAATCACCCACTTAAAAACAACCTTACCTACACTCCATTACCTTCAAAATCGAGTAAATCCTCCAATCCCTCCATTCGACTCCCATCATCCACACTTCCCTCATGCCCACCCTGACCTTGACCAGGCCCCTGACTCTGACCCTGACTCTCTCTCTGCATGTTACTCACATCCACACCCGCACCACCAACTAAACCCTCCGCCCTCGGCCAATCCCTCAAATCAATCTTCAGCGCTGGCGCAAGTCTCCTCACCACACCATCACACAACAAGAAAGCCCGTCGAGCAGCAGGGTCCACAGTCGCGAGGGTATGAATGCAATGCAGCGCTTTCTTCGACTGGGCGATCACCGTCTCGATATCTGTATCTAGTAATGCCAGTGCATTCGGTATTACAGGGTCGGAACCTGATACAGACACTGATGCTGAAGCCGAAGCCGACTTGGAATTTGAGTTTGAAGTCGCCTTGGATTTTGAGGTTGATTCCGAGGAGCTTGGGAGGGTGGTTTGATCGGGGAAAGACACGAATGATAGCGCGAGCAGTAATGCCGTGGTTGCTTGCATGATGAAATGTAATACGCTCCACCAGGGCGTTATGCGGACGAACCATGCTATATCTGGGTTCTCGGGGAGAATCGAGATAAGCGAGCATGCAGCCTGGAGACAATCTGTTGCCATATCTGTTCTCAGTTTTGCGCGGTGATTCGCGTCTGGGGCGGGTGGGGTTGTGGTTGCTGATGATGACGATGGTTGTTGGGGGGAGTGTGTCTGCGAGAGACACGGTCTGCAGAGGATAACGCGAGCGGAATAGTAATTCATCGCTAGACAAACTCGTTCCCTTGCAAATGGCGCAGTTTGATCATCCAGTTGAGCATGGTTTAAATGCCAGGGTCCCGCGTCGGGAACGGTGAATTGATAAGGCGGGGGGACTTTAGCGAGCCATCTATCCATGCGAAGAGTATATTTTTGCAAGCGGTATTCTGTCACGCTGGAGCCCTCGCGGATTCCCTCAATGCTGTATATTTTGTTCAGGACAGCTTGGGTTATCAAAGCGAGGTCAGTGAGGTGGTAGAAGAACAGTGCCGAACAGGGCTTGCAGTCTGCCACCCAGGTTGGGCCGCTTTGGAGTTGGGTGGGTGTTTCGAAGAGGGTTGGGCGGAGCTGAGCTTCGCGGAGGGATCGGTCTTGTAAGAGGCGGGCGATGTCTGGTTGTTCGAAGAGTTCTTCTTCGAAGGGGAGTGGGGGTGGAACGGAGCAGAGGCCTTCTCCTATGCAGGAGGCTCGGCCGTGCATGGAGGTTAGGAGGTACTCTAGAGAGTAGATGGACCACCATAGTCTGCAGCGGGCTTCTTTGGAAGCGTCGTGTGTTCGACCGTCTGTAATGTGAAGGTTTGTTCCGAGAGATAAGGCAGAGCGAAGAGCCATGCTGGAGAATTTAGATGCTCTGTTTTTATGTTAGTATGTCTTTACTCACGTAGATGCAAATGCAAATGTAAAGTCAAGGAAGTGCTTGCCATACCTGTTGACTTGACCCAAACAAAGCAAGTACACAGCTACCAGAAACTCCAACTGAATCTGCTGCAGATCGGTATGCTCGAAAAGGACATTTTCGTGCAGACACAACTGCCGCGCCCGAGTCAAATACACGAGTCCATCTTCCCAAGCACTCTCCGTACCAGGATCAAGGAGCTTGCAGCATCGACAACCAATAGCAAAGATCATATTCAAGATCCCGAGCCATTTCCGCGGTGGCTGCGTCGGTTTACTGAAAAACTGCCGATACTGGCCCGTGAAGGTCGACTTGCGCAGGACGCTAAACGTCGGATGAACATAAGTCATATACGCATCGAGGTATTTATCGGCAATTTCGCGCGGAGGCACAGTCATTGGATCGGATTCATCGCTAACAAGGGGGATATCCAAGTCATCGAGATGATAATTCATCATTGCGATGGGGATATCACGGTCCCACTTCTCCTGCGAGGGAAGTACAGCTGCCACTGCGAGTGGACTCTGCGGCTGTGATACTGCTGCTGACGAGCCTGATGTCGACTGGAGACGACTCCCAGAATAGGAGGACTTTTGCTCGATATCATCCTCGAGTCGTTGCATCCATGTGACCTCGGAATTCTTGCCGAAGAATCCCGCTGCACGAGTAGTCTCGTTGCGATTTAGATCCTCCTCGACTAGATCGACAGCTTCCAGCGATCCGACCGAGGAACTCGAGTCCGAATCATCGGGATCGTCCTTGTTTCGAGTCGAGGGTTTTTTATTCTTGACCTGGGATGTTAAAGTAGATTTGTTAAGCCCTGTACATAAAAGCGCGGGTCCAAGTGAAAGACGTGACTGGAATGATGTCGAGTGTATAGTCGAGAGGTGCAGTGGTATAATACTGGCAACACAATACTTACCTTCAACGCTTTCCTGATCCTCCGCGCTGTGGGTGCATCAACATCCCCTTCCAGATCGCGAAGCAAAGACTCATACCGTTCAGCCCGTTTCGACAATAACTCTAGCATCTTCTGATCGCGCACGCGTTTCACATCCTCGAACACACATCGATTATTATGATACGCACACTGGCTACACGTGGGTCGCACGCCATCGCATTTAATTTTACGCTGTCGACAGGGCTCACACGCCCGTGCTGAGCGTCGTCTTCCCCTGTACGTCGTTGGAGGTACTAATCTCGGGATGGGCACCTTGTTGTTGTTATTGCTGGCATGATCGGTCGGGGCTACGCGTTGATGATCTGTGTTCGTGAAGCCTGTCGGGACCATTGGTGGTGGATAGGATGAGTATGACATCTGTGCATTTGCGCTTTGGTTTTCCACATGAGGATGGTCGAATGAGAAGATCGAATTCGGCCCTCCTCCAGGATAGGACTGCGCTGTTGAAGTCGCGGGGGCTTCACTCAAGGAGGAAGTAGTGGGCCAGTAGGAGCCAGCGACGGATGAAGAAGTGTATTCGGGTTGGCCGTCGCGTGCAAATGAATCATTCGGGTTATGCATGGGCGGTGGTGAAACAATTGCATCAAGAGGATAATATATCCCAGGAATGAGAAGAGGAAGATGATCGATCTGTGGTTTTTGTTCGGGGAGGGGTTTCCCAGAAGAATTAAGAATTGTTTCTCAGGTGATATGCGTCTGCGACCGATCTCAAGTCATACTTCTCGCATAGTGGCGACCGGCAACTGGGTCAGTAACCAGATTCAAACAGGTTTAGACTGTCAGGGAGCGACCACACGGTCGGTATCACCTCAGCCTTGTCTGAGCAAAAAGTGAGCCCCATAAGACGTACTGTAACTGAGCATCCGGCATGACAGATGGGACAGATGGGACTGGTACCTTTGAAGGAGCCAAAGGACATGCAAAAGGTGGATGTGGTGAACCCGTGGATGAAGTGGAGGAAGCGTGGCGGATCATCCGCGAAGCCGCTGAGAGGCCAACGCCAAACTCGTTTGACGTCAGAAACTCCTCTTGGCCTCCTCTTAACCAGTCCAGCTAGTGGGGTCCGATACATCAATCACCTTGGCAGGATGCTGCAAAGGATCGTTGATCGTCTGGAAATTCTACAAATCGCGACGGGACACCTGATGAATGTGATATCATAGCTGAGGCGGAGTTGACCGCCATAACCGAACAGCCTAAAGTGTATACTGTTACTACTATACTGTAACTATTTTATACAATATTGTATGGTACTATTGTAAATTTCATTTGTGGTTATTCAACCCCCTACCGTGATACAGTCCTCCTCCTACTCCCCCTCCTCTCCTTAAAAACCTCATCCTTCCCCAAACTCAAACTCTCATACCGATCCAACATATCCGACAATCCCAACCCAGGATACTCTTGAAGACTCTGTGTATCCCCCTCCGTAATCCCATGATACTTCTCATCCTGATCAAGCTTCTCCAACCCCTCCGCATACTCATCAAACCGACTATGTCCCTTCGCCGAAGACTCCTCATCAAATAACTCCTTCAACTCATCCGGAATAGAAGTCGCATCACGAATACGACTGCCCTGTGCTTTAGCCCGCACAGACTGGCGGAAAATATGGAATAAATTCCTGCCTAGTGCTGAGTGACTCGCAACAATAGAGAATGCGCTTGCGAGGGAGAGGAAATCCGGGTCCATGACGTCGAAAGAGTCTTGTTCTAGCATTGTGAAAAGGGCGAGGTTGATGGCGTACATGGCGAAATGATGGGCTCGACTAACGCCGAATTCGCGGCGGTGGAGACGGGTGAGTGAGGCGATGTTCCGAGCTGCTGTTTGGGCGATATCCCAGGCGTTGTACTTTGATGCTGGTTCGGGGGTTTGTCGTGGAGGGCTTTCTGGTGTTTTGAGGCCTTCGGTTGTAGTACTTGAGCGTCTGTTGCCGGAGGTACAACTGAACAGATTGATGATCAAGGCGTTATACCGCAGCCTGCAAGATAGTTAGCCGAGCGTTCGTAGATGAGATGGTGGATGCTATAGACAGTACTGACTTTAGCAGGATAACATGCGGCGGCACCTTTTCCCAGTCAAATATTTCCGGTAAGAGGTCATCCCATCGTCTCAATCGTTCATACAATGCATCGCGACTCTGTCGTTGCAGCGGCTTCAAGTCACCCTGCTCACCTGCAAACATACTCCGCGAGATATCCCGGGAAATCGTGGACAGATTGCACATCTCGTCAAAGTAGAGATTCATATACGACGGTCTCGTATCTCGGTGCGAAGGATAAGGCATCCACAGAGACTGGTCTTCGAGGTGATCGCGGTCGATGCGTGGCATATTGACATGGTTGATGAGACTGGGTCGGAGGAAGCCAGTATGAACCATTCTTGAGAAGGCGTCAGTGTAGAGCTCCAGTGCATCTAATATCAAACACTCACGTATCAACATTAAATAACCCCCAAGCTGTGCGTCTGCATGACGAATCCATCTCCTCTGATAATTGCTCCGAGGTGATTCTCGGCCCCGTATTTCCTACGAGGCCAAGCGATTCACCCATGCGAATAGCTTCGTGAAGCATCATATAGCCCAGATCATCTGTACGGGACATGGAGTATCTATCGTTATTGTTAGAAATCCCAACTCCGAATCAGTCACAAGGCGGATCATTCAACATACCTTTCATACAAAAGCAGCGTCCCCTGCAACGAGGCCAGACTCGGCTGCATAGGCAACTCACCCTTCAACCTCTCAGCCTCAGCAAGGAAATCACATCCCTTGGACGAGATATCCCCGGGGACAACATAAGCCTCGGAGAATTCCGAGAAATACTGCAAAAAGAACATCGTCAGCCAAAATTCACACACACCACAAAAGCTCAGGCCAAACCCACACAAGCATTACTCAACAACGCATTCACCAAAAACGGACTACAAAACTGACTCCCCAAATCCCCATTCCCCATATGTCTCAAAAAAACCCCCTTATCCAAAAACGAATTAAACGGATAATCCCACGTAAAATAAAGCGACACCAGATGCGAAACAAGATCACTATCCCTCGTAACATCCGTCCACGGCTGGGCAGGGACATTAATCGGTGCCTCATCACAAAGATAATGGATATCCATAACCTTACTCCGAAACGCGGGCGTAGTCCCTTCAACATTAATCAGATTCCGCATATCTTCTAACTTGGATGCAGCCTGGGCTGCGGTCGCGCTGGACGTTGTATCCAGCGTTGAAAGGGTTTCATTGATGAATGTGCGGATTTCGTCCGGGGAGGCGTTGTGGCGGATTATTTCTAGAAGGGAGAGGGCTTTGGATTCGTCTGCTTCGCGGACGAGTTGGAAAATGTCGTTTAGGAGGTCGCGGTGGTAGGAGAGTTCGTCGGCTGTGCGTTTTGCGGCGACGCGGCGGCGTTGGTCGAGAGATTCGTCGAAGATGCAGACTCTTTGGAAGGTGCGGCAGTTTTCGCAGGGTGGGGTTCCAGAGCACTGAATAAAGAGAGGCTATCAGTATTATTCATTGCTCATCGTATATACGGAGGCACTAAAGAGAGGTTCAAGTAAGGCTTGGAGATGGGGTGATTGCCCACCTTCCGCTTAGACTTTTTGCAAGCAAGACAAGCAGTAGAAACCCTACTCTTCCACGAAGAACCCGAACTCGAAGCCGAAGCAGACGTCGCCGAAGACGAAGGTTTAGCCTCTTCATGGTGTATACCGTTATGGTAAAAATTTGGCGAAGGACGCGGAACGAGTTGGCGTTGATCAGTCATGGCGGGACATTAACGGTCATCGATGTACAAGTTCGATATGTATGTGCTTTGTGTATGTATGTGTGGCGAGTATGCGTATGTGCTTTGTGTATGTATGTGCGGCGAGTATGCGTATGTGCAAAATGAGTATATACCGAGCCCGTGGCCCTGTACTGCACTGCACTGTATGTACTTCCAAGACAGTCGTCGATTTGGGATTTGACGTGGAGTTGGCTTCGATTCGATTTACAAGATATTCGCAACGGCGACGGCGACGGCAACCATAACCGCAGATCCGCAGATATAAATCAATGTGCAACAGGGTGGCTATCGCAGGCGATGGATGGCCATCAATTCACGATGATGACGACGGAGGCAAGAGGCGTTGGACGTGCGAGTAGCCACAAGATTAGATAGCGTAGCTGTAGACGAGGCGACAGTGTACACGGGGTGGGTAGGGAGGTAGGTAGGTGTAGGCGCGAGGCGCATGAGATAGAATAGAAATCAAGAATGAGAGCATGAAACGAATACGGAAGGTACTAATAGCTCGAATCTCAAAAAGGAGACAAGATGCGGCAGCAGTAGATAACCAGTTAACCAACAAGTAATTCATAATTCATACATCAATTCCAACCAACCTTGCCTACCAGGTTAACAGGGCTGAGTTGCAGTCCAAAAACAAGGTTTAACGTATACAGGACATAGCTACAGGTACATCCCCGTCCCACCCAGCAGCAAGCAACAAGCAACACCTATACAGTATATGGAAATTCGACAAATCAAAACCAACACCACCCAGTTCACAATCACAGGATCGTGGCACAAACCCCCCCATTCCCAAAAGTCCAGAACCACATTGGCAAAAAATCCCATTACACATTACACATTACACCAAATGACAAAAAGTTGGCAGGGGATCGACGTGAACTTGAAGTCATACGGAACTTGCACCTATCCAATCAAATGGATGCGGCTGATAGTCCCGCCCGCACCCAGCATCCACACACCATAAACCGGGATTGGATACGCTAGAGAAAGCCCTGTGCTTGTGCTGGGTGAAGGAAGTGAAGATTCAACGCCAAGCACGAAATAACAAGGGTCTGATCTTTTCTTGTCTTGTCTACTGTAGTTTGATCTGTAAGGTAAAGAGCTAGCTAGCTAGGGTGGAAACCGGGCAACAACCAATTACTATACACCCTGTTAATCATGGTGATAGTTCGGAATAAAAAGCCGGGACTCGTACGAGATGAAGAGCTCAAAATTGAGTTAAGTGAAATGTGTGAAGCAAGAAAATTGAGATAAAATTGTTAGATAGAAGTCAAGTTACTTGCTAGTTATTGGAATGGAAAGCTGTCCTGTCTACGGAGTATACTCCACAGACTTCTTGGGCGGAGAGCCCAGGAGAGAACAACTTAGTCTAGAGAAAGAGCTTAAGGGTCTGGCCAGCTCGGACAGGGCTGAAACAAGTGCTATTCTAGCCAGAATTCGACCAGTGACTACAATCGATAATCTTTAAACACAGCTCCAACTGAACACTCCATAAATAGACCGGCGAGATGCCATTACCCACAGTACTGGCCCACACTGCACTGAAACTAGTCTCGGACATCTTCCAGAGACCATATCCATCCAACTTCCAACCCAACAAATCAATATGTAATGACTCTACAAATCGGACTTCTAATCTACTGTTTCAATAGTGATGAATTTCATCAGAGAATGGCAGGATGGCATTGACTCGGAAAAACCAGGGCAAACAGTAGCACTTGGCATAGAAGAAAAAAAAAGAAGACCGCAGTCCCATCCCGATGCAGCCGACAATTAAACAGAAAATAAAAAATAAACAGACGCTGGATTATTGTAAGGTAATACAAGCACACATCTTTTTGCATACTCCAAGGAATTCCGTAGCCACGAATGCACCTCCCAAGAAGCAGAACAACGAACACAAACAAAATCCCAGGTTGGACGCATCATCCCCCACAACGCACATCACTTCCACCATATATAGGTCGAATCTGTCGATGTGTCGGGAGGAGGGCGTCCAAAATTACCGAGACAATGAAGAATAAGACACCATGGAGCGCGAGCTGTTTAGTGCTCCAGAATACGGAGACTACCCTGCACAACGCAGTTCTCCAGAACGGAACCCGGGGGAATATCGATGGTGCTGCCCTCGGTGGCAACGATGATGACCGTACCCTTAAGGGTGACGTTGCGGCCCAGGTTGACGGCACCGGTGATGGTCAGGTGATCCAACTCGACAATGCGGGGAATAGAGCCAATGCGCTTCTGGAAGTCGGAGACCTTCTTGAAGTCCGAGCCGAGCTTAATGACGGGGACACCGCCGAAGCGGTTGGGGTCCATGACCAGCTGGCCGTGCTCCAGACGGTATAGATCAGACTTGACAACCATGAGATCGGAGCAGGTTTTCACGGGAAGGAAACGGCGACGCGGCACGTTGACACCGTGGGCGTTCTTGAAATGACGGATAGCGGCACCAACAGCAGTCTCCAGCTGGTAGATGGCCTGGTCGGCCTCACCCTTCTTGTCAGCGGGGATGGACTTCTCGTTGGCAATAATTTCCATCTCGAGCTCGTTCTCCTCAACAACACGCTTAATAGCGCGGACGTTCATCCAGATGTTGTTGGTGTTGAAGTACTTGAACTTCTTGATGGACTTGAACTCGTTGACGTGTTCCTTGGGAACCTGAGCAATCTCGAGCAGACGGACCTTGCCGTCCTGGTCAATGATGGTACCACCCTTGACGTCAGCCTTGGTCTTGTCAGTCAGCTCCATGATGTACTCGGCGTTGGAGTCAACCATGTGCTGTAGGATGCGGAGATCGACAACGGCACCCAGGTTGTCAGCGTTGGACAGGAAAATGTACTCGATGCCACGCTCGATCAGCTTGTCGAGAGTGCCAGAGTTGTAGAGAGACTCGAAGACGTCACCGTGACCGGGAGGATACCAGTCCTGGAGGGGAGCATCGAAGCTCTTGGGAGCAGGCAGAAGCGAGTCCTTGATGATACGGGGGTAGCGGGACTGGTTGAAGGTGATGATGTCGACATTGTGACCCTCATACTTCTTGATGATGGACTGGGTGTCCTGGTCGGTGTTGAAGGAGTTCATGAGAACAAAGGGAACGTTGACGTTGAAGGTGCGGTTGAGGTGCTCGATCTGGCGGACAGACAGATCCAGGAAGGACATGCCCTCACGAACCTCAATGACAGATTTGGGACCAACGCAACCCATGGAGGTGCCCAGACCACCGTTCAACTTCACGACAGCCAGCTTGTTCAGGAACTCGACCGAGGCATCGGCACCGAGCTCTTCGTAACCCACGACCTGCGAGGGCTGGGGAGGGGCGATACGCTCCCAGTTGACAGCGTTGCCCTTGGCCTTGTCGTTGAGGAAACGGCGGAAGAGAGCGAAGAAGTTGTCCATCTCAGCCTCGAAGCGCTTCTTCTCCTTGGGCTCAGTGACAGAGTCAGCCAGGGCGTTGAGCGCATTACGCATCTGTGAGGCAGCAACACTGGTGGAGGCATTCTCGAATGCCTGGTTGGAAGAGAGCTTGGTTAGTGCTCGTCCTTGGGTGGGAGTAGTAGTCATCTCGTCAGGGGTCACGATGCGGGGCACCACACGGGGGGTTGGCGGAGCGAAATGCATTGTTTCGCAGGGGGATCAATAGATTGGAAAGGGAGAGTAGGAAAAAGCTCAAGATTGCTCTCGACACGAAGAGAATGGGGGGAGGATAGAAAGTGTTCACGATGGGAGTGGAAAGAAGGGTAGAAGGGCAACAGAATCATAGGTGCAGAGTCATGAGGTCAAAGCAGCAACAAGGTTGGGCGTCCCGAAAGTGAACAGGCGGGCAAGCTGGTCGCTGTTTCCCATCTTCACGAAGAGCAGGAGCGACCCCGAGGGTGATCCGTCGACCGGAAGCAGGAAGACGGCAGGAACGAAGAACAAAAAGTGTACGTGACGGGCCCTCCTTCATCGATCGGTGTTTCCTGACGAGGCAGTCTCGACTTACCATGTGCGACTGGGTCTTTCCGTGGTGCTTACCCCCGAACGAGCCAGCAGGGGCCTCGTTCGCAGGAGCGCGGAGGTGGGTAGGGAGTGCCTTGGCGGCCATTGTGTGTTATTGAAGGAGAAATCGGTGGGAAAATAGGAGAGGATAAGAGATCGCAGGAATCGGAGAGTTGCTCTGAAAGGGGTGGCCAAGGTTAGCTTTGGGGAAGCAGCCAAAGTAAACAAAATGGATAAGTGAAAGCTGGCGCTGTGGAGATGGGGAGGAGGGGGGCTATTCTTTTATAAAGGTAAAAATTCCAGAGAGACAGGAGAGAAGGAGGGGTTGCCCGAATTGCCACAAGATGTCGATCAGTCGGGTAAAAAAGCGGCTTGCAGGATGTCGACAAGCTGCCGTCATTGGCAACGGGGCGGACTGGGGATTGGGTGGGATGCAGCTGGGGCGGGGGTTGGGAGAAGGATAAGAGGAATGTAGATGGATGGACTCACCAGATGATTCAATTCAATTGATTAGAAGATCAATTGATTGAATTGAGTAGAATAATGAGAGGGAGGATAAGGAGGAGGAGAGAAGAAGAGAAGGGGAGGTGAAGAGGAGAGTCGAGAGTAGTGGGGGGGGAGTAACGTGATATTTATTTGATTTATTCATGCCTTCATTCCGATACGAACAGACAAGATCCAGAACATCATCCACGACTCTCTTCTTCTCCGGACTATACTGCTCCTTATTCTCGCCTCCTTTCCCCATTATTATTCTGAAGAATATATTTAGTATTTTGTCAAGCTTTCGACCCATCTTTTGTATCCTTTTATTGAACAAGTGACCAAGTTATTCCTATTCTCTCTCTTCACTCTCCTTACTTCCCGCTGTCGTCAGCGTCCAGCCACTGGGACTCGCAGCTCCGTCCACGGGTCGGACCTTAAACCCAACGGCCGTGCAACCAGTTTGATTAACTAACATTACTGTAGTAAACTAGTAGCTAACACTCGGGTTCTTCTCCCGGAGCCCTTGGCGATTAAAGATTGAGATCTTACTATTAGGTCTTACTACCCTACTAACAATAAACACGCAACTGAGACATGACCCGTGTATCTAGAGTATCATCTTGGTACTCTATCACCAAAATAACCTCCAATCCCTCAATAATGCCTCAACCAGACCAACTACTAAAATTAAAAAAAAGGGACTTGTCAATTTATCCAGAAAAAGAACCAAATAGGGGGAGTGTTCCAGCCCAATTAAGAGGGGCAGAACACTCTCCCGTGGGGGTCGACTAACTACTGTATACAGTAAACATGGTCAAAGAGAAACCAGACCAACAGTAGTACTCTACCAATCTACCTACAGTAGTAGTACAGTACAAGAATAAATCCTCGTCTCCATATGATCCATGATCCATCCAAATCCAGAATGACAGCCAACATAAATCCCCAAGATCGAAAGATTCCAGACCTTTGTCTAGCCCAGCTCACTACTGTACATAGCTACAGTAGCAACAAGCCTACTCCGTTACTCCCCCTATTTCCTATTTCCCATATTATTCTTTTTTTCATTTCCTTTTTTTCGCCAGCTTCCAACTCGTGCATTATCCACCGGATAGTGGATCATCTCCTCTGCACGCCCCCCCGTTTCCGGCCCCACCGAGTCAAGTCACCGACCGGGTGTCTGGCACGGTGGTGTCTGTGTCTGTCCTGTGGCACTGGCACTGGCAGTGTTCCGTTGCAGGCTTAGCCAGTTGTGGTGCTCGCTCGGACAAGGTGTCCTCTTGGTTTTGCCTCAGGAAGACACACCGGGAATCTCATCATCTCGGAAAATCTGAGACCGCCAGGACCCTTTTTCGTGTGCGCGCTTGCCGATTCGCTATCGTTGAACGGCTTTCTCAGCTGGGATTAGACCCTCGTATACGGAGTATATTCGGGATCTATTCCGGATGATAGATAACTCTGCTTCTCCGTACAGGATCCCGATTCGATTCCCAAGGTCCCTATTTGTTCTGGAGATCTGACTCTAGACCCTCGAGCGTTCAGCCTCTACATCGCCATCAAGCATTGCATAACGCCCTTTTCTCCACCTTGGCTGGTCCCCGTCCTGTCGCTTTCACTGTCACCGTGGCTGTCTTTTGCCTCAGCTCTGTCTTGTACTAAGAATATCCTACAGGATCCGATCTGACAGATACAGCCTTACAGCCGTACACTGCACTGTAGTGATAATGCAGTGTCCGTCGGGATGTGATTGGTTTTGATTTACTTCCAATCTCATCCTCATCGATAAGCCGACCGAGTTGATTGTTCAGCTGACCCCTATGGAAATACGAATCTCATGTATACAACCAACGGAAGGCAGATTTGCGCTCGCGGAAAATCGCCTGTAGAACATTTTACAACTATGGACAGCAGTGCATAGACCTTGAAAACCTGCCAGAAACCACCAAGATTATCAAAACTGAACACCTGTGCAAGCCCCCATGTGGGCCGGGCAGCAAATTAGCCTCCACCAAAACCCAGACAATTTAGACAAAAACCAGAAATAACTTGGCCCTACGTAATTTGCCAAGAAATCAAAGAATCAAATGGGCGATTCTCATTAAATCGGTTGAATGTCCTCAGGTCGTCCTGTATTTAAGCGATTAATTTTGTCCAGTGTGATGGTGATTGCAATCTCAGACTGAAAGGGTCAATTGTCCTTTATCCTCTGTACTTGATACGAGACCATCAGTCTGAAATAGATGCTCAACTAATTACAGTGCTACTCGGTCCATTCATTTCCGCCGTGGAGCTTTGGTTGTAAATGCAATAAGAACAGGAACATTGTTTCCTCCCCATCCTATCCAAGGTACAAATTAAATCTACTTCTACAGTACTATTCTTACGTCCACGCCCAAAAGTCAGTATATCAACCTTCAAGCCCAGAACTCACAGTTATACATTTGAATCCAATTCTATCCTCATTCCTCACACTCTAATGGTTCACCACGGTGTACGGAGTACACACCCCCGGAAAATCTCTGCGGGCTCTCAAACCCCAAGCCCAACTTCAGCCCGGAATCAACCCCAACCTAACTAAACCCATCAAGTGGAATTCTAAATCCGAATTTTTCTCGTCGCACCACGGATCGCTCACATACAGTAGACTTACACCACTGAAAAGCTAAGATTTGATGAAAATCGCCGTCGATCATCCAAGCGCGACGCCGCGCAAAGCCAAATTACTTATGTAAAGTAGGGCACCAGCTAAAGGAGGCTGTGCAGGCAACGAAGCAAAATCTAGGGAGTACTCCGTACATAGTACATACAAGTTCGGCGGTAGGGTACCTACTGATTCCACTGCCAGTGCCAGATCTTGCTTGCTTAGGCAAATCGGTGGACGAGGGGGGCCCATGTGCCTGCCAGGCAAACTACGCGCTTAGCTAATTTAAAGATTTACATAACTAATTTTAAATTCGGGATTGGGCTGGGGGTTGGACCCCTATTGTTTTTTACATTGTTGATGTCATGTATCACGACTCTGAACTCTACTTACCACAACATAAATGTATAGAATTTAACCTACGACAACGCTCGCAACCTTTATAAGTGGTAGCCACGACCATTCAAGATAAATTGACAGGTATTCGCGACGATGATATTGTCTGCATGTTGTAAGACCAACGAAGAACCTCCAAGTCTTGAAGACAGCGCGACCCTAAAGCTTCAATCATCTTTCAGCCCTTTCTCACTCAACATATCATCTTCTAGGATACTTCTCAGCTCTACCGTATCTGGGTCATCTAACCCAAACACAATCTTATACCCCTCATAAGCCCGCCGAAGCGTCTGACGAGCCTCCACATAAACACCTTGATAATAGAAACCCATTCCCAACGCAGAAAGACTCCTTAGTGCATCTTGATCATTCTCTCCCCAATCTTCCTTAAATCCATCATAGGCTAGCTGAAACTTTTCTATTGCCTTCGTGAATTCCCCCTGGTGTAGAAGAACTTTGCCCTGGAAAAGATAGGCCGGAGGGTTTCCGCGTGTTTGGGACCGAAGGTTTGCTTGCAAGCTTGATAGAGCTGCTCGAATGTTTGTGCAGCTATTGCGTACTCTCCCTTCTCAAGATGAGAGTTTCCCAGCCAAGAAAGACATCGTAGAGTGATGGGATCGTTTGCTCCGCGGACATTCTTATACCCAATATACGCCTTTTGGAGAATTGGGCTGGCTTTTGCGAATTCCCCTTGCTGATATAGGGCCTCACCTAATGAGTAGAGAATCTTTAGTTCGTCTTCACTTGTAGCCCCATTGATCTTTTTATATCTCTCGTAGGCGTATTGGAACCTGTCCACCGCTTCTGCAAAGTCTCCCTGCTTCGAAAGAGTTTCCCCCCAGGCAAAGAAAGACCACGCCACGTCCAAGTTATCTGTTCCGTAGAGCTGTTGATATTCTTTGGGATGAAGCTTTACAGATGGTTTATTTGCTTTGACGAGTTTTTGTAGCTCGTAGAGAGCCTCCCCCATCGTACCATTTGATCGTTCTCTTGGTTGGCGTTGGCACCACCACTCTTCCGCTCAATCTCTTTATATCCCCTAAAGGCCTGTCGAAACGTTCTTGCAGCATTGACAAAAGTCGCCTTGGTCAACGAATGTGTCTCCTATCGCAAGAAGAAACCCTATCGTGAATGGGTGGCCTTCTCCCTTGACTTCTTTTTGTTCATCGTGGGCTTGTTGGTATATTTCTCGAGCATTCGTATAGTCACCTTGCTTTGCAAAAGCTTTCCATAGTCGATCAAGTACTTCAAGGGTATCTGCATGGGTTTTCCCTAAGAGTTTTACATACCCATTGTGAGCTTATTAGAATTTGCGCTTTCTTTGTTACGGCGGATGAAACATGATTCTAAAACATATGTTCCGAGACTTAACAGATTTGCTGCCGGGGCTGTGACTCACTTTCAGCAACAAATTATCATGCCGGTTACCTAGGTCCGTCAATCTCAGCCAGGCGAAACAATTCTTCGGAGATAGACGTCAGACCGATGAAGAGTAAATCAAGGAGGTATTGGCTTGGCGGAAATGTGGTGATAGTGAAAATACCACTTTAATAGTAGTATCATGATAGCGCAATAATAATACATCAAATTTTTAGATTCCATTAGTAGATGGATATAGTGATCTAGCAAGGTCATCTGCTCGCCTTCCACCACCCTCCCTCTAGTCCCGGGATGCACTTCCCATCATTCTTCCTACATATAGCACAGCCTTCATGCATCTTTATACGCCCACTCTGAGATCATCTATTCCAGGTTATGGCGGACGCGTCAAAGAGTCGAATCGGTACACGCTCCAGACTCAATGTTACCGTCTGAAGCACCAGCGCAATTTGCTTCACACGAATTGCCGTATGTGGTGCCGTTGAAACACACTGGTGCTACCTGATGTGTGCAGATGCATGGATCGGCTTGCACCATCTTTGTTGCGACAAACGCAAGGAATATCGCAGGAAGAAGTTGCATTGTTGTTGTTCTTTTGATGATACTCCTGTCAGCCGTAAAGTTCAACTAGAATACCTATGCCGTATGGGTTGGATAGTGAGGATATTATATTCGTTCCTAGTGATGTTGGTCGTAGTGACGAATGGAGAGGTAGTGTCAAGGAAATTTGTTTGTAGAATTTGTGGATTTGGGTGAGAAAGAATATAAATAATCTTATACTGTACGGAGTAGAGAGAGCTGAAATAGTAGATCACTTCCCGTGCTACCCTTTACATACAGAAGAACTTTTATTATGTATGTGCATAAGCCCTCGATCAACAATATGGCGTCAACCTACATATCAATTATTGATGTCGATCCACCAATAATCGCATCAGTTAAAAGGCAACGAGAATTTCTAACACTCTCGTACTACGGAGTATATTCCCCTTCGAGTATTTCGGGTCTTATCAGTCTTTTCCCGTGATCTTTCATTCTGTACTTCATGTTATAAATACTGCTGATTTCCTAGTCTAATGAAACAAGTTTGACATATTTTCTTGAGAGATCAGGCTGGGTGACCTAACACTCCACGTAGGCCAAAAAGACCACGATAGGTATCCTCTGGTCGCGGAGACCTATGACCCAGGAGCCAATACCTGTATAGTAGCGTACTGTAATATTGTCACCTTCATTCTCTCTCTCTGTGTACACTTTTAAGAATATACATATACTCTACTACAGTAGTCAGGGTAGAGGCCTGTCAATCAGGTAGAAGAAAGGTACAGTACTAAGTCAGGTTACTCAAAACCCATTTCTTAGAGGATCGAAGACCTCCAGGGCTGTTCATGGGCCAATTTATGTACAATCTTTTTTCCAAAATAGGAAGGGGTTAGCGGAAGATTAGGTAGGAGGGAGACACGAGACTGTAATCCAATTGGTAGGTACCAGCCCTGGCTACAGATAGCAAACATATACCAGAGAGACATTGCATTATATCCATGGAGAGAAGAAGAAATTAAAAAAAAAAACTCGAATTCAAAGAGTGAGAAAGAAAGAAAAAGAGGAAAAAGGATATCACATAACAAGACTCAAGACTACTCCCAACCTTGAACCAACAGGGCAATCATTTAGGTTAACTTAGCTTCTTCCAACCGTATCCAACCCACTCAACAGACCCATTCATCATAAAAGAATTGAAGTCCTCCATTGTATTCCAGCCCTTTACCCCAACCATACCCAGACAAGTGAAGCAGGCCAGGCCACTCACGCCCCACTAACACTCCTCTTACTCAAGAAGCTGCGTCTCGGCATCTTCCCGGCCGGACTATCCCCCTCATCGCCCCCCGCCGTAGAATGCGAAGTCGTAGGCCTCAACCCCGCCGACTCAGGTGCATCAAAACTCGACCTAACAACGACAGACCCAGACCCAACGACAACGGGCTTATCGACACCCGCCTCAGATCCCTGATCCGCAACAAGGAAGAATCCCTCGCCAAGGACTTCGTCCGAACCAAAGGTTGAATGATCCACGACACGAATCTGATACTGCGAGCCTGCAGTGACCTTGGGAACCTTGAAGGATTCATCGTACTGCACGCCGTCGTCACCGGCCTTGTGTGCCTTGGTCTTGTGGACTTCCTTGCCGCCCTTGCTACCCTGGACGCGGACGATGACGCGCAGGTTTGCGGAGGAGGGGAAGCCCGAGGCTGAGACTATGGTGATATGAGCGGTACCTGTGTCGCCGCGGCTACCGCCGCCGAAGACAGAGAGGCGGTCGCCGTAGATAGATGCCGTGCTGCGGTTGCGGGTGTGTTCCTTTTGTGGGGTTGAGGGCGTGGGCGGGGTGCTTGTGCCGTCGACGAGAGCTACGGCGGGTGTATTGCGGGTGCCTTCGACGAGGGGTGCGCCGGAGACGAGGCCGCCATTAGTGGGTTCTTCGACGGCGCCGTCGGCGAGGGAGGCTGTGTCGTCGTCGGCGTGCTTGTCTTTGTGGAAGCGGCCGAAGATCTTTCCACCGATGGAGGTGGCGCCGTGGGCAGCGCCGCCGACGACGGCACCACCGACCTTGAGGGGAACGCCGCCGATGGTCTTGGCTGTGCCGCCGACCTTGCCGCCGATGCCACCGACGAAGGTGGCCGAGCCTTGGCTTAGGCGCATCACGTAGTCGGGCTTGAACAGAAGGGTCAGGTGGATAGTGCTTGGCTGGCCGTTGGTAGGCGGCTTAGCGTCCTTTGATGGGTTGATGAGCGTGACCACGACTTCCCTGGGCTGGAAAGGCTCGAGAGGCTCGAGGTCGACCAGTGCCTCGCCGAGACGATCATCACCGACACCACGATCATAGTCCCACACTTCGACACGGAACTTGGAGTCGATACGGGTCTTGATCTCGGCCTCGAAAGCCTCGTTCCAGACTGGATTCAAGTTCTTCTTGATAACTTCAGTCTTGTAGATGTGGCGTTTGTCGTCATCACCAATGAAGAATCGGCAGTAGGGGTCACTCTTGCCGTTGCTGTCGGCAATAGGGAGGTTCACACCCTTGTTCACCTTGACGTGCAGTTTACCCATATTGTTGATGCTTTCCCGAGGATCCAGCGTCATCCGAACGGGGATGTAGCGAGCGCTGACAGTAATCTTGCTAAGCTCGCCAGAGTTGGACCGCAGCACCAGCTCCTTAGGCTCGTACAAGATGTGCTGCAGGGTTGTGAGGGTGTTTCCGGTAAGCTTGGCAACGGTGTTTTCCTCGCTCGACTCGTGAGGGTCGTTCTTGTGAACCAGGCGGAGAGTCATCTTGGAGAACTCAAGTTCGCGGATAAAGGCCTCGCCAACATCAGTGGAGTTAAGAGTCTTGGAGTGAATCTTGGGCGAGGTATACGCGGGGAACATGTAGTCGTCGATGACAACCTCCAGCTGGACGTTGCTGTGAGCAAACTCGCCATGGTGGAACTTGAACACGACGAAACCAGACTCTGTAGAGCATGGTTAGTATATGCAAGGATTTTGAATGGGGACACGAAGGGTAGCCATAAGCATTAATCACAAGGGAACGTCTCTTACCATATTTAGGAAGGTCCTCCTTGCTAAGATCCATCTTGGGAATCGACGCCACCGACCTCACAGAGGCCACATCCGAGTCCTGAGTCAATGGGCGAGAGGCATTAGTCTCCAGGCTAGCCCGACCATTAGTAGTCGGCTCGCCATTGGTAACACCATTAGTCGTAACGCCATTGGACAGCGCCTTGGAAGCCTTGGAATCAACGCTCGCAGACTTGGAATGTCCAGGTCGGGTCTTGGAGTCCGTACTCTTGCGAGGCGTATCAGTACCGGCAAGCTCGCCCTCTTCTTGCTCCTCCGCCTCGGCCTCGTCTTCGGGGTTAGAGACGGGGATAGTGGGGTAGAAGGAAACGGTATAGTTGATATGACCCTTGAAGTTGCCCTGTCCGTAGCGCAGGGGAGACGTGACAAGTTGCTTCTCGTCGTCAATCTCGAATTCGCCAGTCTCGCCCTCACGAACGAAATCAGCGGCCTTGAGCTCGACCCAGCCGAGAGAGCGGTCCTTATTGATTTTCTCTTCGTCCATGACCTCAACGACCAGCTTCTCGCGAGAGCTGCGAATAGGTACGTAGACAACCTCGTCCCAGACAGGGTTGAGGTTATTCCGGAAAGTAACGGTACGGCCGCGGGTCAAACCAGACAGCATAATACGGGCATAGGGATCAGACTTGCCCATAGCCTCGAGGTTACGCAGATCAGTAGCACCCTTGAAGTGGAAGCGCATCACACCGATGGGGTCAACGTAGCCAGCCCCACCGGCAACACCGCTCAAAGCGACAGGCTTCCACTGCAACTTCAGCTTGGCGCGTCCTTCTTTGACACCGTGCAGATGGAACCAGTCCTTGCCCTGTTCCATCATCTTCATCATATCGTTCATCTTGATCTGGTAACGTCCGATGATAGGATCAGCCATGAGATCGCGGTCGTCCTTGATGATCAGACCCAGACGGGCGTTCTTGCGGTCCGTGACGAGGAATTCCTTGGAGGCATTCTGGAAAATGGGGTTGTTGGTGCGCTTCAGCTTGTTGGTGATGTGGATTTCCTTGCCGTTGAGCAGCAGCACGGCGTACGGGTTCAGCTTGCCAACAAAGCTCTTGCTGCCATCCAAATCCTTGGCTTGCTCGACGGTGAATTGCGCAATACCGGTGTTCATCTCTGGTGGGGGTTCCGTCTCGCCGGACTCCAGCTTGCTACCTTCGAGAACGGGGAAGAAGCGGATGTCGGCTTGAACGGCACCACGGTGACGGCCGCTAGCCATAACTTCCAGGTAGATACCCTCGTGCAAGGGTTCATCCTCGAGCTTGCTGAGGGCGAAGGTGGCGGTTCCCAGTTCCTTATCCTTGCGGTACTCATTCCAGTCGTAGGGTACGATGGTCAGGGCGTCGGAGAAACCAGTGATAATAACATAGATAGTCTCGTTCCATCGGGGGCTGTCGGTATCGTGCACGGTCTTGGTACGGCCCAGCTCGGTGCGGTTGTTTAGCGACACGACCGCATACGGGTCGGGAGTACCTGAGAACTTGTCCGGGTTCTTGAGCTGGTGGGCACCGTGCAGAGTCACGGCAACCACACCAATTGCCTGGTCGACGGGGTTGCCTGCAAGCATCTTGGCAATTTCAATGGGGAAGACGTTCGGGTCGTACATCATAGGTTGCAGGTTGTTGTGGATTTGCTCCTTGATGAAGCTCTCCAGACCGGGGATGAAGTTGATATCGAAGCCCAAGTGGTCACCACCAAGAGGCTTGCAGACGTAGTCGATTTCGGGCTTGCTCAAGAAGCAGACATCCACGCGCTCGATGTGGGGGAACGGCAGCTGGAGCTTGACCTTGACGCGCATGAGACCGGAGCAGGCCATGTCCTCAACAATGACGTCCAGACCCTTGCTGACCATACCCTTACCAACGCGAACCTCCAGAACAACCTTGGGGTTGATCTTGTCCTTCAGCTGGCGCGCGGTCAAATCCATGGTGTCATTAGGCGTGAAACTGAACTTCCAGTCCATGATAACGGTATCCGGCTCGGTCTTGGGATAAGTCTTGACATGCTCGAGGCGGGGCGGCTTGGTACCGAGAATGAATGTCTTGAGACGCAGGCTATCCAGGAAAGCAGGAGTCGAAGTGCTCAGAACCTGGTCGACAGAGTTGATAATGGTGTCGCACAGAACGGGAGCATAGATAGGCCAGAACTTGACGAGGAAGCTGTTGATCCACTCCAGACTCTCGGTGTCGGTCTCCAACCGCTGCTTGGACATTTCACGGTTAATATCATCGCGGAAGTTACGGCGCACTCGGCGAATAGAAGTACGGTAGTATGTACTACACGCGGCCATAATGAGCAGCACCCAGCCTATACCACCACCCAGGGCCGCAATGACCCACGAGCTCAAACAGGCAAAGACAATAATCGCGGCATTGTGATACCAGTCGCCGAAAAACTTATCGGGTATCCGGCCTTCCAAAAAGTCCTGATGGTCGAGTAGCGTGCCCTCGGCCTGTTCCTCCTCGGTCTTCTCGGCGTGAAACTTGGGCGCCCATCCGGTGCGGTCGCGAGCCCAGCGCATATCCTCATCTAGATTCTTTCCACCATTTGCGTCGACCGCATTGGCCTCTTCAGCCAGGATCGCGGTGGCCGAGCGGGGAGGAGGGAGATCATAGTCTGCTTTGCCGTCATTCTAGAAGGGAATTGTAAGCTTCGAGAAATCTCGCTGTAGACAACCTGCAAAAGAAACCAAACTGTGGCTCTTACCTTGTCTGTAATCACAGCCATGCCCTCAGGCTTATTATCGCGGTGAAGCCCTGGCGGCAATCGCTATTTCAGAAGCTGCAATTAGCATATGCGCGTTCACTCCGATCGAGAACCAATCGTTCTTGTTGCATCCTCGTATCTGATCGCTGTTACAAGACCTACCGATTCAGCGGCTTCTGCCTTAGCTTCGGGCGACGCATCAGGATCGAATTGGTATGCCACACCACCAGCCTCGCGAGTCTCTCTAACAAGGGCTTCCTCGATCTTGTCCGGGTTCACTTTCGATTGAGGATCCTCAGCCAACTCGGTCGCAGCCTCAATGATGCCTTCCTCCTTCAGCTCCGTCTTCTCCGCGTCGACGGACGCCATGTCGGCGGTCGGGGTATGTGGAATAGGGCCTCACACGGACGCGGGATCGTAAGGAATGTAGGATGCTCTGGGACCTGCAATGAAACGGATGAGCTTGTTAGACTTGCGCCGATTGAAGTTGGTTGGATGGTAGTATGGTGTGGTGTGGTCGGAGGGGAATCCGGGGATTGGATTGGTCTTGGTGAGGGGGAATGGGGGCCCGAGGGCGCTTACTACTCAGGCAGGCTAGGAGCTATGGTGGTTACACCCAAGATGTATGATGAAGGTTGAATTGAGGGAGAAAGAGGGGGGTTGTAGAGGAGAAAGGGAGGAGAGGAATGAATTGTCCGAGGTGGGACCGATCTGTTAGGAAGGGAAAAAAGAGGGAAAAGTTGAAGAACAGCAGAAGGCCGAGAAGGACAAAAGCAAAAAAGCAGCGCAGAGGAGCCAAAGCCCATTGGGGATGCAAATCGGAGGTCGGAGGGGGGAACTTGGGAAGGACTCGCAAGCCCAGCCGCTTGCGTCAAGCACCGCACGCTTGTGGCTGGGTACGCCCAGTACTTGATGTAGGACGTACTGTCGCCATTCATTACAGGCGATTACACTGATAGAAAGCAGAAGCTGGTAATCAATTCTAGAATACAGTATGCCAAGTATACGATAGATTAACCTACGCAATAATATCCTGAGTCTGTAGCCTAATCGATATGTAATTAAATCACTACCTAAACCTGGAATATTCAGCGTCAGAGCGCAAAGGGAAAAAAAAAGGAAAAAAGGGCAGCGATCGTCCCCGGGCGATCGAAGATCAGTGACGTCTGTTTTGTGGGCTGATGAGGGACTACTGTAACTAAATAAGTTGATCCTTACTCCATAGACTTAGTAGCTTAGAACAACAGGGGGTGAATTGTCCAAACCCTACGAAATAAAGTTGTATATAGAAGAACTAACTAATTAACTAATGAAGTTACTACAATGCTAGACAGAGCTACAATAGTAATTGTAGGAAGCTATCTAGCTAACTGGGTCACCCTCGGTTCAAGTACAGCCCGGGCTCCCCTCAGTTCTTAACCAGAGCTTGTACCCATGGTTGACAACTTCACATCTGAAACCCCCCAAATCCAATCTTGACATGAAGTATATCCCCTGCCAAGAAAGATTTCTATAGCTTTATACGGAATACTCCGTCCATACTCATAGTGATAGGGGCATTCTTAATTCAAAATCTGAGCTCAGTAATTTATTCCTTCCCACACTCTTTTCAACCCACTAGCGATAGGGGGGTCAGCCACAGCCACTAACAACGAACTATTCGATTCGGGTAGAATAGCACCGCCACACAATCGCCCATTCCACCGTATTCCTGCTTCGGGCCAAGACGAAAAAGGTACTGGCCAAGTCATAGCGTCGTCCACTCCTTTTTTCTTTCTGGTGGAGTCGCTGTGGCTGGGGCAGGGGAATCCCGATGGCCCCAGCCCTACAATAGCATACCAGGCATCAGCGTATTATCGGATGTACGAAATAGGGAGTAGCAAGTATAGGGGAAGGGGTACAGCAGCATTTATATTTATACCTCCTTTTCAATTTCATTTCTAATATGTTATATTCCAATCATCCCCTTTTACCACAAAGGAACACTCAACCCCCAGCAGCAAAAACCACACAAGAAAAAAACACACCTTCAATAGTCCTTCTCCCCATTCCCACTCGCATCCCTCCCATTGGGAGCTCACACCGATCGCCCTAACCCAGTGCCCACAAGTTGCCCAAATCCACCTGTGAAATTTTGACCTGCCAAATAAAAATTAAAATAAAAAGGCCCCAATTCCCAGCCCCTAACCCAATCAAAGACCCCGGAAATATCGTGGCACCAGACAATGGTTCCCGATGCCCGAGGGTTCGCCGGAGTAAAGTTCCTTATCTTCTCTAGGGCCTTTTGAACAGTTCCAGCTCCACCTATCCTGTGGTTGTGAAAACATCATGCATGTTCGAGTGTGACAGTAGGACAATGCATTGTATCTGTGCCCTTCTATATAAATGCTGCGACCGAAGAAAGCAGATTGGTTCATTTTTTACTGCTTATATTACTATGTATACTATGGCACATAAAGTAATTCAACAGGACGGTGAGTTCTCCGTAACGGCCTATCAAAGTGAAAGCCAGGCCCGAAAACCTTCCTACTTCATAGCGATAAGAAAATGATTCAATAACGAGGCCATTTTTGATCAACTGAGTCATTCAAGATCAAGCTGTGTGCCTGAGTGGTCTAGGAGATTTAGGCGTGTTAGGTGGTTGAAATATGTCCCCACCTGGTTGTATATATTCTGAAATCCAGAAGATTGCCTATGTTACGATGAAGAATTCGTGGCACAGGTACATACCTACATATTCCGTCTATGTAGTAGCAATTGATGCCGTGTTATTTACTAGATAGCATTGGTCAACATACAACTGCCACAATATCCTGCATAAATGGCGCTGGTTTCCAGTCTGGTAAACATGTGGAGACAATCCAGCAAACCTCTGACCTTTGACCGTAAACTCGGGAAGTTAAGACTCGATTTCCAGCCACATGGATCATACAGTAGTCAATGCGGACAGGTTTTGTACGGAAAGAGGGAAATATTCCAGGTGGCTGGTGGCTGGAAGGTCCCCCACCATCGTGCTTTGACTTGGCATTGCGTGTCACTGTCAGTGTCAATGCCCAGGCCCTCCTCTCTAGCCCGAAGCAAACTTAGTACCGATGCAGATGGAAGTCTCACTGTACTAACTTATGTATGACTGTGTGATTGTGCTGTCGGTGCTGCAGGTTGGCAGAGTGTGTAAAGTCAAAATAGGAGCCAGTACCTTGTACATTTATTGGCCTTCACCAGCTCATCTGAGTGGGAACTATGGTGGTAATTGTGTGCCCCAGTTCAGCCACCGTATCTACCCCACTTACGATTGCGTTGCCCTTCAAATTCTTGCTTTTACGGGTGCTTTTGAGTTATCCTCGGCTTTGGTTTTGAGAATTTGCTCGTTCAAGTCCGAGCTCGACCTCGAGCTCAAACAAGGTTATTGGGTCCGAGTGCGAAGTTAGAATGGGCTAGCCTTAGTATGTACCTGTTAGTTTCTTGCTATCACACAGCTAACTACTACCACTCTACAGACTGTAGTCCACCCAATCACAGATATAAAATGGAAAAGCTATACAATCCATACTAAGCAAAATCATGACACAAACTCGATTTTGAAATAAAATGGAACTAGGTACGGATATCTGCAACACAAGCTCGTCACATCTTGAAATTCGTGGCAATAAATTACGCAGGCGGTCCAGCTCTCAAAAAATCAAGGTCCACGGAATAATATACGGAGCACACGTAGTCCGTAGTCCATACTGTATGTGCTCCGCTTCGTTAAACCTTAACTTGACGGCTAGTCTACCCTGAAATAAAAGCATGTCTCCGGCATCATACCAGTTTACCGGCCCATGCGGATCACACCGGCGGCCATCAGCTTCTGGATCTTGATGCGCACAGAGGCGTTCTTCATGTGCTCTTGCAGAGCGGCGGGGTCGCTCTTAGCCTGGTTGAGGATGCTCTGCATGACGGGGTCGTTGAGGATGGCCATGATCTAGATTTATAGATTAGTATCAACTTCCACTATCACAGATCCAACTCTCGAATTGGAGGGCTTACCTCAGGATCATTCTGAATGCGCTCCATCGTCTGCTGCTCAGTCTCACCAGCACGAGCACTGAACTGCGCCTCCAGACACTTCTGCTGCTGCTGCTCGATCTCTCGGGCGTGAGTACCATCATCCTGCTCCGCAGCCTCGGTAAACGTATCGATAGCACGGTTGTACTCCTTCATAGCAACGAGAGCCTGACCCTTGCGCATGTAAGCGCGGATGAACTTGCTGTCGCGGGCAATAGCCTCGTCACAGTCCTGCACAGCCTGGGGGAATGCCATCAGCTTGATCAGAGCGGCGGCACGGTTGGAGTAGCCTCGGGGGTCGGTGGGGGCGCGCTTGGTCATCTCGGTGAAGGCGTCAACGGCGCCGGGCCAGTCGGCGGCCTGGAACTTCTGCTGGCCGAGCTCGCGGGCCTTTTCGGCAAGGCCGGCATCAACGTAGGCGTCCTTCTCGGCGGTGAGCTTGGTCTTCTCGGCGGCGCGGAGCTTGGTGAGAGCTTCCGGGGTGCGGTGCTCCATGAGGGACTTGTTGTAGTAATCGATGGCCTGGGTAAGGTCGCCCAGCTTCTCGTAGGCAGAGCCAATACGGGTGAAAGCCCTGTTTGAGTGTTAGTAAAAAGCAGTCTTCCCCATGACAGATGATTTTGTCTGATGGTGGATATCCTACTTGGCAATTGTCTGGAAGGGGGCGCGTAGATCACGGCCCTCCTCAACAGCCTTCTGGCAGGTCTCAATAGTGCCCTGGTAATCGCCCTTCTCGAACTTGGCAGCACCGATGTTGTTCAGGTAGGTGATATCCTTGTTCAACTCCCAGGCCTTCTCGTAGTGCTCAATAGCCTTGTCGAGCTCCTTCTTCTTGTAGTAATCGTTACCAATCTTCTTCTCGGCATCACCGGCTTCTTGAGCCTTCTTCTTAGCAATGGCCTCCTCATCCTCGGGCTCGGGGGTAGGCTCCTTCTTAGGCTGTGGGGGAGCGGGTTTGGTCTCTGGCGTAGGCTCGGCCTGAGCACCGGCAGGGCCACCCTCGGGAGCACCGAAGCTCATATCAATACCCAGAAGCACACTCATCACCTGCAGGAAGCGCGGGTCACGGATCTCCTCACCAACACTGTTGGGGTTCTGTTGGATCTTCTTCAGCTTGGCCATGAACTCGGCGTCGCCCAGCAGGCTGGCGGTCTTAGGGTTATTGGCGAGCTTCTGGAACAGCGCAGGGTCGTTGAACATGCCACCCAGACCAGCGCTAGGGTCACCCTCAACACCGTCGGCCGTAGCCTCAGCGTTAATGGCACGCTGGACGGCGCTCAGTCCGGACTTGGCCTGCTCGTTGCCGGGCTCAAGGTTCAATGCCTCCTCATATGCGTCGTGGGCGGCCACTAACCAACTACCTGTTAGCGGATACAGCTCTGTGTAGACTTTATCTCAACCATCCCCTATATCTATCACTTACGGAGATCACCCAAACCCCGGTAGGCAGCACCCTTACGGAGCTGACCCTTGGACCAGTCGGGCTTGATGCTAATAGCCTTCTCGGCATCCTCGAGAGCTTTTTGGTACTCAGCCTGAGCGGAGTAGACGGCGGAACGGTTGGAGTAGAGGATGTGGTTTTCGGGTTCGATGGCAATAGCTTGTGTGAACTTCTCACTAGTGAATTCAAGTATCCCATTAGCAACTACTCTTCCAGCCATCCTAGGCCCATAAAGGCGGGGTAGCAAACATACATCGCAGTAGGATAGTCCTTGGCCGAGAAGGCCTTGTTGCCCTCAGCTTTCAAAGCGTCAGCCATAGTGTGGATGTAGGGGTATAAAATGAGTAGTAAGAGGAGAAATGGAGGTCAATGAGGCCTCGAGGTGGTGGTTATGAGCTTGTTCTGTTTGGCCGAGCTTCTCGAAATTTCCGGAAGATCTTTGATGCCTGAGGCCACAACTGGGCGGCGTGACAGTCTTAAGCTCCGGATGCACTAAACCAAATTGGGGCGCACCCGACATCCCCGCTGCGAAAAAGTCGCCAAACGGGTGTTTTTTGTGATTCACACTTCTTTCAATTCTGACTCAATATACCCTGGTCTCCTCCAAGCCAGCTACTATGATCCTTTAACTGGCTCCTCCCTGCTTCTGCAGATGCTTGAGTGGGATATGATCTCTCCCCTCAACCCTTAATCGTTGCCTCTCCTTCTACCTTCGCCCTCCCAGCCGAGCCTCCTCCCAGCCTCTCACTCCACAGTCATGGCGTCTCGTGTGACCGAGATCGCCTCGCGGCTTTACGACGCCTGCCTCGAGCGATTTGAAGCCGACCATCTCTTCTATCAGCAAGACCTGCTCGCCCTCGATGTCATTCCCAAGGGAGAAATTGACCTGCTGCTGAAATGCGCTCAGTCGCTGGTCGATCAAAAATTGTTCCGACTTCTCCAAGGCTCAAATAACCGCCTCGCATGGAAGATCATTTCTCGTGACGATGCCGAGAAGTATGTCTCTCTACCTTTTCATTCGACTTCTTCAAAGGCGAAAATATTTCAAGTGGGGGCTTATTGCTAATTCAAATTTTTTTTCTTCTAGACTTCAGAGTCTGAGCCCCGACGAGAGCTTGGTATACAATGTCATTCACTCTAGTGGCCGCTCAGGCGTTTGGGTGCGCAACATCCAATCCCGCACGAACCTCCACAAATCCATCCTCGATCGCTGTGTGAAATCTCTCGAGAGCAAGAACTACATCAAGAGCGTCCACAATGTCAAGTACCCGACCCGGAAGATGTACATGCTCGCGGGCCTGGCCCCGAGCGAGGACATCACAGGTGGCGCCTGGTTCACAGACGGTGTCCTCGACTCGACTTTCATCAACACGCTTGCCGGTTTAATCGAATTCAAAGTGAGCACCCAAAGCTGGTACGAAGTGCCCACCGCCGACCGTGGCCGCAGCAAACGGATCAAGACCGCCACCGGCATGGCGGAAGTCAAGTCTGAGTCAGAGAAGACATTCCTTCCCTACCCAGCGAATTACTCTGGCTACCCGACCATCGAATGGATTACCACCGAAGTAAACAAGAGCGGTGTCACTCCCGTGCGTCTTGGCGAAGACAGTGTCATCCAGCTGGTGCAAATGCTCTGCTTCGACAAGAAACTCGTCTCACTGAATAATGGCATCAACTACAAGGCAGTCAAGAACCCCGTTGTGGTCAAGGCTGGTTTCAATCGGAAGCCTGCCGCCGAAGAGGAAGCTGGCTCACCTATCCTCGGCCTAGGCAAGAATGGTATGACCGAGGCGCCCTGCGGATCATGCCCCAACATCCGCCTTTGCTCCCCCGGCGCTGCCATCAGCCCAGAGACCTGTGAATACTTTGACCCGTGGTACGAAAAGGTGCTCGGCTTCTGAGCCTTGAGAAACGACGTATCGGTTTGCGAACCGAGTTTCTCGATTGTCGCGAAATAGCCTGGCTATCTCTCGTCTTAGCGGAGAAGATTGCTGCACGACACGGTACTCTCGCAACCGAACCTTACCAACTACTACAGAGAAAGAGAGCTCCTCCTACTCTCATTTTTCTTCCAACATTTGGCACCGTGATCCCCACCGTGCCTCCCCTTTGCATGCAAGATGGAAGGACCAAAAAAAGGATTTGTGCATAGCGATGGCGTTGTTTACTGTGATTATTTACCTCCGGCATTAACTGTCCTTTGAATCAGGCAGTGATCGCTCATATGAATTTTTTGGATGAAGCAGGGGTTACGCTCGATGGCTTTGACACGAGCTGTCTACACGAATCATGGGTCTAGAGATACTGAGTAGAAAAGAAATATACAATTCTAGGAACGCAAATGTCGAAGGTCGAGTTTCCCAGTACATTCTAAAAGACACTGCGACCTTTCAATTCAATTCTAATTGGAGGGCCCCTAGCTAAGCTGAAAGACCCAATCCCAGTGGATCTAAACTATCTCCTCTATTACCAAACCTTTTGGTCTCCAACTTGGCTGCTTGTAGTTTTAGAATCTAGAGCAGTCTCTTCTTGCATGTACTCCGTATATTGCTCTAGCATAGGTTGGCCCAACTTGAGGACGGACGCTTTGACCTCAGAGATAGACACTTGTCCTCATTTACAAAGTCACTTTTACTAGTTAGCATATACTGCTATGTCAATTACTCTTATTGATCTCTATGTACCTATATATCTATGTACCTTTGACTTTGTCCCCACACAAAAGAAACCCCACAAAATGCCCCGGTCCCCGAACACCGCCTTTAGTCCAAATGTCGGGGACTCGGGGCTAAAGCGGGCACTCCCACTTCTGACCAATCCTCTTTTCGCCGATCTGCAAATGTCAACCACCGAGTCCGGCCCTTGAGACACAATACTCGCCAACCCTAATGTGGACGACATCTACATGAGTGGCCATGCCTCGATCCCCGGACAGCAACGCGCTGGCCCTTAAGCGCAAGCTACAGCAGGCCGACTCGCACTCCGAGCCCACGTCCAAACGCCACCACCTTCAGGGCTACGATCCAAAGGCACCATGGCTACACGAGACGAAGCCCATCAATGGATGGCGTACGCTGGGCAACCCAGCGGTCTACAACTCGCTACCGCTGGCGAACATGGTCTCCGCCGTTCAGGACTTGATCGACCCGGATTTTGATCCGCTGACGGCGATATTGGAAGACGAGCCGCGTTTCTTGAAACCGCTGCCGGATCGTATTGCGCCTGAGGATTTGGAGTTCTTGCGCTTTCGGGGGGCGCTGTCGATTCCTGAGACTGGGTTGCGGAATGAGTTGTTAAGGTCTTATATTCAATGGGTGCATAGTTTTATGCCGGTACTGAATTTGCAGGAGTTTTTGAGATGTGTTGCGGAGAATGACCCCGAGGGGAATGTTAGTGTGCTGCTTTTTCAAGCGGTTATGTTTGTGGGCACGGCTTTTATCGATATCAAACACTTGCAGGATGCGGGATACTCGACTAGGAAGAGTGCGCGCAGTGCCTTTTACACCCGGTTACGGGTAAGTCAGCTATCTCGTCGTATGGGAGTCCCTGCTAATAACCGTCGGCAATATAGTTACTCTACTCGCTTGACTGTGAAGAAGATCGCATCGTCATTCTGCAAACACTCCTCTTGATGACCTACTGGTCCGACCCCGAGAACAGCCTGCACCAAGATATCTGGGACTGGATTGGTGTCTGTAACACCCAAGCGCATTCGATCGGACTGAATAAGGACCCTTCGGCCAGCGACATGGACCCGAAGATTCGTCGACTGCGTATGCGCATCTGGTGGTGTATATACTCACGCGACCGACTGATCGCTATGGGTATGCGGCGCCCATTGCAGGTCAATGAGGGCACCAGCAACATCCCAATGCTCAAAATGGAGGATTTCGATTTTGAGCCTTACTCGCCATCCGTGGTGGCTCTGTTCCATTGTCGACAACTTGAAGATGTATCACATCAGAAACGTCTGGCGACCATGTTCATTGAGAAAGTGAAGCTCTGCCAGTGTATTGGCAGGGTGCTCTTTGCGCAGTATGCACCATCGCAGCGTCAATTCGGAGCTACAGACCGCACTACCGTCACTTTGATTCCACGACAGGCTTCGGAATCAGAGTTCACGCGGTGCAGCCAGAAGCTTGACTCTTGGTTGAGCGCACTGCCAAAGGACGCCCAGTTCATACCGGCATCGCGAAACAACTTCCGCGATGGCGAAGACGTGTTACTTCTACATGGAGCGATGTTGCGCATGCTCTACCACGCCACCACCAGTGCTCTACATCGACCATGGGCTACGTACTCAAAAGACCAGTCCAAGTCTCGTCTTGAATGGCGAAACATAGCCCGAACCAAGATGCAAGATGCCGCCACGGGAATCACCCATATCATTCAGGGCCTCAATCAGCTCAACCTAACCCGTTTCCTACCGCAATCAGGCGTGACAGTCATACTCCCAGCTGCAGTAGCCCATCTATCAAACTCCACATCCGACAACCCAGCCGTCCGCGAAAGCAGCATCTCCAATTTCCACCGCTGCGTACAGGTCCTCCACTGCCTGAAGGATATCTACCCAGCCGCCGGTGTCGAGTTTGCGAATCTCGAAGCCGCAATTAAGATGCAGACAGGTAACCACAACTCCAATACCTTTTTCCAAATCATGCAATACAACTTCGACACTACGGCCCCATCGTTCGCCGACGCTAGGAAACCGAGTAGTGCGGACTCTATCGCCACCACCCACTCCCTCCGCCATTTGGAAGATAAAAGCATCCGCGATGCTGAAAGCCCGACCTCCCGTGCACGAGCTGCATCTATCAATATCAACGCCAATGCCAACTCCAACTCCAACGGCCGAACTCACAGCCAACAACACAACCTAAACACCACCTCCCCACCACAAAACACAACCTCCCAGAACCAAAACACATGCCGCCCCTTCCCCAACGACTTCGACGACCACTTCGCCATCTCCAACACCCCCATCTCCCCCTCCACCGAAAACCCATTCACCTATCTCTCCTTCGACTTCGACTCCTTCCCCGACCTCTCCCCCGCACCCACAACCACAAACACTCACGCCAACACAACAAAAGACATCAACCTCTCCCCAACAACAGACCTGGACAGCATCGACTGGACCCAAGCTCTATTCCGAAACCCAGACCTGGACAAACACACCGACATTTTCAGCAGCGATAGCCCGCGCCGGACGCAGAGCCTAGCGCAGCAGGTTCGTGAGCCGGAGCAGGATCAGGATCTTTTCGCGTTTACGTTGAAAGATGATGATGAGATTGGTGGTGGCGGTGGGGATTCGGGGGCTCAGTTTAGGCATCATTCTACGGGCCATAGGCATGGGGACATTACGGGGGATTTGGATAGGGATCTTGGGTTGGATGAGGGGTTTTAGGGGTGTGTAATCTTTCTGAGTAGTGATTTTTGATTCTTGTGATTCTGATTTTAATTTCGTGTATCTACTTTGGATATGATTCACACAACACAGGATGTGTATATAATTTGGGACTATGGCATGGATATGGATGGGCACAGGCTATGGATTCGAAGCATTAGCATATCCAAATTTGAATGATTTTTCACTTCTTACCTACACTTCCACAAATTTAAAGCCAAAAGGGAAATACGAAATACATTCATCACATTGCTGTTCTTTCTCTACTACTCTATTAGTGGATATTATTGCGAGTTCCCGACGCCTCCCCTCCATCTACCCTCTATCGGATAACATGACTTCGCAGAAAGCAAACCCAGCATCCATCATGACTCCATCTAATCATCAAGCATATGCTACCGTAGCAACCAAGCGCATTCCACCCAGGAGCAACGCAGGACAGACACTGTTTATGACCGCCCGCCTGCCCAGCGATTACCCTCGTCACCTTCAAGCCATGATTGCTCGGTGTAGCCCAGCTTCTGCTTGACCTCCTGTACCTTAGCGCTATCACCGGTGTTCTTACCCATGTTATCGCTCAACTTGATGGCTGGACGACCATTGGCAGTGGCGATTTTGATGACGATGTTGAGGGGCTTGGATTTTTCGCCGTTGGATTTGTTTTTAAAGTCATCTAGATCTTGTTAGAACGGGGTCTTGTCTAGTCTCGCATAGCATGCAGTATAGATCGAGGGATGATAGATTGCACTTACTCGTGAAGAAAGTACCCACACCAAATGTAGGGTTGAAGCCAGCTTCCTCGGCAATGGCCTTGTACTCGAGACAATGCTCGATGTTTAGCGAGTCCGAAAAGACAACTGTCTTTTTATCGGTGATGCCCTCGCGGTCGTAAAAGTCGCGCACCATCTTGACGAAGTAGGTTGGGTCGCCGGAGTCCTGGCGGACACCGGTGTAGACTTGGGCATAGGTCTGGGTGGACTTGGAGTTGTCGACGTGGATATCGGTGGTAACCGGGGGACTCGCGGAAGCATCGCTTTGCACTGGAGCTTCGCGGATGGGTTTGCGGAAGGCATCTAGGAAGGCTGGTGTGCCGAAAGTATCGGTAAGAGCGATGCCGAGGACCTGAATGATTCTTGTTAGCCGATGTATCCTTCAAATCAGCAAGATCAGAGGAAAAACTCACACCCTCGCCAAAGCAACCGAGCCAGTACCGCAGCGCCAACTCGTTGGCATTCTCATAGTCCTCCGTAATCGCCGCAATGGTCATATACCACTCGTGTGCCACGGTACCAACAGTGCCAACATTGTACTTCATAGCAAAGTGCACATTGCTAGTACCAGTGAGAACACCCTTCCAGCCTTGCCGCTTCCCTTCCTCCGCAGCCCGACAAAGACCCTTCATCACCAGATCATGTGTATGATAATCTCTCCGCCGACGCGAGCCGAACTCGGAGAACACACACCCATTCTCCAAAAGCTCACAGCCCTTCCGGAACGCCTTTTCCTCCTGGTTGCCATGGTCCCAGTCCTTGTCGCTGAACATGAAATACGCTTGACTGGTCAGTGCCAACAGCGGGATCTCGTACAAGATTGTGTCCACCCAGAGACCCTTGATGTTGTATTCCACGACACCCTCATCCTCGTCGCTGCCAGTGTCTTGCGTCGGGGTGAACTTGATATCGATTTGCTCGGCGGGTCGGAGCTGGAAGGTCTCGAGGAAGGCGAGGTAGGTCTCATTGAGGTATGGGCACTTTTTCTTTAGAAAGTCGTGCTCTTCGGCGGTAACGCGGACATTGGCGAGCTCTGGCGGAGGAGAGAGATTAGATAAATTATAACATGAAAGGGCTAGCCAGTACTTCGAGGGGGTATGACTTACTCGCCATCTGCTCCAGAAGCCATTTGTATGCCCCGCGCCGCAACTTCATGTGCGGGGTCCGATTCGTGAAGCCGTAGGTCACATCTGTCCCGGATTAGAGACTCCGTACTTCGACAACAGGGTCCAGATCACTCACAAACATCAGGAAAGTACTTCAGAATAGCGCATTGCATGGTCAATTTGTACAAATCGGTATCCAGAAGGGAGAAGATGCCCTCCGGCAGCGGGGTTGCTTCCTGGCCCATTCTGCTGGTTGATCGGATCCTCCGATCCTTTCGAGGTGTCAATTGAAGAGGCAAGGCCAAAAGTCTTGAGGCCAGGTCTGGGGAGGTGTACGGAGGAAATCAACCAGCAAGCGGGTGAGGCGGAGGTTTTTAAGCTGGTCTTCAAGGTTGACGCAAGCAACCGCCTCAGCGCGGGGAAAATCCGATATGATCGGTGTTTGCTTTGTTTGCATGGACTAGTGCATGATGTATGATATACATGTATGGTTTATAGATGCAGGCACTAGATATAAAGCTGAAAACCTACATTGAAAGGTTGAATGGAAGTACTAGAAAGCCAGACATCACACCTTATACGCCTATCTCTGTAGATGGTGATATCAAATGAGGCTGGATGTTATACTATTATCGTCGAGGGCATGGGCAGCATTGAAATACAGCCTCGGATATCTTAGATCAGAATTAAAAAGGAATTATTTGCGTATATGAAGAGTAAGAGCATGTGAACCCACCAGTATATCTTTTTCCATATGTCGAAGTAAATCGAAGTAAAATGAGCGGTTGTTTGTCTATTGCTTCCACCCATCCAAACGCGTTTGACTGTTTGCCTGCGCAGCAACAAATTGAAAGCAATTCTTTTTGCCATCTTTCCAAAACGCGAAACATCCAAACCTTTTGACCTACCCTTCCCTACCGTCAATAAACATCAGCCCTGTAACCCACCGAATCCCCATCTTCCTTGATACTCCTGCACGTTGATCACTCCTACATTTGGATGTGCGATGGATGCCAAGAATGAGCCTCCCGGGTCACCAGCCACCGCTGACTCAGCGCGTGTTGCAGTCGCTGACTCGCCACCTGTGGCTGACCCGTCGGCCGCTGACTCGGCGGTCGCTGATTTAGTGCCTAAGGTCCGCCTGCGTTTGATTCTGAAGGAGCCAACGGAACCCAAGGAATCGGAACGAGCAGGCGCCGACAATCCCAAGAGTCTCCCTGCACCAAAGCGCCCCCGTGGTCGACCGAGAAAAAACGATCCTCTTGCACCTCCCAAGAAATCAGCTCCCAAGGAAACATCTCAGAAATCTACAACCCCTCGCAAAGCAACTCCGAAGCAGCCCCCGAAACCCGCCATGGCGCACGGCGCGGAGGACTGCGCGACAGTCCTGGAACAGTTCGTTCACGATGCGGCCAACTTGCCACTTGAGATGAACCATCTGATGGAAGAGATCCAAGCCAAAGACAAGATCATGCAGGAATGCCGCGCCACCATCAACTCCCGCGACGGCAGTATCCAGAAATTCATTAAATTGAACGGCAGTCTGGCACCAAATCCCAAGGAGGAAGCGTACAACAAGGCGGTGCTCCAGAGTTACGAACGGGCTATCCAGCTACAAGATGAGAAGATCGCGTTGGCTGACAAGGCGGCTGTGCTGTTGGATCGCACAATCAAACGGCTGGACGTGCAAATCCGCGAGCTTGTCAACGAAGGCGCGCTCTCCAATGATCCGCCACTCCCCTCGCTCTTCGACAACAAGAACCAGTACCGCGACCCACCTAAGGTGTTTTTCCCTGACTCTACTCCATCCGACTCCCCCTCCTACGCTACTCCTCTCAACCCGACCTCCGGAAACGCGAATCCCATCCTCGCGGCAGCCCAGCGCTTGAACCAGGCCACCACCCCGCGAGTGCCCGGTCCCGTCAACACCACCGCGCAAGGTGCACGCAGCTCTGCACCCGCTACCCCCGCTGCAACTGCAGCCGTCCATCTCCAGCAGCGTCAACGCGAGTCTTCCGCTGGAGCAGTCGACACCAAACGCCGCCGGTTGAATGCATCCCTGGGCACTCTCCCCGCCGCATCATCCAACCTCCGCCAATCCTCCCTTGGCCCCGGAACCCCGAAAGCTGGTACCCCGGCTGGCAGCCGCGCTGGCAGTGTCGGACCACGCGCGGTCACAGGCATTAAGAAGGCCTTGACCAAGAAGGTGGCCCCGCACCAGCAGGTCAAGAAGATCAAAGCTTCGGCCGCCAGCAAGCACACCAAGCGGTCTTCCAGCGCCAGCGGCCGCATCAAGGCCTCCAAGAAGTCCCCCGCCGGTGAGGGCGACGAGGACGACGACTCCATGCTCAGTAGTGCTGACATGTCGGACTCGGACAAGAGCGACGTCGCCGACGAGGATATGGAGGACGACGAGGACGAAGACGAGGGTGCGGAGGACACCAAGGTTTATTGTACCTGTCGCACCGTCAGCCACGGGGACATGGTGGCATGCGACAATGACAGCTGCCCCTATGAGTGGTTCCACTGGAAGTGTGTGGGACTGACTCGCGAGCCAGTTGGCACCTGGTACTGTGATGAGTGCCGGAAGACCCTTGGCAAGTAAGGGATCCTCGGGGGTATCCTGAGGATCGTCCTGAGACTTTACTTCATGGACTGGAATTATGTGTTTTTTTGTGTATGATTTCTATGCTAGTCATTTCTGATACCCACGGCGTTCAGGCAGGGGTGTTGGAAATGGAACTCAATATCAGAGTTAATGTCAAATTAAATGTCAAATTCTATAATCACTTTCCAATCAGTAGGATGTAGTTAAATTCTTAGTATCTATAGACATGGACAATCGTTCTAGGTCCCTGTAAATAGCTACCACTGTTACCCTCCAAGTCACGTGGGGCAAACCCCCCTCTCAGCCCATCTGAGCGTTAACCAATAAATATGACTTTTCATCATTCTCAATCAGTTACAACAACTATGCTATCCAGTCCAAGATAAATGGTTGCGCTTAAAGAGGCAGGTGTAGCTTGCAAATGGCAATGTCTTGGCATCAGCTTATGGGTTTACTAGTCCATGTCAGATACTACAGAAAACTAGTAGATCGATTCCATTTTTCTACTAAGTATCTACTAAATTGCACGTCACCCTTTTACCTCCATTACTTGTAGGTCCAAACCTCGGTAATCACGTGAGCCCCATACTATTGACCGTTCTGGTCTTTAACCTGATAATGTTCTGCAGGAGAAATGTACTAAATACCGGTATGTACTGTAAGTTGTAACCGTTTGTAACAGTGACAACTCGGTAGCGATCCCGCCCCGCGCTACAGTGCATTCGGATCTAAGAACCTATACGTCAAGCTGGTTTCTTTGCGTAAAACCCTATGTTATCAGGCGGGTCCCTCATCGCTCTAGTAGTAGTGAGTCGACTTCCGTCTCCCGTGTATTCCGTGTATTCCGTGCATTTTCGCGTCATTTTCCCAACTCCGCAGAGAACTATCATCAAGGTACAGGGTAGGTACTGGCGCACTACAGTATCTTATCATTTCTCGGATCTTTAGCTTGTCTTCTCGTTCAATCAAGGAAGATAGGATACCGAGGCACAGGCGCAAAGGCCCCGCCTGCAAGGCAACCAGTCCAATCCAATCACTCTACCGGAACACACGAGCCAGGGGAGAGGAAGTTTAGCTCAAAGATTTGATTCGATTCGCGGTCCGGCGACTGACTGGGATCATTGCGAGGAACCAGGATGCAAATTGTCTCTTGCTGAGCTAGTCCCAATCCCGCTGCTTGAGGGAGGGGTGCCTATCAACAAAAGGAAAAAGGGGATATATTGAAATTGCAAAGTGTCAGTCCAGGCCGGAACGGGTCGTTTCAATATTATGTCCCGGCGAGCACCGGCGGCGAAGAAACAGCAGACCCTGCAATTTGTCACTATAGACCCCTCGTCTGATCAGGGAAGTTCTCATATCCGTCGGATAGTACGGTCTCATGCGGGAGGATGGATATGGCGACAACTTCGAGACAGTCAAGATAATCCTCAACCAGACCCCGAGGAGGAGGAGGAGGAGGATGAACTTGAGGCTGGTCCCTCCGTGCGAGAGGAGAGTCAGGGTCGACGTCAGTCGACTTCTCAACCCAGGAAGCCGAGTCCTTCGGTAGTGGGGTCGTTATGGGAGGCACCGAGGGAGTTTGCTCCCGAGCTCGTTCAAAGAGCTGGCAATGGGGGACGTCCGATGCAATTGAGCAGAGTCAGTTCTGAAAAGCTGGATCCGTTCCAGAGTTACATATCAACATCACCTCTACCGAGCGGACTCGTTAGCAATTCAAATAAATACTGTAAGCCTCCTCCTCCAAAGACACTCACTCACCACATCTTCATCATTAACTAACCCATCCTCCCAGGCCTATCGGTACTTTGGCCCGGCCTCATGCCAAGATCCTCCTTAATCGGGGGCGCCCCTCACGCAGGCATTGAAGGCTGGTTCTCAATTTCCCTCGGCCACCCAGCCCTCCACAGCGCAATGTTATTCGGCTCATACTCGCACCGCCGAATAATGTGGCTGCAAAAACGACAAAGCGACTTCAGCGCCGAAGACGAGAAACAAATGGCGATCTGTGAAGCGGATTCCATCACAAGGATCAATTTGGCCATTCAGAATCTGTCCGAGGCTCTCACCGATGCGATTATCCTGTGCGTTCTTTGCATGGCGAATAATAAGAATGAACCTCCGCTGGGTCCGGATAACCTGGAGTCACCGTTTCAAGCGCCACTGCGTAGTTTGCAGTGGCTTGATGTGTATGGGCGGTTGAAGCCGCATCCTGTGCATCAGATTGGTTTGGTCCAGTTGGTGCAATTGAAGGGGGGCTGGAGAAGATTAAGCTACCTGGGCTTGCTGGGGTGATTGCATTGTAAGTACACAGCGTATTCCAGTCTGTTTGCAAGAGGGAGATGATACTAACTTTTGAAAATATAGCTCCGGCGTTCTAGGTGCTAGCAGGTTATTATCACCGCCACTTTTCTCGTACATCTGCATTCACGAAGGAGAATACCTCACGTTGCGGGATATCATCGACTCCCAGCACCCCGTACCAACCGTGGATCCAAACCTCATCGCCGAACTACCCATCACCTATGACATGCAGGAAATCTTCCGAGCAGCGCGTGCATATTTCGCTCTGGTTGACAAATACCAAGATGGGATTCACGTACCGCTAGACACATTGGCCGATTGTCGGAATTTGATCCAATGGCACATAATGTCGTTATTGTCTGGAAGTCAGCTGGGTGCAAGATTAATAGATGCCTACCCTCTATATGAGTCCTGTCGTCTGGCACTGGTCATTCTGGGCGTGTCAGTGATTTTCCCACTTCCCCCTCAGTCTGCTCCGCTGTTAGAATTGTCTCGGATGTTACAGGCAGAGCTCCAATCGACCAAGGATTTTGCCAAGGTTTATTCGTCGGTGAGCACGAAACTTGTGTACTGGTGTTTGGTTCTTGGTGGTATCGCTGCAACTGGGTCCTCAGAGAGACGGTGGTATGTCGAGGAGATCCGGCGCCTTGCGGGGCCGTATGGTCTGCGTGAGTGGGATAGTATGAAACAAGATTTGAAAACGATATTGTGGCTGGATAGGGCATGTGACTTTGGTGGGAGGTTGTTGTGGGAGGAAGCGTTGCGTTTGCAGTGATGTTTCGTTGCCTGATAAACCTGTATTCCGCATAGATGTTTAGCATATTCAAGCGAATTGAGAATTGATCATAGGTAGAGCATGCTCTACTAGGAGAAAAGCTCTGCGTAGAAAGCCAATCGAGATTTTTATTATAGTAAAGCGGGCGTATAGTAGAACCCAGCTGCCCTGTAGATATTTCCCAGGTCAATATTCAGTCAACAGATTAGAGAAGGTTAACTAACATTTGCCATCTATTCCTTTAAAAATCCCATCCCCAACCCCAACCGCGTATCCCATGGGATATCGAAAAGCATTCCGGAATTGACGACTTTTCCCAGTATGGCGTTAAACTAAGCCGAAGAAAGACTCAGCTCGCGCCACTTCTCATCGGACGCAGCAAGCGCCTCGCCAACAGACTTAGCATAAGGAACCGCATCAGGCCCAATAACAAGACGCAACGGAGGCTCCTCCTCATCCAAAAGCTTCAGAATAATTTGTCCAATCTTGCTAGGAATCGAAGGCTCGTTTCCAGACATCGAGCGCAGATGCTCAACCATAGCACCAACCGACTGCTGATAAGGCTCACTAATAGGAGGAATCCCCATAGAAGCACCAGCCCAATCAGTCCGAATACCACCAGGCTCAAGAACAGTAATCTTAATACCGAACGGAGCAATCTCCCTCGAAAGAACCGTCGAAAACCCACCAACAGCCCACTTAGAGCATTGATAAGCCGCAAGCCCGGGAGAACCCAAACGGCCACCAACCGAGGAAATCTGGAAGATATGGCCAGACTTCTGTTGACGCATGATAGGAACGACTGCTTTTGTGACGTACACCACGCCGAAGAGGTTGGCGTCGACTTGTCTGCGGAAATCATCGATATCAATGTCCTCGACAGAGGCGGTATTGGCGTATCCGGCGTTATTGACGACCACGTCGATACGGCCGAATTTTTCGTGGCCGGTCTTCACGGCTGCAATGGCTTGGTCATTGTTGGTGACGTCGAGGGCGACGGGGAGGACTCTGTCAGCGCCGTATTTCCCGACGAGGTTGGCGAGTTGTTCGGGCTTGCGTGCGGTTGCGATGACGGAGTCTCCGTTGTTAAGGGCGGCTTCGGCGACGGCGAGGCCAAGGCCGCGAGAGGAGCCGGTGATGAACCAGACCTTCATGGTGAGAAATGTGAATTGGAGGAAGTAGTAGAAGATGTTTTTGAACTGTGATGGATGATAGGATGAATGTTGAAGGGAGGATACCAGGACTTTATATGTGAAGATCACTCTGCATCAGCAGCTGTCACCAGCCCGCTAGCCCGTTGACATCGGCGTTAACGTTCGGAGACGACCATTTAAAGTCCACCATGCATGGGGTACCCGTGATCTAACCTTCAGTGGGTGCCCGTTTAAGATTGAGTTCTATGCACGGGATATATGGAACTAGAACGCTTAGTACTCCGCTAGTCCTAACGAGTATCACCGCTGAGTGGCTAGAATCTACGATGCGGCCATCATATGGACCCCTCGGAATCGAGCCGAAGTGAATAAGTTGCCACATCGTCATCTCGTGTGGTCCGTGGGATCATGAATGACCAGGGTCTTTGATTCACTGAATCTTGTCTCTTTTGGGTAATTGGACCATATGCTCGATCGAGTTAGTAACCTGTCAGCATGGGAGTAGTTGGGGGTTGTCTCAGCCTGTAAGGGACGCTGAATGGGGAATAAAGTGGGACAAGCTGAGCTGATCACAACTTCTTTACGGAGTACACCTACCGGATTGGGATTGATTAGAATTCACGCGAGCAACATTATTATTGTGTCTATTTGTAGGATCCCGGGATTTAACCTGGTACGATAGACTAATGCAGCGCTCACTCAGGGTGGAGTTCCTGTAAGGTTAACCCCGACGGGGCTTCAACCATCTTATCAGCCACGAGTTAGACGGTAGACTAGGAGATGATATCATCTAGCCCACCAAGAAAGAAGAAAAATAGGTTTATAGGATCTTTCAAACCCGATAAAGTTGGAGCGTATCTGGTTATACCGTTTCTTTGGTCCCTATACCCAGACTTTTGAGTCGCAACTATGCCAGCACCCTACAACAGCTTTGTGAACCATGACTGACATCAACTGGAATTGATTCTCTAACATGCCTGCCTCAATGTACTGCCGGTATTGATGTGTCATATTATTTCTATTTCTTCTTTGCCGGACTTGAATCCAGTACGAAGGCTCTAGCTACTCCTCTAGCCCGACTGCTGAGAGGTGCATTAGTCTATTTATACGGAATCTGGGGAAGGAAAAAAGTGGGTTGATAATTTCATGGTGCCCCGTCGCATCGGTGATTTGGATGACTACACTTTCTGGGGCAGTTTTCATCTGCTATGATGCGCTGCTCTAGAGTAAGAGGAGTGTTGCTTCTGTTGTGAAAATGAGTATCAACCTTTTCCTAGTAACAAAGTTAGAGAATTACTGAATCAAGTCCCTCGAGTAACTAGGCTTCGGCTATAATGACAAATACATATCGGCACATCCATATATACTGATTTTGACATTCAGAGATATCCTCGTGCGGAACGTATCAAATAATTATCTGTGGGGCATTCTTGACCACGCCTTGGTGCTTTCCACTTTAGGTCCACACTCTCTGAGAAGAATTTTCACAATCAGGGGCCCCCTGCCGCTGTTTGATATAGCTGCCTTCACAACTTCCTCCGTTATCGGGACATCAGCTCCACGCATATCAAAAAGCGTTTCTATCATCTTATCTCCACAGCCCCGATTCGACACAGCCGCCTTAACAACATCTTCTGTGATCTTTATATTGGATCCCTGATTGTCCAAAAGAATCTTCATAGCCTTATATCCACTTTTGGGGTTCGTTGCAGCTGTCTTGACAATATCCTTTGAGATGTCAATATCGCCTCCGTGGCTGAAGATCGTCTTCATGATTTGGTCGGCACTATGACTATTGGACACTGCTGCCTTTAGCACGGTGTTTGTGATTTGGGGCTTAGATCCAGGTCTAGCGAGAAGGATCTCCATGACCTGGTTTCCCTTCTCAAGATTAGATGCTGCTGCCTTGAGTATACTCTCGGTAATCTCGACATCAGCCCGGCAATGCGCAAGAAGGACTTTCATGACCTCGTCTCCATCCGCCCGATTCATGGCGGCTACTATCAGAATGTCTTGCGTGATGATATTGTCGCAGCAATGAGCAAAGAGCATAGGTATGATTTTGCCTCCATCTTTAGGATTCGATGCCGCTGCCTTGACCAAACTTTCATTGATCTGAATAGTAGCACCGTAGCTAAGGAGGAGATATTTCACCACTGTCTCGCTGAAGCCATTGATGATTTTCAAGACAATTTCCTTGGTAATCTGATTGTCGCCTCCATGATTCTCGAGAAGAGCCATCATGGTTCGGTCACCACTCTCACGATTAGAAGCAGCAGTTTTGATGAGACCCTCTGTGAGCCTCACCTCGGCTCGACGCTTTTCAAGCAGAACCAGCATTACTCTGTGCCCAATCTCAATGTTTGATGCCGCAGCCTTGGTCACAGCCTCAGTGACATTGATATCGGCACCGTGTCGGTCGAACAGAAAAGCAACAATCTTATCACCGTCTTTCTGGTTTCTTGCCGCAGCCATCATTCTTCGCTCCATAATTTCGCTGCTCATCTCCTTCGGTTGACCTCCTTCACATGAGCCTAGCGCTCCTTGATGAGATAACACGTTCATTGTTTCTGTAAAGTCTCCTTTGATGTCTTTCAAGATATCACAGACATCTTGCTGATCAATGACCTGACAGACACGCAGCAGCTGACACAGTATTCCTGCATGGCAACGGACTGCAGCGGCAACAATAGGACTGGTCGTCTTATCCCCTTGAATGACCTTCGCACCCTCCCTCAACAAGGTGTCCACGACGAAATCGAATCCAAAGGCGCATGCGTAGAACAGCCTTCCAGGGCCGTGTCTACCTGCCCCTTGATAACGGATACAAATCCAATTTAAGTAGGCTGTGTCGTATTTCTTGCCAAACATCATACTGACCAGATCTTTCACTGTCTTTGATGGTGCTGACTCTAAAGACTTCCGGGAATGCTGATGCCAGAACTTTGCAGCATATACCAATGCTGGTTGGTCGATGAGTTTTGTGTCTTGAATGCGAAAATCGTTGGTCTCAAGCAGACACTTGATTGTCACTGTCGCCAATCCAGTATGTGCTGTACCAAGTCTTCCGGATTTGTTGTTACCATAAAATCTTTCTTCGAGGTACTCTCGCACGGACAAATGAGAGAGGCGGCAGATATCTGCATACTCCACAGCCTTGCTTTTTGTACTCCCGATGGGCACTCTTCTCTCATCAACGACCATTAGATTGCAACAAGCGTCAAGCAGAATATATATGTTCAAGTCATCGTGCTCTATCAGACCGCTTTCAGGGTCCCGGCTCACAAAAGAGACCAGGGTATCCGATGACAGTGGCTCAAAGGATAGCAGAATCCAGGTGAATGCCCGTGTAGCAATGCCCGGCTGACTTCCTTCTGCACTTTCTATTCTGTCGAAAATCTCGTCATACGCTTCCTTAAGACCTTTCGGTAGTCGTCCCAGGCGCTTTCGAATATCCCCTTCGATATACAGGCGACCGATTTGATGCACTTGGAGTGCCACCCACTGAAACCTACAATGATATGGTGAGCGGAAATCGAGGCACATGAACAACGGTAAACCTACATCCCTTCACTCTTTTCTAAGAGTGTCTTTATGATCTCTTTCTTCATGGCCTCGGAAATTGGAGTGCGGCGGCGGGTATCCATGATTCTGAGTCTTTCGCTAACAAATCTCCTTATGTCGTCTTGATTGTTGGTAGCCTCGATACCGATGTTCGGTTTTAATTCCAGCTGTCTCTTAATATTGTCGTCGCATCTGCTGGAAATCAAGATTTTGAGGTTTGCAGATTGCGAGATCAGGCGATGTAAAATCTCGATGAATTCTGCACGATCGTCTTGGTGACTTTCGTCCAGGCCATCCAGAATCAGGACCGTCTTCGAATGAGCTTTCATCAATATCAGCAGTAACTCCTCGCTCTCTTCAAAATTTAATCCGGCCGAAGATCCTCCTTTACGCTGATTTTTCTTGTACAGATCATTCAATGATTGGTGAACGGCTCCCTGCTGTGGAGATACAGATAATTGCTGGACATAACTCTGCAAGATCCGTGTTGGCTCACGTCGTGATTCTTCGTTTCGATTGCAATAGAAGTATCCCAGAGTAGTTTGTGGATGGTCGTCCTGGATACGGTCGATGATTCGGGAAACTAGTTTGGTCTTACCAGCACCGGCTATCGAGTTGATACATGTCAACACACGTAATAGGGAGTCCGTAGTAGACAAAGTGACTTACGTATACCATGCAACCAAAGAATTGCCGAATCATGAGATTTATACCACTCCTGATATCTTGTTTCTTTGAAGATCCACCCTCCAGTATTTTCTGTTCGGTCTTTGCAAGCCGCTTTGTGATGATCCTCATATGGTATGCCCGAGACCCATGCAAGCATGTCTCCCATTTCTTTCTCCTGCAAGAGTTCCCATGTTAAAGTAACCTTTGAATCGATCGAGTCTGCTAAATCTTGTATGACCGGCAAGGTCTGAAGCACCTTAAGAATCTCAGAAAACGCGGATCTATCGCAATTCCGTGCTTCGAAATCAGCACGGTTCTCACGATCTTGGCAGTCCTTCTCGAATCGGAGAAGCTCATCAGAAGTCCAGGCGGCGAAGGTTCTTTGGAAAGAGTTCTTTTCGTAGACCCGAATCGCAGTTGCCAAAAACCTCAATATCACGATGTAGAGTTCGATCAAAGCCTGACGAAGATTACTGCGTGCTTGGTCTGAAGTTTCATTCGCCGTAAGAAGAAGCTCATACAGCTGGCAACGATATAGCACGCAGAGGACCCGATTGAGGCCTCGAAGGAGCGCTTCCATCTGATCATGCCCCGATATAGCAGCCTGGAAATCTTAGTATCGAACCAATGAGGGACAATTTAGAGATTAGGTTACCTGAGCTAAGAGCCTAATACCAGCCCAGGGCAGTCCAGCATGAAGTGGATCAACGTTGACCGCGATGTCTCCTGCCGCTATGAACTTTTGCAGCCAGCTCAATACCTTGTCTGCGGTCTCTTTCAGTTCAATGGTACGGCCGAACTGTTGGAATCGCCATCTTTTGTCTTCGCAAATCTTTTGCTTATCCTGGACATATTGGATAATTAGACGCGGATTATAGGGTTGTCCAGTTGCTCCAGAGCGAGATATAGCCTCTCGCTCCTTGTCAGAGAGACGACTATGAGCTTCGGTCCATAGATTGCCACTTGCAATTGGAGGAATCGGTGCTGATGTACTTGGTATTGTTGCAGAAATTGGGGGGCCGGGATGAGAAGCAGAAGTTTTGCTTTGAGCATTGTTCCTCGAAGGAAACGATAACTTCGATAGTCCGGCTCTTAGGCCCATGGTAATCTATCGAATGGCGGAGCTTTGGACTATAGCGGACTTGGGAATTAACGGCAGATGTAGTTTCAGGGTTATGGACTAGACGAGGAATTTCCGGTAATATAGCTATTTGCAGAGACAGAACTGGCTTGCATATATATACTGCTCACACGATATTCGACGAGGGCAATAGTCACGCTAGAGCTCATGAGAAAGGATGCCAGCGCGTAGGATGTGCAGATTTCAAAACGCCGGTTGTTTTAGCGGCATCGATACAAGTAAAACTGACTAGGTGTTCATTGGGGCGGGAAAGGCTCTTTGCGGAGCGCGCTAAGTGACCGATTGTCAACCATGTGAATATAGATATAATTGAGAAATTGCGCCATGAAATTCTAAGACAAGCTCGGGCTCCTTAAAAGAATCATACTGAGCAAGTTACCGATTCTGCCGAAATCAGTAGAATTGGCTTGAAGAGTCCGCTCTGGAAGCAGTGGTCGTCTGATAGTCGTAACATCACAATGGTGATGTAGTTAACTCGCATAGCGCTTAAGTAGACAACAATAGAATTGTTCTAAAATTGCCTATGCTCGGTGTTTACAAGAGCTCAATCATTGGTCTGGATGATAATTGAAATGTGCATTTTCTCTGTACCGAGTCTTTCCCGATTCAATCCATAGTTACTGCAACAAGGGCATAAGGGTATTATACGACCAGTTCGGAGGATACCTCCCATCAGATTCGAAAAAGGGTAAAAATTGGTATTCAAAACAAATCATCTAGGCCAAACATGCCTATCCTGTCATGCGCCCTTTCCAATGAACTATTATACAGAAATTTGCAACATGGATCGTCAAATGTCCATGTTGCTTGTCCCATCGTCGACGCTTCGCCTATGCGATTTTCGGAGAGATAGGTCGAGTCGAACGAACGATGATTCAGGGTGTAAAATGAATTTACATGCTGCAAGTGTGTTAGTAACGGCGTCTTGGTTCGAGATCTGAACGCCGATCGACTCACGGAGGGAGGAGGAGCTCGCCGAGGCTGCTGTGGAGGAAAGCGACACCGGCCTAAAAGGGGAGAAATATTAGCTTTGTTTCTGAATCAATCATTGGGCATTTGAGTGGTAGCATACACCGAAGACCAGGAGGCTGCGGACAATGGTGGCGTTCTCCGGGTTGGTGGCCTCGTCGTAGACGGTGCTCAGGAAGCTCTTCTGAGGACGGGAGGAGTTGGCAACGGTGACACGCTTGGGGGCCATTTTGACGGATGTTATGAATGGTAGTTGGATGGAAATCAACAGAGAATATGGGTCGAGGTTGGAGGAGTGAATCGGAGAATGTCGAGAAATCTGCGGCCGCCGGGCCGCTTGGCGTCACTGCGTCTTTGGTTCGACTGGGTCACCCTATTACATTTCGCGGCGCGCGACAGCTGGAAATGCGACTGACTCCAGTCGTGTACGAGGAATGAACCTGCATTTCGAGCAGATGCTTTGATTCTGCTCTTTTTTGGTCTAAAATACCTGTCGGAGACATATCACGGCATATTGGCCAATACCAAGCACTACTTTGCCGTTAGACCACTTGCATCGCAGCAACCATGACGAGTGTCGACGAGCTCTTCAAAGTAAGTCCTACCGGAACTTGGATTTGCTCCGTTATGTGACCTAACAATATCCATAGAAGCCGCTTCCTGCAGGGAGCTCGAAGCGCAAGTTTGAGCCTGTCCAGGACCCTAGTACGCCCCCTCCTAATCCCCCGCATACGAGCCTCCGACAGCTTGCTAACAAAACACTCAAGATGAGCTATACAAAGCGGCCAAGCTGGACTCCAATGGCGACGTGAAATCAAAGGGCAAAGGGGCTATGGTGGAGGACGAATTCGACGATGACGATGGCGAGGCGGGACCCGAATTGCCCCCGGACTTTGAGGAAGACATCCCCGACGATGAAGAGGGCCGCTTTTTTCGGTGGAGGCATGGAGCAGAAGACTGCCCAGGCTATGCAATATATTGATCAGAATGAAGAGGATGAGGCTGCGGTAAGACTCCCCCGGGATTGAATGAGTGAATTCAGCTGCTAACAAGCTCTCCGAGCTATAGCCTGAGAAATTCGATGCCGCCTGGGTGCGCCGTTTCGCTCTGAATTTCGAGAAGAAAATATCCAAGAACGCCGAGCTTCGTGCTAAATTTGAGAATGACCCGCAAAAGTATGTTGGCCTTGTGCTGTAGTGCAGAGTACATGCTAACGACGACATGGCAGGTTCATGGCCTCAGAGGCTGACCTCGACACCGAGATCAAGGGACTGTCGATTCTGTCGGAGAATTCCGATCTCTATGAGGAATTTGCCAAGATGGGCTGTGTCGCCTCGTTGGTCTCGCTACTCTCGCATGAGAATGCGGATATTGCTATCGATACCATTCAGATCATCAGCGAACTAACTGATGAGGATGTCGAGGCTGAACAGGAGCAGTGGGATAGTTTGGTCAACGCTATGGTAAGAAAATTAGCCCAGTTGTTTTGAGTATCCATAGTATGGTGCTGACATTTGCAGATGGATGCCGATCTCATCGAACTTTTGACCCAGAATCTCTCTCGCCTTGACGAAAGCGCAGAAACTGACAGGACTGGTGTTTACTACATTCTTAGTAAGTTCGGCTTTCAATACCTGTAGTCTACAACCTAGTGTCGTCCAAGTCTGACATAATCTAGGTGTCGTGGAAAACCTATCGTCCCAATCCGCGCTTGCAGAGAAGATCGGACAAGATGCTTCCGTTTTGCCTTGGATTCTATCCCGTATACAGCAGAAAGAAGCCCCAGTGTCCCAGAACAAGCAGTATGCTGCGGAGATCCTGGCGATTCTTTTGCAATCCTCACCTAAGAACCGAGAAAAGTTTGTTGGGCTTGACGGTGTCGATGCTCTCCTTCAGCTCCTCAGTCAATACCGGAAACGGGACCCGGCGAAGGACTCGGAGGAGGAGGAATATGTCGAGAATCTCTTTGACTCCCTGGCTTGCATCGTTGATGATGATGCTGGCAAAGAGAAGTTCATCGAGGCGGAGGGCATTGAGCTGGCTCAAATCATGCTCCGGGAGAGCAAGTTTAGCAAGCCCAGAGCTCTTAAGATTCTCGACCACGCTCTTGGTGGCTCAGGGGGAGCCCCAGCGTGCGAGCGTCTGGTTGAGGCAGCTGGGTTGAGAACGATTTTCGGAATGTTCATGAAAAAGGCAAGAACCCGTTCTTCCAATTCACTAGGATGCACGTGGCTAACATCATGCAGCAAGAGGGTCAAAATACCGAGCACCTGCTGGGTATATTTGCTTCCCTTCTTCGCCTTCTACCCGGTGGTTCTGCCCCGCGTATCCGAGCTCTTGCCAAGTTCATGGAGAAGGATTACGAGAAGATTGAGAAGCTCATCAAGCTGAGACGGGAATATGCGGCCCGTGTATCTCCCGTCGAGCAGGCCATTGAGAAGGAGCGCAAAGGTCTCTCGCAAGATGACCAGGAATTTATGGCTGGCGAGTGGTTGTCACGCCGGTTCGACGCTGGTTTGTTCTCTTTACAGGTAAGTTGTCTCTTTTTCATATCTTCTCGCAAAAGGCTCCTTGTTTGCTAATGGCCGGTCTAGACCATTGACGTTATCTTGGCATGGCTGGTCGCCGAAGACGATGGAGCGAAGAAAAAGGTTGTCTCACTTTTGGCAGACCGCGATGAGGATCTGTCCTTGGTTCGGGGTACTCTACAGGGTATGAGCCTACTGTGATCTGAGTAATTGCATAGCTAACTGTTGCAGAACAACTGGAAGGACTTGGAGAGGAGGACCAAGGTCAAAAAGACTTTAAGGATATGCTGAGCACTTTATTGCAATTTGTTTGAGCAAGTTAGAGAGCTAAGCAGCACCTTGTAGCATACTTCTTAGTGCCATATTATTTTACTTTTCATTATTACCTGGACCCGAAGTATGAGTTCTTTAACCTTAATAATTGAGTCCCCTTGTAGCATATGCAAAAATACCATAATGTCGGACCTCTGACTACTAGCTATCGCAAGCAAATAAAAAGGCACCTCCCCAGGACTTGAAATAGATATCTCTCACTATTTTTTCCTTCTCCACTTAGGATCAACCCCATGGTACATTTGCTGCCTCCGTAAGCAAACATCCACGTGATGTGAGTCACGTGGCTGGAATATTTCCATATCGGGTCTAGCTTACTTCGACCGCGCCGAAGCATCAAGATCCTTGGAGATCAATCAGCCAGACCTTTCATCTTGCCACGCCTGGGAGATCCTCATCCATCCCACCGAGCTCTCACGTCGCTCTATCCCTTGTCTGTGACGCTTGCAAGCAAGGTTCTTCTTTGCCAGCCACTGACAGGCGGGTGTCGCAGCGCGTTGGGTGACTCTCAGATCACTTCCTTCTCTCGCCGCCGACGCGCCCTCCCTGCGCCCTCCGCGGATCCCTCCCTCTCATCTTTCTTTCCCACCTTCCCCCCTCACCCTCCCCAACCTGTGGACGACTCCAGGAACCTCGAAATACCGCAATCATGGCGGACTACGACGAAGCTTACGAGGAGCAGTTCTACGACGATGCGGAGGATGGAATCACCTCCGAGGACTGCTGGACGGTGATCTCGTCGTTCTTCGACGTGAAGGGTCTCGTTTCTCAGCAGCTCGACTCCTTTGACGAATTCATTTCTTCGACTATGCAAGAGCTGGTGGAAGAACAAGGACAAGTGGTTCTCGACCAGACCGTACCCCCCGATGAGGATGAAGCCGAGCCAGTCGTCGTGCGCCGATTCGAGATCAAATTCGGCACTGTCATGCTTACCAGACCGTCCGTAACGGAAGACGATGGATCGACCGTGAGCATGTTGCCTCAAGAGGCGCGTCTGCGAAACCTCACCTACGCCAGTCCCCTCTACCTCACCATGAAAAAATATGTCACAGAGGCACGCGAGTGTCAGGTGGCTGACCGCGACGACGATGAAGCTGGCGAGGCCGAAGAAGAGCACAAAGACCGCGGCACATACCTCAAGTGGCAGGCCAGGGAACAAGATTCAGCTTGGCAGGAGGAGGAGACGATTTTCATCGGCAAGATTCCCATCATGCTCAAGTCCAAGTACTGCTGCTTGAAGGAATCGCCGGAAGAGCGCCTCTACGGCTGGAACGAGTGCCCCTACGACTCTGGTGGTTACTTCATCATCAACGGTAGTGAGAAGGTGTTGATCGCGCAGGAGCGCAGTGCTGGAAACATCGTGCAGGTCTTCAAGAAGGCCCCTCCTAGCCCGACACCATATGTTGCCGAAATTCGAAGTGCCGTCGAGAAGGGATCACGACTGCTCTCTCAACTTGCGCTCAAGCTCTTCGCCAAGGGTGACAGTGCCAAGGGCGGCTTCGGTCCGACCATCCGTTCGACTCTGCCTTACGTCAAGTCTGACATTCCCATCGTTATCGTTTTCCGAGCCCTGGGCGTTGTGTCTGATGAAGATATTCTTAACCACATTTGCTACGACCGCAATGATACCCCTATGCTGGAGATGTTGAAGCCGTGTATCGAGGAAGGTTTCGTCATTCAGGACCGTGAAGTTGCTCTCGATTTCATCGCCAAGCGTGGCTCCTCTCAGTCTAATTTGAACCACGAGCGGCGTGTGCGCTACGCGCGAGAGATTATGCAGAAGGAGTTGTTGCCCCATATTTCGCAGAGCGAGGGCAGTGAGACCCGAAAGGCCTTCTTCTTGGGTTACATGGTCCACCGTCTGCTGCAGTGCGCTCTCGGCCGCCGTGATGTCGACGACCGTGATCACTTCGGAAAGAAGCGTCTGGACTTGGCTGGTCCACTTCTGGCTGGTCTCTTCCGTGTTCTTTTCACTCGCGTCACCCGTGACTTGCAGCGCTACATGCAACGATGCGTGGAGACCAACAAGGAGCCTAACCTCCGCATTGGTTTGAAGGCTGCCACTCTGACTGGTGGTTTGAAATATGCCCTGGCTACCGGTAACTGGGGTGAGCAGAAGAAGGCCGCCAGCTCCAAGGCTGGTGTGTCCCAGGTGCTGAGTCGTTACACCTTTGCTTCCAGTTTGTCCCATCTCCGCCGTACCAACACCCCTATCGGCCGTGATGGTAAGATCGCTAAGCCTCGTCAACTCCACAATACTCACTGGGGTCTTGTGTGCCCAGCTGAGACACCCGAAGGTCAAGCTTGTGGTCTCGTCAAGAACTTGGCCCTCATGTGCTACATCACCGTTGGTACGCCCAGCGAACCCATTGTTGATTTCATGATTCAACGGAATATGGAAGTTCTCGAAGAGTTTGAACCCCAAGTCACTCCCAATGCCACCAAGGTGTTTGTGAACGGTGTCTGGGTCGGTATCCATCGTGATCCTACCCATCTTGTCAACACTATGCAGTCTCTCCGTCGGCGCAACATGATCTCTCACGAGGTCAGTCTGATTCGTGACATCCGTGACCGAGAGTTTAAGATCTTCACAGATGCTGGACGTGTGTGCCGACCTCTGTTCGTGGTTGACAACGATCCCAAGAGTGAAAATGCCGGATCATTGGTCCTCAACAAGGAGCACATTCGCCTGCTGGAGCTGGACAAGGATTTGCAGCGTGAACTCCCTCCGGAGCAGCTTCGTGAGCAAGGCTTCGGATGGGATGGTTTGGTCAGATCTGGTGTTGTGGAATACGTGGATGCAGAGGAAGAAGAGACGATCATGATCGTCATGACCCCCGAGGACTTGGAAATCTCCAAGCACCTCCAAGCTGGCTACTCCTTGCCGGAGGACGATAAGAACGACCCCAACAAGCGGGTACGCACTGTCAGTCAAAGGGCGCACACCTGGACGCATTGCGAGATCCACCCCAGTATGATTCTGGGTGTGTGTGCCAGTATCATTCCCTTCCCTGATCACAACCAGTCGCCTCGTAACACCTACCAGTCTGCCATGGGTAAGCAGGCTATGGGTGTGTTCCTCACCAACTTTGCACAGCGCATGGAGACCATGGCCAACATTCTTTACTACCCCCAAAAGCCTCTTGCTACGACCCGGTCGATGGAGTTCCTCCGCTTCCGTGAGCTGCCAGCCGGTCAAAATGCCATTGTGGCTATTGCTACATACTCTGGTTACAACCAGGAAGATTCCGTCATTATGAACCAAAGCAGTATTGATCGCGGTCTGTTCCGCAGTCTGTTCTACCGCACATACACTGATTCTGAGAAGACTGTGGGCACATCATTCGTCGAAAGCTTTGAGAAACCCATGCGAACTGAGACGCTTGGCATGCGCAAGGGTACCTACGACAAGCTCGACGAGGATGGTATCGTTGCTCCTGGTGTTCGTGTCTCCGGAGAGGACATCATTATCGGCAAAGTTGCGCCTCTCGCCCCCGATGCAGAGGAACTCGGCCAACGCACCAAAGCACACACCAAGATCGACGTGTCGACGCCGCTTCGTAGCACTGAGAACGGTATCGTCGACCAGGTTGTCATCTCAACTGCTAATGATGGTCTGAAGTTCGCCAAGGTCCGCATGCGTACCACCAAGATTCCCCAGATTGGTGACAAGTTTGCTTCTCGTCACGGTCAGAAGGGTACCATTGGTATCACCTACCGCCAGGAGGATATGCCCTTCAGTCGCGAGGGTTTGACGCCTGATATTATTATCAACCCCCACGCCATTCCATCCCGTATGACCATTGCTCACTTGATCGAGTGTCAGCTGAGTAAAGTCTCTGCTCTGCGTGGCTTCGAAGGTGACGCTACGCCTTTCACCGACGTGACTGTCGACTCCGTCTCGCGCCTGCTCCGTGAACACGGTTACCAGTCCCGTGGTTTCGAGGTCATGTTCAACGGCCACACCGGCCGTAAGCTTGTTGCACAGGTGTTCTTGGGCCCGACTTACTACCAGCGTCTGCGCCACATGGTAGACGACAAGATCCACGCTCGTGCCCGTGGTCCAACCCAGATTCTCACCCGCCAGCCTGTGGAGGGCCGTGCGCGTGACGGTGGTCTGCGTTTCGGAGAGATGGAGCGCGATTGTATGATCGCCCACGGTGCCAGTCACTTCCTCAAGGAGCGTCTGTTCGATGTATCGGATCCGTTCCGTGTTCACATTTGCGACGACTGCGGTCTGATGACTCCTATCGCGTAAGTTTCCTTCCCCCACTCCAGTTCAAAAACCAAATACTAACATTTCCCTCCAGTAAACTCAAGAAGGGTCTCTTCGAGTGCCGTCTTTGCAACAACAAGCACCGCATTTCCCAAGTCCACATCCCATACGCCGCCAAGCTTTTGTTCCAGGAGCTGGCCTCAATGAACATTGCCGCTCGGATGTTTACCGACCGATCCGGAGTATCGGTGCGGTAAAGCACACACACAGAGTTCTGGTCCTTTGCACAGCTGTGCGTTGATTGTTACTCCCGACTTCCTCTTCCTTTTTTATCTTGTATTTTAATGATTTGCTCGAAAAACTCCTGTCCGTGGGGACTTCTGCTGCGGCGTCGGGAAGGGTTTATCATGGCCGAAGCATTCTCCTTTTCATCTGGTCATACATAGTTGGAATCACAAACCTTTGTCTATGTTTTTGTGTCTTGGGTAGTTGTAATCTTAATGGCTTGTCTAACACTTAAAACCTAATCGACACTGGCTTAGACAAGTCCAAGGGGCAATCAGCTCGTTAGTCTGGGGAATTGTTCGGTCAGACTGTGGACTAAGTTGATTAACTCCAAATGAAGTCAGTTGATCATCTTTGGAAGAAATAGAACCTTGTTGGAGATATGGGATGAATCAATATGTCCAGCCACACATCCAGTTTTTACTTCTCTCTGCTGGTAATCTACTCGGTCTAGCTTCTGCGTATGCCAAGGCATTCCGAGCCTTTAAAACTTGGACTCAGCATTGAGGTCAGACTACCCCCACGATTCTCCATGCAGTGCACATTGCCAATGGCTTGAATAAAGAGTAAGTTGGAAGGACAATCCGATGGATGTACTTGACAATGAAATAACGAAATGGTATTGAGCACCCAAAGCCTAGACGCCTACCTAATACATACAAGGAAAAAAAAAGCTATGTGTAGCGACAGATACTAGATACAGATGGACTTGTCTTTGATAAGTCATGAAGTTAATCCCAATCGTCCGAGAACCGGTTTCAAAAGTTCTTAGTTCCTTCTAAACGATCCCCGAGGATCTCTTCTTCTTTTTCTTCTTCAACTTCTTCTCGCTGGTTGCAGGGCTAACCATCACCTCCGCCATCTCCTGGATCTTGCCCGACATACGAGACTTTTTGCTCGAGGGGGGACCATCATCACCGGTCACCTTAGACACCGACACCGGACCACCCTGCGACGTAGGACGTTCCGGGGATGTCGGGAATGGACTCTGAGTGAGATCGATGATTTCAGAGGTCTGTGAGAAATTCGGTTGCGAAGCAGACATAGGAGCGTGGCGTTTTGAGCGGGTTGAAGCCGCGGGCGAGTCGTACTGGAACAAGGAATCTGTGTTCAGGTTTGGCGAAGAGTGTGGTTCTGGTTCTTGTTGTGCGCTTGTTGGGGGTTTAGAAGATGGATGTGGGTTTGGGGAGAGATGACGGCTTTGGTTGCTATGAATTACGCTGTCGTGGTCTTCTGGGGAATTCACATCATTGTCGGCTTCGTCTTTTTCTTGATCTGTGTTGTCTCCTTCTGGCCAGCCGCTTTGCAGGAGTTCCAGAATGCTGGCTCCCTGAGAGGATGTCGGTTTGACGGACTTTTCGTCTTGTGCGATACTAGGGCTGGCTGAGATATGGCTGCGAACGGGGGTTGACTTTCCAGAGGCATGTTCAGTTGGGTTGTGTACCACTGACAAGAGCGAATCGTTGCCCCCAGAGACCAAAGTATCGTCTACGACCTGGCGATCTTGCTGGGTACTATCCTGCAGAAAATCGGAGAACGATTGGTTGGCAGATAGGAATGACATGGTCGAATAATCTTGATGAGAGTTGTCCGCAGCTAGCATCGACTGATCTCCGATGAGCGTGTGGCCTTCTAGATTAGACTCTCCGGTTTCATGGAAGCGTGGACCTAACCTCGCACCCGGCGACGACCGCGCAGAATGGAATCCAGAGAAAGACGGCGAAGGAACGGCAGGTGTGTCGCTGTGCTCATCATCCGCATCTCCGCTCCGCGTAATGATAATTCGCGTACCACCGGGGGTTCGGCCGGAAAGCATTTCAGAAGCTCTCGCAGGAGAACCATTTGGAGACTGGGGACAACTGGTAGTGGTGATAGTGGTGACGAACGTGGTTTCATCTAGGTCCATATCGATAGGCGGAGGCGGCGAGGTCAACTGGGGATTGGGCATGGAATCCTCAACTACAGATTCACTTTGAACGAGGTGAGCGCATGTAACAAGAGACCAAGGGTAAGTTCACTGACTTGCTACCTTCTCTGGGGTTGTCCTCCGTTGTGGCCTTCTTTTCATTCCCATTCGCCGCGTCGTCTTTCCCTTCAGGTGCAGGCCGCAGCAGCTTGGGCTCGCTGAGTTCGGCAAACGCAATCTCACGGTAGCCATCGTCTTCTTCATCTTCGTCATCCATCCCAGGCATTTCAAATCCGCTGTACTCGCGACCTTGGTCATCTTCTGGGTCAATCTCCGCTGCCTTGGGCCGTCGGTCGCGCACAGCAAGACGAACATTGAGATTGCCATGGCCAAGAACTTGATGGACCTCGGCGACACGATACTCTGACATTTGAGGTTGCCAATTGGTCGCTTTGGACAAGTCCAACTGTCGGAAAGCGATGATTGCCCCGACCTTTGCATCGCCTTCAACCAAATCCGCAACGGAGCTGGGCTCGCTTGGCATAGTAGGGAGATCATCGACCACGTGAGCTTCAGCGGCTTCGTGGTACGCTTCAGCGTTCTCCTGATAACTCTCCATATTCGTAGTCTCATCCTCCGCTGTAGGCCATTCGTTGTCGTAGTTGAGTTGCATGTTGTTCTCATAACCATCGTAGCCATTGCCATCTTCATACTCGCCCTCTTCTTCTCCGTTGTAGACTTGGATTCTCTGCTTGCGCTTGCGCTTCTTGCCCCAGCCCTTTCGTTGCCGGATGAGGGCATCTGCATCCTCATCCCAACGCTGCTCGAATGGGAATGGCGGGGCACTCAACTCGATGTCATCATAGATACACTCGACAGCTTTGATGACCAGCTTGTTCTCCCAGTCATTGTCTCCATCACTCTCTTCCACCATCTCTTCGGCCGGCTGTGGTTCTGATACCTTCCGAGAATGGACCGTACTAGCCTTGGCAGCTAGCTTTCTCCGTGTGGCTTCCTCGTCCTCCTCGGTCTTTGGCGTACGAACTCCCAGAGATCCAAACAGCAGCCGCCGCGAGCTCGCAATGTCGAGAGTGCGTCGATTAGAAGTCTCTGCCTCGGCCTTTTCAGCCGTAGCCTTCTCCGTGGAGACCGCTTCTTCCACGACAGCAGGCTGCGAAGGAGGCATATTTTCCTTCTCGGAGGTCTTGTCAATATCAACACCTCCACTAGCCAGAGCACGGAGTAGCTTCTCTCGCTTGGCTTGGAACTCGCGCTGTTCCTCCTCCTTCCGCTGTGCCTTGGTGGTAGCCGTAGTAGACAATATGCTTGTCTCATCGGGAACGTGCCAGCCTCCGTTTTGCTCCTCCCATGTGCGAAGAGCTGCAAAGTCGGCTTCTTCTGGAAGAACACCCAGCTCCTTCAACTTGGATAGTCTGCGTCGCAGCTTGAAGCGCTGGTTGCTTTTCTTGGTTCGGGTAGATCCCTCTCCGGGAGGGTTGATAATCATGGGTTGAATCATCTTTTGGGGAGGCAGGTCAACTTCCTCGTCCTCAGACTCGGACGTGTCCTCTTCTGAGCTCGAGCTCGAGTCATCAGAGTCAGAGGATGAAGAAATAGATGATTCCTCTTCCGAGGACTCCTCGTCTTCATCTTCATCTTCCTCCTCATCTTCATCACCGGAGTCGGACTCAGACTCGGCGCTCAAGTCGCTGGTCACCGAAGAAGCCGAGGACCCCCTGAGGAAGTCATTGTCCGAGATTCCGGGAGCACCGTGTTTAACTTTATCAAACCTAACGGCCTTCGACGATCTAGGCGAAGAATCCTCTCCACGAGATCGTTTGCTTGACAAAGAGGATGCCCCGACAAGAGAGCTTTTGCCTTGGGTATCCGCCGACGATGGTCGCTTAGCGATAGAACTGGCGCGAAGAGCATGGCCAGCAGACACTTGACTTTGCGCACGAATATCAATAAATTGAGACGCAGGCTCTTCAAACTCCTCCTTGAGAGCCTTGAGTTCATCTTCGAGTTCATCCGCTTCGGCCGCAGAATCAGCTGCTTCCTCCTCGGACACATCTGATTCATCCTCTGACCCATCTGTCTCATTGTCTGTGTCTCCAGAATAGTTGACAGGGTGTCTGATCACGGTTCCCATGTCAGAGACCTCGTGGTCTGGGGGCAAAATCGAAAGCTCTTTTCCAAAGGCGGCGTTATTTGGAGGCAACCATTCTCCATCACCCGCATCCTCAGCATTCACACCAGCATTCGCATCTTCATATCCAAACGCTGGGCCCTGGTCCCAGCCGGAGAAAACAGTCCGTCGTTTCTTTCTAGGCGGAATGGTGATCGCAGGTCGGGTGGCGGTAGTTCGCTTGTAGAAAGGCATACCGAATGGCACACCGTCGATGAGATGCTTGCCATCACCGGTGATTTGGTGACGACCGCAGAGCCGTCGAGCGCGAAGGTCAGCCAGCTGGAGCGCTCGAATACTGCAACACAAGTAAGTAAAGTCAGTCATCCGCGAGAATTATGTTACCAACAAAAGGAGAACCAGGGGAGTCTTACACAACTTCGTCACCATCCCTCAACAGCCCATCCACCTCCATGAAATGCAGACATTCAGACCCGCCAACCTCAACCACGTAGTCCTCCAATCCCCACTGGCCACTGAACTCGGGATCGAATATGGTAGGCTCGGTCTCTAGCGGTACAACCTCATTCACATCCTCCAGCAACTGCGCGACCGTATACCCACCATTGGCAAAGGCGATGTTCGGTGTCCTCGACGAGGCAACCATGGACGCCGAGGCCGGGTGGTGGGTGCCATATTCCCCTAGTGCAGAGGACGAGGATGTTGTCGTCCACAGAATACGGGTAACCGGGAGGCCATGGCGTGAGATAACAAGGTGAAGGCGCATGGTGCAGCTAGTGTCGGAGCTAGACCATTGAGACGAGGGTAGCGGAGCGGTATGTTGTTGAAGCTTGAGGCGTTCTTTCAAGATTGCGCGTGTTGTCCTTCGGCTTGACTGGAGGGCCGGGTGGGTATTGGTGTGCGGGTTGATATTGCCGTTTCAAGAGCAATCGGTCTGAAAGAATTCAACGGTGGGGAATTGATCGAGGCCCAGCGAAACGGGCGTGATGGAGAGAATCGGTGAATGAGGAAATCGTGCAGCTCCTCCAAAGAGCTTCCGCGGATATGCGCTAACCCCATTTGGTCTAGTGTCTTAGGCTGCGATCAACGCTAGAGCATTGCTAAAAGTACTATAAATTGCTATGTATTCAATTGAACGATAATGTCTATTTCAAATCCTATCAGAGAGACTGGGGATTTCTTTAGTCTTAGTATTATCCATACAGCACAAAACTCCATGCGATGCTGTGCTTGTTGGGATCATTGCGTTGAGGGAGGGGTGCAATAAGCAAATATACAACATGCGGATCAGAAAAAGATGGGTGTTTGGAAAAGACCAGTGAGATCCGTTAGCCCATGGCAGAGCACTGACCAAAATAGCCTGATTATTTTCTGAAACTTGTCAGTATCAAGGTGATGCTGCGGCATCCGCAAACACTCCAAGTTTTACGGTTGCTATTGACCTGGTATGATAATGATTGCACTCTGTTATAGCCACAGTGGCTCCATTGATTCAAAATCGAACATGGTATGTATAATTGCTCCTTTCTAAACCATTCCCCGGCGTATTACAATCAGACCTGCTAAGAATATCAGTATCCCCACAAATGCAGCAGGCTCCAGACAAAACAACCAAAAAGCCTAGTCTCTAGGAAATGATCACAACAAAGGGTATCGGGCAATGCAGTTGGTGGTAATGATGAGGGTGATGAGAGTGGTGTGATGATGGGTTAGTCCAGCTATTCGCTGGGTGGATATGAATGTTCTAGCAGGTGCGACTTTCGCATTGCTGTCAGACATTGAAGACACAAAGACCAGCTCTAGTGCGGCCTATTCGAATTCTGCGGTACAGGTTTCCTCGTCGGCACACCCAAATTCATAGGCCGCAAATTATTCCTGGAAGGCTGCCGTTCAACCGCATTCAAAGGCTGCAGCTGCGTCTCCGCAACAGGCTGATACTGAGGGGGGCTTTCTTCGCTAGCCTGATTCCTCGGAACCTTCATCATACTCTGGGAACGTCTAACCGGCGATGCAGGCGGAGATCCAGAGTGCGACTCAGGCGGGGTGGTGGGTAACATGTCAAAGGACTCGGAGGAAGAACGGCCGTCACGGGTAGGAGGAGTCCATGAACCCTCGGCTGCGGGACCATCCTCACGGGCCTTTCCCGTTCGGGCTGGGGATTTGGCATCAGCTCCAGATTCCACTGTTCTTCGGGAGGAAGAGGCGGCTGGTGGGTGATACTCGCGGCGTGGTCCATCTACCGGGCTTAGATTCTCTGCCATTGCGTCCTCGTAGCTGGGGGGTGCGTCGTCGTAGACTGCGCCTGCATCTGCTGGGATGGGTTCTGTGCTGGGTCGTGGAGGCATGGGAGGTCGGTTGGCCTCGTTCGATGTGGGTCTGGATGGTCCGGAGGTTGGCTTGGAAGGTGATTGTAGTGGGGCGGCAGCTGCCATGGCATCTAGCAGGGCCTGAGGAGGTGCGATTCCAGAGTAGACCTTGATGGGCATTCGCAAGGGAAGCACAATAAGTTGAGGCTGTGAGGATATAATATTAGGACGTGGAACGGGATAGATCTGATTATCGAGGCCTACCTTCATATTCCCGGTTGTGCCGTGAGTCAGCCCAACTCGAACTTCCAGTTCGTAGCTTCTCTCGATATTGCACGTCTCAAATGAGGGCGCAACCGAGTTAGGAAGTGGTAAGGTACTCCATAACTTGGGATCAATGGTCCATTCAGTGCCAGCAGGATCTCCTGGCTGTCCCAGGGCCAAGCTCATATTACTCCGACTCATGACAACCCATGAGCCGCTTTCCTGTCGCGTCAAATCATGTGCAAGAATCTTAGTGTAGGAGATAAGTTCAATTTGGAGCATTTGCAGGAAGATTGTTTCCGGGGAATCAGACAGCTTTTTCGCCATCAGCCGAAGCGGAACTGGTTCGTTGAGGGTGAGAATTGAGGGGTTTGGAAGTCGAGCATCGACTGAGACTCGGGGAGGCTCTGTCTCCACTTCACGGAACGGATTGGTACTCCGATTGAAGATGCTGCTCTTCTTCCTTGGAGCATTCCGCGGCATTTTAGAGAATTGATGTTGTCGCCGAGCGTATGTCTCCTCATTGGGATTCCCGATTCTGGGTGGCTCGATTGGGAGGAAGTTCAATGGGACAATCTGGAATATTGGTCAGTCAAGCGGGTCCCATTGGAGGTGAAGCACCTTTTTTCTCCCGGCGATATGAACATACTGAACGGATATTCTCCTTATAGAACTGGGGTCTGATGACGGTGACCTTGATGAAATACTCGATTTCGGCCATACCGGGAAACCCACTCAAGGATGGAGGTAGTGTTTTTTTGACATGTCGGGTGGTATCGCGGGCCATCTCCACCTTCAGCCCTGTAGTGACCAGGTTGGTTCGCATGCTATTGGTCGCAGTGCAGGAGTTATTGAAAGGGAACTATACAACAGTCAGAACAAGCTTCAAGATATATGTATACAATTGTATATATTCGAATAACTGACCTTAAAGTTGAACGGGTATTCATAGGATCCAGGCGCAAAGGTGTACGAGGTCGCTGGTGAACCTGTCTGCATAACAGCCGGCGTGGGGAAGACGGTCGCAACCTTGTAGAGGATCTGCGAACGAAGTCAGTAAATATTGCCCATGCCATACCCTTGCAAAACCAAGGCTGCAGTAGCAATGAAGCTACAACCTCGAAGAGTCTCTCACCTTGTGCACCTCCAGCTCCGTCCGTTTCTTATCCGAGTTCACATGGTGTGGATGGCGAGGGCCGGACAGCCGGGTACGGCTCACGCCCTCCAGCTTGACCTGAATACCTCCAATTGCGGCTTCGGTCGGCAGCTGTAGCACGACCTTTCCCGATAGAAAATCGAGATTGGTATAGTGCGTGTGTCGGCTGTCCAGGAAGATTGTTGCGGACATGGCGGCGAGCGCCCGGGGCCCCGGAGTTCTCGGTCTCGGTCTCGGTCTTCCGGTGTCGATCTTCGTAGGACTAGGGGGAGGATTGATCGGTTCGGAAGCGTGGATCGGGTTCGCGAGGAGAGTCGAATAGTCGATCGTCTAACTGACGTGAAGAGTGGAGCAAGAGGGAGAATTTGTATGGTAGTGGGATGTCAAAGGAGGGGAGGAGTGCGGATTAAAAAGCTGAGGGTAGCCAAGAATGACGTTGGGGCTGTCGGATCAACTGATTTCAACAGCTCGGAACTAAGGCAACTCAGAAACCCACCGGTTCCTCCAAGCTCCTTAGAAATAAATTGATTAGTTAGGGGTCTAGTTCCATGCTCGGGCATTAGTTTAAGTGTTGGAGCTGCGCCTCATCGAAAGCCACTAAGCCACCCTTGTCCATGGATTCATTGTGGTTCATGCCCGGGTACATGAAAAGTTACAAGTTTGGTATCAGATACCTATAGGTTGACAATTGAGCTCTACATAGTCTATAATTTATACTATTCTCTAACTACAGAGAAGATATTCAGAGTCATGATTGATTGAAGTTAAAATAGGTCCTTCAATGAAAACTGTGCCACCGTGACTTGGAAAATTCTAGATTGTATACAACTCATGCCAGGGCTCCAGGCACCCGAATTTCCGCCCAGTCAAATCCCCCAGTTAACCAGCCTGACAGCGGCGATGAGCAATTGCGCCCCCCTTGACATAACAAGAATAGATAATCATGCAGTATTATGCAACCTGAATTTTGATACGGGGTACATTTGTGTCAGGAGGTGTCAGGAGGTGTTAGTGACTGGAAAGTAAATGCCGAGATCGATTTGTGGATCGGTGTTCGTATACTCTGCAATTTCGCATAAGCCACGATCCACAATGTGCTTGCAGGAATAGTTCTAGAACAAAGGCAATGGCTTTTAAATAATGATATTCCATAACAATATACAAGTATTAGCATCAATGTACAAGCAGTAGGAAAATAAAAAATGCAAGGGTATCCAAAATCTAGGTATGCCTATGCCACCGTCATGACTGCTACAAACAACCAACACCACCCTTAACTCATAGACCCTCATTCGCCAACATATCTAACCAAAATCATAAATCAGTAATCGCATTTTAAACCCCAACTCGATCTTCTCCATACCTGCAATGTCCAAGTAAAACGCAATAGCATTGAACTTTCGCGGGTTACCCGTCACCTCCGCAGTCAGCCACTTCAACCGATTCGTCCAATTGATTAGATCAAGATGGCTGACGCCTACCAACGTCCCTTTGTATCCTGCTTCGCCACCCCAGAGACTGCTGGCTACGCTGACAAGTCCGTCATTGGGACCTTCGGCTTGGGCGAGGATCCGGTGCGATAGTCGGAAAACGGACCATAGACTAGGTTGGACGGATGCGCCGTAGGAGAAGTACCTGACGTCGTCTATGTCTGGTGTGTTTGGGTTGAATGTTTCGGACATGTACTTTCGGGTCAACTGGGCGAAGGCGCCGGTCTCGATGTTAAGTTTGTTTAGGGTATAGTATATCTGTGGCAGGAGCTCGGCTGGATTCTTCAATGAGCGCGAAGTCCTGCATAGTTCCGAGAGAGACTGTATCGACGTACCTCCGATGTGATCAAAACAAAAATCGGCAACGGCAGACCCTATTGCGAGAAAGATCAGCGTCTGCGTAAACAGGAACTCCAAGGACTGCACCGACATACCTCGATGGGGCGTCGCAATGGTAGTGAGCGACAACACTTTGAATTTCTGCGGCTGGAGACGACTAATCATGTATCGAGAATCAAGGCCCCTTTGCGAGATGCGATTAGATCTTGGATCAAAAAGGGTGTTGCGAGTTGTATCTCACCCCTGTGTCCGAATTAGTCCCTTCTTATCACCAGCAGTAGATCAAGAGTATAGCTTACCATGCTATGACTGTGCAAGTACAGTCCATTGTCAGCTTCCATACGCCATCTGTAGATATTCAGGGCATCACACATACGCAATGATATTCACATCCTTCCCCCGCGCCCCAGCCTCGATATCCCGCGCCAGCTCCTCCGCACGTTCCTCAATGGAAGCCGACGGCGGTACCGTAGCTGTAATAACCTCAACACCCTGCGCCGTCAGCGCCTCCTTAATCCCGCGCCAGTATTGCACGCCCGGAAAGTAGCGGCCCGCAAGCCGAAGTTCATCGAAGCCGAGAAGACCATGGGCAAGGACGACGGGGTGTTTCGGGGCATCTGCAGCGCGAACCATAAACTTAGCAGCTACTCAGTAAGATAATATGGCCTGTTTTCAATGCGCACCGTAGCGGTCTCGGACTACCGAGTATTGATCGTGGATGACTCGGCCATGATCCTCCAGTCGCGGCTCGAGGATAGATCCCGAGCTCTTTTGGGACGAGTGATATGTTCGGCTTTTAAAATGAGTGACTCCTAGGCGAATAGAACGTCGGGCTAAGGGGCTGCCGGCCGTTCTTGAGATAGCAGCTGCATATCCCATGGTCGGCTCATTTGCGCAACGCGGTTGGAGCTTGGGAGGAATGACGCAACGGATAGACATCATGCTGGTGCCTGAGGCTGCCGTCCGGGGTATGCAGCGATCTTCGCTGATGTCTACGAACAGAACATGGATTCTAAGGACTTGTTTGGCATTTAGAATCAAGTTGAGCCTTGAATTGTGCTAAACATCAATTACTATAACTATGTCTCATGAAATATAGACTGTGTTCGGTATTGACACGGTGATGTTCCGTACACTCATGGTGTTCCTGTCAAATCAAATACAGTATATATACGGAGTACCTGGGCCTTGGATTAGCATTTAGCGACATCTCCTATCCTCTGATACAAGATGGCGAAGCCGTCACAAATGCAAGTCATGCAAGGAATGAAATCATATTTCCCGAAGATTGGATATCGATGAACAGCCACGAAAGCGCATCTTTCTAACAACCGCAATACAAGAAAACAAAGAAGCCAAGAATGTCCAACTCTATGCCTGCACAATCTTCTCCGGCACTTGGGGCTTCACATCGGTTGTCGCCTTGATAAGGTCTTCCACAACCTTGTCGCCATGCTTCTTGCCGGCAGCCTGGATCTCCTTGAGCTTCTCCTCAGCCTCCTTGTTGGCCTCCTCCTCGGCCACCTTGAATCCGCTCGAGTGCTGGAAATTGCGAAGTAGTCAGTGGGGTTGCTCTTCAATGCAAAGGTGTATAGCTATTCCATCTCAGCGCGGGGATCTCACCTCGGCCTCGAACTTCTTGTATTCTTCTTCCTTCTGGTTGCGGTACTCTTCAATCTCCTTCTGAGCCTCAGCCTTGGCGTCTCTTATCCGCTTGGTGCGATCTGCAGTAGAGAGTATGGTCAGGTTGCAAGCGCACGTCTATCGGGGAGTCGTAATCTCGTACATTCTCTGGCTATAAACGATCGAGCAAGTCAGTACATAATCGAAAGCAATGGCGGGGGACGGAATGCGGGGATAACCAACCTTGCTGCACAATCTTCTGAGCCTCTCTCTCGGCCTGAAACCAGTATTAGCGCTCTTGATCTACCGGGTTGCTAACGTCTCGGGAGCACGTACATCGAGGAGGGTCTGAATGCCCGCGGAGTTCTGAGCCGACTAGATCAACGACAGCAGTTAGCATGGTTCACTCAACACAATTCTCCCTGCTATCTTGATCTCACCATCTTTGCCCACAAACCCCTCTTAATATCCGATGAAAAGAGGTGACAAGGAAACGATAATAATGCGGCAACAAGGATGCGGAGCTTGGAGCTCGATCAGCCACGCATGACCCCCCAAGGCGGTGGGGACGTGTACTGCCAACCATCTCCGCCTTGAGATAGGCACGATTACTCCGCCGCCCATTTTGGCCGATCGGAAGGTCCAGGCTTGCCTCAACATCCATTGAAGACCGACTTTGTTGCTTGCATTGTGCATATTTGCATTTTGAGATTATCTGCTCAATTATACATGTCTCGAGCATCAAAGCTGACCCTGGCCGCCACGGGCCTGGGCACTGCGGGCATTGTCTACTTTGTTCACTGGGCCCAAGAAAACGATAGGGCGGTACGTACTGCATCTTGATTGTTGCTTGATGAGATACTAATGATTTACGCTGTGATACAGGCTATGCACAGAGGTGTCGAACGCGATATGGAAAAGCAACGAATCCGTCAAGAGCGACAGGCCGAGTTCGAGTTGCAAAAACGCCTGGAACAGGAATACCTCAAGCTCCAAACCGTTCACAGCACGACCGACGGCACAGATACTGCAGGTCAGAGTACAAGTACGGGTTCATGACAGTGAGATAGAGGTTGCGTGTAGGAATTGCATGGCTCTTTGATCCAGGGATTCTGGCCTTGAATGCACTATGGCGCCATATGGCTATGCACAACATAGCACATTGTTCCGAGGACTAGACGAGTGCTGGGAAATATTGCCAGGGGGATTGCAAATTCTGGAGACACTCGAGGTGTTATACCACCTGGGTACTGTGTACGATATACCTTGTATTATATTTTGATCACGAAACATCTTGCTCTGTTCATATCGCTGAAGCGAAGAATCTCGAAACCAATTAACTGGCAGAGAACCTATTCACCATATGTACCACCGCCAGGACTAGCCATCCTTGGTTCTTTTGGGTTTCATGTGGTTAGTCAAGGCGACTTCAATTGTTCACCACAGTACAGCAACGCTTTGCTCTACATCCAAGACGATAGCTCGACTCGATTTTCTGGAAGTCCCTCAAGAAACCCCTCTTAGACCGAAAGAATGATCTCTAGGTAGATGAATCTGATTTTCACAAAATAAATAACAAATCAGAGGTGTGATACCACATAGCATGCTACCTTACTCGGGAGTATATGCAGCCAAACCGTGCAAGCATCCGTTTTCTCTATCCTCGATCAATCAATTCTTTTTTCTCCGTATGCTCGATTTTTGGGAATGATAAAATAGTATATTTTTTCTGCCCACCAGATTTCTAATTCCAGACTCTTCTTTCTGTACTTGTATGAGTAGTGATTCTTTGGTTTGCTGTTTCATATGGCTTTCAGACCATCTCTATGTAGGTTCAGACCTTCGGATTTGCTCTCTGTACCTCCTTTAGTTGGGTTGTAACAATATGTGGTATGTTCAATCGTCTTTTCAATCGCTCATTTTAAGAGACTGTTTTATTTACGAGTGTAGATTGCTTCCCCTCTGTCGTACAGTTTGATCAAAGTATATCAAATCGGGCCGATGCACCTAGCAAAGGCCGGCTATTATCGGAGGCCGGCTGAATTCCGGCCTCCGGGCGCTAGGAAAGTCTAAACGGGGCTTATCGGCGAATCAAATTGCGGGATCTAGGGCTACCAACTTGGCACTGGCTGGAATATAGAGGTATAATCATGACCTGCTTGAAGAGAAACCTCCCATGTTGACCTTATTCAGGGATGACTGTGGCAAATTTCTAATCCAGAAGCATCTATAGGATCGATCGAGACATAGTTCATCGGATATTTAAGTGCTGACCCCGCGAAATGGATGGTTGAGCGGCTCCCCAGAGATTGCTGGAATGGGCTTAGCGTGTTCCCGTGACCATTTGCTGCCCTCCTTCACTGGGCGTTTGTATAGAGCGTCACGATGGACATGAGGATGGCAAAATATCAGATTTCGCCGTGGGAGCATGGTAGGAGTATGCATCAACTATCTCTATGATGATCAGACCCCCAAAACTCAGTTCATTCCACGATGTCACCGGATCCACGCTAAGTTGTGTTCAATTTCGTAATGGTGGACTTGAGGCCGGAATTGATACCGGCCTCTGAGTATTATAAGAATCGCCTCCTTTCCCGCCCAAATACTCGTTCTTTCCATTCTTCTTTCCATCTTCCAAGAAGCCTGAACTTTTATCTCTACTTTTTTACCCCATTTTCTTTGGTCACTTGGTTCCTGACTTGGTCGTTTGGCCCTGGTACTTAGCCTTTATACCACTTTCACACCTTAAACCTTCCCATACTTAGGCACTTTTTGCCCTTCACCTTCATCCTTTATACCTCTTTCTGTTATCGGCTCTTGGTTGTATTACCTTCCATCATCACAATGACTCGCAGTCAAGTTCCTTTCCCTTCCCCTGCTACCCTGAAGCGGTTCCCCCATATTCATGATGACCCTTCGTCCCTGTCTCATGCATTGGACCCCTTCACCATCACTACTTCCACTGGCTTCCTGCCCTACCAGACTGCCCCCACAGAGCTGCCCGAAGTCTTCAAGGCTCTTGCTTCTTTGGTCGAGCGTCTCCCCGTCGTGAAGCTCGATGGGACCCCTGGTCTGCTGGCTACCTACGAGTTGGGCCCTGCTACTGAGGCCGAGCTCACTGACCTAACTGATGAGGTTGAGAAGCTTAAGCTGCCTAATGGGGAGTGGGATCGCTTTACCATTGCTGCTGTCTTCCGTGACTATACCTTCCTGGCCTCGTCCTACCTCCTCGAGCCTTGCTGGGAGAACTGGTGCAAGAACCCGGACCAGGGCTATGGTCTTGGCCGCGAGCTCCTGCCTAAGAGTGTTGCTCGCCCTATGTATCGCTGTGCCGAGATGTATGTCACCCTCCTTCAATCTCTCTACTCCATTAACCCTTCATCACTCCTATGGTCTATCATCAGTCCATGGTCTACCTTTACTTACATCACCTAACTCATGTATCATCATACAACATATGCTAACCTTGTTATAGCTTGGACCTACCCCCCTTCATGTCCTATGCTGCTTCTTATGCTCTCTTCAACTATACTCTCGCCGATCACTCCAAGGGCCTGGAAGAGTACTCTAACCTTCGTCTGGTACGCGCCTTCGAGCGTGGCCTGGACCCCAAGAGCTCCGAGGCTGGCTTCATCCTGACCCACGTCGACATGGTCAAGGAGACCGGCTCCCTCATTGCCGGTGCTCTCAAGGTCATTGACACTCTTGAGCAGCATGGGCCCCGCCCCGACATCAACGATGGCTTCCGTGAGATCCTGAAGGCCATGGAGAAGATTGAGGCCTCCATGGAAGGTATGATCCCGTTGCTTTCAACCAAGCACGACATTACTGCATCGCATCGAACAATACTAACATCACAATAGACATGTGGGGCAACTCCAAGCCAGCAGAGTACCTCTCCTTCCGCGTCTTCATCTTCGGCATCACCAATCAATCCATGTTCCCGAACGGTGTCATCTACGATGGCTGCGAGGATAACAAGCCCCTCTCCTTCCGCGGCGAGAGCGGTGCCAACGACAGCATTGTACGTGAACCCACCACCACTAATACATCCCTCCCCTCCTCCCAACATCACTAACAAACCTCTTTTACCCCTACAGATCCCCCTCCTCGACCACCTCTGCCAAATCCCCATGCCCTCCACCCCCCTAACCAAGATCCTCCACGAATTCCGCGCCTACCGCCCCCTCCCCCACCGCGAATTCCTCACCTACGTCCGTGAAAAGGCCGAGGAAATCGGCGTCCAGGAGTACTCCGTGCAAGACTCCGAGACAGCCGTCCTCTTCCTCAGGACCCTCAATCACGTACGCAGCTTCCGCTGGCGTCACTGGTTGTTCGCCCGCGAGTATATCATTCGTCGCACGCCTCATCCTACTGCTACCGGTGGTAGTCCTATCGTTACGGTAAGTAACAAGATAAAGCACCCCAATGCCTGGAATGCATCCATGCCGAGAGAAATAAGCGCTAATAAGGAATTCTGTTGTGTAGTGGCTGCCCAACCAGCTCTCAGCTGTCATGGAGCTCATGATTTCTATTTATGATCGCTATCTCGCGCCGAAGGAGGGCGTGACGATTGTTAATGGCCAGGAGGATCTGATTGCCTCGCACCGGAAGCAGGTAGAGCCTATGATGGAGCTTGTGCGTGATCAGAAGGAGAAGTTGGCCAAGGAGGTGGAGCGGTGGTGCCAGGAGCGTGGGGTTTAGATATTAGATTGAGATTGAGTTGCTTGTTGATTATTTTCCCTTTCTTTTTTGGACACAAAATGTCGGTGTGAATTGATGATGTATATATGTTTTTCATGATGTTTTGAGCCTAGTAAAGGGCCTTCTTTTAGGAATTGTGTGGTACCTACTGTATTGCTCGATGATTGATGGACTTCCTTCGTCTTAAAAGTATTACGGGGAATTAAAAGGCCAGTAGGAAGGCTTCGGTCACAATGGATCGTCACTATTATCTTGTGTTTTCCGCGAGGGAGATGGAGATAGAAAGCTATGTAGAAAAGCGTCGACTGTACGGTTTCACGGCGTGCCCATGCTGCAATTACCCCAACCGGTGATTAACCATCAACACACACGGCGTTTGGGGCCCATCGGAGGAGAGTATGACCCGACGAGGGAAGGGAGGGCTCAATCGGGATAGTATGACTTGATCGGGTATGGATTTCCAGATCAGAGAAAACCGGCTCCCCAAGTGGACGTGATTAGAGCCAAGACTGGCACAACATGCGGCAATCAGCTCATACATTTGTGATCTCTTCGACGATCACGAGCCTCCAAGGCAGAATCGTGCTTTTCTTGGGGTTGGTTCTGTTGTATGAGGTCTCCAGCTTCAAGTAATAACCTCCAACCCCCTCTCCCGCCCATACGCAACAGCATCCGAAGACACACCCTCACACCCCCTCACAACCAACCGATCAAGCCTAGCCCCCTCCCGAGACTCAGAAGTCCGGGCATCAGCAAAAAGTCGAATAGTCACACCCGTGATCTGCGTGTAGGACAGGTTGAGTACTTTCAACTCAAGGAGCAATGTGAAGATACGACGCGCTGCGACATCATCCACGCCACGCATATGGGTCACGCTCAGTTCCGTCATCTTCTCTAACTCGGGGTTTGGCACCTCTGTGTTCTGGATCATGTCGAAGAGATCGTAGATCTTGAGGTTGAAGCATTCGTTCAGGTAGAGGGTTCGAACTGTAGCCTGGGCGTCGTTGAGGAAGACGGGGAGGGTTTGGGGTGAAATAAATCCCGTGTCTATGAAAATGAGGGTGTGTAGATTCGGGAGCGTTCCTTCTCGAAGTTCTAGGAATGTAGGTCGTCTCGCTGATCCACCTTGGACATGGAGGTATTCGATGGTGTTCGGAAGAATGGCGCAGAAGTCTTGCTCGATCGTTTTCCCACGGAGTTCGAGCCGGCGAAGAGGTGGAAGATGTCGGTCTGCGCTATCAGGAAAGGTGTATATGCGGTGAGCCTCTGGGTCATAGTCAAGGCGTAATTCTTTCAAGTTTGGGAACATAGGAGATTCGCGGTTCTAGAGATAATTTTAGTTATTGATCAAACGGGCCAGTCCATGGATTGATTCACCTCTAGCAGCCCCGGCACAGATAACACAGGGATATCATGTGAATTTTGCTGGCGCGCGCTCTGCCGCGAGGCTAGCGTGATGCATTTCAAATTAGGAAGACATTTCGGCCACTGACTGGGACCGTAGAAGGCTATGTTTGAACTCGTCAGGTTCCATAGCGCGATGCGCTCAAGCTTTGGCAGATCTGTCATCAACCTGCCAAAATACTCATGAGTAACAAGTATGTCCGCTGAAAGGACAAGACTTTTCAGCTTCTTGCTGCCTTTGAATCTCTGGTAAAAGTCCTTGCAGTCGTGGGAAACCCAGAGCTCGAGATGTTCAAGTCGGGGACAGCGACTTAGGAACTCCAATGTCTTGGGCGTTGACGCTGGAGATAGGTTTTTGATAGTGGCATGTGTAAGCATTGCCTTGGAACGGCGAATGTAAGACCTGACTGCAGTCCAGGGGACTTTTCCACGAGCTCCAGTGAGGTCGATGTGCATCCACAGATTTGTCATGGAGCCGAAAAATCGCTCCCAGTCTTTGCAGACACGTAATATCCCTCTGCGTATGAATGTGAGAAGACAGGGTCAACAATGCTGGATCCACAGACCATGACGACTTACACAATCTGCTTGAATGAAAATTGCTGGATGATTAGTACCGCAATCTCGAGCGGCAGCATAGTAAAGGGATCATGTCGGTTTAAGAGCATGCGATCCTCCAATTTCTTGTGTAATTGCTCCAGCATCTACAATGATCAGTATAGCAAGATCGATATAGTTCATTTTTGGTGACAAACCCCTCGCCGTGGATGCTCACTCGGGAGCATCTTCAAGCCATAGGCGTAGATCTCCTGGGCTTTTTCTGGCTTGCCCTCAAGCAGAAGCACTTTGCCACATCGCATGTATCCCTGATCGATCATGAGATGACAATATAGAGTCAAATGGACAGGACATGCTTACTCGTTCATCATCCTTGGACGTTTTGATCATTTGCTTCGCATCACGACGTGCCAAGTCATACTGCTCTAGCTTGCAGTACGTAGCACATCTGTTGTCCAAAATGCCAATGGTATCCACATTGGGCTGTCGCAATGCCTAAGAATCTCAATTATTAGCATGAGCTGCCCATTTAGGTTAGAGTGAAAATGGGGCTACCTCTCCAAAGGCCACAATCGCGCCCTTAAAGTCCCCCTTCTGGTACAGTTTCTGGCCCCTTTGCTGTGAGGCTGATACTTGATTGCGCATAATCTCTGAAAACACCCTTTGACTCGACACACGAGTCTAAGTATCGACGCGAGTGACGAAGAAACGCCCTTTCGAAAGCGCGTCTGGGTGATCGGCACGTGCCCTGTGGGTCCCTTGCGCTGTTTGTTACTCTGCCCCGCCGGAGTGGCCCATGTTTACTTTCTTCCGCTTTGGATCATCGCAAGCTCTACGCAATAGCAACGGCCCGACATGGAGGCGCAAAATCTACAGGCCGCGTCGACTTATGTTAACAATCTCCTGCTGGCTCGGGGCCTGTTGAAGAGTGGTCAGGCGATTGATTTCGCCAATCCCGACAACCATGAGGGGGGCATCGATGCTACGATGGCGCGGGTTATCAACTTGGTCAACGATCTGGTTTTGAGAAGAGACGTCAGTCGCTACTTGCTATTCTGTGTCGCATCCATTCTAACAGCTCTGATAGCGTGAGGCTGAGCACCGTGAAAGCTTAGCGACGACGATTCGAGTGTTGCGTGCCAGCGAGTCCGAGCAGACATTGGAGATTGTATGTACAGTACCTCCACGGCGAGACGGCGACCAGCAAGCTCATAATATTTTGATTCACAGGGGAAACTAAAAATGAAAGCGTCCGAGTTAACGCGATCGCTCGCTTTGGCGGAAGCCTCGGAGCGTGCGATCAAGTCAAATATGTCAGGTGTCGAAACCACGATCCGCGGACTCAAAGAACAGGTCCAACGCATGAAAACGACCGTCCAACAAGTTCGGGCGCAATGCGCCAATGATATCCGCAAGCGAGATCTTGAAATGCAGAAGCTCAAATCACACCTAGCCGAGCGACAACGAGGGAAGCGTGAGGGGTTGAGTGTTACTACAATCAACATCAACCCCGCGGCAAAGGGGTCGCAACTGGGAGCCAGCGGTGGAGAGCGAGTCCACGATCCCGGGTACAGCTTACAACAGGAGACGACCGAATTCTTGACGGAGCTATGCCAGAACCTCAGCGATGAAAACGATACCCTGATTGAACTTGCGCGAAACACCCTGACAACACTGAAGGAACTACAAGGGTTGCCGGAATCAGAGGAGCAGGACGGTGACGATGAAGTCTCTGGAATGGCTACCAGCGTTGGATCGCAGAAGTCGGCTTCCGCCGTGACCTCACTGCCTACATCGTGCGAGGAGCTGTCTACACGTATGGACGCCGTTCTGGACCATCTGCGGACACTCTTGACCAATCCTTCGTTCGTGCCACTGGAAGAAGTTGAGATCCGAGACCGGGAGATTGGACGATTGCGCGAAGGCTGGGAGAAGATGGAGAACCGCTGGAAGCAAGCAGTCACCATGATGGACGGGTGGCAGCGACGGCTGGCAGATGGCGGTGACTCGGTGCGAGTGGAAGAGCTCAAGCGTGGCATGACTCTGGATCTGAGCTTTACATCTACCGAGGATGTTAGCCGGCTAGAGACGACCAATATCTCACCGATTCTGGAGGACCAGCAAGAGGAAGAAGCGGAGGGAGAAATGAATGAGACTGAGGACCGGGGTCAAGAGCAGCCCGAGACTTTGAACACGCGAGAGACTCGATCCAAGATCCGCAAAGTGCCCGAGCGGTCCGATCGGGCCTTGCGAGAGCGCAGTGACAATGCTACAGCCAGGCCCAAGCGGCTCCGAAAAGTCTCTTTCACCCCAGGCCTCCAAGGATCACCCTGTGAGCCCAGCACGCAAGACGAGGAAACTCTTCAAATCAAAGCACACAAGTCGGAGGCTGTGACTCGACGGCCATCGCGACGAAAGACCGAAACCAGTTCAACTCGCCAGGTGAGTAAGCCCCATGGCCGAGAAAGAAACCGACATTAAATACTAACACCGTCGACCGCAGACCACCGCCAAGGACCCTCAACTAAGCGTCTCCCAAAAACTAGCCGCCGTCGAAGACGAAGCCCGTCTGGCGGAGCAATCACGCAAAGAGCGCGAGTCGCGAAAACGAAGTCGGCCAGAGAAGGCCTACAGCCGGGCTGGTACTCGGCGGCGGAGTACTCTGACGAGCGATGAACTGGAAGATTTGATGGGGGTCCCATCGCGGTAGGAAAACTGAAGTTGGCTAACGGGGAGTGATACTTACTTTCCATCTAATCTACACCCTGTACATATACTTCGGATGATCGAGCATTGTAATTATGGAGTCGCCGCTTTTCGTTTTGTGCTGTCATGATGTTCGGTTATGAAAATTTATCCATGGATACATCCATTATTGTACAGGTAATCGTAGGAGGTAGATCTGGTATATATAGAGATAATACCAAGCCTGGGGAAACTTGTAGCTCTACTGATCACTGCTTATCTTGGGCGATAGGTAGCAGGATGGTTGCAGCGGACTATTGATACGCAGTGGTTAGAAAGCGATTTTTTGACGCAGCATAGTCACCGACTTTCTAGCCGCCTACCGCCCTACCTCTACTATATGCCTATACTATATGTAGGTTCATCACACATCATACCGCTCTGTGCTACCGCCTGGGCTCTTTGGCTAGGTCTACAAGAGCAATGGAACCATACATTGAAGCTATAATCGTCACGAGTAAGCTATTAAAAGCCTCTATGTCCACATCTGCTAATGTGAATTTGGACTCATTGACCGTCACAGTATTGCTCCTACTAAATACCTGACTCCGGTACTATCCTGCTACCTATCGCCTAAGACAAGCGGTGGTCAACAGAGGCTCTTAGTATGCGATAACTCCGGTTTTCCTCGTTAGATCCCATGGCACCTGTTCATTTGATTCGATCTTTGTTGTTTAATCTGATGTTTTCGTTATTAGATCCTCTCGTAGCTCGTAGCTCCTTCTATCCTACTATCGCCTAAGATAAGTAGTAGTCAACAGAGATTCATAACACAAAGGTTCTTAATATATAATACCTCCTGTTTCACTCGTTAAGTCCCGGTTTTTTTCGTCTAATCTAACAATTTCTCTATTAGATCCTCTTGCTCCTACTATCCTCCTACCGCACAAGACAAGCAGTGGTCAACAGAGGGTTCGGTCCCAATTTTTTTCGTTTCATCTAATTTATTCTCTATTAGGTCCTCTCACAGCTCCTACTATCCTGCTATAGCGCAAGACAAGCAGTGATCAACAGTGGCACTTAGCATACGATGCCTCCGGTTTTCCTCGTTAAAGCCCGATTTTTTCATTATCAGATCCTCCCGCAGCTCCTTCCCCCCCCCCTTTTCCCATACACCCTCCTTTACTATTTCATCCTTACTAAATTAATTAAAAATTTACTATCTTCTATCCAAGTGCGAATTACACTCAAATTTAATAAAAACCAACATAATTAACTAACTTATAAGGGTACTTAAATCAAAATAGAAATAAAATTACAGTCTGATTTCAAACAGCCCTCCATGCCTGATCCCTCTATTTCCTCTACCTATCACTCTCCTGACTGCGACTAGGCCTGGGAGTGAACCCTAGGTAGTGCGAGAGGATCTGATAACGGAAAGTTCGGATCAACCCAGAAAGATCGGAACAAACAAAAGAAAATGGAGATTCAACGAAAAAATGGGGAACGAGGAAACTCGGAGGTATTGTATGAAGGAGCTGCGAGAGGATCTGATAATGCAAATGCGTGACGATGAAAAATCAGATCGAACGAAAAAATCGCGATTCAACGAAAACACCAGATCTGACGAGGAAAAATGTAGGCATCGCATATCAAGAACCTGGTATATCAGTAGGTCCGTCCACTTGATCCCATCTACTATGGTGGAAGGAAGATGCAGGGAGCACATCCGTGTATAGCGGCCATTTAGCAGGGAGTCTACAAATCTCCAGAAATATGTCAAGCGAAGCCTATCCATACGGCTATCTTCTCACCTTTATACTAGCAAATCCGATATTCGAAATGTGAACATGTACTACACATAGGATAATGCTCGTGGCAAGGTTTATGTCGAGGTGCTAGTACAGAGTTGGCTGCACCCACATCCAGCTCAGTCAACCTCGGCTCGTTTCGAGCTCGGTTCTCCGCAATTCTTCAGATGCCACGGCCGATTGAGATCGCCCGTCCTGTTCCTACCTGTTCTTCTATTCACCCATATATGGCCTGGTATTTCTAATTTTTCCTCTCTATGCTTTTTTTAGCCTCGAATCCGTCCTCTTCTCGAGTCCTATCTCCCCACACATTCTCTCGCGAGGTTCTCCGCACAACCCCACAGCGCAACACAATCTTCCCTACATTCAATCGCAACATTCCAACCCTCAATTACCTACCCTCTACTGCTCAAAATGACTATTCCACCCACCGGACCCCCAGCAAAGACCTTTACAGGCTGGGTAGCCCATGACGCCACAAACCCACTCACCTACACAACCTTCACCCCCAAGCCCTTCGCCGACACCGACATCGAAATCCGCATCACCCACTGCGGCATCTGCGGCACGGACGTGCACACCCTCCGCTCCGGCTGGGGCCCAACCGACTACCCCTGCGTAGTCGGCCACGAGATCATCGGCATAGTGGAACGAGTCGGCACCGGCGTCCCCACACTCACGTCTTCACCGTCATCAGCATCGATTCGCCTCGGCGACCGCGTTGGTGTCGGCGCGCAAAGCGGCGCATGTCTCCGAGCCGACTGCGAGGCCTGCGCCGACGGCGAAGAGAGCTACTGCACACGCATGACGGGCACGTATAACGGACGGTACCCGGATAAGAGCAAGTCGTACGGTGGCTTTGCGGCGCGGTGGCGTGGACCTGCGCATTTCGTTTTCAAAATTCCTGATACCCTACCGAGCGCTGAGGCCGCGCCGCTGCTATGTGGTGGCGTGACTGTCTTCGCGCCCTTGCGAAAATACGGCGCCGGTCCTGGTAAAACCGTCGGCGTCATTGGGATCGGTGGACTGGGCCATTTGGGCGTTCAGTTTGCGAAAGCGCTCGGCGCGGACAGGGTCGTCGCTATATCGCGGTCATCCAGTAAACAAGCCGATGCGCTGCAGGGACTCGGTGCGGATGCGTTCATCGCCACGGGCGAAGAAAAGGGGTGGGCGAAGACGCATTCGCGAAGCATTGATATTCTGCTGTCGACTGTTTCTGGGCCTGGGATGCCGTTGGGTCAGTATTTGCGATTACTCAAGCGGGATGGTGTGTTTGTGCAGGTTGGGGCGCCGGAGGATGCGTTGCCGCCGTTGATGGCGTGGTCGTTGATTCAGAAGAGTGTTAAGGTGACTGGGTCGAATATTGGGTCGCCAGAGGATATTAGGCAGATGTTGGCTTTGGCGGCGGAGAAGAGGGTTTTGCCGTGGATTCAGAAGAGGCCGATGGAGGATGTTAATGCGGCGTTGAAGGATATGCATGATGGGAAGGCGAGGTATCGGTATGTTTTGGAGAATGGAGATGTACAGGCGAAGTTGTAAATAATAGATGGTGTAGCTACCACGCAAAGCTTGTATCTATTCGGATGATGGATGGAGTTTGTGTACATAGTTTGTTTCTGGAAATCAACATACTTCCCCCGAGGAGAAAGCCTTTATACCAATTAATTCAACAGTACCCAATCGAAAGACAGTCTTAAACCTAGTCAACTTAAGCATTATGTCTTATATCCATCTCTCTGAGATATGATTCGAGCTTTACTCTACCTTCGCAGCACAGCCATCTCCAATCCGGCTATAACGCATGTCACTATACTATGAAACCCACTTGCACTGCCACACTGCCACACAACACTATGAATTTAGGCAACCACTGCCTCAGGGACGCAGAATGATTCGAAGTCACTACTTAAAAGCTCTATGCTGTTCTTTTCTCTCAGTTTTCCTGGTCGCTTATCCTGAATCCAAACTGTCACTGTGAACATAAATGTGGATTGGTGAAACACCCGTTGCCCAGTGCCAAGGCATTTATACAAAAAGCTTGGCATACGCAACCTATGAACTATGGGACTTGACACTCCTCTCAGTCCGACTCCAGTCAACTTATAATACAGTGATACCATGCCTCAGGCTCAGGCTCAGAATCAAGCTCAAGTCAAACCATCCACCCTCGGGTATCTCTCGGTCCGAAACAATACATACAATATATACAATACATCCATACTTCTAGAAGAAAAACTCGACAAATACCATCCACTAACCTGTCAAAAAAGAAATGGACAGCCCTGGAATCTAACCACACCCAGCCCTTGAAACGAGAACGTGCCCTCTCAAGAGAAAGATCCCATCGGTGACTGGTCCTACCACAAAAATCCTCGGAACCGAGTGTGGAGCCCCCCGGGATGTGCTCCAGGTCCAGGTCCCCGCGACAAGCTTCGACACTAAGCTTTTTACGGTCATGGGTACGAAGCTTTAACGGCGTGGAGACTCGAGGTATTGTATCTATGCGACGGTTCCTGTTAACGGACTGCTTTATGGAGTATGTATACCTACTTGGGTGCTGTGGTCAGGTGATATTGCTGCGTCTCGATATTAATCTGAGACAACCAGGAACTAGTTGAGGCAGTGCTGAAACAAATTACAGATCTAATGTTGAAATTGAATGAGATGGGGGTATTTAACAAAAATCAAGTCCAATCCTCGAAATCACTGAGACAACAACAGCAGCCTCGACGCTTCCTGTCCGATTTATACAACTAGTCCCTCCTGGACGATGCCCGAACTGAACCGCTTCTCAGCTCGGATCCTCCTTTCCTTCACTCTCATCTGCTTCGCTGAATGAATGTTGTAGTCGTGGGTGGTGGGAAGAGTATTTCCTGATGGGAGATTGGATTGATGGGACAGCAGATCATCCCAGATCTTTGAAGGTCGATTTCTTCGGCGTCCTGCTCAGCTTGGCAAGCCAGACCCGCTGTCGCTGCGGACTGCTAACCGTTTGCACACTGACAAGTCAATTCCCGTCGCAAGACCAGAGCAGGGTGGTACTTGTGTGCCAGACTGGCTGGGTCTGCGTGTTGTGGTATATGCAGGGCGTGGAGAGAGATCAAGGGGGTTTCGTAAAGGTTGTTTTCATGAAGTGTTGATGTTTGTGATGAAAGTGACTCCTCCTAGTAGGGTCCATTGTCTGCTCGAGTCTGAATGTGTTGGAATGGTCAATGGCGGATCCAGTGGTGCCCGAGTGTCGAGGACGATGTATCATGCATGATGCAAGGAAATGTGATAGAGCATGGTCATGATTCTGATCATCACAGTCATGAAGTGCTCCAAGGTGTTGCATCTCGCAGAATGGCGTGCCTTGCGGGCTCATGTCCCGTGATGGGACGCCTTGCGGTTGCAGGTCTTCCCCCACAGCTACCCAGCGCGGTCTTGCGTCACGCCGGCTTTGATTACTCTCACAGAGTGTCCATCTTCTCCAGATAATTCTCACCTAGAATACCGATCATCGCCCAGTGAATCAGCGGTCTCCACTGGTCATCTAGAAGCATCCATACAGCCTTTGCAACGCGCACACACCATTCATCAAAGCACCAACGATGCTTAAGAAACTGCAACAGCACACCAAAATGAGCCAACATAACAAGCGCCATTGGCTCACGCTCACGAAGCAACTCCAAAAAGCGCGGAGGCAGTTTGATAGCCCACCGACCGGCAATTACGCTAGACGTCATCCCACCATACACCCAGCTGAGCATCTCGGCCACATTATCGATAGTGGCTGTATAGACCTCCGTTTCGTGTGATTGGTCACGTGAACCACAGACTTCATTCGCCTCGTGCAGGTTGTTTATAGTTGCGGTGGCGTCATCCGGGAGTCTGGCGTGCACTTCCTCTACTTGCAGGATAGGCGCGAAGTTACTATGATTGAGATAATCCGCCGGCGAGCGGATAACCTGCTGCACGCCGCGGGTTAGCACGAGGACCTGGTACAGATCGTCCACGCATGTCCACGGGTCCTGCACATCGGGTGTGTGTGGGAAACCGAAAGTATAAACGACGACGATCCCGGCAAAAGCGAACATTGCCTTGGCATTGGACTCATTGATATCGCCAAGAAGTTCGCGGAATAAAGCGAGAGCCTGATTCTGATGCGTGACAGCGCGATTGAGATATGCTGCGCGTCGCGATGGCTCGGGACCCGTTCGGGCGAGATGGAGCGCGGAGAGCGCCAGGATGCCGTGCATCAGGAACGGGTGCGACAGTGCCTCTTCGGGCACGACATTACGCCAGACTAGATCTGTGCGATCATTTCGGGAGAGCGTGCGGTAGGTGTCATTACACCAATGCATCATGAGTTCTAAATCATGCAGATTCAACGCCGACGTGGACGTCGTAGCCGCGGTTACGCTGTCGCCGCTGAGCCGGCCCAGAATGCCGAGCGAGTCGGCCGGCGGGCTACTCAGGATTGAATCGCTTGGATGGCCGCTGTCTGAACCCGATGCTCGAGATGATTGCCGAGCCACGGCTGGTTCTTCATTTGCCCAGAGTAAGGAGCTCGAGGAGCCATATTCGCATTCCGAGTGGCGCTTGGCGCAATTGGAGCAAGTTGGTCTGGCTTCATCGCACTGCAAAAGGGGGTAAAAACCATTCCGTTGTTAGAAACTAACCAGACTAAAAGATTACGAGAAACAAAAGCAAGGATGTTTCTCGAATTTGTTAATTTCAAGATCATCACGCGAGTCCATACCTTGACTCGTCGGCGTTTGCATTCCAGACAGCCGTGGCGGGATTTGCGATGAGGTCGACGGAGCGCCATATGGTCATGCACAACAAGCAAGCGGTCTAATGGTCGCCATGATCCGGGGAAGACAGAATTGAGGCTCTTGAGAGGGGAGAAAAGGGAAAAGAGAGGGTGGGAAGTATGTACGAAGGAAAACAAAGGCTTGATTTCTACAGAATAAGAAAATGAAATGAAAAAAAAAAGAATTGTGATTTAAAAAAATTAAAATTCCCACAGCTTTGGTGCTTTCGAGTGGTGAAGGCGTGTAGGCAACAGGATTCATCGTGAAAGAAAACGGGGTCCCCGGCGACGGGAGGGACACTCCTCGTATGGAAACTGGAAGGTAAAAACAAAAAAATAGTAAATCGGAGTAAATTATCATCCATTTTGGTCTAGGCTGTTAGAAACCTTACGGAGTATACTTACACCTAGGCTAGCCTCACTAACTACCTACTGACTGATTGATTACATATGTACTATAATCAAGACTACTGTAGACACTGACTAGGCTAGACGCTTACCATGTAGGACTAGCATCAGGGGGCCGCTTATCTAAGGGCCGAACCCTGTCGATCAAACAGACGGCGAAAAAGGCTTGTCCACCGTTGTGAAACATTGTCTTGCTTCGCTTCGCCAGCACTGCCTCCCTTGGTATTGCTGCTATTTGCTCGATTTGCTCCATTTTTTTGCTCCATCGGGCCACTTAGGTGCTTAGGGTTGGACCGGCTGGGCTTTAATTGTGCTGGGCATGCCACCGCGACTCCGTGATTGGACCCGAGCCCCATGCAAGAAGCCGGGGTGAGAGGGGGGCTGGTTCGAATGGGAATATGACAATGGGCTAATAGTCTCGTGGTATCACGCAACACACACATTACACAAGTTGATTGTACGGAATAACCATGGACTCGGGCTTTTGGGTATGTCATACACATCTATCTGGTTTGTATGGACTCACACAATAGTTACTAGTCAGTATGTCCATACTATGTACTTGTATGGGACTCATAAATTACTACGCTAGATAGCCCTGACTTAAGGTTATACGAGTATATACCTCATAAAGTTACCTACTAAGCTACTCTCAGCAGGACCCTGAGATTTCCTTAAACCTAAGTTTCTCTTAGGGCAGAGTGCGTTAATTATCGTTAATTATCATCAAATCCCTCGTCATCATTATAGAAGTACAAAAAGTAATCAAGAACAGTAATCCGTACAGAAAACACCCCCAAATTCTCTTTCCCCACTCCGTCGGTTCCATCACTTCGTATAAACGTGCAGATTCCCACTCCAACGGTGTCTTGGCTCTTCTTAGGTTCCCCTCCGAGGTACCATTGGCCTCCCTTCATCCCTGATTGATTCCCCCTCCTTCTTCCGAATCTTCGGCTCGCTTCAAAGTTCCCAGAAATCTCAAACCACTCCAGTACTAATCCAGCCAGCCAGCCAGCCTTGAGCCTTCCTGGCCCCAGGCTTCCAGGCCCAGACTGTCTACTACTGTAGTCTCATCCAAGTTCAGGTCTTTTTAAGCGCCCCCACCGCCCCCACCAGCACCAGCACCAGCTCCAGCTGCTGCAGCGTTTCTCGCCCGCGCGAGTTTTTCCCGCAAGGCCAACCCGCTCACCAACACCAGAAGCTGAAACCGCTCTCCATACGGCACGTAGATATCCATCTGGCCAGTCGTCGAGGAAAAACTCCCCCCGGACCCAAAAACCGCAACTACCCGGTCTGATTCATCCACCAACTTCAATCCGCCCGAATGCTTGCTCAGCGAGCGTGTCCTTTTCCAGGTAAACGTGCGAGGCTGCGACTGCTGGTTGCTGTTGCTGCCTGTGGTGGTGCCTAGGGTTATCCGGATCGAGTACCGTCCGGACATAATGCTGTCGCGGTTCAGACGGAACCATTCGATCGCGTGAGGCTGGGAAGGATCGCCAAGTCCGATCTCCGTGTCTGATGAGAAATGTCGGTATTTACTGACGCCCGCGATGGGGCCGGTGGTGTTGGCTCCCGTGTGGAAGGTTAGGTCGGGCTTGCCGGGGTTCCAGTGTGAGTTGTCCACATGGTAGTGGGGTTGGCCGTGTTGTCCGGCGGTTGTGATATCGTAGGAGCTGCGGAAGACTCCGCGGGTGATTGTGAATTGGGCGATAGGTTTGGATTGGGGGGCTGACATGGTTGGTTTGTGTATTGGAGGATGTAGATTGATGGTGTAGTTTGATAGATCGTATTGATGTAGAGATCCGATGAGAAGCTAGTATTTCAGATAGTACTGAGTAGTCCTTGTTAATATTGATGGTAACTGCTATGAGCAATGCCTCGATGGCGCTCTATTCTTTATAAAGCTACATCTCCGCCTCGATGTTTGTGCTAAAATAATATCATTCTGGATCATCGCAAGGCTGAGGTCATACAGCGGTCTATAGGACCTTGTCAGGTCAAGATCATCGGTTCATCGGGCGCACTGGCCCCAACTCGATGACGGGGTAAGGCTCCCAAGAACACTTTGGCAGGGCTACAGGGGCAGTGCTCGAACGACCATGCGCCAATCAGCTCGGTGGCCCCCAAAGAGAGGCAACTGGGGAATAAAACGATCACGTGATAACAAACACGATTTTGGTCACATGACTTATATGTCTTTGTGTTTGATCACATGACCTGGAGAGCTTGTCAGTTCACGTGATATGAGATCTCTCGGGCGCTTCTCAGGCGCGTCTGAAGAAGACGAAACGAAGCAGAAAAAAAAAACATTCCGGCATATCGCCAGATGATGGACCGCGTCTAACTCACCGATCCATCCCTCCCTCTTCCCCATCATCTGGCGCCACCCACCTTTCACTCATTGCGCCATTCCCCCTGCCATCCCTCCCTGCTGCAGCTGTTGCGGCCCAAAAAGTGGTCTTCCTCTCTCGCCGAGAGCAAGCTGTTGATCCATCTTTCGCCTCCGTGATCGACCTCCACAACCACCCATCATGTCGTTCAAAGTCCCCTACGAATCCAGCCCGCCACCCTCTACACCGGACAAGTCCAAAGGTCAGAGCTTCTGGAGCAATGTCTCCACGACACCCGCCGGTCCACCGCCATCGACGGCAAACTCATTCACGCCGCAAGGACATCCGCCATCCACCGCGTTTGGAACATCGCAACTAGATTCGCATTCCAAGCTCAATTTCGGACAATCCTCCAACTCGCTATTCACCAAGTCGGGAGGTTTCAAGACGGGCGACAGTATCTTTGGATCATCATTCGGATCGGACTTTGGTCTGCCTAAAACAACACAGGCACCTCCCGCGAGACCGCTCGCACCGACACCGTCGCAGGGCCGATTCGGTGGCGCCACGAATGGCGGCTCGATTGGGCGTTCCGTGACCTTTGACCAGTCTAATGGCTTCGGTTTGTCTCAGATGGAGGAGGAGTATGAAGAATACGAGGACGACGGTGAAGGGGAGATGGAGCAGGAGGAGGAGGAAATGGACGAAGAAGGAGAATATGAGGAAGAGCTAGAGGAGGAAGATGCGGAAGGCGATCTGGATCTTAGCACTCGGGAACCTTCGAACCGACTCAGTTTCCTGGATTCCACCTACGGCAACCCATTGCCGGCACAGTCCTCCGGGTTTGGCCAAGCGCGCAAACCGATCTACTCGAATCCTACCGATGCGAAGCGCCCGAAGCTTGACGAACGATGGGCGACTCAGTCACCACTCCGCAAGACGAAACTGTCTCCCAAGAAAGCCTCCGCGATGCCCTCGATTTTGCACAACCTGGCTTCCAGAGGCCGCCTGGCGCCAGTCGACGAGCCAGCTGATATGATTCTCAACACGGAGGATACAATCGACCGACTGTATATCGAGCTGCACGGTACAGATTACCGACACATTGACCTCGATGCCGTCCTTGCCCACTTTGCCAATAAGCTTGTCAACACGTGGGATATCTGCGCAGACCGCAGCGGGATTGCTCGACCTTATGGTGTTGGACCGAGCATTGGTCCTGGTGAACAGGCTCCATCGCTAGTCAAGGCAAGCTTTTTGGCCTCTCTTTTGCTTCAAATCCACCATCCTTCTCGAGCCTCTGCTCCGATCGCCAGCGCTTCGAACCCGGCTGCACGCATGGCACCTAACAGCATGGTCAAGGCTATGCAGCGTGCCAGTGTGGCTACCCCAATTCCACAGATTCTGCTCGACTGGCTGAACGGGTACCACGCATCTCGGACCAACGATCTACAGGCGCTGCGATACGTGGAGCCTAACCCTACTGCTTCATCAAACTTCTGGGATATCATCAACGCGGCTGTTCTTCGCGGCCGCTTCGCCGAGGCGGCGGAGATTCTTCGTTCTGCAGATTTCAACTATGCCCGATCCGCTTTGGAAGATGGCCTGGTCCAGCCCGGCTACCGTGGAATGCAGCTGCAGAATATTCAGCGCTGCGTCAACAAGGCCCTTCAGATTCTCGACTCTTGCCCCGGCTTCCAAGACGATGACTGGGCGATCACCGGACCTGATTGGACCGACTACCGCAAGAGTGTTCTTTCAGCCGTCAACGACCTCGAAGAGTTTGCCGAGGGTGAGGAGCGAGACCAGGCCGAACTGCCCTCGCAAGACCACCGGTTCCAGGCTGTCAACTTTGGGTTGTCGAATTTCGGCAAGGGCCAGAACCAGGTCAGCTTCACGCAGTCTGCGCGCATGGCTGAGAGCCGCGTGCCGTGGACGATCTATCAGAGCCTTCGATCACTGTACCGGATTATACTTGGTGACACCGCCACTATCAAGGCCTACTCGCAAGATTGGGTCGAGGCCACTATTGGTTTGACAGCGTGGTGGGATGGGGAAGATGATGACGGTGCTTTCCGTACTAGCACATCGAGTGTTGATTACCAGCGCTCCCGTGGATCTCGCCAGCAGCTGCGCGCGGTGGATCGCAACATGCGGAATGCGTATTTGCGTCGCTTGGATCTGGCGTTTAGCAGCGCGACTAATGAGCCGTCCGACGATACTGGTTTCCGCGTGAACACTATGAATAGCTTGGAAGTTGGTCTGGCCTCTGTATTCGAGGGAAATGTTCAAGGTGTGCTGGAGCTGCTACAGACCTGGTCTCTCTGCATCACGGCAGCAATTACGGAAGTGGCCGATATTGGCGGCTGGTTAATGGATGGAAGCCCACAGAAGATGCCCGGTCTCAGCGAGAATGACTTGATGGTTCTTTCATATGGACAAGGAAACGTGTCTGAACCGAAGGGGATTACTCGGGATTTGGCTTTGCGAAACTACGCTCTCGGTTTACATGAGCGCCGTTCTATTGAGAATGAGACTGGTTCTCGTGAGGGTTGGGAGATGGCTCTCGCAGTACTTGCCCGTTTGCACGATCGAGATATGACGAGGAAGGCTGTTACGGAGATCGTGGAGAAGCTACCATTGGATACTATTGACCAACTCGATAAGCTGGTTGTGCTGTGCTCGGATCTGGGACTGGAGGAGCAGGGTCGTAAGGTTGCCGAGGTATGTGTCTATCTCATCTGTTCACGATAACCAACGTGGCTAGTTACTGATCACTTTTATAGCGCTTCGGTGATATGACCACTGATACTTCCGAAGACTACGGTCTAGCTCTTGTCAGCTATGCCCGCGCCCATAACCGCCGCAAGGTTCGCGCCGTTGTGGAACTCCTCATCTCCTTCAGTCTGGTGCAATCGCGTGCCTACCCTGCCGCCGCCGATCTGGATGAGATGCTCGCGTCTTTGCTGCAGCAACCAAAGACGTGCCTTTCATCTATCGCATCGATCAACGAGGAAGCCGCCAGCATTCTCCAGTTCTATCTCAGTGGATACGCCACACTTCGCCGGTTTTACGAGATTCGTGATGAGGCTTTGGGCTTGAAGGAAGGCCAGTCCCCACGATTCAAGCCACTTGCCCGTCGGCGCGCAGCAGCCAAGGCTCTTGCAGCGGTTATCAGTAGTGCCGCAGATAATATCTACGGAGGTCTATTCGATCCGGATCGTGATTCGGCCGTTCAAGTGGATGGATTGATGGCGTTGTTGGGCGAGGCATTGGTATTCGTCAACCGTGAGTTTAATCATCACGCCCGTGAATCTCTTCAATTCGTTCAAATTACTAACATCACCATCCTTACAGAACCATCCCCCATCCTCACCGTCTCCCAACAATTCACCATTCTCTCCGCAATCGAAGATCTCGAAACCGTCACCCCCCGCGTCTACGCCCAATGCGAAGAATGCTTCCGCTCCACCCTCCTCTCCGCAAGCGCAACTGGCCCCATCGCCTCCCCCCCCTTCTCCGCGGGCTCTCCTCAAAAAATCCGTCTCCGCCCTTTCCGCATCTACGTTCTCCATCATCGGTTCGGACATGCTCGAGTCTGCCCGCACACGCTCTGCATCAGGTTCTGGGCCTACGTCCGCCGGTAGTTCGGGCGTGCTTGTCCCAAGACCCAATGTCAAGCATGCGGGTTCGGCCCGTGGGTGGGATTGGAGGGTGGGTCTGCCGGAGGGGACGAGGGGGGAGGATGTGTTGCGGATGTTGAGATTGGGGCTCGCGCGTGGGTTGAGTGTTGGTGCTTTGGGGTGTGTTTAGATGAGGTGATTACCTCTGAGTGTTTACCTGGGTGTAGGTAGAGCCTGAAGTGAACACCTGAGGGGGTGGGGAAAGTGTCATGGCCAGCTGAAAGATCTGGGCGATTTGGGGTCTGGAGCATGTATGATTACTTGCGGCGTTATGATAGCTAGGCCCTCATCTTCTTTTCGTTTTTCTTCTTTTTTGATTCAAAGGTGGCCCTGGCTTTGGCCTTGGGCTATGGATGCATTGATGCATGGATAATAGCATTTTTTATCAATCCCACTTGGGATTCTTTCTTTGTTTTTTTCAGTCTGTTCGGGTATGTTTACTATGTTGTACGCAGTAGTGTTTTTTGCCGAGTGTGGCTGGTGAAGTGAGCTTGGGCCTGGAGTATACCGTGTGGCTTGTACGAATTGTAGTTATGTCTGGTTGAGTAGTCTTATGTCCTTATCATACCTGTTAAGATAGATTGGTGAATGGGTTCGTAGAAGATACTGAATCTCATTTACTTGCAGGCCGTGTCTATAATGGAGCATTTGAGATAGTATGAAATACAATCAATCTACATCTACATACCATGAATATTGTATCGAAAGCTGACAGACAATGACTCAAACTTGACATTCCTTTGCATAATGTTTCCAACACCAACCTAACCTCCCTGCAGTAGTCTCTACCATCACCAGCTGATACACGTTTCATCTTAGAACTAGTCACTCCTTCTCTGCATTTCCTTTTCAACAACCAATCACATCCTCCCACCACCCCTCAGCCCTATACATTAATACATATTTCTAATTCCAATACCCAAAATTCCCTGACGCAAAGGATAACCAGGCAAAACTCAGGCCAAACAAATCGGAATATAGAATATACCGTTGAAACTTGGAATTTGGAACTTGGTCTGTCCGTCAGCAGCTGAATGGCGGGAGCGTCGCTGCCTAGCGCACTCCACTAGGGGAGACGGCCCCGCCGAGACAGAAATGGTGATGGTGATGGAGGAAGTCAAAGTCGAGTCAGAGATGAATGGATTCACGAACAGAAGACACCGCTGTCTGGTGATGGGTTTCTAGTATACTTGATGCCTTGAGTATGGGGGTTTCGGGATTGTGAGACGGTGTACAATGTCCAGTGCAGTATGTACAGTCCGTAAAATGCCCGGGAGGATCCACAGTGATGCACAGCCAGCGCCCGATGAATCATGAAATCATCGGATCGACTGCACATACAATGACTCGAAAGCAAACTAACTCCAATCTCGATCTAGTCAAGTCCCAGTCCCAGTAAATGCCCCTCGCCAAGCCTCATCCCTCTTCTCCGGGACTCAGTCTGCCTCCCTCTCAGCCTCGCGCCATGTGGTCTGGCGCATTTAGTTCAGTCCCAACTGCGGAGTACCAAGTACTGTACTAGTGACTAAGTCCACACTACTGCAGTCTAACCAGCTGCACACCGACTCCCTCTGCCAAAACCTGGTCTCCTGCACCCCGGCTTAACGGTGTCTTCACCGTCTTTGCGGCTTAGCCGTGTAGCAGTACCCCTACTCACTCTCTACTATGTACACGATTACCGAGGAAGTGCTTCTTACCCCTCCAGCCACAGGGAGGCTCCGCTTTACTCGGCTGGTGAACCACTAACCAAATCCAAATACTCTTTGGAGTCTTTGCTCTTCTGACGTGAACTACTACTAGTTCCACTGTGGCTGCATCCTGCATCCTGCAACGCTGTTATCGGGACTAAGGCTGAGAGCCGCAGTACTGTACTATAGTGTGGCTCCTCCCTGCTCCTCCTTCTTCCCCCCGTGGGGCTGACGGGTTGTGGATTCCCTGTTTTTGGATTTGCGACTCTTTTTTGCTTTTTGGTGAGGGTTTCTAAAGGGGTGATTGTGTAGTGAGGTGCTGAAGGGTTGTACAGAGTGGCCTGATTTGAATTGAGGGTCTATTATTATGATTATTTTGTCGCATATTGCTTTTGCAATAGATACAGTATACTATGTACCGTCCAGGTAGTTTTTCTATCTTTTTACTATTCCACTGCCAAGATCGAGTGCCGATGACAAAGTACTGAATACTAAATCTTGAATATTAAAGATGTCATCGCTAGGTCCCATACTAACTCCTGTAGTCAACTAAATACATACTATCCCCACTTACTAAATACAGCAACATCCATACTCTCCTCAGAGGCTCAGTCCTCAATCCTCACTTAAAAGTGGAGACCAAAACCACCCAAATCCAGTCCCCAATGCATGATGCACCAGTCACGAGCACAGAATGTACCCGTAAACCACGCCGACTAAATCCAAGTTAGGACTCCGACTCATAATCCCATTAAAATGATTACAATTACACTTCCTCCATCAGTCACCCTTCAGCTGTCGTTCGTATTTCCCGATTGGCGTTTCGATCATCATTCCATCTCGTCGGTGTTTTCCGAGTGTGGATCCCCCGCTTGGACGTTTTTAGTTTTTAGTTTGGCTTTTTGGTTGCCTGGGGTGTCCACCATAGGGCTGGCCGTTCCGCCGTTGTGGGATGCCTTGCAGTCTAGTCATTGCACCAGCTGGTGGAGTTAGATGTGGAATACTGACTCGACTCGATTTGATTCTATGGAAATGGATCCACTACTAGCTGGTCTAGTAGAGTTTGGGAAATGTGCTTTTTTGAGAATGGGTGTTGTATATAACGTTCCGGCTGGACCGGTAGTTCATCTGTTATTATTCATTCTCAGTCTCATTCTCATTCTTCTTGATTTCATATTCATTAGACCAGACCATCCTTTCGTTATCACGGTCCTTTTCTTTGATTGCATTCGCTATCTAATTACCAGGACTGGTTCCGACGCTCTCTCGATATTCTTCGACTATATTTTTCGTGATCTTTATCTGCCGACCACGGTCTATCGTTGCATTGCATCAGCATCAGCATCTATCTTCATACCAATTTACATCCAACACACTCACCACAATACATCACCTCACAAACAACACCACACAACCTGTACTACAACTCCTACCTACACATTCGACAAAATGTGCTACAAAGTCGTCGAACGCTACTCCGTCTGCAAATGCGTCTACTTCCAACACTCCATCGACCCCTGTTCCGCCTACGGCCAACGCGGCCACTCCGTCCAAGAAAAGACCGTTCTAGTCGGTTATGCCTGCTCTCGACATTCTGCGCGCGGCGCTTCCTCGCCTGATTCTGGTTATTCTAGTTCCAAGGGCTCGTATCGGTAGATGATGTTCGTCGAGGCGTGATCTCGTGGTCTGCTGGATGGACTGCGGGATTCACATGCTCTAAGGCTGCGACTGTTACTGTACTATGCCTATCATGATCATGACTATGAGCTGAGGACGAGGACGAGGACATGGATGTGGATGTTATCAAGCCGAGCCGAACCGAACCGAGATAAGCCGAGCGAGTTATCGTGGCTTGGGCATCAGGATGAATCAGAACGAGAAAAAGAACAAGGATGAAGAGGAGGACGACACCGATAATGCCCTTTCCGGTAGTTTGGAAGACGAGGATATGTGAGAACGAGGCATACACGACCGGAACGACATACTACAACTCAACTCTACTCAACCACCCCCAACGAACGAGACGAACAAACACAGCCTTTCTCTGCGAGAATAGGCCATGTTCAATTCCACCTATGCTCAAATCCACTCACCCACACTTCGCTTCGCTTGCGTTCTTCGCCAATTCCCACGCCACGTCTGTCGGTACCGGCTATTGACGGACGGACCCGATTCCCGGTGAATCGACACCAACCGCTATTGAGGTCGTTGACCGATCATACACAGCAATTCATCACGATACCTCGCCAGGTGCACTATCGTGAGGAATGAATGGTACAGCAGGGGAGAGGCGGGATAAAGCTTCAGCTTAGTTGGTAGGGGATGTTTGAGGGAGGCGAAAACAGACGACAGGACACGATACGACGACGCGAAGACGGACGGACTTGTATAGTAATCGGTATATTACATCACATCACATCAACCCTCCTTTCTGACTTGACTGGATTGAGTGAGAAGGGGGCATGTCGATATTGACGTTGATGTTGCTAGTTGGATTTTGTTGCGGCTCTGGCTTTGGCTCTGCGAGCTGGCGCTGGGGCTGGCTGGACTTGATTGTTTCTTATGGTTGCTGTCGACGGGTTTCGGCGGTGACACGATTTGTATGTGTAGGGTGTTGGATTGGTGTTATTGTTAGAGTGTTCGGGTTACTGTCTTTTACTTGGGTGTTTTTAATATTACTATTCTTTTCGGATTGGAATTTTTACTGGTTTACTGTAGGTGGTAAAGTAGGAGCTAGAATGAGGCTTATCCACCGGATGCCGTATGCTTCCACGGCGACTGCGAGGCCGCTTGGCTTTCGCACTTTGCGAACCATCCCATTTGTTTCGAAATCCCATTTGTAGACATTATTCGCGACGCGCGGCTGTATGACGCTGAGGGCGTCGACGGCGGTATCATCGAGCGCGTTCTCTGTCGGGGGTCTGGTAGTCATGATTGTCGCAGGGCTTGCGCCAACAGTACTGGTCGAGCAGGCTGACTTCCGCAAGTATCGTCATCTCGTTGACCACTCTTCAGGAGCATACCAAGAGTGGCGCGAATTTCGTCATCTTCCTGCGTCAAATCCAGCCAGGTACCTGGCGACCTCTGGCGCTTTTTCGCAGTTTCACCGTCGTTTGACATGTGAAGCGTATTGTCAGACAACGCGAATGGTTTGTCGTCAGACATGACGTGCGCAAATGAGGGCGTCGTATGAAGTTTAACGTAGGTTGTGAAATTTGGGTGTAAGGTGAGAGATTTTCGGATGAGAAAGGATGTTGAAGAAGTCAAGTTTCGTGGGGTGAGAAAAGACGAAAAAGTCCGAGTGGGAGGATGGGATGAGAGAAGGCGCAAACATGTGATGACGAGTCTCAATAAGGATGTGATTTTTCGTGTGGTGTGATCTTCGCTGGCAATGTTTGTTTCGTGATTTGGATTGAAATTATGTCGTCCGCCTTGAGTCGCCGCAGATAACACCATACCACATCATCAGGGAAACGCGCCAATGCATCCAAGAAGCTTGGGCGAGATTGCGGCAACTAGCCGGCCCAATTCGAGATGCGATACGTACGGACTCCGATGATCTACCAGCTTTGTGTTGGTATACTAGGTTAGAGTACCTAGCACTTATGGCCTGCGTGGACCCTCAACCTCCTTCACGGAGGACCGGGGATATCCGCACAGGCGCACATTACGATTTTTGATACCTTGAGAGCGGATTTAGAATTTGCTCCAGTATTTCGTAGGATGTAGTTGAGGTTTCGTTCTAGTGATAAAGATGATCCGGCTGAGAAATTGACAGTTATAGAACGGTTCAAGATCCCCTACGTCATGGGACGTATATCATCCTAAGAAGTGTGCGACTAGACTTGTTCCGGCGGCGCTTCCATTTCAATGCGCATCATCCTCGCGTATTTCAACTCTGCCGTTTCGCTTGACAGCCTTTTTTTCCCCTCTATTTTTGACCTGAAATCGATGTTCTTTTATTCCGTTTAATTATCGATATTTCGGATTGAAGCTCAAATCAACTTCTTCTGGTGAAGCCCTTCCTTTTCTTTTCATAATTGCTTCTTATTCAAATATAAATATGATGCTGATACGTCTAGATCAAACGCAATCTATCAGAAAGATGTTCGGGAGCGTCAAAGGTTTCGAGCCCGTTGGGAACTACGCCAAAGAAAAGGTGAAGAACCGCAAGTTCCAATACGGCAAAGACGTTCAGTGCAGCTCTGATCTACTTGTCGCTATTATCATCCTTGAGCAAGCGATTCAAGAGCTCGCGCAATTAGAAGATCAGTGGAAAGAAGAACACCAAGCCTCGCTAAAAAGTTTTTCGCAAGGTGAAGATATGGCTTGGATCCAAGAATGTGAAGAAATGATCATGTATCATAGAAACTTGGGCGACTGGGTAGGGCGTATACTTTACCATCTTGAGGTTCGACTCCCTCGAGGAACCCTGAAGAACTCATATGATAAGCTGCGGGAAGACCCTACTTGGTACCTTCGCAAGGAGCTTGTCAAAGACTGCGTGGCGAAGGGTGGATGCTGTGCAAAGCGTCATTTGAACAGTGAAAAGAGAAGAGGAATTGGACATTGCTCTACGCAGTGCGCCTGCTGCGAAAGCCATAGAGCCATAGAGGGTCTGATTTTACAGATGGGCAATTATTTGAGTTACGAGACCTCATGGTAGAAAATCTTAACGACCCGGACCCCACATATCTTCTAGCGATGGCGGATGCTTACTTTTTACCACCAGAGACACCGGGTCTCAAAGGAAATGTTGTTCGGATGTGTAAGCAAATCAAAAAAGCCTTCAAGATCAACTAGGGCTTGAATTATAGCGGTTGAATGCAATATTTGCTGGGGGGTTTCGCTGTTGCTAAGTATCTTCGAATATTTGCACACGCTTGGCTAAGATTTCAATTGCCGAGTTGCTTTCGATATGTCTCTACTACGCCTAATGGGCTATATTTGTTGATTTCGGTTGATTCCGTGCAATTCAAGTGAGCACTTCATGCAGTTGGTGAAAGATTGCCTTCTAGTTGATACGGCCTCGCTTCTTAATACAATGAATTCAACACGCTTCTGTGGGAATCATCAGAGGAGGAAAGGGAGATAGGGGAACAAATCCACGTGTTGCATGCAGCTACCATTCAAATTCCGTCATCTGCAAGACATCCATACAACTCGGCTGAGCGATAAAATGTGTTAGACCGCTCGCCGTTCAAAACCTTATGCAAGAGACCGGGATCTACGGTCCTCCTTTCGGGCGACCTGAGCGTATAATCCATGCAAATCCGTCCGTGGTGGGGCTACCATCACCAACCAGCAGATAGGCAATATTTGAGCATTACGCATGTATTCAAAACTAGGTACTGCAGCAGAGATCGCTGTAGGTATGTAGAATTTTTTCCAATTAAATCAATATGTATCAAAGATGCGTCATGGTTATAACTGGCTAAGAGTTTGAAATGACAGCGTACAGCATACAGCGTATTCGATACAAACAGATCATAGTCTTTGTTGAAACTCGGCCCCCAGTCCCTCAGGCTGACCTTCTGCCGCCCCACTGGGATGAAAGATGCAACATGGGCGTCTGCCTAGAACTCCAACACTCCCAGCCCCCATCCCTGATTTCCAACTGTGTACACCTAATTAGCCGCGCTGATCCCCGACAAGTGGCTCCTACAGTCTCAACGATAAGCTTGCTTGCAAGGTCACGAAACGGCTCCCGACGGGAAGCCTGTAATAAACTCGCTTCCATCCCCGATGCTCTGGATCTGGTTGGTTGTTCTTCCAATTCCAATCAGCATGCACTCAACTACACTCATCACCATATTTGGACTGCTGGCGGTCGTGTACATTATCAAGCGTCGTAAATCAACATCTTCTTTACCACTACCGCCAGGCCCAAAGCCATTACTGGTCATTGGTGATGACTCGATCCCTTTGACCTCGAGGGTTTGCAGGGTTTGTCGTCTTCTTTGGCCCTGCATGAAGCAGGCCGGGGTTTTCCTGTCAGGACCAGGCCTTGTTCCTTTCCTTTGTGCTTCAGGGCCTTATAGACCCTGTTCTGTTCCCTTCTGCTTCTTCTTCTTCTTCCTTTTTCCTAGTCGTCTTCGTCTTCATGCTCTAGATAGACCAATTTGACTCAGTCTCCCTCTCTCTCTCTCTTCGCTTCCTGTGCCAGCAGTGCCGTGGGCGCTGTCAGGTTATGCAGCCCTTTTTGATTCTTCTTCTGATTTAATCAACCTGTTACCATGGCACAACGCCAGGATCCTGTGTTCGCTAAGTCTGTAGCGGCACAAGTCGACTACAGTGACTACGTTTCTACCAATGCAGCTTCGCAAGGTAATCTAAACCAGGCAACTGATGCCCCTGATGAATATCAACTCAATCCTCTTGATGATTTGGAAAATGTCAACGACTTTGACACTTGGCTTGATGATGTCTATCGCGTTCTTCGTCAAAAGGGCCTTTGGCGTTTTATTGACTCTTCAATTCCTCGACCTCCAAGAGACTCCCCACTTGCTGACCGCTGGGTGAAGATCTCACGAGATGTGCAAATTTGGATGTATCAATCCGTTGCAAAGGATATCAACCGAATGGTAACATCTCGCAATTTTCGGATTGAATTCGCTGACGAATACATTGAAAACCTCAAAAATGTGTTGAACGTCACCGGCTACAATGCAATGAACAAGGATTGTGTGACTTGGTGGTCTCTTCGCAGATCCCAGTACACTTCAGCCGTTGACTACGTCAATTCCTTTAGAGATACCGTCACCAAAATCTCAAAGAGAGTTGAAATCAATCCAATTCTCCTGCGTCAAGTTCTGTTACATGAAATTCGTGATGACAATCCAACAATGGTTGCTTCGAAGCACTCTTCTTTCGATGAAAAATATGCGAAAGCGACAGACTTCAACATCAGTGAGTTCTACAAGCTTTGCACAGACCTCACAACCGAATTGGAAACGTTTCAATCTATCCAGTCAGTTGCACTTGCGTCAAGGGCCAATCCAAATTCCAATCCAGGTGGTTCCAATTCAGAATTTTGGCCTTTGAAGAATAAACCTCCTGGTGGTGTTGGAGCTGCCAGCAAATGGGTTAAGGACTGGATTGAAGGCCTAAACCAAGTTACCCCCCAAGGTTGCTGTTCGTTTTGTGGTAAGCATGGCCACCCAGCAAAGGATTGTATGCACTTGGTGTATGAAAAGCGTCCACCTACATGGAAACCTACAAGAGGCCTTTGGATCAATTTCCCATGGAGGAATAGAAACAATTTGGATAGCCAAAAACCCCAAGGTTGGAACTATGATAACCGAATCCGAAAGGATGGCACTACTCCACCAACAGTTCCACCTATCCCAGACCACAATATGCCCAATCCTTCTTCTTCTTTAAAATTGAACCAAGCACCAATTTCTTCTTCAAACAAGATTGATCCTCAGTCGTCAATTGTTGACAGATCCCCTCAACCAGTCATTGGACATGCACCACCAGTTCAACAGGATTCTTCCTCTTCTTCTTTGCAAACAGATTTAACTGCCCAGACAATTTCATATTACTACCCCCATGGCTACTCAAGCTTGACAGTCGAACCATTTGGAAATGGCCCTGAATACCATTTTGCAACAGCAATGGTTGAAACTGACGAATGGTTCAATGAAGCAATCCCTGTGGGGGATGAGAATGATTTTGATGCGGGTAGAATAGACTCCTGTGCACTGAATACCCTTGAAGTTGACCAAAGATTCCCCTTTCCCTCATCCTTGGCCACAATTACTCGTTCTACTGGCGAATGGATAGTTGACTCAGGTGCCTCACGCTCAATTTGTGTTGATGGTGATGCAATCATCCACTTTGAACCTTACAAACCAAATAAGGGTTACACTTGCCAAACCTCAGAAGGCAGAACTTTGGTTGCTAAGGGACAGGCAATTGCAAGAATCAATTTGGTCCTCCCTGATCGAATTGTTGATTTGAACGTACAATGTGAGTATGTGCCAGAAGGACCATTCAACTTGCTTTCGACAACCAGGGCCTACTACGACAACGCATTGGCTTGGAAAGATTGGAAGAATGTGATGGTAGACCCTTGGGATGAATCCATTATCAAGGCATATACATTTCGTCAACGTGGTGTGCCATTTTTACACACAATTTCAATTCGACCATCATTGTCAACTGAATTAATTGCGCCAAAGTGTGTTTCTCAAGCCTTTTCACTTGCGACAATTTCGCCAGAGCTAGCACATTTTCGTTTGGGTCATGTTGGTCAACCCACGGCCAAAATCAATCATCATCGAATTAGTGATGAAGTGCAAGGCGACCATAAATTCAATTGCGAACCCTGCCGATTAGCTAAGTCAAAGAAGATCATTTCACACACACCTCAGAAGCGTGCAACTAAACCATTTGAATTTCTTCATATTGATCTTCAGCCTTGTAAGCCAACGGGGATTGGAGGAATTGATCATGCCCTGATTATTTGCGATGATGCAACTCGACGAAGATGGGCAATACCAATTAAGACGAAGGGCAGTTCCTCCGACGTCTTGATTGATTGGGCAACCCAAATCTTTAACATTGTAGGCTGTTGGCCATTTGAAATACGGACTGATGGCGATCTGAGCTTTTTGAGATTCATTGCATAGATCAAGCAGAAAGGTACTGCGTTTACAATCTCTCCCCCGGCTACTCACGAACAGAATAGTGTTGCCGAATCCTCTGGGCACATTGTGATGCAAGGAGCAAGGACCCTTATGATTTCCGCACCCAATGCGCCCGCCTACCTTTGGCCAGAAGCAGCAATGGCGACAACCTACGTGTTGAATCGAATTCGCCGACCAGGTGAAATTGAATCTCCAATAGAAAAGTGGAACAACGGTTTGCAACTTCGTGAAGCTGGCCCAATTGACTTAGGTTTCCTGCGTGTCTGGTTTTCCAAAGCCTATGTTCATATCCCCAAAGAACAGAGGGTGCAAGGTAAAAAGATGGAACCACGCGCATGGATTGGCTATTTAGTTGGATACGAGGGCAACAATGGCCATATCTACAGAATCTACGATCCTTCGAAAAGACAGGTGGTTCTCCGTCGTGATGTTGCATTTTGGGAAGAACCATTGCCAATTCGCCATTTACCAAGGTTGGAAGATCCAATTCCAATTGACCAGCAAAAACCTCATGAACCTCGCGAACGCCACCCTTTGACAATTTCGAGAAAGAAAGATGAGATTCCAATTGAACATGAACAAAGATCCCCTCAAGCCTCAATTCAACCTTCAACTCAACCTCAATCGCAATTGCAATCGCATCATTCGAGTCCTGTTGCTCATGAATATGTTGAACCAAGTATGACACCAATGCCAATTGAGGTGCTACAACCAAATGCACCAATGCATCAAAGAGCAATTACCCTACCACTTCAGACTACTACGAGACCAATTGCATTGCCAAAGGCAAGGATTCAGCATTTTCAACCATCTCCACCTACTTCAGAAACCCAAATTGCTCCATCTCCACCAATTCAATCATCTTCTCGTGAATCTTCATTTTTAGAAAATCAGAATGTTTCAAATATTTCATTTTTACCAATTCAACAAACTCGTCCAGCTATTCCATTAGCTTCATTACCCCCAATTGAACAACTTCGACCTCACACAGTTCGTGGATTGCCGCCAAATACGCCAGCAAAAAGATTGTTTAGTGAAGTTGTGCGTGAGCAAGATCCCGACTTACCAATTCCAAGCATTGAAAATTTTCAACAACCATCATTACCCACACCAATTGCCCCAGGTGGATTTCCAAGAAGTTCCTCATTACCAATTGAATCCCCAATTCCACACTCTGTTCAATCACCAATTGGTCGTTTAATTCGAGAAACATCTTCTGTTGACCCAATTGCAATTGTTTCAACACAACCAACACAGCCAACACAACAAACTCAACCTAGACGTTCTGCCAGAGAAAGAAAACCAGCCGACCTTGGCCCCGGTATAGTTAAATATCCTGCGAAAGGTCCAATGGCATTGGATCCTTCATCAATTGCAATTGAAGAAGTAACAGTAGGTGATAGGATTGCTTGTTGTGCAGCAGAGCGCTTTCGCACGGGAATAGTGAAGATCCCTAACACCCACATGGAAGCAATGAAATCCGATTTTGCAGACTATTGGCTACAAGCCGAAAAAGTCCAATTGGATAAAATTGCTGCTTCAAATACAATGGTCCTTGTTCCTCATCCTCCAAAGGGCACGTCAATTTTGCCAGGGAAATGGGTCTATGATTTAAAATCTGACAGCGATGGCTACGTTTTGGAATTTCGTGCTAGATGGGTTGTATGTGGCAACCGCCAAGCACCAGGAATTAACTTTCAACCAGATGAGAGATTTACCCCAGTCGTTTCTGATGCTGCTGCCAAATTGTTTCTCACATTAGCAGCTACCAGGAAGTGGACTATTGACCAATAGGATATTGTGGGCGCATATCTCAATGCTGCATTGGATAACCGAGTGATTTTCATAAAACAACCTACTAGCCACGAATACCAAAGCCCTGATGGTGTTGAATATGTTGCATTGCTACAGCAGGCACTGTATAGCTTACGACAAGCAGGCCACCTGTGGCACAACGTGTTCGATGAGGATTTGAAAGATATTGGCTTGACACCATTGCCGACTGAACCGTGCATCTACACGAATCATAAGAAAAACACGTTCGTGTTAATCTACGTTGATGATGTACTCTCTACTGGCCTTGACAGTGAAATTAAGCGAATTCGCGATGCAATGGCTTTGAAGCGCAAGCTGAAGATCCTACCATTCAAAAGATTTTTGGGATGTGACATTTTCCATAACCAAAAGAAAGGCATTATCTTCATGAACCAACAGATTTACCTTTCAACATTGATTTCTGACGAAGGTTTTGCCAATGCTTCCCCTGCTTCAATTCCAATAGATCCCTCTTGGAGAACAACTGACGACGATGTGGTTGACAACATTGACAAGCTCGACTATACAAGGAAAATGGGCAAGGTCGGATGGTTGTCAATCAAAATGCGACCAGATATTGCAGCTCCTGTGTCAAAATTGCAAAGGCGCAATAAATCTCCACGAAAGGAAGATGCCAATGCATACAAAGACCTCCTCCGCTATCTCTCAGGCACAATTGACCTTGGAATACCATTTGGAAGAGACCCAACCCGGGGACTAGAAGGTTTTGTTGATTCGTCATACGCTGATACTGAACGTGGTAAATCCACCGAGGCCTACATTTGGTTCTTTGCAGGCGCACCGGTTTCATAGTCCTCCCATAGACAGGATATCGTTGCAACATCCTCTACAATGGCTGAATACTGTGCAATGAGCACTGCTGTCAAAGAGGGTATTGCATTGGCTAAATTGGCTGCCGATTTGACACTCTCCCCGCCATAGAATGAAGATGACCCTGAAACGAATCCACTCCTGCTCCATTGTGACTCCGACAATGCGATAAGAATTGTCACCAACGGCAAGTTGAGCACTAAAGTGTCATGGATCAATACTCGATATCACTTAGTGCGCGATTTGGTGAAAAAGAATCTCGTTGCATTAATCAACATTCCCAGCAAAAAGAATGCAGCGGATATCTTGACGAAAGCAAAGCCGCATAGTGTTTTTGAAGACGATCGTGATAAATTGCTGTGCATGACGAAACCCCCAGACTTGACGAATTGATTTCCTTGGTGATTATCATATTTGACCAAATTGCAATCTTTCACACATTTCATGTTTACAAATTGTTCATTTTTAATGCTCTCCTGCATAATTTCTTACTATTGTTTCCTGTCAAAAGATGGTATTTCCTAAGCCTGTTTACTTGATTCTATCACCAAGAAGATTGTGTTCAAACTGCTTCAGTCACAAGAAGGTTTTGGTGACTTCGGCCTAGGCCCTGTGGGGGATGTGATGACTCGATCCCTTTGACCTCGAGGGTTTGCAGGGTTTGTCGTCTTCTTTGGCCCTGCATGAAGCAGGCCGGGGTTTTCCTGTCAGGACCAGGCCTTGTTCCTTTCCTTTGTGCTTCAGGGCCTTATAGACCCTGTTCTGTTCCCTTCTGCTTCTTCTTCTTCTTCCTTTTTCCTAGTCGTCTTCGTCTTCATGCTCTAGATAGACCAATTTGACTCAGTCTCCCTCTCTCTCTCTCTTCGCTTCCTGTGCCAGCAGTGCCGTGGGCGCTGTCAATTGGTAATGTCCACCAAGCTCCTAAGTCCCACGGCTGGAGGACATAACGCGAATGGAGCAAGTAGAAAGGACCCATCTTTTATGTCAATATGCTTGGGCAGTCGGTTATTATATTTTCTACGTCCGAAGTTGCCCACGAGCTCCTTGCGAAGCGTGGAGTCACATTTTCAGACCGACCTCGCCTTTTTTAAGACTCTGTTGGTTTTTTATCGCGCATGAATGTGAGCTAATATGGAGTAGTTAGCGACGGAGTTGGCCTTGAAGGGGCTCAATATCCTTATGATGAATTATACTGAGCAATTTCGTCAACATCAGAGGCTACAGGTCTCGGTCTTAAATACGACGGCGGCAGCCGCCTATTACCCTATCTAGACTCTGGAATCTTAGCAATTAATGTATGATCTCCTAGAAAATGCGGGTAGTGCTGGGTCTGATTTTCAAGGACACTTTCAGCGCGCAGTCGCTAGCATTATCCCTACTCTACTGTATAGCTTCTATATCAAAGACTATAATAACCCGGGTCTCTGTGTCGTTGTTAAATTCAACGAAGAATTCTTATAGTTTATCTAGGTTAGAGCGTATATTATAGACTAATCTCCCGTGCTCAATAATTACCCCGGCTTTTTAGCTCCTTGGAAGGCAAAGGGTTAGAACAACTACTAGAGCAAGTATTATCTACGCCACGAAAACTTTTAGCGGGGAGTAGAATCGAACGCCTGGAATATATCAAAGCATCTCTAAAAGACTGTTGAGAAAGATAACCTCGATATACCCTTAGAGGAGCTGGCGTTCGAGCTTGGTACTATGATTGATGCCGCACTGACCAGCACTACTGACGGTTTGATCTGGTTTGTAGTGGCTTGCATCACGCAAGACCAGGGCTTCATCGCTAAGGCTCGCAAGGGGCTTGATGCCGTTGTCGGGCGCGACAGACTCCCAGTCTCCGAGGACAAGCCCAACTTGCCGTACATTACCGCTATTGTCGAAGAAATATTCCGTTGGCGGCCCGCTGGCCCTGAGGGTGTCCCTCACCTAAACAGGAAAGAGGAAGTCTACAATGGATATACTATTCCCAAGGGATCTGTCATTGTACCCAACGTTTGGACAATCTCCCGGGAAAAGGCCTTGTTCGGCGCAATCCCTGACGACGGCAAAACGCTCAGAGCACCGCCCGCAGTCGCCTTCGGCTATGGAAGGAGGACTTGTCCTAGTCGTCATTTCGCACGCAATGCTATTTGGATTGTGTTGCCCAGCTGCTATGGTCATTCGATATCAAGGCTGGTCTGTTTGAGGAGACAGGCGAGCATATCCTTATTGACCCCCTTGCATGCACCTATGGCCTGGTTATGCGGGCTCTGCCCTTTAAGGCTTCATTTAATTCTCGTGGGCCTTGGGTGCGTGAAGTTATTGCCAGAGTGGGTGACACTTATAGCAAGGATCATGAGGCTATGCTCATTGAAATTGGGGCAGAGTTCACTAAATTGTAGTCAGACCTTACCCATCTTCTTCTGTCATTATACTCATTCGACATATATAGCTTTCACTGTTTCGTGAAAGGAAATGAAAATAAATTTTATGGGTTACAGGTGATAAGTTTGGTGATTTCTAGACTCTTCAACGCAGTTTACTCGGTGTTGATGCACTTGAATATAGGAAAAAGATTTGTATGGGTGGTTCCAGAGCTCCACGTAAGCGATATGACGTCATAGGTCAGCGGCATTTAGCACCAAGATCGTATGGCAAGAACGCAAGTGGTTTGTAGCGCGGATCCCAATGCAGCCGCAATTTCCCCTATGGCCACAAGAATATACAAAGCGTAATATCTCGCTGTCGCCTCGACCATTCAAATTGCTTGCCATCCACACAGCTTTCGAGGCAGTTTGTCCAAAGAAGTCCTTGGCATGGCAGGATGTAAGTTCAAACCAGTCCCCAATATCGAAAGAGTTCCAATCCAACCCCGCAGCGCCCCAAACTGGAACCTGTTCTCATTTTGACGAGCAGCACCAACTTCAAATAGCCATAGCTCCATTATTCGCATGTTAGCAGCCTCGTTCCCACTGCACAGTGCTTGCCGGGGGTGATCTGCCACTCCAACCGTGATGGAGCGGGAGAACAGCACTTCCTGCTCCCTGCTGACGATCCCACTTGAAATCCGAAATCAGATTTACGAACTCATCTTGGGTGGTAGTGTCATCGTGTTTATGTCCACACCAGGCTCTCCGCTACGGAATTGTCTTTGTCCATCGAAAGGTCAAAAATTCCATTTCCTACAATACACTGAAGGAGACGGGTTATGGTGGTGTCGTTGCGGCAGCCACTCTAGGGAGCTAGCCACTCATAAGCGACTTCCTCTTCTGTTAGCATGCCAACAGATGTAAGTATCACAATAGGTCCCAATTTAGTCGTTGTCTTGCCATACTGAGTGAATTTATGTTCAGTTACGTGGAATCAGTGAAAATTCTATGGGCCCAGAATACTATTCATCTCCAGGCTGCAATATTTCCGAAATTTCAGATACTTTCGCATCTGAGAGATGCCCTACCGTCTCACAGTTTCAGAGCAATTCGATCGCTTGAAATCTCTTGCCTACATGGACTTTATCACCGAGAACAAACTCTGGATAACGAGTGGTTTGGTTATTGGAATGGCATATGGGACAATGTCAAACTCATGGAGGGACTTCTAGACCTCCAGGTCTGGTTAAAATTGGACCAAGATGTGACCAGAGAGCAGGAAGCACGACTTTTCAAGCCGCTCATGGGACTAGAGCTCAGAGATTTCAAGCTAGAGGTAACTTGGCCAGCAAGTAAGGGTTCGAACGCTTTGTTATTGGGGGCGCCATTCTCTTTGGTGAGGAACAACGCTCCTATTCCTGGAAAGCCAGAATTCGGTACGGAGATAGTGAATGGCGGACCGCTTTAAGAAGCTCATCTTTGGAAATATATTGAGTTCTAGAAGCTAGAATGCTAGCTCTAGGTGGTTAAGTTGAGACGCTCCTTCTACCTCGTAGCAGTGTGGACCCCGCCGGGTGTCAGTCGCAACATTTACTTCCATAGGAACGAAAAGCCATCAATAAACGGACTTAAACACTAGTTGATTATCTAACAAGGCAGATTTAATTCAACGATTCATCAAATTCTTCACTAGATTGTCACTTTCACTCTCACTCCTACAATAGTCCATCAACTCAAACTCGATTCTAAGCCTTAACCAGTCCAGGGACGCATAACCATCTGTACATCTCGCTTCCCGGGCTTTGGCTTCCTACTCAACAAGTCCATCTTTCCCTCCTTGGTGAAATAAGCCTTCTTGTTGATCAATTGCACACCTAGAAGATAGAGTTAGTAAATATATCGTGACATCTTCCGCGAGTTTGATCATCAGAACGGCAGTGACTTACCCATTGCAAAGTACGAGATAGACTCCGCATTATTGCACCCTGTCGGCCCAGCTGACATACAACCTTCCCACCTGTACGCCCAGTCGAGTGTGTGTCCCTTGTCATCAGCGAGGGCGTGTGAAAACTGTTTCCGAGGAATTAGTCAAAAACGAATATCTTCACCAAAAAGCTGTGCAGGAACTGCGGGGCCGTTCTTACCTCATGCAATAGAGAAACATCAAGTCGACTGCCGAATACATCGGCATTGGGCTCACCCGCTGAGAGGGGACGCTTAGGGTTGTAGTCGTTGAGATTCTTGTGGTTTGTCACCGTATCAATGGTTGCATAGGCCGAATGGCCTAGGACGGTGAGATACCAGGGGCAAAGCTGAATCGAGTTCTTGACTAGTTGCCCATCTTTCACCTGTGCCGACCTATAGGCAACTGTGTCGCCGGTTTTACATCCATCGTACTCCTTTGACTTTGGCACAAGAAGCTTGGTGGTCTTGTCGAAGAGGACTGTTTGCTCTTTTCCGTCGTCGCCCGTGATCGTGGTTTCTTCATATCGAGAGAGGTCGCAGTATAGAATCTTGATATGTAAGCTGGAAGGTCTCCAAAGTCTTAGCATTCAGTCATCACTCACTGGATCATGGTTATTATTTAGATCAACATTTTTCAAGTTCTTGAATTCTTGCACATTCTTGTAGATTGCTATCATGGAAAGACTGTTAATGATGGCAATGTATGCAGGATTTGGGACAACTGACCCCTCACAGTGTCAAGACGATATCCAGCGAAGAACCACCCTTTCAGCTCATTAACGTTGGGATCGTTTCCATCCAATGCAGTTCCTGCATCTTCTGCAAGCTTCATAGAATTTTTGACAGCTTCAACTAAGGTGTCCTTGATTGCTGTTTTATGTGTGAGTATTTGTAAAGGCGTAAGGAAAGCATAGAAAAGCATAGACTACTGACGTGCACAGGAATCGTCAATTGAATAGGCATCTACCCAAGCGACTTGTAACAAAATAAAGGAAAGAAGAAGCATAACCTTGGACCAGGTCATTGTAGCCATGGTAGCCATATTGAGGTAAATTTCTGTTGGTATGACAATTGGAGTGCTTCATGCTGGCTTTTAAATGTTTCCGAGTAGCTCAGGTTTCCGCTTGAGCACCGAATGATGACATGAAGATGGATTAAGTCAGGGCAAGTCAGCCTTGCATAGCCCCAGGTATAATCGTGAGAAAATTCTGAAACGATATTCGGAATATTTTTGTTGGATCTTGGCAAATATTCACTAATTTGAGCTGGCTAGCGTGAGGATATTGCCCAGCTACGTCGGGATCCTTTGCAGTATGCGTAAACTTTTGTCACTGAAGTTCGGGGGCTATTTCAATCCGATAGTAAACTTTTTGTGAGGCTGATGCTCGGATCAGTCCATAAGATAGTATTTTTGGAACTGAAAGGTCCATTCCTGCGTGTAGAAGCCATCCATCGTGCTCGGATGTCAATTCTGAGATGTAACCAAGGGGCCACAAGGCTGCGTGCTGACAGTTTATCGTTTCATTCTGAGGGACTAATTGACTATCAATGTGTTTCAATTCATGCGGTAATACAGAGCTGTCGAGTGCTAACCTGAAGAACGCAGCCCAGTCAGAATGCCTTCATTGTTGTTGCCAAGGTCCAAAATTGATGCACTACCGGGATCTTCATATGGCTTGAGAGGGCCAAAGGGAGTAAAATCATTTGATTCTGACCCAATCATGCAAGATTTTGCCGTTGATACTTCGAATTTGACTGTGAATATGCTCCAAAGGGGCTAAATTACGTAGTTGATTGCCACCACTATGGTTTGTTCAAAGATGAGCCACCGATGATTAGGATCCAAATCCTTCTGAGCTATGACCACCAAATCCTGAGCCGCAGGGTACAAATCTAGTTCGGCTTACTATCATCTGAGCGACTGACTTTTAGAAGCCAGGGTCCACACTCACTTAAACCGGGGTCGCCAAGCCATGGGCTGCAGGGTCCATGTCTAGTCAGGCGCACCGCCAAGTTTAATCCCACCACTCTGCGAATGATGTTCACATCAGATTAAAGGCCTATCCACAAATATGAAAATTGGGCTAAACTTGGCATTCGACTCTTGTAAGCCCAATTGCCCCACGTTGTCGGAAATGATCATCTTCCATCATAATCATCCTCAGCTGTGATTCTCACGAAAACGATCCAAAAATATCGACAACCCCCAACGCCCAGCTTCCTTCCAAGGGCCGAAAAAGTTGCATGTTTGACATGCAATTTTTTGCTGACAGAATGGGGCCATGAAGAAACAGCCTTGCTAGAGTCTGACTTCATCTGGATGAGTCTGAGGAAGCATACTAGCACGAGGTCAGAATCTCATCATGTTCAACTCGTTCGTGAAAGGTATTTATATCTTGAAGCAATGCCCTCAAGTATTCCAAGTCACTCAAACTACCGGCATCCTTTCTATTGAATTCCTTTATCTTCTTCTGTGGTTTGAGAGAGATGGTTCAGTTTTTACAGTCTCTCTTGGTCCTAGGGCTGGCAGCCCGGTTTTCGTGGGCCAGTCCTCAAGTCCTCACAGAGTCCGAGGCACTAGTCAAGCAGCGGGGACTTGCGCCTGGTGATCAATACGTCTTTGCCACCTGCCCACGGTATGTCATTGTTTGATGAGTCTTCAATGTTCTCTTCGGAGATATATGATTAGGGTATCTAACAATATTTGAACAGTAACCTTCAGAAGTGCTCGGAATGCGGCGGCGATACCAAGAAAAAAGGCTTTTGCGATAACGAAAGAGCACAGGGATCTATGTTCGAATATTATCGCTGCAAGCAATTCCACGCAACAGGTTGTGGTCTGATTTGTGAATGTATATCAGAAGAAACGGGCAATCCTGGGTAAGGATGCCATCCATGCTTTGCTGATTACCCATCTAACTCTGATATCCTTCTTTTCAAAGAACCGGTTTACCACCCATCATTCCATTCCCGCTTCCACCACCTGGATTCGTTGTTCCTCCAGCAGGTGTTCCAAACCCCAAGACTCCGTGTAAAGAAGACTACACGAAGACTAGTTGCAAAGACTGCAAAGCTCTGGAGGGCTGGTGTACTGTGGGAGACAACGCCGGGTGCCCTTGCAAGGAGGAATGCCCTGCAGACGATAAAAAACCTAAGTGCTCCGATGACGGATGCAAGGGAGACGACAAGGGAGCTTGTACTATTGTTTGTTACCCATATACGTTGTGATCTGCTGGTCAGGTTGCTTACATCAAACAGGGCCATTACAAGGACTGCAAGTGCAAGGCTGAATGCCCTGACCCAAAGAAAAAGGCTCTTGTCTGTAGCAACAAGAGTTGTGCAGGTAAGGACGGCAAGTGTACAACTGTATGACTCTCCTTTCCCTTTTTTTAAATTCTTCTAGCCTTATGAATCTGACATTAATTTGCTGCAGGGCGCGAATGATGGCTGTGCTTGTTATGAGCTTGCAAGTGTAATCTTCACCATCGGATCTAAGTCGCAGGCAGAAAAGAGCGAGAAGATCATGGCTGAACTGTCCAAATATCTCAAGGACCATGAAGGAGAAGGAGACAAGCCCAAAGAGCCGAAGGAGGTCAAATGCTCCAGCACTGAGTATAGCAAAGCAGTTGACGTGGATATCTCGTTCATGCAGAAGATAGCGGATAAGTTCTGCGATGGTGATATGAGCAAGAAGCGCAGTCAGGACTTGACAAACAAGGACGTCTCAAGCTCCGCTTATGACAAATATAAGTTCCACCTCGAGTTCGACCCGGGCAAGAACTGCAAGACCGACTGCAAAGCAACTTTTAAGTCAATTATTGGCAAATGTATGTCTTCAATTCCGACTCATCTCACTCTATTTACTCACATTTTGAATAGGCGAGGGTTATAACAGCCACTCTATCCAGCTAGAAGGCAGTGCCAAGTTTGACTGTGACGCGAGCTACAGCTACAAGATTGACGCGCCCGAGAAGCCGAAGCCGGCGCCTACTCCCGACCCTGGCTTTGAACAGCACGGCTTGCAAGAAAGAAAATGCCATTCCGCGGATCAGTTCGGAGGTCATGGCGATGTTCGTGGATCCGAAATTAGTATGGCTGCTACAGGCTGTGCTGGTATCTCTGATGACAAGGCCAAGCTGAAGGAAGGCTCTGAGGCTGTCAAGCTGCAGTCAACATATGGAGGCACCAAGATGCAGTTTACCATGTCATGGATTAAGAACTGTAAGGGACCCGAGCAAGACGCCCGATACCCCTTCGGAGAGCCGCACAACCTTGGAAACACCTGCTGGCAGCTTTTGTTGGACGATTGGCAGAAGTGTGAGTTATTAATTCTTTTCCTAATTCTGATTGAATTGACGCTAACCTTTCAAATAGGTAACAACGGCGGTGCTGGTGGATCTATCGATTACAGCTGTGTCAGATACGATTTCAGACCGACACATGACTAGGATGACAGAAGATCTGTTGATATTATTGTTGCCTATAGCTCTCAAATTTGATTATTTTATTACAGTTAAGCACACAAGAATTCAGTTCAGCAATGAAGGGAACTTATGACAGACAAAATTCGCATATACTTGTCACTATTGAGTTGCCCAGGATCTAGGATGTCAGCAAAGCATGGTTGCTATTGACCGAAGAAATGAGCATGAGGGAAACAGAACAATACATCGACATACAATGCCTGCTTCAGCAAGTAGCAGGCGTCAATACATGTGAAATGCCACAGTATCGTACAAAATGTATTATGGACCCACTGTTTCCTAGAGACAGCTAAACTGCGCTGTTATCATTGGGCACTCAATCTTTCCTAAACCCCACTAATTCCTTCAGCCTTCGGGGAGCTTCCTTCTAATGATGTACCCTGTCACTGACTCACCCAACACCAGACTGAGAAGGCTTCTATATTGAATTATCTCCCCTTTCAGAGTACGTAAGGCTTCATGATCAATCCAATTTGCTTAAACTGACGTGTACAATCGATCTCGATGAGCCGCCACGAAATATGAAAGCCGTCTACGACGCAAATTCAGTAATAGTGTACCAGTTATGCACGACTAAAGAGGCACAGCGTGCAGTTCGCGATAATTCTCTGGACCACCTTGCCGACCAGAAACAAATCTAGATCCAGCCGTCATTTGGCTGGAGTGCCGTGCGAAGCGGATATTGTTCGAAAATTCAGGTGATTCAGGTTGATATCACCAATATGGATTCCTCTATATGCTCGAGAAGGCCTGCTTATCGCGCTTTGAGCCAAATACTGTTCATCCAACAAAGCAGGGGTGGGACGAGCGGTGGAAAATACCTCCGTGACAGTGCAGTGGGAGGCTGACCTGGATGTAGAGGGGAGTGCGCTTGGTTATGACTGTCTACGCCTGTGCTTAACAGGTGAAGTGCAGAAACGGTACATCCAGGTCTGGGTGTTGAGTGTATGTGATGCGACAAAGCAGATACATGAGATCTGGAATATCCTTGGACACGGATGGGATTATATATTGACAGCGCCCACGGCACTGCTGGCACAGGAAGCGAGAAAAGAACAGGGAGACTGAGTCAATTGGTCTATCTAGAACAGGAAGACGAAGACGACTAGGAAAGGAAGAAGAAGCAGAAGGAAACAGAACAGGGTCTATAAGGCCCTGAAGCACAAAGGAAAAGGAACAAGGCCTGGTCCTGACAGGAAAACCCCGCCCTGCTTCATGCAGGGCCAAAGAAGACGACAAACCCTGCAAACCCTATCGAGGTCAATGGGATCGAGTCATCATATATACTTTCGAACAAGCGGCGGAAGGAAATTAATATGGAATTTCTTGTGTCTCTTAGTTTTTCCTTAGCTAAAATACTCCACATTGGTTCCACAAGATACGGCGTGCATTTCACAGCTCTTTTTGCCAGTCTGGTGGATGGGTACCTCTGCCCGAGGGCCAAATATTGATTATGTGCTAGGACGTCCTCACAGTCGCCCGGGCACTATGTGCATGAATAGCAAACATTAGATCAAAACTCACACCATCCTAGGCATCAGAGTCTTTTACTACCTGAAGTTAAAAAGACGTTCACTTACTGTGTGCGGCCACTGACAACAAAACAGCCAGACAAACATACTATTCTGGGGGATGTTTGCCAGCCACCGAACGGCTTCCAATCAGATCCCTTATCAGCCCTATCCGCATCCCTTTTCGGTAATTAAACTCCGAATCGTATACTTCCCGATGGGGTAATCTGCTGTAGAGATTCCAGATCTGTCAATGTTGATGATATTTTATCAGTTTGCTTCGTTTGATCAGATTGATTGATTTTGTGGATTAGAAGCTTGCTCAGGCAATATATTTTGGCCCGTCGTCAGTTCTTGTGAATATGTTTCTCTCGAAAGTCAGATAACTTAACCGGCTTGCTTGACAGCTTCATGACTTTGCAATTTTGTCATTTCAGCTTCGACCCTAGCTCAACCATATATACCACCTAGCCTCGCAATGGCATCCTCCCAGCCATCTCCCATATTCGGAAAAGACGTCGAATCCTGCGCAAAAACCACCAGCAGTCATATCAAGACAGAAGCAATCGCAGAATCCACACCAAAGTCCGCAGGGCCCCCTCCACCACCCAACGGAGGCACACGAGCATAGCTCCAAGTCCTTGGGGCCTTCTTCCTTAACTTCAACACATGGGGCCTCTTGAATACTTTCGGCACATTCCAGTCTGAATATAGTACAGGCTTGCTCAGGAACTCGTCGCAGTCTTCAATTGCTTGGATTGGATCGCTGCAGGCGTTCCTGATGCTGGTGATTGGAGTTTTGTGTGGACGTGCTCTTGATGCTGGGTATTTCTACGTGGATATCACCCTGGGTGTCTTGCTTGAGGTTTTTGGCACGATGAGTGAGTTTCGTCACCCAATTACAATGGGAACAATACTAATCTTTCCGATAGTGACTTCGATTTGCAAGGAGTACTGGCAAGTCATCCTAGCCCAAGGCCTTTGTGTTGGCATTGGCGCTGGGATGTCATTTATCCCCAGCGTTGCCATTGTGGGCACGTATTTCTCGACGAGAAGATCCACCGCGCTGGGTCTGGCTGCTACCGGCTCCAGTGTCGGAGGAATCATTTACCCAGTTGTGTTAAGGCGTCTAATAGTTCAAATTGGACTACCCTGGGCGATCCGAGTTATGGCATTCATCATGTTTGGAACACTACTCCTCATCTCAGTCGCTTTTATGAAGCCTCGCCTTCCACCGCGTAAATCAGGCCCGCTGATCAACATCGAGTCGCTCCGTGACACTGTTTTCGTCCTTTGGCTCTTCGCTGTGTTCTTCATCTTCATCGGTCTCTACATCCCGTTCTTCTACGTTGAGCAGTATGGTATCAATCTCGGTATATCGCGAGACTTGTCTTTCTATATGTTGATCATCATGAACGCGGGCTCCATCCCCGGTCGTGTCATACCGCCCATCATCGCTGACAGGATCGGCAACATGTCAGTCATGATTCCTTCCGTGCTGCTCACGGGTATCTTGATGCTCGCATGGATCAGCGTGGAATCCCAGTCAGGTCTGATTGCCATTTCGGTCTTTGTCGGCTTGACAAGCGGCTCTATCCAGGCCGTGCTTCCTGCGACAGTCGCGTTCCTTTGTCCCGATCTCTCGAAGCTAGGTACTAACATTGGTATGACTCTTTTTGCGGCGAGTCTGAAGTTGTTGATTAGTAGTCCTGTAGCTAGTGCGATTCTGGATCACCAACGCACGTCTGAGGGAGATATCTCCTGGGGTACGTTTACCTTTTCTGCGCTCTTTATATTGGCGGGAGGGGTGTGTTTGATCATTGCTCGTGTGTTCAAGGTGGTATTTGCTTTGAAGAAGGCTTGAGACTGTGATTATGGCTGTAATGTCCTCTAATGAGGACAAGGTAAATATAGTTTGGAGGCTTCACATAAATGTCGATGGGGTAGTCTCAGCAGTCAAAGAGCGAAAGGAAAAGATAGAAGAGAAGAAACAAAGCGGCTCCTAGCGGTGATTAAGATATTTTCTCTACTTGTCTATGTACAGTTCCAAAATATTATGCGCCCACGGATTCAATTTATAAGTCTTCCCACAAGATGTTAGGCGATGATCGAATCGTCGCGGTTGATTCGAATGGCGCCACAGGATATTGTAAACACAGATCAGACTGCATGCTCTGACTTAGAGATCCTGAGCCTGGATAAAATTCGCGTTCACTTGGAAACAACGTCTGCATCAAGGGATCTGGAAGTTGTTCATGATCCATCCAGTTCGCCGCAAGAAAAGTGGAGGCACTTATTGGAGCCGGCGTCTTTGCGGTATCAAATCCCAGCAAGTCGAAAGCTGAGTCTTGCTGTTCCCGTTTCAAAGAACGCCCCATCTCGGTAACAACCTCCTCGGCTGCTTTAATGCCGACCTGGAGGAATTTGGAATCCTGTTGAGAGTCGCCAAACTCGCTGATCAGGTTTGAGGTGACAGTTGTTGCGACAGCAAGAACAAGTCTCGTCTTTGCTGCGACAGGACCAAGGCGGTATCTTCCTGCTATAGTCTGAGATAGAGACTCTAAAGACTTCAGCAAAAGCTGTTGGAACATGACCAGCGTGGGCGGCGGGCCATTAGAGACGGTTGTCCCCAGGTTAATGCTTCGCAGGCGACCAACTACCAAACAAGCAGTTAATGCTGCGCGGGCAATGTCAGTCCAAAGGAGAGGGTAAGCCACATTAGACGGCTCAGAATTGCTATGTAACACTTCCTGCGACTGATACAGGATGGACACCGAATTGTCCCATGCTTCATAGAGATCGCCCCGCTGGGAAATATGAGACGGAACCCCTAGGACGAAATTGAGTGTGATGATAACCATGAAGCTATGCACATGCACCAATAACAAGGCTTGTTGAAGTTTTTCGATTGGGCCTCCACCGTGGTTCCGGGGTCAAGGGTCAGAAGGTCGACTTGGCTCGTCAGAGGACAGTCCACATCCTCAAGTCGAACACCAAACTGAGATCCACTCCGGATGCAATATTCAAGGTTTAGTCGAAAGAAACATGCCCACAATCGTTTCCGAACTTCGGCAAAGTAAGGAGTGACGCCGGGGAACAATGCTGGATCCCTATGCAAGCCCATGCTCAGAGCTATTTGCGTAGTAAGCCCCATTACACCCATGAGGTTGTAAATACTGTCAGTGTCAGAGGCAGTGATGGTCTTCATGATGATCAGCAATAACAAAGCCTGCACGACCCCTATACAGGGTTTTTGGAACTGCGTCGATGTATGAATACAGCTCTCCGCTTCTTGCAGTATCAGACGCCCTCGTAGTCGCTCTGACTTGTCGGTCTGCATGGCAATCGCAATGACCAACAGCATCTTGAGAATGTGCACCTCATTAGCATCGACAGATACAATCAATATTTCCTCCAGCTCGGTGGTCAGGCAATTCTGGTCGATGATATGGTAGATTCTACCATATGTTTCATAAAATCGCTTGATCCACTTTTCGCAGGTCGACCGATTAGGAAGGAGATTCAGTAACTTCCTACTATCTCCATTCACTCCAGCTGGAACTGAATTCGCCACACGAAGTAGAGACTTGACTTCCGCGAAAGTTCTCCACGTTTGTTGAAACCCAACAGTCTTCTCCAACATGGCCCCTATAACGGGCAAATCGCTGCACGCGGCCATCCAATGAGTACCACCAATCAACCTTGTTTTGAAGTCCGACCCTTTAAAGGCACTATTGGCATAACTGACGGTGGACTGGTTGTGGGGCAGGACCAATGGTGGATTATGGATCTCACCAATCTCACTATCGGAGGAGCGGGGTGCTGGCTGTTGCAACACGAGTTGATCGACCTCTGTGCTTCGAGAGGATACTAATGGTCTGACAGATTCCGTGACTGCTGGACTTTTGGAACGGGAGTAAGCGCACTGTGCGTCCAGTCCACGATCTTGACACGGTTTGTATGGTGCCTTGCGATCGCAGCGCACTTTGGATTTTCGATAATGGTTATATGCCACGGTTTCCCGAACCCGGGGTCTTTTTCGACCGTTGTTTTTCTTAGGGTTCTCGAATGCGTCTGCATTCAAATGGCTGAATGTTAACATCTCGTTGCCCCCAGCTGGAAAGGGTGATGGCTAGAATGAAGACATTAAGAAGATCGACAAGGCTGGACGGGGATCAGCCTTGAACGGGAACTAAATGGCCCCCACCCTGTTCCCAAAGGGTCTCTCGAAGACCAACTGGCCGAATATCAACCTCAGACTTCTATCATTGCACAATGTAACAGCGAAATGCATTACAAATTCATAAAATTTATATACATCCATTCGATGATTCGGCCCAAACCCAACAGGCCATCATAAATAGGTATCACAATCTAAAACTGCCACTGTTTACACCACCGCTTCATCAACTCCGCCGTAACCGGCTCCATCCTCCGCATAGTCTCACTCGCCTCCTCCGTCCGCACCGTCGCAAAGCCCCCACTAACAGCAGTAGCCTCACCACCCGCCCCTTTCGACGCAATCGCAGCAAGACGATAGGTATCCAAAAGCTTCACACCCGGATTCTTCTCCAAATCCACCTCGCCAACAGCGGTCTTCTCCAGCGCCTCAACCCACTCCTGCAAACTGACAACGCGCTCAATCCGACTTCCATAGAACTCTGTGACCGCGGGGACAATAACGTCCTCCCAGACTGGAAGATTCGGGTTCACGGCATGGAAGTACCCGCCGTTACCGTCTTGGCCGGTAGTTACCTCCAAGACAACGCCGGCGATATCCTCGACAGGTGCCCAGCCCAGACTACCCAGGACTCCGAGTTGGCTGGGTAGGAGGCCGAGGAATACGGAGCTGCGGATTAGAGTTGGGAGCCACTCGCGCGGGTTCCATTGGCCTTGTTCAGCGCGGGGCCCGGCGACTTGGCCTACGCGGACGATATTGCGTGGTACGGAGGATGTTGTTGCTGCGGCGTCGAGGATCAGACTTGCGGCAAGCTTGGACTGGCCATAGCCCATCTGCGAGGCGTGGGTGAAGTCTGAGAGGGATTGTTCGGGGATGAGGGTTGGCTCCGGCCATTGCTCGACTGTGCTGACGGACGAAACGAACGTGATGGGGATACGTTTGGTGGCGGTGGCGGCGAAGTCGATTAGGTGTCGGACACCGCGGAGGTGTGGTTCGAAGGAGGCGATGGATTGATTGAAGTCCACGGGCCAGGCGTTGTGGATAATGCGGTCGACTGTGGCTGCGAGGCGGGTTGCGGTCTCTTCGGGTAGGTTGAATGTAGATGAGGTGGAGAGGTCGACGGTGAGGAATTCGACGCGGGATGGTGAGAAGTCGGTGGAGAGGCCCCGGGAGCTGCTAGCTGCGATTTGGCGCTCGCGTGCGTCGGAGGTTCGGTTGAAGCATATGATTTTGGAGATGTCCTTGTTTGCGAGGGCGAGGTCAAGGAGGTAGCAGCCTAGAGCTCCAGTGGTGCCAGTGATGATGATGGTTTGGTTTGTAGCGGCGGGAAGGGGTTTATCAGTTGTTGGGGAAGGGAGGTTCTGCGTGTATTTCTCGACAAGAGCCGAGCATAGGGCCAGAGTGTCGGCCTCGGTGCTGGTGACTGCAGTTCCATTCGAACTAGATCGAGCCAGAGAGTTGATGAAGGAACTGAGCTTGGCAATGCTTGGGTGACTGTAGATACTCCTCCCCTCAATGGACTGCTTGACACTAGCGCTCAACACGCGTGCCAGTTGGAGAACCTGCAGCGAGTCGACGCCGACAGTGAAGAAATCATCATCAACGCCAAGGGCAGGCAACTTCAGTGTCTGTTGCACCAAATCCCGAATCCCTTCCGCAAAAGCGGTCTCTGAGCTAAAATCGAGCTCCACGGCCGCGACTGAGCCGTTGGTATCAGAGCTAGATTCAAAGATGCGGCGAATATCATCTGCGTAGAGCTTTGTAGCCACGGCGCGCTGAACTGTTCCCTTGCCAGCCCGCGGGAAGGGTCGCTCTGGGTCCGACAAGAAGACATAATCACGCAAGATACGACCATGCGCGACAGTCTGTTCATTAACCTTCTCGATAACCGGCCAAACATCGTCGAGGAACTTCTGCTTCTCCTGCTCATTTGGCGGATGTTGTGCCGGTTCAATAATCAACGCAGCATGGAATTGTCCCGCACCCACAACTTGCGCGCCCAGAACCCCCGGATGTCCGATCACCGCTCCTTCGATAGTCGTGGGGTTGAGTTTTTCGCCAGTAGAGAAGACAATAATGTCGTCGGCACGGCCCACGTAGGTCCAGTGGTCTGGTAAAGTTGGATGCGGGCGGTAGAGGTCCGAGGTGCTGTACTCGTCTAGCTCAGGGAAGACGTAAAAGCAACCCTGCACACCGGGATGTCCCTTCTTCTGCCGAATGAAGACCTGCTCGAATGTGTCCTCGCCAAAGGGCCGCCACTCGATACCCAACAATTCTGTCGGGACGATGAACCATTCCCAGAGGGATGAGTCTGGTTGTGTGTAGTATGGCATGTAGATGTACTCGGTTGCTCCGATGGCGTTGACTAGCTTGACCTTGTTCTTGAGTAGAGAGGCCGCTGCAGCGGGTGCGATTGGACCTACATAGAGAGCTAGTTAGTATCAGGACGCAATTAATGTTTCGCTTTCGCTCACTCACCTCCTCCAAAGGCCACAACTTGCAACCTGCTCAGCTCATCAAGCGCTACTTGTGACCGCGACATCTGCTCCAGAATTGCCGGGGGCAGGACAGTATATGTCGCGCCGGAGTTCTGCAACCACTCTATCACGTTATCGCCCGTGAACGGAACCAACGGATCGCGGAATATCACCGGGGTGTTATAGTAAAAGCCCGACAAAACAGTGGGTGCAATTCCTGCGGTATGGAACAGAGGGCAGGTGCAGAGGTATCGTGGATTGTCGAATTTCCCCCATGTCGATAACCACGGCATGTTGCCCTTGTAATCGGGAACATAGCGATGCAGGTCGTTCAGGGCGAACGAGCCCTGGGGGATAACGACTGGCTTGGGTAGACCGGTGCTACCGCTGGTATGAAGCACCACAAACGGATCCCATTCGGCCTCTTCGAAGGTCTTTGTATACGGAAATGGGGCAACCGTCGTGTTCACCCACTCATCCCAAGGAGGGATTGCGACGCTCTTCATCCCTGATCGTCCCGCGACCCACGGCTTCACCATCGATGCCAGCGACTGATCATAGTATAGGAGATTGCAGTCCGTCTTGTTAAACAGGTTCACCTGGGCCTCGACAGAATTCCGTGGCGAGATAAACAGAGCCTTGTATCCAGCCTTAATGGCGCCCATGATAAGAACCACATAGCGCGGGTCTTCAAGTCCGATATACGAAATCGTGGGGAAAGTTCCAGGCGTTGGCGTCCCAGCCTGTTCGATCAGCATATGAGCCACATAGTTGACTGCATTCGCAACTTCCGCCCAGCTCACAGGCTTCCAGCCATCGCGGGGGTAACCAGGAGTCCGTGGGACGAACAAGCAATCGACATCTGGCGCTGCGATAGCCGTTGCATCGATGACATGGGGCATCAAACGTTTCCCACATTCACCTCCTAGAAGCGGCTCGTTCTCCGAGTCGGTAATCGTACCGAAGACATTCACATTGTTCTTAATCATCGTCTGCGACGCGTCGCGGCTGCGATCAACAAGCTCACCCATCTTTGCGACGCGATTGACTTTCACAATTTAGTGCCAGGTCAAACCCCTCCATTATATTCATCCTCTAAATGGTTTATCCCCCGCTCTATGTTCTAACTCGTCTCGGGCCCTCGGCTCAGCTACGGCGACTCCGTGTTTTGTTTATGCCCGTTGAAGCTAAAGTGGCTACCTGAAAATCTTGGTTCAGCCCCGCCCCTCGGGCTCGAACTGGTGATCAGACGCGGCGATGGGCCAATTAGTGTTAGTCTGGCTAATTATGTAGATTGTGGCGTTGCTGAGAACCGCCTGGTATCGAGGTGAGAATATCCGAGTAGTCGGAGCATCCCGATTGGTTGGTGGGACTGACGGGTTTGACAGCACAGCTAGCGCGGACACGTTTTCCCACTAGTCTAGTAGACTGTGGATACAACGTTGGGAATTTCCCGTTTGTTGGACCTTGGCTGGATTATAAATGATGTATGTCTATATTCCGGCAGTTGGACTAAGCCGGATCATGCTCAGAACGGGGACTTGGGTGCGAACGAAACGCTTTGAAGTCCATGAGAAAAAGAAGTTGGGGCACAGTTTAGAACTAGATAGTATTACCACTGTCTTAATTCAGCAATGCTTTGACAGGGGATGCAACAGCCACTGCAGTACCCGGTTGCCAAGCTTTGGTTTTGTGGCGACTATCATACATGGTGGCAGAGGCCCTTGATCCTGGAACAGGATACTCTATCCACATTCCGGCGATCTCCGCATATATACACCGACAATAACACCAACAATCAAGGCGATTCGAATCGCGGTATAGCTAAATCCGAGGTTTGTCGCTAAGGCCGCGGGTGGCCCTTTGCCCATACCTGGCATATAGCACTGGCACGGCGTATATCGTAGTCATTAAAGTCTAGCGGAGCGCGAAATACTCATATCGAACTCTAAGCTTAACTACAAGAGGGACCAAGGTCATACCTGCTCGTATTTAAGCTACATTAAAACTAGATTTTTTATGATATCAAAAACGCTCAAATAAACATACAGCAAATTAAAGCTTCGCCTTCGCCTCTTCAAACTTCCACACCGCATCCCCTGAAAACGTCTCCATCTCCCCAAGATACCCATCCCACAAAGCCTGCGAGGTCATAGGCGCATAGCAATACGGCTCGACGCCAGTTTCCTCGACCAACCGCGGCAATTCTGGGAGAACAGCATCAGCAGCCTGTTCCTCCATATCGCGCTGCACTTCACGGCTAATGCCGCCCTTCTCCGCGAACCAACCAGCGTCTTCCTTGAGGACTCCAGCTTCGTAGAGGGCGCGGAGCTGGGGCTCGATGCCGATGTCTTCAGCGGCCTCGAGGGCCATACGGTAACCGATTGCGAGGACGAGGGGGAAGCATAGGGGGAGAATGGCCCGGTTGAAGGCTTCGCTGCGGTGTTTGTTGTTGAAGCGTTTCATTGTTTTCCGTGCTTCGGCGAAGAGACCTGCTTCGTGGCGGGCGACAGGGCTGTTAGGGTTCTTTGGTGATGGGACTTCGTAGCGGCCGATTAGGAGTTCGCTGGCGAGACCTGTTGGATGGAGAATTGTAAATTAGCTTGCGTGAGCTGCATCAAGAGTGGGGGTAGACATACGGATAGCTAGGACTCGAACGTCGCCCTCTGCAGTTGCTACTGCGTTGAACTCCAGCTGTATTGGAGAAAAAAGTTAGCAATGCCCATCATCTCTTTGGGGTTAGAAGAAGCCTTACACTAGCGGCAAGGATTTGATTGCGATCATAATAGCCCTGCCAGCCACAGCCCTCATTGATAAATCTGAGACTGTCCTTGAAGTGATGAATCGTAACCGCCTTGAACGTCGTTGCAAAGATATGGCGGACACGCGAATCAGCCTCAACGCAATATTGCCTTCCTGCGTAAATCAAAAACGCCTGCAGAACATGCGCGCGCGCGATAGCGTGCAAGATAGGAAGCTGCTGCGTCCGGAAATTAATCACGGGCATAGGCTGTCCGTCAGGTCCGAGGATGTGGCGTCGGTAACTGAATTTGCTGGCGTTGTATACAGCCATCTTGATAAGGGGAATGCAAGCGCCTGCTAGGAAGAGGGTTCCGGCGCCCATGCGGTGGATTGTGCTTAGGAAGTTGTCGCGCTCGTTGCGGGGCTTTTCCAGGCTACCGAGTAAGGCGGAGGGTGGGAGTTGGACGTGGTTGAAGTAGGTCAGGGCGTGGTCGATTGGGTTCGCGCCCGGGCGCAGTGGGAAGACTCTGGAGGCGCACTTTTGTTAGTCTTGTGTATATGTGTAGAGATCGATGGCTGATACTGACTTTGAGGTGATTCCTGTGCACATCTTGGCACCATCGGACATGGGAACAAGGAATGGGCGGACTCCGCGGTCCTCTCCATTAACTATGAGACGGGCAACTACCACTGCAATGGTCGGGAGGCCATTTCGTGGAGTATTAGGTGGCATGCATCTTGGATTGCTTCGTTAGTATCGAGGTAGATAAATCTGGAGTCTAGGGTCGCTTACTTAGCGGCATTTGGGTTCGGTGTGTGCAATTCAAAGCCGCCATTGGGCAAAAGTGTCGCCGTTGTTTCAAGATTGCGAGCATCCAAGCCGTGTCCGAGCTCAGTGAGCATGAATTGTGATCTAAAGCAGGTCAGCAAGATATAATTCCAGAGATATCAGGTGGAGAACGCACGAGATATCGACCCTCAACGCCTTCTCTATAATGGCCGGCAATTCTGGATGCGTGGCAGCAAAAGGAGCCACTGTGCCGACGAAAAGATTATACTGGACGCTGACCAGGTTGATTGCACCGCCGTCCATAGCGGTGAGCATGTCCATGTGAAGTTTCCAGAAAGCTGGTGTCATTTCAACTACATCCTTCAATGACAGGTCTATATTTCATTCCCAATCAGTTACTTGGAAGCATGATGGTTAATTTCGGGGAGAAGCTTACTGTGAGCGCGTGCTAAGGCCTGTGCTCTCTTGTATGTGAGCGCCGTCCGCTCCTCGAGAGTCATCGACGGTGACGCAGGCTGCATCAGTGGTGACCTCGCCAATTCCAGCGTCAATGATGGCGTGTTCCATATTTGCTCATAGAGTGCACGGCACTCTGATACGGCAACATCAGGCTCTGAACTTGGCAGCGACGCGAGAGACATGTTTGTTAGATTTTCCAAAGATAATTCTGTTGACAATTCCCCCGGAGTCGCATCATGACAAAGGCCATTTTATGTATCCGCTTCGGTTCAACCGGGCTGTTGAAATTTTAGGGGCTTAGCTGAATAGTTCTACATCGAGGATTCACTAGCAATGTGCTAAGACATAATAGGTCTAAGAGATAACAGGTCACTAATTGGCAGTGTAGAATAGCCGACATTGATCCACTTTGACATCGGGTTCGCCGGCAGTCTGGATTGGGCGGCTGCGAAAACCGTTGAGGGCTTGAGCAGTTATATTTTGGGCATAGTACAGACACCCGTTCCGATCTCAGCTGGGTCGGTATCACCAAGTCAATTGGGCGCACACGAGGGTCTCACCGCTAACGAATGATGAGATGCGCTAGCCACGTAGCGCTACGTAGCGTTGGGAAGTTGGGAACCAGTTCGCGTAGGGATGGTAATCCTAGGTGAAGTTTAATTCAAGAACTGAATTTTGATTTGACGGGAAATTGTAGCGTTTGGATTTCAATTTGTCGACGCCTTAGTGACAGGTCCACTCTAGCTATTTAAACAGGCTAATCAGAAAAGTGAATGAACATAAAGAGCCAATCATATCGCCTAATTAAATTGTTCATCTGAAGCCCCTGACCCTCTTACTCTGTTTTATTCAAAGATATGGATATCTTCAAATTGTGCACGGGGTAGTGCTTCGTCATCGCCCTCATCGCTCTTTCTGTCACTCGCATCATAACTCTAACTTACCATGTACTGTATTGTCTATAATATAGAGCTATGTGGAGACTCCTTAGTCGCTCCGATCGCTTCTTCTCGTTTTCCAGAGTTTTCCTCCTTTGGGCCAAATCCATTACCCATACCTAACGGGGCCCAATTGTTCGTAAGCGAAGCATACCGGTTACCCTAGCAAATCCCTCGGCCTCGGGAACGGCTCCGGCTTGGCTTTCTGTCCGATTGGGGATAATGGCGTCGCAGAATTATGTTAATTGTGGGGAAAGATCAATTCTCGAAGCCACATCGCCTGAGACGAATATGTAATCGCGTTCGTCTTGGCCCTGGCCCGGGGGTTTTGCATTAGGGTCTTTCTGCAGTGTTTGCGAGATAGTTACAATGAATGATGCATAGGAATCATTAAGGTTATCAAGTGGAACCAATGTGACAGGGATCTTCAGTGCTTAAATCTCTTCTGCCATAGGATCATCACATAAAATCTCGATTTGATTTAGGGACTGTTCCCTCGTACCAAAAGCGGATAGGTTTGCTTGAAGACTATTTTATGGTAGAAGCTCACTAGTAAACCCCTTTATCTAGTATGTCTTCTAGTTTCTTCTATATAGAGATTTCTTCTTTGACATAGAAGAGAAGGCCTTTCCCACACCACATAGAGGTAGGTAGTAGATATCTAGTGCTCATTCTTTCTCTAGTTCACTAGCTAGCGTGTGGCTTCAGTGCGACCGAGTGGACATGAAGTCCTGTTCTCCACACTGCGTCCTCACGTATGCTGAAATCAAGATGGTTATAAATTATGCAGTGAAAGAAAAGGTTTTATGTGTGAAAATGTCCCCCTGTTCAACGCTATAGCGTTCACTACATATTGTCATAAAACTCATTGCGGCCCCTTCCCAATGATCCCCCTCAAAAAGTCAAAGCCCTGCCTCTGCAACCACCAAGTTTCCGATCCAACCTTCATCATCGCCGCAAAGGTATGTTCCTCGTTAGGAACCTCCGTCATCCCGCACTTCACTCCAGCACCCTGTAGCCTCTTCAACAATTCGCGACTCAACTCAATCGGTACCATCGTATCAGCCTGTCCATGGACGATATATGTCGGTGGAAAGCTAGATGAAACATTCTGTACGGGATCGACTTTCTTGAACTCCGGATCACTGCTTTGTGACTCTGGGTAGATGGCGGAAAGGACAGTTCCGGAGGCGATCTGCGTGAATGCGAAGGCGTCGCGGGGCTTGGAGAAATCGGGGCCCTTGGAGACACCGGATTCGGTCTGGCCTTCCAAAGAGACTGAGCTATCGGTCGGGACGGGCTTCTGATCGTATACCTTATTGAGGAAGGCTTCGGACAGGTTTGGGGGCAGCTTCGCTGCGACGTGTGGAAGGGGCTTAGTCCAGAGGGGGTCCGTGAAGTGTACGGTACCGTAGAGGGACAGGATGGCCTTGGCAGGCTTGGGGACATCGAAACCCTTCATTGAGGTCAGTATGCGTCGATAAATGATAGCAGGGTCTTTCTGGATCTAGTAGATCCCTCTACACTCACCAATCCCAGTGCGAGGTGTCCTCCCGAAGATGTCCCGAAAGCAGCGACATTCTCCAAATCCGCGCGGTATGCCCCCTGCTCCTTAAGAACAGCGTCCAGGTGTCCATGATACACCCACGTCAGCAGATCCCTAATATCCTGCATAGGGCCCTCGAGCATGTTCACGCCGGGACACAATCGGTGATTGGGAACGAGCACAATCCAGCCGCGCTCAAGGCAGTCGTTGACCTGCGGCAGGGAGACCATGCGCGAGTGGCCGAGCATGAAGGCGCCGCCATGGATGTTGATAACTACGCTTGCATCAGCATCAATCGAAGCAATTACATGATATTTCGATGCATGTAGTGGTTCATCTCATTGCAGGGATAGAGTCAGACCCACCAACAGGATACTTCTGCGGAGAAGCCGAGGTGTTAGACGGGAGGTACAAGTCGGTGGTGATCTTGCTACCGTCGACCTCCTTGTAGAGGATTGTCAGAGGGTTTTCGAGAGACATTGTGGTAGACGTTGAGTATCAATGTAGGCAGTGGTATTCGACGTGCGTAACCCCACGGCACCCGGCTTTGGAGGAGCAAGCTTTATATAAAGCTTGAACATCGGCAAATCCCCGGACTGGGGGACTCGGCTTTTCCGGGCGGGGCGGTCGGATGTGTGTCGCACTTCGGGGCGATACTGGACCGATCGCCGGTTGTCGTCATACTATTCTGGTGAGAATATACAATACTTGTTAGGCTCATACTACAGAAAAATATATTCTACAAGTACATAGGGCGATGTGCTTCGCGATATTGTCGAATGGAAACTCAGTCTTACAGCGATATATTTTATTGTAATCTCTATTCAAGTACATACGACCATAGGGTGTGGAGAACAGGGCTTCCCGTCCGCTCAGCCGTACTTAAGCCACACGCCGGCCAGTTAGTAGTATGGTGGGTGACCACATGCGAATCCTGGCTGTTGTATGTTTTGTTTGTATCTTTTTTTCTCGCTGGTTTATTTTTCAGCCCCTTCAGGCCCCTTCACCTGAATGCTCTGAACACCCCTGAAGCAATGACATGGCCCCTCGACTAAACTTTCCCTCCCTCCCACTCTCCCCTGCTCGCTCATGTCCAGTCCTTATTGTGGATTGATCCTGATCGGAGCTGATAGCGGAAAATAGATCCATGGTGGCTAGTACAATCGTCTAGTCTGATCTTGGGTATAATCAGAATCGAAAACAGATCTCCTTATGCACACTGACCCTTTCTTTCTTATACAGTATCATAACGTGGTATACTCCGTAGTCTCTTTTGGATTAGCTGTAAGTTACAATGTCTCCAAGAATACGGAGTACCCTTTTCCGCTTTCCTAGAAGCGAGTGTGACGTGTAATACTGCATACTATGGGTACCCCTAATACGTACTGCCGCTATCCCTCTATGGCCGTAAATATTCTAGGTTTGGCAAGTCCTTTTTATCAATAACCATCATCTCAAGTTTTATCAAGAGGGTCTGTGTTAAGAGATCAGCCTGGGTCATCTGATACTCCATATAAGCCAAAAAGACCACTAGATCCGCGATCACCGCATATGATACAGGAGCCAATATATAAAGTAGCGCACTGTAAAATTTTTATTACATAACAGTCTACACACATAGCCCCGAGACCTACCCCCAAAAAGCTTCGCTTTTCTCACGATATGATATAATATGATACAAAGTCAGTCTTTAACAAAGTCTCAAATGGCTGATGCAGCAGAGTGCAGTGAACGGACAATGGAAAAATCCGTAGGAACATACGACAGGTTGCCCCCCCCCCTCTCCCCCCCGAAGATATTTGTCGGAGACAAGGCATAACGCGACATATGTTAGAAGCGCTCTGCGATCATCTGCTTGAGAAACCTGGTCTCTTATCTCGATGAAACGGCGGTCTTAGTATGTGATGGATTTCAGACAAAGGTAATAACTTTCCAGTATTAGGACGATCAATCATAAGTGGTTCATCTAGGATAACGCCTAACCTAGCTACATTGAAGCCCGAGCTTATTCGTGATATGGTAATTAGTGGAGAATCATCTGCATTATAAATAGTAGCGGCGACTGGCCAAGGTAACGTTCTATCCATCCTAAGGATTGAACGCATCCACCCATGGTGAACACCATGTCTCGCACGTCCATGCCGGCACAGATTTATCTGTTGCATAAGAAATCAATTGAGATCTAATGATGAACATCGCCCGGATAGTAATTGGTTTAATGATTGTTGTATGTCCACATGTCCACTGCATCTTTCCAGGTCATGAAGAAGGGGTTTTGAAACGAAGTTACGTCTCGCTCCCCCAATTCATGGATCCATGGATGGCCACCACGGGTCGAGGCAACGTGCTCTGAAGCAACATTATGACCGTACCACCACCAGTGAGCATGATCTTCAGGATTTGTGCTTAGAGGTGGGAGCCCGTATACCTCAATAACGCCAACTGAGAAGAAGCCCCGACAGTCGTCACACCAAAAGCTTTCCGAAAGATGAGCGGCGAGCGATCGTGAGGCAGCAACGCGTTTAGGGCTCATAGGAGCTACTTGGTTGTGCATCAGGAAGTGAACGAGCGACCAGACTTGGTTAGGCTGCGAGGAAAGCGTGGCCGCACTAGCGAGAGCTTTGTTAATGTCCGAGCCAGGGGAGTCAGCTTGAGCGACGCAATCTGAGGGGCTTCCGAAAAGATTGGGATCCGGAATCAGTCGCATAACTTCATCGAAGCTGGGTATTTCATCGAAGATTTGGGTGGGCCACAGGGCAGCGGCAATGTTGTAGATCCGATGCTGTGTAGCGAGTACACTCACGCCGACGTTACTAGTGCGATTCCAATAGGCACACTCCCCAGGAGAGGCAATCTCGCCCGGGTACAACAGGATAACCCGACGAAGAGCTTCTACCACCTGATTCATGGTCAAGCCACCTTTTGGTGCATCTGATTCTGTTCTCGGACACTCGGTGGAGTCCCACCATGGACCATCAAAGCATGTGTTAGGGGGGCGTTGGATAACACAAGTCGATGGCCGGACTTCAAAATCAGCACCCGTGCAGGTAAGTCCGGGACCGCAAACGAGCGGGCGAGGGAATGGCCAACCATTCTGTTCCCGGGCATAGTTCAGACCAAATTCGTCTTCAAAAGGACCAAACTCGAGAGGGTTGCCAATGCAGCTCTCCTCAGCTTTTCGGAATGCGACGCATCTACCTCTTATAGGTTTCCAGGCTTCCGTTTTGGGTCCAAGTTTGATGCCGTAATCGCCAACGGTGCTGGCAACACAGTCAGCATTGTAGCTGGCGATCAACGCCTCATCAGTTGAGTTCGCGACGAAATCGGCGGCACCGTAGCAGTATTCCCATTGAGGAGTAGATCCATCACGGTCCATAGCCCACGGACCCCATCTCTCGTGGATGTCGATCATGCACCATTCATCGGATGAGCAGATACCCGGCTGTTCATAACAGTCGAGTCGAGCTGGTATCGGGCAATACACGTCGTCGCAGGTCAATTTGATGAGGTCCCCCTTTGCGGCTGTGCGAATAACAGTGGTATTACCGCTCATGTCGACATAGGTGAGGTCTTGGCTGGCAAGGCTGCAACCACCCTGAGTGAACCACATCGGCTGACCCTCGTCGGGCGTTCCGCATTGCACGCCTCCATTACCGTCCGCCATGGTGGTAATCAATGGGTGACCCTGTGACACACGTTCATCCCGTAACATTGCCCAACGGTCCTGAACCGCGGCCGGCCAGGAAGTGCGGTAGTGTTGTGGGTTGGCATACACATTGCTACAGAATGTTGAACTGATGAGGGCGAGAATGACGTTTTTGTTGTGGCGCGTAGCCCGAGTGCGTGGTAAAAGTATCGAGGCTACTGTATTGGCGGACATTTCTGCTGATACTTGGACTTACAGATCAAATTGTAATTGAATGTGATCTTGCCGTTGGAAGTTCGTACCGACCATCAACATTTTACAATGCATTTCATAGGTATTCCAACCTATATATAAGCACAGTGCGGCTACCAAGCACAGCTGCAACCTTAGTTGCCCACGGAATGCGAATCACCACTGGACCATGCTTGGCATACAAGCTTCATTACATGACAGGGACAGCAATCCTCGTCAGAGCTTAAGTTGACAAGTAACACATTCCAATGAGGATAGCGTGGCATCGACGGAATGCATTGTGGCATGGTGACATTCTTGACATTCTAAAAGATGTGAATTAGGTACAGAGGCACAGGGAGGATTGAACGAAGCGGGCAATCAGCAGTCAGTACTATTGGCCCGAAAATACTCTACTGACAAGTGACGAAGTGATCAGGCGTATGAACCATAACGTTAAAAAAGGGATATTATACTATTAAGGAAGGGGGTGGCCTTTCAGCTCTTCACTAGAGGACGGAATCCTTCGAAATCTGATTCTACGGAACCTGCAAGTAGAAATAGTTACGCAATGACAGAATTAACGCAATGTTTTTCTTGCTAAGTTGGAGCTCGGTGAAGCTGAATTAAGCTGGGCTGTATGACAACCACTAAACCCCCCAGAGGAAACATTTGAGAGTCTTATGCAACGGTCGGGCACGCTTCTACGATATGCCATAGGAAAATTTGCCTCCAAGATCTTTTGGTAAATTAATAATCCGTGACATAGGTGGACTAAATCAAGCCTTACACTCCTCGCTTGATGAAGGCTGCGGTAGGAAAAGAAGAGTAAGTATGTTGACGTATATGATGGAATCAAACTTACCGTCTCTTCATAATCTGCTCTTTACGTCTCTCATTCTCAACATTGATTTGAAAGACATTGAATCGCTGTTCTCTCTTACGCAGGCTATTGTTATGATACAGTGGTGCCATAAAAGTCTGTGACCCTCTAAAGTATCGCGTTAATATTATGCGGGCAATTAACGTCCGTACCACTCACAAACTATTACTAGCGAGCGGTATGCCCCTTATAAAGAGGCGGTAAAGAAAGGTACTTTGGGGGTCAAGGACTTTTGCGGTGCCGCTGTACACTGGGGCCGGGTCTCTTTAGATTTGCAACGACGATTTCACAAATGATTCTTTTCAGATGCACTGCTAGCATTTTTGCTGGAACTATCGTCACCATTCATACCATGGTAGCGGAACATAGCACGCCCAGGACTGTACAAACACGAAGTCTCATAGTTTGGCGTTTCTCGAGATATGTTTAGGTGCATGCATACATGCAGAGGAAGCCCTAATTAGACACCAAGTCGCTCAATTCCCATTCCCGGAATGTTTTGCCCATGCTATTTTGCACATATCAAAAGCCCTACATAACTAGTTTACTAGTTAGTTAGTGAGTTAGTTGACTGACATATTAGTCAGTCATCCGTGCCGAAAAATAAATGAGTTAAATTCTAGCATCCCAGGAATGTGTTCACGCATTCCATATTGTAGTTTAAGAAGATAGGATATGAAGGCACACATTACCAGATGGGTGCCCTGTTACAAATCTGAG